CCGTCCGTGACCGTTACTGTCCGAGTGACCGATGGACCTTGCTGCGTGACAGTGGTCGTGGCAACGGGGCCGGCTTCGGTAGTTGTGCGGGTTACAGTAGACACAACCGTGGTCGGAGGCCCAGCAAGTGTAGAGTAGACAGTAGTTGTCCTAACCTCGCCGGGTCCGGGAACGGTAGATGTCACAGTGCTCGTCTGGCCAGACACGGAGAGTATCGATGTTTCTGTGACAGTTCTGGTGACTGTTGAAGCCTGACTACCGACAGTCGTGGTGACGATGGAAGTGCTCACGACAGTTGATGCTCTGTCTCACGATTAGCAAGAGGTCTTTCGAGAGGTATGTGTCTGCAAAGTAACTCACGCGCATGGCCCAACAGGCGAAGTGTTCGGACAACTGGAAGGGACAGTAACAGTCCTGGTCTCTGTCTCGGTGACACCTGGTGGAGGTGAAGGGTAGCTCTGGTCTCGAGTCACAGTGGCCGTGACCGGGCTGCAAGGCCCAGAGTTCGTGACAGTGATAGTAGACGGGCCATTCGGACAAGAACTGCCACCACCTGGTCCGACAGGGATAGTCTCGCAAGTGGATACGGTCACGGTGGTTGGGGGAGCATTTCCACCATTTGTCACTGTCACGGTGGAGGGCTGGCCGCTCGGGCATCCAGTAACACCTAGAGATACTCGTTAACCTCTGTTCGATACTCCGGGGATGTAGAGTGGCGGTGCGAGTTTGAGGACAAGTCGAGGTTCAAGGAAAAGCTTACCATTCACGGGCGTGGTATTGTCGCATCGGGTGATGGTAGTTGGAGCTGGCACAACAGGGCAGGACGATTGACCAGGAGCCGTGATTGTCAGAGTAATCGTGGCGGCCGAGCAGCCCGTAACGCCGTTGACTGGAGTACTTCCGGCAGTAGTTCCGTATCCCCAGTCGCTCCAGACAGACGATGTATCCCGGCGGACCACTGGGTTGGCAGCGGCAAGGAAGCTGCAGAACCTTGTCAGTGAACGTATAGAGGAAAAGCCGCCGCGACAGACCTCAAAGCAGAGCTAGCCAAAATGGCCGACCGGACGAGGCTGGAATACATGATATATGAGAAGACTTCTGTCTGAATGATCTCAAACGAATGGAAGACGGACTGAATCCTGTCGGTGCTGTTGGAGAGGTCCGATGATCAGAGGAGATCCTCGGTCTTTATAGACCTTACGGACAAGTTGATATCCAAGTTGAAGATGCGCATGGCTGGTCCACACATGTGTTCCCAACTTCAATGCGAGGGGGAGGCCAGTACAAGCAAAAAGCCCTGACGACAAGGAAGGATGGGGACACAAGATGCATGTAGTTGCTGATCGGACCAGAAAAGGTGGAAGGTTCCTGCATTCGTGTTATCTGTGTTATTTTGACCGCCTCGTCCGTACTGTCGAGGCAAAGATGGAAGATTGGAGATCGTCAGGTGCATGAGCGATTGGAGATAGGACCAATATCGTGTATACAGATTCTTGAAGGACAGGGGTCGTCGATGTCGATTATGGTCCAGAACGCGTGCGCCAGGTTGAGTCACCAAGGGTAGGGATACCATCAACAAAAGTGCTTGCGCGTGGTCGCCGCACTGCATGTCGTGTTGGCTGTGACATGGGAAGTTTGGAACTCCAACCAAGGCTCAGGCTGTGAACTTGTGAAGTGGACCATGGGTCAGTGATTGCAACCGTTAGAACTGCTTGAAAAAAGGCCTGCAAGCTCCAAATTCGTGTGTTTTGTTTTCAGATGAAGACAGGTACCGCATAGCTTTCTGAATAGAAGCTAGCTGGGGCATCAGCGACAACGAAGGCTGGAAGCTGGGCAAAATGGTCAATACGGTTCTGCAGGCTTCTGGGCAGTTGCTTTCGCTCTAGAACCTCAAAATAGACTGCAGTCAGAACGTTACATTCGATTAGAGTCGGAAAGGGAACAGTTGGGTTGTGCGACTGGAAAGTTCTGGTTCAAGTTCTAGTTCGCAACGATTTCTCAACCCCTTTCATTTCGCAAACCGGCTTTGGTGCACCTCTGTCTTCAGTGAAACCATCTCTCACTGACAGGCGTAGCACTTTTTCGATGAGAATTCTTCGACAGTGCTGAAGCAATGAAATCAGCAGGCTTGGATATCCTTGTAGTTGTGCCAACATCGCTGTAGCGGATGACGTAGCAATCGTCCACTGAACCAGGTATTGATGCAAGGTTCCGAGACCACTCTCTGGTACTGCACCTGCAATCGGCCGCGTTGTGGAAGGTCCAATGTCTTCTCCAATGGACTCTGAGTTGAGTCTCTGCGGAGTTCTGATTCTGTCATGAGTCGAATAGCGACTGGTGATCGATGTGGTGTCCGTGAGACATATTGAGAGGAATTTCGAAGTTCGTAGTATGAGCGTGGGCGCACACCGGGGTTGGGAGCGGGCGGACTGCGGAAAAGAGGAAAGACATCAGTGCAACAGCTGATGGCAATGGTAGTTGAAACTTCTTCCAATCCAGGTCAAGGCATCACTGGAAGCCATAATGGCGTTAGTCATCCCCAAAGCGTGCACAGCAACATAGAAAATTCGCCTGTCTAGTCAATCCATTTCGCGGCAGTCCCCGGTACCCGTGCTGGCAACCTGCGTTGTTCGTCTGGAACATTGCGCTGCCTGGTCCGAGAGTGAAGCTCTTCGTGTAGCATTGCGGCTTGGTTTCATTGCTGGAGCGACGCGGCCATGGATACTGCCATAGCAAAAAGACTTTGTTGCACGAAAGTGATCCACAGTTAACAAAGGTAACTGGCTGCCAGGGCCTGGATACCTACCGTGGGTTTACCATGCAGTTGCCCGTTACATACGTAGGTCCAAGGAATTGGTCGCTCACGCCTGACTTACCGAATGGAAGGCAAAGTGGGAGATCCATGCCGACGAGGCCGACGTAACACAACAACTCATCTCAGGTCGCAAATCATGCATACTGTACCTGGTTCTAGTCGCAGGAGAAGCAGGTCGATGAGAGACAGTGGTGACATGAAAGAAGCTCCGAAAGCCGAGAACGAGAAGTGCGGTGCCTGGTGCCCAGCAGCACTTTGGGTTAGAGGGAACGGGCCCGCCGCACCCATCCTCTCCGTCCACTTCTGTGCCTCAAAGCGCCATTCTCTACGTCGAGCTTTCAACCAGGAGTCATGTCGAGGTGTTCATCACTTGCAACAACAACCCTGGAATGAACCAGAACCGATGCTGGACAGTAAAAGTACCTTGCTCGATGGCCCCGCAATGAGCTTGCGATCAATGACAGCTGTGTACCAAGCTTGTCCTGTTCATGTTCTTCTCAGTCCCGGTCGCCTATTCTCGGATCTCTGAACTTCTGCGCCTTGTTTCGAACTTGTCGGCCAGTCCTTCTATGCGCGTAGCATTCCCCCAGCAACTAGCCTGCCCACACCGTATCGACCTGCGTTTGGAGAGGTCTGATTACTGCAACGTTCCTCTTCAGGGAGCAGCAGACTCATGGAAGACTCCGCGGAGCAGCCCTACGGTAGTGTGGTTGAATACACAATTTGAACAAGAGATGGGTTCGGTTGCAGTCAGGAAATATCGCTTGAGAATGTTCATGTTCACTCCGTCAGCAGAGAACCACAATCAATGTGTTCTTTACGGCGCAAGAAAGACCACTTGTAGGTATTGGCAAACTCCTTGCGCTATTATATGCACGTTTCGTCCAGCTCACTAGAATCAATCACATCATGCTTTTAGTGCTTGTGGCTCTGAACCGACCCTATGGACCTTCTTCCGCAATCGCTTGCGAGATATACATCTGAAGTTCGAGCAGCGTAACTCGGTTTGTGCTTGAAATGCCGACCAACGGAACAACATGTCCATGCATCGTATACACCAGTTGCTACCGCTGCCAGCAGGTATCCTGGCGTCCGAAATCATCCGACTGCTTGCTCGACTCCCTTCGCCCTTGTTACCACCATGAAGTTTCAAGGGGGGGAAAGGTTATATCTACATGCGATGTGATGCCGAGAGACAAAGCCGCAAACTTCTGTCACCGATCAGGTATACAACGAGATGCGGCAGACCCATTCAAGGATCTCTAGCGCGACTGGGAGGAGATTTCGGCCTGGGCAAAGCAGCCCCGAAACGCGCAGACATTGGCATAATCAGAAGCTATCAACGTGTTCCCAACATGCGCCGGCATCTTGGGCAGCCACGATAATTTCCTACCCTTGAAGGAGCCTGAAGAGGGACTGGAGCTCAATGTTGAGAACTCACACGTTCATGTGGTCCTCTTTACCTCTACGGCGATAGCCCACATACAATGTAGTGCTGGCGGTAGCATCTCTCGCGAGCTCCTCAGCCCTTAATCTCCAGCATTCTCTTATCTACAATACTCCATTCCAGGCAGTGAGAACAGCGAGTCGTCCCTGCTTCCTAACGACTACGGGATCAGTCGCAGTCCCAATGCTCGCTGTTGAAGTCCAATTGTCGGTCTGAGGCTGACGATGCACACCCTGCGCTGAAGCATTGGGCATGAGCTAGACCCCATCGCCTGTCTTCAACCGTATTGACCTTGTTTTATGCTGCAGGGCTTGCCCTCTGAGAAGCTGCTCCTAAGTCTACATCTACTTTTGTTCTCCTTGAGGGTGGACTGTCTTGAGATCCGCTAGAAAGCGAAATGTGAAGGCACCGGTTCTGCCTTGGCAGGTATGACGTCTGATTCGGTCGTGCTGTTATTCCATTGGCGGGGCAATTCAACGGCCCAAATTTTCCAGACTGCGCTGGTAGCCTTTTGCCAACAACCCCTCCGTCGAGGCATCTACTCGTTCTCTTTCCTGTGGACTTTTTCGTTAATTCCTCCACTCGACAGTTTCCGGAGCCTACATTCCCCTCCGTGCTGTACAGTTTTTCGACTGGTGCAGTCTTCCTTTCGTCTTGGGATCCAACACACTCTCAACCCCGCCGAAACCATCTTCCTCATCAGACCGCTTCCAGCTCAATTCTCCTACACTTTTCGAGATGCCTGTGTCCGCCTCGAAGGCTGCCCGTCTGGCTAAAAAAGCCGAAAAGCCGGAGAAGAAGACCGCGGCTTCGAAATTATCCTCAAAAGCCAACTCCAAGAACCCCTCCACAAATGGCTCAAAAGCCTCTTCAGTTGCTGGTGACGATGGGCCCCCTATGCTGGATGAAGACGAGGAGGATACACCTGCCACAGACGCAAACAAGATGGAGAAGGTCAAGAAGTTGACTGAGCAAATGGACAAGCACGGTCTTTCGGACCGAGTCACGACCGGTGTGCTGGCCTCGCTAGAATCAAGTCGCGATGTCAAGATCACGTCCGCCTCTCTAGTGTTCCATGGCAAAGTCCTCATTCAAGATTGCACGATTGAAGTCAACTTTGGCCGGCGATATGGTTTGTTAGGCGAAAACGGCTGTGGCAAATCCACCCTCCTCAAAGCCATTGACAAGCGCGAGTTCCCTTTTCCTGAACACGTCGATATCTACTTGCTAAACGAGGGTGCGCCTGCTACTGATATGGGCGCTCTCGAATGGGTCGTCAAGGAAGCCGAGAAGGAAGTCAAAAGACTCGATGATCTGGCTGAGGAGATTTTGGAGAAAGAAGGCCCGGAAAGCCCTACACTCATGGAGATTTACGAGGTAAGACCGTCCCGCCCATTTCCCCTTTCGTTCGTTGACAGTTGCAGCGTTCCGAAGCCATGGATCCCAGCACCTTCGAAGTCCGAGCCTCGCTCATCTTGACTGGCCTTGGATTCAACAAGAAGACCATCCATAAGAAGACAAAGGACATGTCCGGTGGCTGGAAGATGCGTGTTGCGCTCGGCCGAGCACTGTTCGTGAAGCCATCCCTGCTCCTGTTGGACGATCCGACCGCCCATCTCGATCTCGAAGCCTGCGTGTGGTTGGAAGAATATCTGAAGAAGTGGGACAAGACACTGATTCTGGTTTCGCACTCGATGGACTTCTTGAACGGTGTTTGCACGAACATGATTGATATGAGACAGAAGAAGCTCATGTACTATGGTGGTAACTACGATTCCTACATGAAGACCCGATCGGAGCAAGAGACAAATCAACAAAAGGCGTACCTCAAGCAACAGGAAGAAATCGCCCACATCAAAAAGTTCATCGCTTCTGCTGGTACCTACGCCAATTTGGTCCGACAGGCCAAGTCCAGACAGAAGATTCTCGACAAGATGGAAGCGGATGGTTTCATTCAGCCGGTTGTGCAAGATCGCGTCTTCACCTTCAGGTTCGCCGACGTGGAGAAGTTACCCCCTCCGGTACTGTCCTTTGACGATGTTACCTTCAGTTATTCCGGTAAAGCTGAGGATAATCTGTACGAGAACCTGGACCTCGGTGTGGACATGGACAGCAGAATGGCTCTCGTCGGACCCAATGGTGTTGGCAAGTCGACTCTATTGCGAATCATGACCGGCAAACTCAGTCCCACTGGTGGCTCAGTGAGCAGACATACCCATCTGAAGCTGGGACTCTACTCCCAGCACTCGGCGGATCAACTCGACCTGACCAAGTCTGCATTGGACTTCGTCCGTGACAAGTACTCCTCAACCTCACAAGATTATCAATACTGGCGCCAACAGCTCGGTCGTTATGGTCTTTCTGGCGATTCCCAAACTGCTTTGATGGGTACACTGTCAGAAGGCCAGAGGTCCCGCGTTGTCTTCGCACTTCTGGCTATTGAAGGTCCAAACATGCTACTCCTGGACGAACCTACGAACGGCCTCGACATTCCCACAATTGATTCTCTCGCTGACGCGATCAACGCGTTCTCTGGCGGCGTTGTGGTTGTTTCTCACGATTTCAGGTAAGTCTTCATGTCCTTGCAGTTTCGAAGCATCCGACTTAACACTTTCCAGATTGCTCGACAAGATTGCCAAGGATATCATGGTATGCGAGAACAGGACAGTTCGACGATGGGATGGCAGCATCGGCGAGTACAAGAACTACCTGCGAAAGAAGATGGTTTCCATGGGTCAAGTCTAAGCGCTCAGGTCTCGTGTCGACCTGCTTTGTGCTTTCATATGCATGGCGATGGCTGTCCGTCCAATTCCTTTGGCATATTACAGCGAAGGAGGCACGGCATTGAATGAAGTTTAATGACTGACACATCCGTTTCCGTCCTCAAAGGGAAAGGGCGTTCTTGCGGCATCACGGCGTTTGGTATAGACGGGGAAGGGGGAGGGTTGTTAATGGGCAGGGAAAGGGCTGGGACGATGGAGACCAAGCCACATCTCAAATTGCCCACATCGCCCTTGCTCTAAGCGGCTGTTAGCAGGCATTGCAATGCGCCGAGACTGGTTTCGGCATTTATGGTGTCAAATGAGGTTCTAGAGACGCCTTTCATGCTCCGCCTGGGGCCCCAGTGCGAGGTGGTGCCATATCGCTTTCTCTACATCGATCATTAATAGACCCGCTTCAGTGTTCTAGCTTGGGCAACATAGACTTCTGTGAGAATGAAAAGTATTTATTCACCTTCCACGTATAGAGTATCTACGGCCGAGACGACGTTTGCTTTCCCAATGCACGAAGGGATGCTCGGGTGAAGTGGAGATTTGGGGCTTATGGAAGATGGCAATAAGCTCCGCATGTCCCTCCTCCCCTCTCGCACTGGGAGGTATAACTTCCCGCGAACGCGCGTCGAAGAAACACCCCCAATCAGCTCGTGTCAGTAGGTTCTGATCTTTTCTTGCCTGGGCCATTTTTGCCTCAAAGATTGATACATTGGCGCATTGCAGTCCTCCTTCGATATCGACCACCAGAGCCCCCGGTTGAGCACAGATCAAGATGACCTCTCAAGCCACGAAGGACAAGCAGAACCCTCGACCCGTGCATGTGACGAGAGCAGATGAGGTCCAGACAGCTCACGGACAGACCGAAGGAATGATTCGACAGGTACGCACCTCGTTGATGTGACGATTGACTTGCGTCTGCTCTGAGGGGATGCCCTTGCGACATGGTTTGCGAGATGCTTGGAGCTGGCATTGAACAAGACGCTAGCATGAGCTCGACGTGCACTATGGCCCCAATGGTTCTGGATCAGCCTTTGTCATTGTGGCACCGTGACCGGTCAGGTATAGAAGGGCCACGGGCCTCACAGTGAGATCAGCCGTCTACGTCGATGGTTATCCTTGCTTGCAGATGCCAGGGTAGCATGAGCGGAGCATGGGATGCATAGGCTTCCATTTCCTATTTTTACTCGGTTGCGATCATCTTAATCTCCGCACCGCGTGGCTTGGAATCGCTAACCCTCCTCACAGTCCGCCATCGTCTCGCTCTCCCCATCCATTTGTGGTACACTCATGCGAGCCCAGCCTCATTCCGCGTCGGCAGTCCATCACCATGGCACTCAAGACACGATTGTCTACGCCGTCAGCGGGTGTGGCTCACTGGTGTCCTCCTCCGGCAGGACCAAAGAGGGCCCATTTGGTGATGTTAGACAGGATCTCAAGCCGGGAGATTGGGCTTTGATCCCAGCATATAGGGAACATCAAGAAGTGAATGATGGAGACGAGGAGGTCGTTTGGGTCATCGTTAGGGCGCCCGAGGGTGTGCCTGTGGTTGAGAATTTGCAGGCTTGGGGAGAGAGTTTCAAGGCGTAAAGTCGTCACCGAGAAGACAGTGCGAGCAGATGTCCTCCTTTGGTTGATTCAACCAGATGGTATCCATTTGAAGCTCTGGTTGAGTCCCAAGGTAAACTTATGGATTGACTTCAGGGACCTTCAGTGGCATGCGTTCGAGCCAGCTGTCATTCGTTCTTCTCCAAGACCTTGCAAATGAGCGTCGGCCTTCCACTATCCAGTTCGTTCTTCGTGAGAGACGACTTGGACATCGTCTCTGTTCCTTTCCCACCAGCCGTGCTTGCATTCTCTGGTGAGCTGGACGAAAAGCGTCCCCACATGTGTGTTACTGGAAGCAGGATACTCTCCTGTCGCGACTTCAGATCCAACAAGACACTCAACACCAGTGGCATCCTCCGATAATCAGTAACCTTGATAACCTGATACCTCACACCCTAGCTTGGGCGTACTCTCTTCGCCCCAAAACGTTGGCAAGGTCTTGCTGTCCGCAAGAGAAGACCCAGCATCAGAGCGCTTCTTCCTCCCCTCACATGCCATGATGAACCATTTGCACGAGGTGACGGACTCCGAGCCCGTGCTCACTGATGTACTGCGCAAGATCGAGACCCAGCGGCTGCTTCCCAGTCCGACAATGGGGCTCCAATTCAAGCTTTGGTTTCGTTTCACCAACCAGCGGGCGCATTGTTGATGGCACAAGTCGCCTGTGCTCAGAAGGCGCACTTGCACACATCTGGACTGTATCCTGGCAGAGTGATGAGCACGATGCTAGGCTTGGGTCGCCCAGAGAGAGAAGAACCGGCGTTACGTTCGCGCAGTGATTGATCACCTTCGGTTAACAGTACCTAGGTAGGGACTGATGCTTGTCTCTCCCCGCGTGCTAGCGGATTTTCGTTCTGATATGTGATGGCCATAGCATGGGTTGGATTCAGGGCTGGATGACCTCACATTCCTCCGTCGTCGTCTTCGCCTTCATCGTCTTCGTCGTCATCCAGATCACTTCGGTTTATCTCGTCTTCATCTTCACCACTTTCACCTTCGCCCTCATCATCGTCCGCCCCATCCCAACCGGCTGAGTCAACTTCCACCTCGCCTTTCAGGTCCCACCGATCGCCCTTCGCAGCCTGGCTGACATACTTCACGAATCTCAGCGTGCCTTTGTCCCTGAGCACAATGCCAAATCTGTTCCAGCCTGCCGCGTTCGTAAAGAGGATGCCGTCGTCTTCGTCGTCTCCATCTTTGTAGACTGCCGGGTCGTGAGAGGGCTTCTTGCCAACGCTCGGCAGGGCCTCGGAGTTGGTGCTAGCCAGCTGCTCATCTTCGTCGTCGTCCCCAACCATGTATATTTCTTCGCCACCAAACTCTATTTCCGCTGAGTTTGAGTCTCGGATACTGTCCACTTCCATTGCCTTGGCCTTGGTTTTGTCGCTGTGGCCATTCGTATGATCTGAACGCCCGTTTGATTCCTTCTTGTCATCTTCTTGCTTGCTTGCATCCGCTTCTTCACCGGCATTGTCTTCGCGTTCCCATCCTTCAGTGGGTGTGAGGGAGATCGTGAATTCCAATTTCGGTGCGTCCCCTTGGTACGGATGTGCCAGTGCATAGTCCTTCCCTCGGCGGAATCTTCGAGCTATGGCACTTTGCCGAATAAGGCTCTTTGTCTTCAGACCCGTGACAAGGGCCAGCCATTTCTTGAACGCATGTGAGTGAATCAAGTCGGCCAAGATGCGAGAGATCGGACATTGATCACGATGCAAGGCTTCGTCGGTCTGGAGGTACGCATACCGGTGCTTGTGAGGTGGGCGAGCAACCTTCCAGGTAGAGGGATGGTAGGCATGGGCTGATGACGCAAGTACGTCATCTTCGTCATTCTCAACTTTGGAGATGTATTCCTTGAGTTTAGCAGCAAATGTTGGGTTGAAGAAGTGTTCAAGTTGCAGTAATGACATATCGGCGAATGAGGATGAGAATGCCTCGATCATGTCCGGAGTCAAATAATGCGGCGTCATGTAGTGCAACAGGAAGGTCAGGTCTTGCTCGCTCAGGATAGTGTCGTCCGTATCCAGATCGTCACCAGGATCCATTTCTCTCCTGGCCGCCTGACTGTCCATGACCATCCTCGGCTCGTCGAAGTGACGGAAAACAAGCTGTGGCTCATCGAACTCGCTCGACGCACTCTTGAGCTGCGCAAGACTGGATTTTTGAGCCTGCGTTTGTTCCATACCTTCTTCGAAACCGTCCTCACCCTCCTGCGGGATGTGAAACCAGCCGCTGATGGCCATGCGTATTCGTCCTCCGTCAGCTTCGAGATTGGGACCGTGGTAGACCTCTTCGACGTCATGATAGCTCTCTCCAGGTCGAACAGCAAAGAAGCTCAGTTGACCAAACGAGGGTGGGATATTAAGACTGTAGTCGGCGCGTGGCACTTGGATGTCTTCACCCTGCCTGTTCTTCTTGGTGTCTGTAGGATACAGTCGCAGGCCTCCGCCCCATGCAGGCTGCCACGGATGCTCGGGATCTGTCAAGTAGAGAATGTAGCTGACTCTTCGACTTCCAATCACATCATCGTGGCATAACAGATAGCTGCCTGGAGTGTAGACATTTACAGCCATATCCGTCTTCTTCCCAGACACTTTGCCAGCGCCCGTGACTGCCGCCACCCATTCTCGAAATTCAGCGCTGTAGAGAGCATCTCGCAGACGGACTAGGCTCGGGAGGTGTTTCAGAGATTCGGCATCCAGGTGCGAAAGGTTCGCGAGGTCACCGGATTGGTGGATACGATAGATGTCGGTCTCTTTCAAGGTGAAGTGGATATGGGTGGTAATCTCCTGGCGAACGGATCGCAGAAGGGAGTCCTCGATCAGCGAACGCACAACAGCGTGGGGATAGGGTTTGGCCTGTTGGTAGCCCTTGCGGAAGCTTTCTCTTGTCTCTTCATCGAAAAGGTCCGGCCGAAAGGCAGACTGAATGCTGCCATGACTATCGGAGATGATCCGCTTCTTCGAAAGAGCGTCATCGCTTGACAGCGCTTTGCGCTTCATCATTCAGGGTCAAGGTCCAGCTCAATGCAGAAACGACGTACGCGAAGAAACCAAGGTCAAAATGCCAGTCATTCCTGCTCGCATTGAACTTTTTTGAAATTCGGCTGGTGCGGAGAAATCAACTCCAACGGCGGACGCCGGGGCGATCGATGACCTGACTGAAGTTTCGAGCTCTCTGGGAGCACGTGGTGAATCTACGGTACCTACATCAAGAGTACAGGGTGGATGAAGACTGCTGAGCCTATCGTTTTCTGAAAAATAGAACGATCTTTTTGTTAAGATTATGAAAGTGGTATCCGCGATATGACGCAACTATTCTGTGCCTGCTAGAAGGGGTATTTCGTACAATATTCGTCAAAGCCATCATCAATCATGTCCATCCCAAAAGCGAAAGTACACCGCTGGGCCCAATATCTGCGTCATTCAACAGACCGAAATCATAAAAGTGTTGTAGCGTCAGATCGATTGACGAGATTCGCCAGCTCAGGCCCATACAATGCGATCCCTTGACTCCCAAACTACTTGCCGAGCTTGCCGAAAGACTTTTGAAATCTTTGGGATGTGTTCGGTCCTCGTTGTTCGGGCTTCAGACTGGGTGATGGTAGTTTTGCCGGCTCTTTCATCTCCCAAGGCGTAACCTCGTCTGCGAAAAGCATGCTTGCTCGCAGCCCAAGTCGTTCCCGAGAACTGTCGGGGCGTTGCTGCAAATCTTGCTGTATTCGATTTCGTCCACCGTCCACCGCCCCCGGGGTGCAAGCTCGATCCGCTGGGAACGTACCAGTCTTGTGATAGCCACTGCTTTCTTCCACCAAAAACAGCTCCCGGGCTTCTCCGGCTAAGAAGGCATCGGAATCAGTGATTCGCGTCTGCGAATCCTTCTTCCTTGCAACCGACAACCCGGCCTCGTCAGGACCCTCTGATAACATCGCATGAAGGCTGAGCTCGTTCGTACCTGTCCCCACTCCACGTGCCTGGTGTCGCGAAGTGGTGACCAAATATCGACCTTGAGAACTTGCCAGCGATGCTGGCTGCTGTGAAATAGATTGGCTAGGAGGGGCAGCGTAGGATCTTGCAGCTTTTGCCCAGTCAATTGACTCCCAAGCGAGCGTCCTATCCTTAGAATATCGTTGATCTTCGAGAGTTTTATTCAGAATTGACGGCCTCGGTGGCCCGCTCGTGTCACTACCCCATGACTTTGTCGACCTCGGCCGAACACTCTGCAATTGATTCGCTGCGGGTGGCTTCGGAGTATCCAGCCCGACATCGTTGCGAGGTCCAAAGTGCTGCCCTACGCCTGAGCTCTGCGAGAGTCCCGTCTGGAACGACTCTTCGGGAATGCTCTTACCAGCTGGCTGGGATGTAGGGGAACGGGAAAAGACTGACGCATCTGCTCTCTGTTGTGATACCAAGTCGCCAGACGAGTTAACTGATTGGGCATAGAGTCGAGTGCGAGAAGATCCGCTTTGCGAGTCACTGGAGTTGGGAAACGCCCCGAGGGAAGAACCAGTCGTCGAGCTGGAGTTCCGACTACTCCTGCGTCGCCTTTCAGAATAACCGCCAGTCTTAGAGTCTGCGCTGAAGAATGACTCAGCCTTAGCGTTCTGCTTCTCTCTTTCTTTCTCTTTCTTTTCTCTTTGCTTGACGCTCTCCGGTATACCATCCCACTTGGAGTTTACCTTCGGCACATAGTCTGGCATCTTCTCCAGTCTCACGTTGGGAACTTTAGTGGCGCTCGTTGACCCATGCTGGGCAATCATCTGAGCGGCGACTTGGTTCAGGGCGACCGACGTCGGCTCCCGAACCTGAAACAGCCCTCCAAAGATCGACGCCTTCTTCTTCTGTGGTACCACGCCAGAAGCGGCTCCTTTGGGTTGGTTCTCTGGTGATTTCTTGCCCGCTCTGGCTGACTCTTTTGCCAGAGTCTCCTTCTGAGCAGCTTCCCTAAGCTGTCGAATGGTAAGCCGCGGCTTTTCCTGGCAGCTCTCCATATCGTGGTGTGGCTTGCGTGTGAGATCTACTCTTTCGGCCATGACGGACGAGGAGGTAGGCCACGAGCTGGGACTATTCATCGCATGTAAAACGAAAGATCTCGTTGTGTCGAAGCGTTAGATTGAACTTGTTGCCGTCATATTGTCGCACGCCAACGTCGCCCGTGGACCCAACCTGAACAACGGCAGTGGGCGACTCTGGATGACCGAATCAAAGGCCTATCGCATCAATAATCGGAGCGTGGGAAGTAGCGGAATGTTGTATATTGTGCAAGATGGCACGGGTTGTGCAAGATGGCGAGGAGCAGCGGAGTGGTATCTCAATCGGTCTCGTGCAACTTGACAAACCTCCCAGAGGACATGCACGCAAGCACTTAACCAGGAACAGCAAGATTGCTGCAAGATCGTGAGCGTCACGGGTAGCTGGAGACAGTACCTCGTAGTGGCAAGCGGATGAGCGTCAATTTGGCGAAGGAGTGTCATGGAACAGCGATCGACAGATTTCGAGAAAGGTACGAATGGCAGCACAAACCGAGGGAGATACCAGTCGGAAGAATCATGCAGGTGCTAGGCATGGGACTTTGTCGTTGACTTCCAAGTTCCTCTTAGATCGGCGATGGCACGTTGAAAGCAGGGGTAGTGTGGGTTATGGATATCCGCGACCTGTCAATCTGTCACACTGTGCGCCAAAGGAACTGAGGGGTGGCGCCGCTGGGCTCAGCCAAACAGACAAGAGCCCTATCAGTTTTGAGGCTGAGTACGGATTTTCAGAGGCAGCGTGCAGGGTAGTCGCGCCTTACGTGTTGAGCTGCAACGGGGAACGTGCGCCAATGCAAATAAGGCGGGAAAGCAAGCCGGCGACAGATGAACAAAAGAGCTGCTGGGCAGGAGGGCCGTAACGGTGACATACCAGGTCAATGGAATGTCTTGCGTTATAGGGGATTGATTGGCTACGAACAACGTAAAATTCCGGTCAACTTTGCACCTCTCATGCTCGTCGCTCGAGATTTCTCTACACAGTACGATGAGCGTCCGAAGTGGAGCACCGACTATCACATTCTCCCTCCAGACTTCATCGCCCTGTTCCGCCGTTCCCCATCGTTCCGGCGTGGCGGACGCTCGAAAAACCCCAGCGGCGTGCCCTGGGCTCGATCGATTCACGTGTGTACATGGTCCAGTGTTGGTTCAGTTGTACTCGAAATCTCAAGTCGCCAAACGGAACGTGCATTGCTTGACTTGGTAGTTCAGATATGCACCACAAGCGAGTGCCCGTGGCGAAGTGGATGAAGAGCAGTTTAAGCTCAGATATTGGTGTACTGTGGTACAAACAGTATTACGTGAGAGGTACTCCGTACTTCGAGAAAACTATATGTCGTACACACAGAAGCCACCATATTGGGCCAAGTCTTCTCCGGTTCATGCGAAACGCCGTCGAGGACTAACTCGTTGAGTCATTTCAAGTTGTTCAGGGCAACGGCGGCGTTTTGTGCTGTGGGAGGAGACGGGGAAGTAACATTCCGCGGAGCACACAACCGAAGCCAAGGGATAAGCATGATACACAGTACAGCACGTTGCGGTCAGGGAACCAGGGTACACAAGTACCAAGTACACGTGGAGGGCCAGGTGGTGAAAGTATCCGCACTAGCATAACGATGGAATTATCCAGAAGGTTAGCAGTGAAAGCTAGCCCTGCACAATCGAACATCGAAGAAAGCTAGGGGCCCTCTCTCCTCCAAAAAAGAGTTCTGTCGAAGGACTGGCAGGTGACAGACAGTGAGGCACAGATGAAGGTTGTTCGCAGTGTTGAACCTTGAGGGTTCGCCGACAAAAGTTTCCAGCCGACCGTGCTTCTGGCTCGCGTTGCCGATGGAGCCCATGGATCCCCTCGAGCCTTCGGAGCCCTAGCCCAAAGCGCCACTGCAGAACATCGTACCACAGTACTCCGTAGACATCTCTGCTGCCTGTGTTGCCACACAGGTCCCAAGCTACCTAGGTAACTTAAGGCACTTGGTACAGCAGGCACGCGGTACATAGTACCTTTCTCCTCGCTTTTGAGGAGCAAGTAAACTTCCAGTCACGCTTCTCTTCCTCCTTTCCAGTATCGCCAAACTAGTCCTCTTGTGCTGCTTGCATATTCTGTGTACGACGTACCGCGTCCAACCGAGAAAACTCAAAGCCACGCTTGCCAGCCACCTTCCCCTTTGACTAAACAGCCAACAGCCGATCTAATCTACCTCTCCACCTGTTCCAATCTCGACTCTCAAGTGCAATCCAGCCCCAGATACAACCTTGCGCCAAACCTCGGAACCGGTACCCTTATGTCGATTTCCCTCGTTCAAGTGCATTTGGCAACATCGGGTCCAATCCACTAAAGTCGAAAACCATAAGTCTTTCATGCCAGGCGGCCCGTCGGATGCACGGCCCACTATCGTACGGCTCAAGTTGATCATGCCCGACGACAGACAGGAGAACCCTGAAGAGGCCCAGTCCGGTCTCTCTATCGAAACCACGACTCGTCCTCGCGCTAGCACCGAACATGACGCTGGGGGCAGTCCTCAACGTCCATCCTACTCACCTGTGACTCCAACGCTTTCACAAGCCAGTTTGGCTTCCCAAGATGGTAACGGAGCAGACCCACCACCACCACAATGGATGGATGAACCACCTGAACCACTTCCCGTAAGTTTGGACGACAATCCGGACGCCATTGCCCTAAGAGCGACGCTGTCGATCCTACAAATCCAGCGGCAACAGGCTCTGCAGGACGTGAGGAAACTTGACAAGATGAAGAAGGCTGCTCTGGAGGACCCGCAACACTTCGTCAAGGACCTTCAAGCAGGCAAGTTGAATCGCCAACCTCGAGCTGGCATCGACGTCGACGGGCTGGAGTCTGCAGAGACCCGGGAAGAAGTAGGTGCATCCAAGTTCGGTCAGTTCCCAGGGGTGCAGAATGTCGTGCGTACTCCGCGTGTGGAGTGGGCCAAATATCACATTGTTGGTGAGCCGCTAGATCGCATGCACCGGGTGCAGCAGCAATATCCGGGCTCCGACGACAAGCGTCAAGACGGTTCTGACCGACCGCAGCCTCACACGATGGCTGCGCCATATCGTCCTTTTGTGGACAGGCTAGAAGAGACAAGTCAGCAGACTCAAAAATCTTCGGACCGTTGAGCACCGTCGATATCCGATCAAGATGATTCTCAATCTATCTGTCTTATGGCCTCTGGGCTCTCAAAATCACTACTGAATGCACTGAGCTCGAAACGTGCAATGGTACCAGCCTGGGCCTCGGTCCCGGCAATATCACATTGTGCGAGCTCCGCTCTCTTGGTCAGCCAATGTGTGGTCTCGCAAGTATGCATGTCACATAGTGGTCCGTCACTAACAGTTATGAGCCGACGGCCCACTTCATCAGCCTCCCTCGCGTTTTGCCACTGCCACTAGCGGTTACTTGAAGGATACCTTATCAACAAGAGCGAGATACTTCTTGTAAGTATCCTTGTACTTCGCGGCCTCGAGCTTCTTGGCGGCAACGCACAACGGGCAACGGGGACCTTCAATCATCGCAGTCTTGGTTGTCTTGCCACCGCTGACTCGATTTTCACTTCCTCCCCATAAGCCTGCATTGTCAGGGTGTGTGGTGTCGATGAATTGGAGGCAGAGGTAACAGATACGGTACTTTGCCGGCATGTCGGGCTTGAGGCGGATAAGCATCTGGAGGCGATGAACGTCGGTCGCGCGTTTCGGAACGTGTTGAGCGTAGTCTTTCTTGTTCTTCTCCGTCTTAAGTTGGTCATAGACTGCCGCTTGATCCTTGCAGGCGAGCCCGAGGCAGGCACGATCAGCCGCGGTTGGGAGTGCTTTGAAGATAATCTTCTTGACCTCGACTGGGAGCTTGATAAGGCCATGATTCTCGTTCTTAATGGTGCCGGATTGATAGATCTGGGGAGGTCAATATGAGTATATGGTAACGCCATAAAGCAAAGCATTCTACCTTTGTAGAGACCTTCGGATTGCCGAGACGAAAGCAGCGCTTCTTCAAGCGGTTGGCGATCTTCTTATGTCTCCTGGCCTGCTCCATGGCTTTCTTGAGTCTCTTGTAGGACTTTGCAACATGCTCCTCTGCCTCGATAATCCTAATGATGTTAGCCAATAGCCGAGGTTTCAGGGTAGGCATCACGCTGACTTACTCCTCATTTGTAGGGATTGGATCAGCCGGCATTCCAACGGCGTGCAGTGAACGTGGTGCACTGTAAGAATTGTCTTGGTTTTCAAAGCTCAATGTCAGGGGGTTGTGAGCAGTTTGGGAAAGGCGATAAGAAAGAGGAAGCTGTCTGGTGAGATAAAGAAAGAAATGAAAGAACCTGAGTGCGAAAATCTTCAGTGACATGTAGAGGCCACGGCGCCAAGGGCAGTCTTTATATCAAGACGACATCATAGGATAGATGGGCGAGCGACATCATAGGTGCCAGTGGAATGATAACGCGGGCCGCGGATATGGGATATTGTTGATACCTCAACATGGTGAGGCGCGGTCGAGGGAACATTCCTTATGTTGGTGGAGAGAAGCGTCTTAAGAAGTGCTTCCTGGGACAAATACTTCATCGGTATCGACATGGCTGAGGATCCTCTCAAGGAGCTGCCCAAATTTAATGCAAATAAAGATCGCCAAAATACCTCCAGGCGTAGAGAACGGCTGCTCGGTCAGTTGCAGTATTTGATATGCTTGTCTTGAAACGGGGTGTGATTGATACTTGACTGGGCTGGATAGGTGGAGGAGTCGACATGAGAACACTGTGGACAGTTGATATTCTTTTCACAACCTATGTGCGACACCCGTTCTGGATTAAGAGCTCCAGTGTGGCTTATTGCGATCTCTGTGCGGCACAGATGCCGCTCCATCCAGAGCTTGGTGATATGGAGGCGCAGTGTCTCGGAAACGACCCGCTTTACTACTGTCGATGGCATTAGTGCAGCCTCCGTTTGAACGTCCACCAGGGTGCTCTATCAGGTCATCTGCTTGGCGCAGGAGTATTCAGGACGTCCCGCGCGAAAGGACTGCGACCGGAGCTGAGGAGGCGCACACGCCGTCTACTGCGTTGATTTAGCCCTGAGAAACGTTCTGTGAGGTTTTGATGGTGGAGGAGGAAAAGGTACATCGCTAAGTTGCCGCATGGTAGTAGTGAACACCTTGGCCGTTGTTACTCACCAGCATCGAAGTAGGCGGACCCGAGCGTCTTTCCCAGTCTGCGACGGTATGTTATCCAGGGAATCTATACGCCAGACTTGACTAGTCTTCGAGAGGCTTGCCTTTTCCTACTAGGTACTGAAGGTTGGCACTCGTCCCCAAACAGCGTACGTCGACAAGCAATCCCCACTCGGCTACTGAGAAAATGTGGGAAGCCGTACGGAGTACTGGCCTGATGATAGAAGATATCCGCAGAACAATAGGAGCCAGACTTTGGCAGTATAATTCATCTTCCAGGGTCTGAGGGGTATCATTGTAGAGTGGTTGGACAGAAGTAACGACGTGGTCCGTGAAGAGTGATCGCGAGGCTCAGTATTTGCCAAGACGTGTCCCCATTGCGTTAGGATGCAACGCCGACACCCGGCTCCATCATCCCCAAGCCGCATGTTCAAGGCGAGATTCCTCACTCAAGACTCACGAACCCCACAACCCTCCCCTCTCCCACTCTGACCTGTTATCCCGAACGGCTCAGCCAAGATGAGCGCCACAAAAACACAGTCGCAGAAGATCTTCGATAAGCTGAAGGCGAAGCCTGCCAACAAGGTACTGCCGCCACGATGCTGAGAGGCCACCTCTAGCACTCGGATGCCCATACTCACACGTCTCGGCAGGTATGTTTCGACTGCGGCCAAAAAAACCCGACATGGTCATCTGTACCTTTTGGCGTCTACTTGTGCCTCGACTGCTCCTCCAACCATAGAAACCTGGGTGTCCACATTTCTTTTGTGAGATCGACGAATCTGGACGGTACGACGAGTGTCCCGCATAGACGAATATGACATTGACATGGATTAGTCTGGCAATGGGCTCAGCTGCGCACTATGAAAGTCGGAGGGAATGAGTCGGCCACCAAATTCTTCCAGATGAACGGTGGAAGCGCCGCTCTTGCCAGTAAAGACGCCAAGGTCAAATACACTTCCAATGCGGCCAACAAGTACAAGGAGGAACTGAAGCGTCGAGCAGAGAGAGACGCTCAAGAGTAGGCCAATACACGGTTCCTAGTTTGATTTGGCGGAGCCTAATAAGAGCACAGGCACCCCGACGAAGTAGTCATCACCGACGACCCCCTCTCCGCCGCTGGCGGCGATGGCACCTCGACGCCCGCAGGCGAACCAGCCGACGACTTCTTCTCTTCCTGGGACAAGCCCACGATCAAGCGGCCTAGCAATCCGCCTTCGAGAAGTGCCACCCCTCCTGTCGTCTCACGCACCGCCTCCCCATTCCTCTCCACTGGCAACGCCAATGGCGCGCAGTCTCGACCCAAGTCTCCGTCCCCACTAGCCTCAAGTACTGGTGACGGCGAAGCCGCTCTTCCTGCTCCGACAGCTATCCGCACAACGTCCTCCTCTGCCATTCGCAAGTCTGGCCCGCTGGGCGGCGCCGGCGCAAAGCGTACAAATGTCCTGGGTGGAAAGAAGCCTGCACAAAAGCTTGGAGCTAAGAAGGTTGTCGGCGAGGAGATTGACTTCGAAGCCGCTGAAAAGGCTGCGAAAGCTGAAGCCGAGCGGGTAGAGAAATTGGGCTATGATCCAGAAGCAGAGAAGACTGAGGAACTGGCCAAAAATAAGTCCTCGAATTTTGGATCTGCTTCTGCACCGCCAAAAGAGAGTCCGGCACCAATTAACACTTCTGCTAGGGGCGCTCCCAATCCCAGTCACGCCCGGAGTCCGAGTGAGATCGAGAGACTGGGTATGGGCATGAACAGATTAGGGTTTGGCCAGATTGGACCGACCAAAGCAGCAACAGGAGCATCTTCCGCGGCCGCACCCAGGAAATTGGGCTTCGGCGCAGTCGGTCCCGCTAAGCCAGCAGCAGCAGATGGTGAGTCTCTTTCAGCGGGTCTATAACTTTCTCTTCCTTGTTCTGTACTGATGACTCATGCCCAAAGATGACGGCGAGCAATACGCGCGCCAAAAATTTGGCACCCAGAAATCGATCTCCAGTGACGAATTTTTCGGCCGTGCCTCCTATGACCCTTCCGCCCAAGCCGAGGCAAAGTCCCGGCTGCAAAACTTCGACGGAGCGACCAGTATCTCATCCAATGCGTACTTTGGGCGGCCTGAGGATGACCTTACGGGTTTGGAAGACGGAAATTACGGAGATATCGAGACCGTAGCGAAGGATTTCGTGCGAAGGCTAGGGTTAACTGCTGGAGATGATTTGGAGAATCTTATTAACGTTGCAGGAGAGGGAGGGAGGAAGTTGAGAGGCGCGGTGGCGCGGTATTTGAACAGTTAGACTGTAGGTCCACTTTCGAGCAGGATCTGCTGAGGATGTTGCACCACGGGTTGGAGGTAGTGAGTGAGTGAGTAGGGTTAAAACCTGGAGGAGTTGGGGCACGAACTGGGCATGAACACGAGCGGGCACGGCTCTGCACTCTGTAAGAGGCAGGGCCATGAGACGATGCTCCATGAACATGGTAACGAAGTTTAGATCCATAGCATTGCGATGCCATGAGCAAGCGTCCGGGTACGTGTACGGTCTATCAGTCGTTTTTCCCAGAGGTGCATGATAACGACCATGATCACCCCTGGGACCAGATTCTGCTCATCGTGAAAAGCGGAGAGCAGACCAGGAAGAGGGCGGAGAAGAGACCTTGTTTGACACGCCGAATTACTGTTACGCGAGATGGAGGTATCGAAGTTGAGAACTGCGACCAAGAAATTGCAAGGCAGGGAAGATTGCGCGGCACTATTACATGCTACAGTAGGGATCACATGGATGGATGTAGGGTTGGAAGCGTTGTGTCACTCGCTCCTCCTCGCCTTGACCTATCCCGGCGCTGTGCCCATGGGATTTCAACGCCAATGGGTCCAACGTACGCAGCACAAAGATGCGAGCCACCGAGGGAGAATTTCCTGTAGTGCATCTCAGCGCTTTGAAGCACGCCACTCCTTCCGACGCAAGCCACTTCTAGACACCGAAGCGCGCTCATGCAAACGAGTGTATCAGTCTTTTGTGGTGACAACTTGTAGCGTGTGAAAGGGAGCCGAGTTAAGCAAAGAAACGATCAACGGACACGTATTCCCTGAGGAGTATCCGTGATAATAACATTGAGGTGTTAGGTACGCGCTTCTGAGCCCTGCGAATCGAATGTACTAGCCATAGTGTTCGTGCCAATCAATCAATCTTGGGTAATACCTGGTCATCAAGTCGTGATGATAATGAGCGGCTGAGTCTTCCAAGAGAACTCAAAATGAAACTAGTGTAATTGTGGGCGCTGCCCATGTTGCCCTCCTGTCACTGTCACCTTCACATAACAACACTCTTACGTTTCTCAGCGCTACTGAGAACAAGGAGGGGGGTGTTGCGTCTGGCGGACTCAATCTCGACGATTGGTCCTCCGACTGAGTTGCCCTCATCGCTGCTCACGCTCTTAGCGCTGAGAGCGCCAACACTGTCAACCGAAGACCGTTCTCGAGATTTTTCCTTTATCTCAGAACCAATGGCACCACTAGCAGCAGCTCGGAGGCTTCCCAGGCTTGGCTTGCTGGACAAAGTGCTGCTACCAGCAAGAGCCGAGTCGTCAGACGAGACCGAAAAGTTGAAGTCATTCTCGCTACCCGGTGTTCCAGCTCCTGAGCCAGGTTGACGACCACTATCGCTGCGGCGCTCGCGCCCAGCACGGACCAGGTCGTGGACAGCTCGGCGGCGTTGCCGAGTGGCAAAGTTCTTGCTCCCTTCATGTTTGGATGTAGGCTTCTCCTCAAGCTCCTGCAGAAGTGGTGGTCCTTTGGGTTGTCTGACTGGGTGTTCTCCGGCTCTTCCATGCCCCGGGCCGAAGGTGGCAGTCAATGGAGTTTGTGGAAATCCAGGTCTTGCCCCAGCGCCTTTAGTCCATTCATTATTGGTCTTGATATTGGCAGAGGACATATTCTTGCGGTGGCCGCGTCGGAAGGCATTGGCAGATGGAGGAGGGAGAGGTTCAACGTCCTGCGCTGGGGAAGGACTGGACTTCGGAGGTGTTTTAGATCGAGTCTCGGTCTGATGGAAACTTGGCTCTGGATACTGGCGGTGATAGCCTGGGTTGGCGGGTGGAGGCGAGGCAGAGGTCTTCTGACGGTTCGGAGACACTTCCTGTTGCTGCTGTTGTTGCTGATAGGATTTGTCGACGACATAGCTGGACTGCCCAGTCATAGGATTGTACACGGCGAAAACGCCAGGGCTGCCAGGCACCTGTTGCACCATAGGTTGCAAGCCCTGTTGCAACTGTTGATTGTACAGGCCCATCGGGGAGCTGATGGGAGACTGGAACTGCTGCTGGCCAATGTTGTTCATGAAACCGGTGTTGAGGTTGAGCCCAGAAAATTGGTGAGCCGCGGCCGTGACGCTCAACAGTTGCTGCTGGAGAGCTCGCTGTTGCTGGGCAAGGTAATTGTTGGTTGCTACCAATTCGTCGTATAATGTCTGGTCCATGTTCTCGGCACCGTCAACGAAGTCAAGAGATGGAGGTGCAAGCACGTGTTCAGGAAGAGAGTAGTGTTGCTGTTGCTGCTGGTAGTTGCCATGAAACGAGTTTCTGCCTTGCGGAAAGTACATGCCGGTGGCAGTCTGCGGAGCCTGGTTGCTGTACTGCATAGAGGCGTACCTGCTACTTTCCAGCCCCTGGCCATTGGTAGCATGAGGAACCGTCGCAGACTTCGGAGCTGTACGGAGACCAGCCAACAGATGGCCGCGGCTGGTTCGAGGAGTCGATACTGTGTTCGTTTGTTGGGTTTCGTCAATGGTCGAGATCTTGGAAGGAGGGGCAACGCTGAGACGCTTGATATGAGAACCTTTCCCACGGGAAGCGAAGCCGGGGCCGGAAACACCGATGGAGCCGTTGAATGGAGACTGGTAAGTCATTTGAGCAAGACCGCCTGCGTCGATGCTCATTGTAGTCTAGGACGAATAGAAATGCCGTATGGTGTGCAAGCCGGGTAAGACAAGTATGTTATGCAAAAAAATCTGCGCACGGCCGACGCGTAGAAATGAATCTTGTCAGGAAAGTGCTCGGTCTTTCCTGCCTAGAGATTAGGCAATTAAGGATCGTGGACGTAGTCGGAAGTCGTAACTAGCAGTGTGATCGTGGCCCAGAGGGGACCTGGAGGGCGTACGGTGTGTTCAAAGAACGAATTCCTGCAGCACATGGGTTAGTGATAGCGTTCTGATGTACTTAGGCGACACCTGAGTACGGACCAAACCGTTCAGCCAGCTTTGTGGCGGGAACTTGGAGATCGGAGAGCAAATGGACGTGAAGTGCTCGTGAGAGATTGATAATTGATTGTACAAAGTCGTCTTAGTATTGTGACGGAACGAAAAGAGCTGTGGAACAACGAAAGTGGTTACTGAATTTTTGGGATATTGCGCGGCAATGATCGCTCGAATGAAGCTGTTGTCTTGACGGGTATGGACGATTATGAGGTAGTATGTGGAACGCTGCCTCTTCACAAATCGCTGCCCACTACTGGGTCGGAAGAATCGGCTGGTTGGAGGTTGGCTGTCAAGTCCAGTTGATGGGTGAGAAGTGATTAGGGCAAAAACGCAGGTGTAAAGGAAAGGCGAGATAGGTGAGAGGTGGACGTTACTGCCAGTGCCGGGGTTGACAGTGAAGGCGAAAGAGAACGAGACAACGGAATGACAGCAAAGGATGGTGAAGGGGAAAGAGGGAGGTTGAAGTGAAGGTGAGGTAAGGTGATGATGAACCGAGCCTGAGCCTAAGCCTGCGAGAGAGCGAAGAGCCAACGAACAGGACAGCCGCGAAGGGGACAGCGAGGGTGAGTGAGTGAGATACGAACGAGAAGGACCCCTGCTTCAAGCTCAATCCAGCTAACTGGAACAGGTGGCGACCGGCAAGGGAGTGCATTTGGGCTGTTAGTGATTGGCTTGAACGTGCTTGTTCGGCACGAGCTGCTTGGCACGCCATTGAAACAGGCGCCACCAAGGCCACTCACGTCTTTGCCTCGTTCGACGCTTGAGAATTTGCGGTTAATAGGGGCTGCTTAGTCGAGGCGAGCACTGCGCTGTCACTCAAGCCTGCAAAGCCTCCAACGAAAATCTCGAGAACCACTTGACGGCACGGTTTCTTTTTTGTGACAGCTGCAGCACACTCGCCCGTCGATGCTGCGTGTCGGCCACCCGTGAAATGATGAGTTCGTCAACCATCCGCTCGTTCTCGTAAAATGATCGCTATAAATATACGGCGTGACGGTGGGCAGCACACTTTTGTGAGCCTGCTTCCTCGTACTCCTCACCGGGCACGGTTTATGCTCCTACCTTAGGCGGTAGACCAGCAGCTAGCTCCAATCCCACGAGGACATCACAGCCTCTGATCTGGATTGACCTCCCCTGGGTGCTCCCCAGTACCACTGTTTCATCCCAAACTGCATTAGTCGCCTCGGATTTTGAGTGGGGAAGCTTCTAAGGTTTCTTCACGCCCTGCTACTCCGTATTCAAAACTGTAACGTCCGTGTTGATAATGCGAAAAGCCTCTTTCGAACGTACCATCTGTGGAGGCAGACATTCAGTAGAGGGCCTTACATAGTTTATGGCGATCGCAAGCAACAGCCTTCCATGTTTCGGGCTGGTTTGAGACGATCCACAGACTTCGCTCACGCAACCGAGACCTAGCGGAAATTGCTTGTTGTTAAACCAGATTAGCATTCATGCCACATGGCAGCCATTCGGCGCAGTACTCGTACCTCGTATGGAGTAATGATGCTTGGACAAACCGCGGGCAAGATCCATAGAGCTTGGGCGCTTTAGCATGCACAGCTCGAAGCGATTCGAGGGAACGGTCAAGCACTCAAGGTGAGAACGATGATCTCTTCGGTCCTGTGGCTAATAACGTCGCCAGTCTTGCCGGATTAATATACAACAGCTTTTGCCATCCTTTTGTGCTGCAATGACTCGACCACATTGCTATGCAAGAGAGATAGACTCGATAGATCTACTCTCCCTTTCGTCCACCCCGACCTCCAGCCACCTGCCCATCTTCCTTTGCCCTTTCACCACCGCTGCTGCTTGTGGCATTATGTGCCGCTTTTGGCACGATTTCGGACTCCGGGAGGCCAGAAACGGATGAACTTTTCTCTGCATCACTTGCGACGCCTGATTCCTGGCCTTCTGTAACGTTCTCGCGCTCGGGCGAAAAGGTCGACTCGTGAGTCGAATCGTCACTAACTTTGACCTTCCCTTCCTCTGCGGGCGGCTTGTCAGTCCGCTGATTGGCTGCGGTGGCATCGATACTGGCTTTCGGGATTGAGTCTGGCTGGGATTTCGATGGTACTGCTGGTTGTTGAGCTCCGTTTCCCCCTTCCGTGTCTGACTGCGGTTGTTGTTGAGAGTCTTGCGGAGCTGCTTTCTTGGTAGTGCTTGCTGCTTGAGGAGCTGCTCTCTTGGTAGTGCTTTTTGCCCGCGGAACAGTATCTGGCTCCTCTAGCAGCCTTGTTTGCTTTTGTGATTCTGACTGTTGTTTCTTTCTCTCCGCAATCTCATTAACCAGCTCCTGCCTCTCCTCCTCTAGCCCAGCAGATAGTTCATCATCATCTTCCAGCTCGCCCTTATAAACCTCCGGATACTTCTGGAAACACTGCTGCATATTTTGGAATTTGTCGATACAGTCCATGCCTTTTGGTTCTTCCGTCGAGTAAACGAAACATGAAAACGCTTCTCGAAACTCGGGACCACAAGGACCATGCGCCATACCACCTAAGCAAGGACAATCCCAATTGATTTCCCCAGTCTCGGGGTTGAAAGCACCCTCGCCAGCTGCCTCCTCTTCCAATTCTGCTGCGCCCGTGTTGCTGGGTTTGTCATGCTCAGTGAGCACCGTTGTCGAAGCATTCTCAGAGGACACAGCATCGGCTGCAGAGCGTAGGACAGAGGCATTTTTCTCGGCTTGCCGTGCGCGACCAGAGGTGAGTGCTTCCAATGTGGAGTGGTCTCTGACTTCGTCGTCTACCGCGTCAACATTCGGGTTTAATAGATCTATAGAACGAAAGCCGTCAGTACTTGATACAACTCGACTGTAATCTCCGTTGCAGAATGCATACTATGCTGGGGCTGCTCCGCAAAGACGGGGCTCGTATTATAGTAGTAGACGCCAGCAATGGCGACACCCCATCTCAAGGCAGAGCCTTTCCAACTCCGTCGTGCGTTTGCAGGCGAAGTGCTAGCGAATCGTTTCCCAAGAGTCCTTGCGACAGGGGAAGAAGACGGAGACACACGAGCCGCAGAGCGGAACACTGATCCAGCCGCCGGGCGAAACATGGTCAAGCTCTGTCCTGATCAAGATTTCTGGTTACTGACGAGATGGCAGAGAATGAAACATGTCAGTCAACCTCGACGCGACAAATGAGTGACAGTCGGATGATTCTTCAGTGGTGATGCAATACTCCGTACAATGCAATTATTAATTTTAAGCTCGTCGGTTTCGATAGTGCGCTTTAGCCACTAAAAGTGTGCCGTATAGAACTAAAATGTCAGTTCGGCGAAGTGCATCGAGATTGACGCTATTTGCACACCTCAACCTCGAGATACCATGTTCTTTCCACATACTTCGTAGAGATGATGGGCATACCACGGTCAAGCTTAGTAAGCATGACTTCGAAGACATACATTGTACTAAACCCGTCGTCCGTCTTTTTACAAATGGATGGCATCCGGCCGGCTGCACACTCATAGAAGGCAGAAATCGGGATCCGGGTGCTCCTCATGCCAGACGCGGTTTAGTTGTTCAAACCACCAACAGCAAACATCAAAGCGACACTCTTATTTTTAGACAGCCTACTATGCTATATACGTCCAGAGAGAAGGGGGGGCGCTTCCAGAAACGAAGGCGGTGGTGGTTACGGTACCTACTGACGGCTGCAACCCGTGTGAAAGTGTTGATACATCGTTCACATGCTTTCCTGCTTCCGTCCTGCTCGTCCGATCCAATCTTCCTGCTCATCCAATCCAACCTTGGCCGAATACCGCACCCACACAATCCATCCATCTTCAGCACAGTAACTCCCGCTTGCTATGCTGCGACCACTCCAAACTATACCAGACCATTAAATGCCTAAAAACACCCACCCCAGGCCCTACCAAATGGTTCTACCTAGAGAGCTTCATATGTCTCATTCTTGAATGAGCATAGGGATCATGCCCGTCTCGATGAAGTCATCCCCGCTCGTCAACTCCTCCATGTCCTCCACCGCGACTGTAATCTCAGCTCTCTCACCTTTGGCGCGCCTTGTAGGTTTCGGCTTTCTCGCCCAGCCGATTAGTACCTTCCAGCCAGACCCCTGCTCCTTGCCTTCCTCAATCATCTCATCTACACCTTCCAGCCAGCGAGATTCCTCCCGACCAGACTCGGCCCGGACTTTGACAAGCCACTCTTCCCACATTCTGGCGCCGAGCAAGCCAGTGAGGTCGGCGATGTCTTGCGTAGAGCCAACGGGACCCTGTACGGCCTCGACATCCATGTATTGCCTGACGATTTTGCTGATTGTTGACACCTCGCTGATCGGCCTGGGCGCCGGAACGAATGGTTTTGCGCCTTGCCGCCAAGACTGCCAGCCGCCAGTGTATCCGTGGATTTGCTCCTCGGCTTCTCTGGGTGGTCGTTTCCCCATGGGCAGGAACATCCACGCACGCTTGACGCCAACGAACCCTTCCCTCTTCAGCCTCTTGAGCCAGCTTCTCCCCGCTTCGCGCTCGTAACCCCGGCGGTGCAATTCAAAGCCGAACTCAACCGACATGGCCTCCGCACGGGAGCCGGCGTGGGCGATGCTGGAGTCCATGATCATGTAGTCGAGGTATCCGCCTGGTTTGAGCACGCGCATGCATTCTCGAAGAGCCAAGTCCCATTCGTCGATTGAAGGTGCACTTGGAACGGGGTTATTCTTGAGAAGGACATGAAGGGAGCGCGCAGAGATGACGTCAAAGTGTCCACTGCGGAAGGGCAGTTGCCAGAGGTGTGGTACGGATATTGTGCGGTGGTTTAGCGGTGCTTCTGGCTTGATCTGACCAGCGGGTCGTTGCGTTCGTGCCTGGTCTTTGCTGATGACTGTGTAGACTTTCACGTTGGGCCATTGGAGAGCGGCATTCCAAGCCCACGAGGCCGAGGCAGCGCCGCCGAGGTCCAGAATGCGAAGCCGTCTATTTCCCACACATGTCGGATCGTCAAGTGGAAGTGTGGACTTGTTCTTCAACCGCTGACAAGCGGCAGGAGAGGCAAGGAGACGGCCGTGATACAGAGCCTTTAGAGCCTCAACCTGCCAGTTGGACTGTTCGATGGATGCGACAGCGAGTTGCTCACGTTCGACTGCTTCATACGCGACTTGTTCAGGAGTGCGCTCGAACACACCGGTCTGTCGAGGGTTCAGACCGAACGGGCCAGAGTACTTCGGACGCTTTGGGTCAACGAGAGTGTGCTGGCCGAGCAGGTTGGTGATGTGTTTCTCCTGGAGTGCAATGCGATTGTTCTGCATGGCTTCCAGGCGAGATGAGGCATGGACGAATGCATCTCTCTGCTTCCGTACATTGATTAGATGTTGGAATGCTGAGAGGAACATTGGTTCCTTAGATCCGGGTTCGGAGTCTGGGCTGTCCCTTTCCGGTCGAGTCTCGGCCAAAGCCGTGTCTACCTTTGGTGGCTCAGCGAACATGACAGTCCGACGGGCCGTTTTGATCCTTGTCTCATCCGTGGTGTCGTCATCTGATAGCTGGGTGTTGGGGTCTGAGTCCAAGATCATCGAGAGGAAATCCGTTTGTGAGGCAAGCCATGATCCTGTCCGATCCAGGTTTTGACCTGCGGATTGCTTGAGGTCCTCGTAATACTTCTCGTCATATTCGAAGCTAACGGGAGGAGATCCCGAGGACTTGGACTCATCACTGCCAGGTCCGTAGAGGTCATCGTCTTCGGACTGTTGGCTCTTGCGTCCCGTGGGCTGTCCCAAGATGAAATGGTCTTGCTTGGCGGTTGGTGGTCCTTCAGTTAGATTTGTATCATCAACTGTCAACACGGTTTCCACAACGTTATCACTTGAATCGCTCTCCCAAGGTCGGTTGTAGAAATTCTCAGCCGTGGCTGTGTTTGGCATGCTGGGCGCCTTGGACTTGTTAAGGCACCACGTATGACGGGTGGCATTCTGCAGAGACGAGAAGAATCCTCCAGGCGAAGGTATGCTAAGCTGCGAGAAGCTGTAATCGGAGATTGGAGTCTCGCCATCGGCACTGCGAGGCCGACTGGCAGGTTCGGGAGCAGCACGCTCTCTCATTTCTTCCCGTCTTCCAGACTTCCTAGATGGTCGACTCCCTCCGGAAGTAGTCGATAAATCATCCGCGCTTCTCTGTCCGGCAAGACGCTGCAGAAGCTGGAGAGCATCTGGGGGGAGCCTCACTCCGAGCTCAGAGCCATGAGCGGGTACCTCTTGGTCGAATTTCTTGAGCTCCTCGATAGTAGGCATCAATGGAGAAAGGTCTTGAGGTGTTGCGCCTGGGACGGTGGGGAAGTTGATGATCATCTCTGTGAAGGCGACTGGAGATGTGAGACTCACGACAGAGTTGTCGGAGTGGGCTTCAGCTGGAGATAGTATCACGCTATGGTCGTCATCGAGTGCTATCTCGAGGTGCTGTGATACAGCAGGTGGATTGCCCCAGGTCTCCCCTAGTTGCCTCATGTCGGGCGTGACAGGTGCACTGTTTTTCGTGGTGCAGGGAGAATCAGAGATGCTGCTATTGCTATCCCCGAGTGACGGGGGTGCATTGATTGCCGGGACATCTCTTGGGAGGGCCGACAGCGCCGTAGGCGACAGACGGATTTTCGTAGCGGGGGACATGCCGAAGGTAATCTCCTTGATTGGACTTCCATCCATGGAGCCCCATGAATCTCTGGGGATGTACAAGGCGGGATATCGATTTCGGCCGGATTTCTCGCTCGCGAAGCTGCTGCGGCTAGATTTGGACGCGAAACTGGTCGGGTCACTGGCAAGAGAGGGACAGTCGTCGCTGAAGACTGTCCCAGCATCACTGCCAACGACGGAGCTTCGTACCGAGTTTCGTTGGTAGCCCTCGCCGGCACTGCTGGCTGGAGATTGCTCACACGAGGAGACGGGAGAGGACGGATAGGTTGTCTTCATGAGCGAGGTTTTGCGCGATGAGGCGGTGAAGATTTTTGGATCCCATGCTGCCGGACGGCCGATGATGGTCGAGTCGCTTCCGTCTCCCTCGCTATCACTCTTCATGCCGTGACTGGCATCTTCCTTTTCCTCGAGAATAGTATTAAGGTGCCGACCCCGACCCAGCCGGGGTGGGGACTGATAGGTCGTAGACGGTAAAACGCTCATGCTTGCGAGGACCAGCCTGCACAAGATATTATGAGGATGGTATGTTGGGGTGTTTCGTCAGCTGCTGGGTTCTTGTGCCCGCCCAGCGGAACCGGAATGTCTGATCTCTAAACAAATCAGTATTAAAAGTTCTATGCGTTGCCGATCAACGGTCATACGCAGGCCCAGATACAAAAGAATTGGCTTAACGAAGGAAAGCTGACAGCGACCAGCAACTTCAGCGACGACAAGGTGGGAAAGGTGGACAGAAGGGCGGTACATGGGAAAGAGAAAAGCTAAAGAGCCTGAAGCAGTGAGGGATGATGGTGGTGGCCTGGATTGAAGCGCCGTGAAGGCCACATTGGCGGCTCGCTCGAGACCTGATCGATAATTGAGCGGCAATGCATCAGCACTCACTCTCTCACACATTGGGAAGAGATACTAGTACATATCGGATGTGTCTTCATTGGCTCTGGCCACTGTGGGCAGGGTCTGGAATCCACAACAAGCATAAACAGGCCGTTGAGAAGGACCGGTAGACCAATACCACGACCCATGAAGCTGCAGCCAGCGAGACGCGCAGCAAAATAGCATCAATAGTGCTGAGACGTGCTGGCAGGACGTTGGAGCAAAGCATGATTGGGAAAGTACAATTGGAAGAGAGTGTGAGAAGGACGAGGAGGGGAGACGAGGGGAATGGACATCCATTGGCCGTCCAGCTGAAAGCGGTCTAGCCCAGGCGCGTAGAGCTGCACTAAGGCCAATAATGGCTTAGCCGTTCTCGGATGTCCCGTGCGTCCTCTATTTATGGCGCAGCTTCCATCGACCTGTTCAGCGAATCATGTTTTCTTCCGTCTGCTTTCTCACCGTTTCGGCTTTTGTCCAGCGTTGTTACCTACTCTCACTCGAGATTCATTCGAGATTCGCTTGAGACGCAATCCCGCGATCCGATTGCCAAGTCAATGGTCGTCCGGAGCATCGCCCTCCCTCAGCATGGACTTGGCCTGTTCACATAACGCAATTCGCGTCTGAGGCTGAAGGACGAAGCCACTTTTACCACTTCCTTGAAGCATAATATCACCACATGACTCCCGTTATCGCTCCTCTACTCCCCTTTCATCTTCAGTAGCGCTACGCACGTGGTGATATCATGCATAGCCCAATAGTCAGCGAGCGGCGTGACGCCGTCTTGAATGAGGGACAAGGTACCGACTCCGCTGTGAACGGCTCGAGAACTCGACCTCATCGATTTCATTGTCTGTTCGGCTATCTTCTGGAACAAATTGTCGCCATCTTCCCTGTTCTCGCCACCGGCTGCCTTGACAAAACCTGGACCACAAGTCTTGGCCAGGGGCCTACTCCAGCCTTGCGGGGACGAATGGCTGTGCTTATTTCAGATGGAGAGGGTGACATGATGTCCCTCCTTGAGCCCTACTGTGATTGGTAGGTAACCTGGATAAATACCAGTCCGAGGGGATTGAAAGTGTGAATGGTCAATGTATGCAGGACTTCAGGGCAGGCTCGTCGTAGCTTTCCGCCACCGTTCCAACGACGTTGTGGATTCAACGAGCTCTGATCAACCTGGAACACACTGTTGTCATCACAACCTGACAGACATCCGCCAGTCAACCGGACGAACGCCAGCTTCGCTCTAGCGACCTTACACGACGGTGGTTTGACTTTGGGGATTCTCTGATCTTGCATGAACCTACCGCTTGGCCTGTCGGGGAGTCCAGGCAACCTGCGGTCAGGAAGGCCCTCATGTTCCAACTTTCGCCACTCCAAGTTATTCCGCCCAAGCTGCGACACGTGAATTCCATTTCTATAGCCCTCTTGAAATCTTAATCGCAGCTTCCTTAGTCATGCTGTGTCCGTGCAAATTCATTGCCACTCACGTGCGTCCAGGCAGGCATTTGATACATCCTCTTCTTGCTCGCGCCGCTCTTTTTGCGCATTTTGCTGCACCTCTGTGGGTTCTCTCTTTCTTTTCTTCTGCAGCATCTCCACGGCCCTCTCTGCAGCTATGTAACGTGCTTCGTCACTGCAACTTGCATGCTTCACACGTGCGATTGGCTTTCCATCGAGCATTATCCTGCAGCGCCAATCCGTGCCAGGTTCACCTTTCTTCTTCCGCTCTTGGGTCACGATTTTTACAGGAGGCTTAGCAGCCTCATGGAACTGGGTCTGAATAACCTCATTCAGCTTTGACTCTGGATGTTGAGTATCAATGTCTCTTTCATTGACGAGCCGACGGACGAGACACATATATCCGATTGTCTCGAGGACTGCCTCACAGGCATCCAGATTGCCTTTGGAGTCGATGAAGACAGCCGCCAGGATGGACTCAACGATATCTGAAAAAGACTTCGGTGCTCCGAGACGGGAGAGTAGAGTCCATGGGAACTGCATCCCGGAAACAAAAGATTCCTGAATTGAGGGTTGAATCTCACCGAAGGTCGACAATGTTGCTCGTCGCTCCCGCGCTTGTTGTTTGCCCACTTGACGGATGTAGTCGGTGAGATAGACCGTCTCTTGCTGCTCCTTGTCGGTGCTTTTCTTGGTGCGAGGATCTGTGTGCACCTGGAAGGAGCTGCGTGTGTAACAAGTCTTCTGTGCGAAGAATGCCAAAGTTTGATGACTGACCAGGGCATGACGGCGGACTGACATCTGGTTTGGCCCAAGTCGAAGGGAAGTGTGGAATAGTTTTGGGACAACTATGTAATCGAGCACGGAGTCACCCTGTAGCATGTAACATGTCAGAATTCGTCTTAGTACAGCGGAAATGCCACAGAAATGATTGTGACACGACTTACCAGGAACTCCAGCCGGTCGTAGGTTGACCGCACGTCGCTGGCAAGGCTTGACTGGGTCAAGGCTTCTGCCAAGAGGCTGCGACGCTGAAAGGAGTAGCCGATCATGCTCTCGACTGGCGCCAACATGTCGGCTGCGAACTCTGACACCTGCTCCGGGGGCTGTATCTGTGCCACGATCTCTGAGAGCGGCCTCCATGCAACTTCCCCAAGGAACAGCTTCAGGGTTGCCAGAACTTTCTCCTCGGAGAATGCTCCCTCGATACCACTGACACTGGCCACTCCGATCACAGCCTCAACTACATCAGCCAGAGTCTTCGATGAGATCCCCTTCAAGGGCTGCTTCACCAATGGTCTCAATTCACTGACTCCAGCGACCCATTCCTTCGCTGCGAATACCTTACGTGAAAGATATTGGCCTAGGCCTAGAACTCTTGTCGCTCGCTGTAGGCGTGCATTGTTGATGATCTTCCCACGGCTTCTGGTTAGGTGATATGCTGGGTAATTTAGATGGTCGGCAAAGACATGTAGTCCGGCATAAAACTTGAGGATTGCGTCGCCAATAAACTCGAATCTTTCGTAGTTTCTCGTGTGGCTGGCTCCAGGTAATGTCAAAGCATGTGACACCAGGTCAAGATCATCCAGCCCAATTGTCGTTAACGGGCCCTCACATGCCGCAGCCGACCGTAGAGCAATTTCCAGCACGTGCATGACAGACGGTATGAACAACATAAGGGTGCCATACTCACTTGGGAGACCTAGCACCGAGCATTCGTCCACCAGCAGCTCTTTGACGACGTCTTGAACAAAGACTGGTTTATTTCCCTGCTGCAGGTACTCTAGTGTTCTTGGAAGCGACGTTACGCTGATCGACGTTGGCTGGTTGCGTGCATGAACGTCATATGGTTGATGGCCATCACAATGAAGTGCATTCGGTTGCCAAAGGAAAGGCACCTTGCTCTTCTTGTGCTGCACAAGGTACGACCGGCGACTCGTGTCGTTCATTGGGTCGAAGTCGATCATTGGTATGCTTGTTGAGGCTGCGTCGCACCAGTCCGGGAGCGAGCTCTGCTCCATATCAGGCACGAAGAGGGATGGCAAGTGCTCCTTCCGGAGCCCTGTCAACCTTCGACCGAGCACTGATGTCAAGAGCAGGAACGTGATTTCTTTTGCGACGTTGAGTGGGAAGCCCTGCCTCTCCGACCCAACACCAATCGTAACCTGCAACGCTGCACTATTCTTGAAAAGAGAGAATGACAGCTTTGAGAGCTTGACAGGCAGAAGTAAGAGCATGCAAGGGTAGACACAGTCCGGCGCCTCTATCTTGAGGCGATGAGCGTAGACTGTAGGTGAACCAGATGCTCCCCACAGCCCTATGATGTTCGGCCAGGGATCGTACTGCTTCTCCACGTCGTAGAGACTGTCTCTCTTCTCAACTCCGTCAACCTCTTTCGAAGCCTTCTGACCTTTCGGCCAATCCGAAGGTAACAGATGATCTGTGACGAGTCCAGCATCGTGTAGCGCTCGATATGCTTGGAAGGCAGCATCTTGCTTGGCTCTTTTCTCCGTCAGCCAGCTAGATCTTGATTTTGCTGTCCGTAGACTGGGTGGCAATGAAGACGGAAGGTAGACCTTTGCATGTAGCTTCACGCCGGGCTGGCCTTCAAGTACGAAGACCGGAGCCGTATGTTCAGAAATGTCTTTGTTCGGCAGCTTTGCGCAAAACAGATCCAGGTGTTGCCGTGCTTCTGCAAACGTCAAAACAGCCCTGGACTTGTCAGTTGAAAGTTCGTAGTAAAGAAATCTCTAAGCCGACGTGACTCACCCCGTCGACGCAATTCTGAACACCTCACCATCGGCCTCGTCGACTCTCTCTATCCTCTCCCGTTGCTCGACAGACTCCAGAGACTTTCGGCAATCCTCATTCATCTCATCTTCTAATGCTTGCCATTGGCTTCTTTTCAAAGCAGCTTCGGGAAACATGACAAATCGAGATTCTCTCTGACGAGCCCTGCCTCGGCTCTGAATAAAGCTTCGAAAATTCGGCCGCTCGTCAAAACATATAACCAAGTTCATAGCTGGTACATCAACGCCTTCTTCAAGCACCGAAGTGGCAACACAGACATTGAGCTCACCGCGTCGGAAACTCTCCAAGTTGTCATGTTGGGTGTGTAGTTCTGCGAAATCACAGACCCCTCTGTGTGCTGGATTAGACACCCCGACGAAGGAGAACGCGCGGTATTGGTCTTGAGTGACTGGATGACTGTTGATGATATCAGAGAGTGACCACGCGGTTGGTCTTGTCTTGACAAAAATGAGGCATCGGAGGTCAGGTTGATAGCATTCTTGGAGAAACTCCACAAGCAATTTCACCTTCGAGGATACGCTGCCGGCTGTGTTCAGGTCCAGGTTAGCCATGCGAAGAGGTAAATGTAGAGTGTTCAGTGTGGAAGCTATGAAGACACTCTTCTCCGCGAAAGGAGATTCGGTCGCGACGGACTCAAGTTCACGAGACGATGTAAGCTCCAGATTCTCCACGCATTTCTTGATGAACATGTCACAGGCCCAAGCGCCGAGGTTATGTTGTATGTCTGTGCACGATCGCACAAGCGCTTGCATTTCTTCCATGGCCGGCGTGCGTTGCTTCTTGAAGATCTTTTCCAGTTTCTCTTGGTCATACCGATCCTTGCTTCGTCGCAGGGCTGCAACGACTGGATCTTGCTCGACATTGACGGCACAAACAGCGGCAGTCAATAGACTAAGCAGATTTGAACAGTGATGCGGAATTGGGCTGTGTGGCAGTATCACGGGCTCTGGAATGTTGACGAAAGCAGTATATTCTTCCAATTGCTGTAGGGGACTTTTGCAAGTTGCATTGAGATTATTTTCCAGCTCGGACACTTCATCCCTGTTCTTCTTGGTGATCGGACTCGCAGACAAGCCAAGGATATGCGGGAGTTCATGAAGGGTTTCCGGAACGAGTTTTGGATGGTAGTGATGTCTCATGATCGAATTCATGGGCGAGTCTTTCACGCAGTGGTGGGCTTCATCGAAGACCAGCAAGGACATACTCTTCATAGCCACGAATCCATGATTAAGAGCCTGTTGCAGGATGGCTGGAGTGCAAACGACAACATGAACATGATGTAGTACTTTTTGCCAGATATCTAGGGAAGTCCAATATTCAGCGTTGTCCATACCAGTAATGAGCCGGAACTTGTAGGCTGGGAGCTGTTGGGAAAGGAACCGATATTGCTGATACGCGAGGACGACACTAGGGGCAGTAAACCAGACGAGTTTGTTCGGCGAACGTTCCAGCTCTGCCTGGATGCGAAGTTTGGCGATTTGGGTCTTCCCACTGCCTGCGAACCTCCGTTATCATACACTATCATGAAGACGATGATTGGTAGAGGGAGAAGAAAGAACACACCGGTAGCCATCACAATGATAACATTCTCTTTCATACTATGCTCGAACATCTCTATCTGATACGCACGTGATTGAATGGGAGTGATGTCGCGGCAATCATCCTCCTCGGAGGTATCAGACCAAGTTTCATCGATCTCAGAATCCATAGCGATGGCGATATAGGCCCTGCCACTGACAAACATGAAAGATGTGAGAAAGGAATGGGTGGGAAGTTGGGCACAGAGAGGAGTTCAAAGGATGTGTAACCGAGAGCGTCGGGAGTGACAGCAGCCATTGCCGACGGGTTGAGCGCAGCCGCGGTTGCACTTCGGAACTGCCGCCAGACTGTGGCAGACTACCGGATTTACGAAGATCAGAGCCATTGGGAAAGATGCTTCCGACCCCGTTGTCACTGTCGAGAAACTTGAAGCTGCAGAAACTGCCTTGCAAGGTGTCTTATCTGTTCCGTCCGGTGAGCCTTATGTAATTAGGAAGGCTACTCGGAGCCCTCCCGTAAGCATATGGTAATTAGACCACGCCCAGATCCCTCTGATTTCGTCCTGTCTGGGCCGAGTCACGCTTGCAGTCAACCATACGAGGCTGTCCCAGCGAAAACCTAGCTGGCCGCCGGTCAAGAACAGGCCGCCAGAAACCACATCCTTGGGGCTATATTTGGCCATCTTCGAATGTCTAGAATCCCAGCTCTCCTGATCGCTTGGGAGGTGGCCGTCGTTCATGTGGCAACAGCAGACAAGCCAACGGATAGGAGTGATGAGTGACCGCTCCGAAGACGATACGAGGCCTTGCAATGGCGGGCTTCTTGATCTGTACAGTGTTCGCTGGGTTTGACCGCCCTCGATGCAGAATGGATGTGTTCTCGGCAACAATCTCATGTGACCTGGAGAGCGTCTCTGTCTCAGCAGCTCTTCTATAACACGCTATCTGGCGGTTATCACAACAGTGGCGAATGATCAGAGTTGAATTATGAGAATCAAAACACTGAGCCACTTGCAACATGGCTGCCATCCTATGTCCACTAATAGAAGTCACGACTGCAATCCCCGAGGACAGAGCTACAGCAGAAGCAAGCCGTCCAATGTTCTGGTGGAGCTGCAAACAATCTTGACGCGCCTACTATCTGCAGCACACGCGAGCAACTGGAACATCGGCGATTTGGGCTCCATAAGTGGGCGAAAGTACGATGGTTTGGATTTGAAATGGCTGGACACATGGTGTTATTCCTTCAGTCCAAGGAGAATAACATCACCGAAATGTCAGTCTATACTGACTGCACCCCGACAAAGTAAGAATACGCTACCATGCGACAAGCTTCAATCTCAATTGATCATCGAGCGCCCGCCTTGCGCGACGACGAACCCTTTCCTGTCCGTTCCGAAGGTTTGAAGCATCGAGAAGCAACAGATAGCAGGTTTAATGGGTGTTCAAAGGAGTACAGCGTCAGGAGGCCATCACGAAGGCGGTAGCGCTCAGGACGGATTTTGGTCGTCCGGAAACCTTCTCAAGAATGGTGGTCCGGTGGAGTTTGCGCGTAGACCGTAGAATGCATCAAGGACTGGAATATCAACGATTCGTCAGATGGTGATTGCACCGGTTGACAGTCATGAATAAGGATGTCGGGAAACACGAACTGCTGAAAGCTAAGTCATCCCCATCCTCTATCAATAGCAGTTTCACCCTTCGGTTGCCATTCAGTCGGGCGACTTGCGTTTCACTTGCTCGTTGCCACCTTCACTTTCACTTCACGGTTGACTGATTGGCTTCTTCTTCGAAATCTTTATTACTCGCCTTTCCTTGGGTTCCCTGCTCACCTCGTTGTTTTGATTCTTCAGCTGATATGTGCCCTTCCTCGATTCGTCGCTGAAATTGTGAAGACCTCGTCCTCGAGAGGTCTGCGATCACCGCCTGCCTTCCGCTCCGAGCACAATGCCGGCTCTAAAAGATCTCGTCTGCCATGTGCAGTGGGCAGACACAGGCTCATCCTTTCCCGAGTACGGTACAGTCTACGGCGATGGCTTGGTTGAGACCTACATTGCTGTACCTGCTCACCCTCGGGTCTTCACCATCCGTCTGACCTCTAGAAAATTCATCTACGAAGGACTATCTATGGTGGTATTCATTGACGGTCAATACCAGTGCAATCGCAACCGAGTCAACCTGCAACCGGAGACAAAGGACCTGCCCGAGAACAGATCCAAAGTTGACTTCCTGCTGAGACAGAAGGAAAAACCCTTGGGAGATGGAGCATACATGGGGCGAGAATGGCGGTTCGACGATTGTAATCTTGGTGAGTGTGTTCACAATTGCTCATGGGCCAAGGCTAATTAGCGATCATCAGTGTCACAAATGCCCGAGAAAGCTGAGAAAACCCATTTCTACTATCTTGGCACGATTGAGGTCCTGGTCATGCGCTGCCGGGGCAGACACAACCACGAAAGAGCTTTATCAGCTTCTTCATCCGGGGAACACAGCGCACTTCTGGATGAGGAAGAGGGCAGTGACAACACAGATTCAGTTGGAGAAGCAGACGGCGCCGATAAGAAATCAGGCCTTGAAAAGCAATCCACCAATGCAGCAACAGCCGTACCTGACGCCACACTCGAGGAGGCGATGCCAGACTTTTTTGGTCTCTTCGACGGACCTGCTGATGAATCACCAGCACGTCACTTCTCTGGAGATGCACCTGCCGATAGTCCTTACTATTACTGGCAACAGAGGAACAGACATTCTGCTCGTTATGGCCCGCAGGAAGGCTCGCACCGCTACCCGAGCTATCGTGCGTACCATACACCCTATGAAGAAGCCCGGCCAACCCGATATTCTTATCACGATTCTTCACCGCCGGACCTTTATGCACGTCCTGATAGTCCGGCTCCGAGGTCAGAAAGACATGTCCACTTCGACCATGGTGACGGGCGAGGTCCACGGTACGGAGAATATAGTAACAGATACGAACCTCGTCACCACCCGGTGTTCGAGCGCAACGATGGACGCAAATACACCCGAACACGCCCACGCAGCTATCATGATGCAGGCCGCATTGGAGAGCATAATCCGTACCCAGACTACTTTGCTACCCATGAGCGAGGTCCTCTCCCATACGCGTCAGCACACCACGAGCCTCAGCAAGCATACAGCAGCTATTATCATCGAGCTCCCCCACCTAGCCATCGTGAACCGCATGTATACGATCACACACCCAGTCGTCCCGCACCGCATGCATACGCTCACCCACCTTTTGCCGTCCCTCACTTGACTGTACCTCCTCACCAAACACCCCTTCATGGACAGCACATCTATGGTCCTCCTCCACTTGCGACATCTCACGGTCCAAATTCAGCAGCGGTATCTTCTTCAGACCAGCCGATACCTCTTCCCAAGATACCCATGCAGCACGCGTGTGTGCCACAAGTCCAACCTCATCCAGTTCCTTGTGTAGTACCACCTAGTCTTCCGCCCAATGCATTTGTACCGTCAGTACCCGGCTCTTTCGCCGTATACCCATCACCAGGGAACCAACCTCTTTCCCACACCCAAGGACCACATGTCAATGGTGGGCACGCCCAGACCACCGCTCCTAATGGGGTCAGAGGGCCACCGGACAATACCTGTGACCACCAGCAAGAAGGTAACCCTTCTCACAAATCAGAAAATAAAACCTCTGGCAGGGTTCGGTACGACAACATCTCGGATCAATATCCGCCGGAGAAAAATGGTCACAACGACAGCTGGGGCGATTCGGGTGATAACTTGGGCGACTGGGCCAATACTGCCGGTAACACCAACCCTAATGGTACGGACAACCCAGGTGCCTCGAACGACAATAATGACCTCCACACAGATTGGGCGAAGGACAACGACACGAGCAATAACAATACCAGCGAGGTTAACGGCGAGGGATGGAGCAACAACAATAGCGACGTCTGGGGCAACAGTGATAACAATAACGACGTTGGCGATAGCCACAACCAGGCCTGGGATAACAGAGACTCTAGTAACCAGCAAGGCAGCAATGACAACCATTGGGCAAATGATACCCGAAACAACCAGAACTCAGGTCCCGATAATGGGTGGGACAACAGCCAGAACAACAACCCTATACTGCAGAACCAGGCAAACTCTTGGGATAATGGGTGGAACAGCAATCGGACTCTAGGCGACCAGGCAAGGAATCCCAGTGAGGGCCACAACAATAGGTCAGCTTCCAACGCTCAGCCAGCACCAGGAAACTTCCAAGCAACCAACCGAGTCTTGTACGGCCCTTACGGACCATATTACGGTGCAAAAACTCTTGCCCAGCAAGGTCCTCCTCCCGACGCCGAGGAAGAGCCCCGGTATGATTTGCCCGAAACCATTGCGCAGTCCAGGGGCGTCACCAAACAAGTCCAACCAGGACCAGGCTACCTGTATGTGAAGAAGAGATGCGCGCCTCTTTACGTGGATTCCCTGGACGAACCGTATGCGAAATTCGTCTTCAAGTATCGCACCAGGGAGCAATTGAGGAACGAGATCGGAGTTGACATTGTAGGCGAACCGACAGGAGACGAAGAGGTCAATGCGCTGGAGAATCTGGACAAAACAGAACTCATCCAGCTGCTTCTGCGAGCTAAAGGCGCGCTCGGGGGAACCATCCCAGAACCACCACCCAAGCCGACCCCGTCTGCAATGAATGGCTTTGAACAAATCTCCGTTGCCGCACCAGATGTGAGCTTCCTGCATTACAGCTTGCCTCCGCTGCGGCACGTGTCCAACAGCGTCGGCCTTGGGATACGGCACCCGTCAAGCAATCGGGGCAACGGCGGCACTCCTGGTCAGAACAACAACGCAAATGGTGGGATGAGCCGCGGGCAAGAGAATCGTCAGAAGGACCGAAACGTCTGGAGTAACGATAACAATAACAACGCAGCCAACAACTCTGGCTGGGACGGCGCACAAGAACGCAAACCTTGTACCGCACCAGAACCGCCGACTACCTTCGGCGCGCAATTGCAAAATCCTGTCCAACATGGCGATAATCCCCATCCGAACGGCCCGTCACGCCACAGCTCAGGAATCAGTCCGAAGAACATGCACGGCGTGCCACCTGGTCCGACTTTGAACGACTACAACCGGTTGTTTCCTGGCGCTGGGGCAGCGCGCGGGGAACCCATCATGTCTGGGCCTCCGCCTCCGCCACCGATCATCAATTTTGCCGCCGAGGGGACAGTGGGAGGTGGGCAGACACACTTGGCCGATGCCCTCATGGGTGCGGGACCACGACCGCCGACACCGACGGTACCGCCGCGACCTCCCACTCCTATAAATGAAAATGAAGGCGCAGCTTGGGGCGAAGGAGGGGATGCGACGGCTGCGCAGCCACAGAGTGGGTGGTGAGCTGAGTTGAATGGGACGGAGTGGTAGGAATGTGAGGATGGAGTGGCAGAAAGGAATCAGAACCAGACGACGCCTCTGCTTCCAGCAGAAGCTACTTAGCTGTCACGCATGGTTCGGGCGCGCGCCATATATCCGACTAGCCGGATTGGAGCTTGGAAGCTGTGACGCTGGTTTCTCCTGTGAAATCTTGGAGGAGTTCTATGCTTGAAAATCCGTCTTGTGCACGGGAAAAAGTATTACGACTTCCTGGCATGGCCTCCCCAGTTTCCAACCTCCAATTCTTCCGGTATTTATTATTTCTCTTCGCCGACGACAAATCCGCCGCCTAGCAATATTGCTGGCTCTTGGATATTGTGATGCTCGTAACTCAGCGTGCCTACACCACCAGCCTCCATGATCATCGCCGTCTCTGATAATGGTCGTCCAATCCAGCGCATGGCGAAGGCCCGCAGAATGTGGCCGTGGGCTACGACCAGGACGTCCCCGGTCACACCGGGCTGTTTCGGCTTGCCTATGACCTTGCTATGGTGGTTTTCGCGAATCTCGGAGATGAGGCTATCCAAGCGAGCGATAATCTGCTCAGGACTCTCGCCCCCAGGACACCCGTCGCGCCAGATGTCCCAGTGTTCGTCCAATCCTTGCTCTTTACGCTGCGTCCGTATCTCTGCGCTAGTGATACCTTCGTAGTCGCCGTAGTCCCATTCCGCGATGCGAGGCTCGACGGTTACCTGCGCGGTCGTAATATGAGGTGGTTGTTCGGGTGGTGGAGGGCTTGTCGAGGTGGATTGCCAGGGGTAGGGCTCGTGGCAGCCTAGGTTGAGGAGTTCGAGGGTTCTTTGGGCGCGGTGGCGAGGGGAGACGTAGCTGGGAGGGGTATGGATATCAGCGTTGTTGTCTGAGGGAGTAGAGAGGGTCGGCATACATGTGGACTAGCTGCTTTGGGACGATCAGTCTGTCGTCGCCGACGAGTGCTCGTCCTGTTGCGCGGACTCGTTTCTCCCCATTCTTGGTCAGGGGAATGTCTGTTGTGCCTGTGTGCTTGCCTGAAAGGGACCATTCGGTCTCGCCGTGTCGGACGATGAAACAACGAGGCGTCGTCATAGTGCTAAGGGTGAGCTTCTGGACTCGAACTCGAAGCTGTGGTAGATTGTTTGAAGTCGGACAGGTGGGCGGCACAGATCTGGGGTCCGAGATTGGATCAATCTTGAAGACGGAATTCTTCACAAGAGGGAACGGGGCAGATCAACAAGGTATCGAATGCTGTAAAGTGGAGGGTGCGTTCCGGGGCGGATGAAGCGGGAAATTGACGTATGTCTGGGAACCAACAACTACAACACGCCAAGGAGGAACGAGATGCCAGTTCAGTAGAGTGTCGGTACTTAACTTGTCATAGTCATCAGTGCCATGTTTACGGGAGACAAGTCCATACATTGGCAACTGAGCGTTTTCCAGAAGAACATTATCCGAGATGCATCGAGGGGCAGGTGTAGGCGGGGCATTGGCCAGGCAGTGTGGATGAGTCAGCATGTCGACTTGCTGGTAGGCACCTATGAGGCCCCCCCGCCAGGGGAAGAGAATGTGAAGGCAATGTCACGGGTCCCCAGTGTCCGCCATGCGAAGATACCCCGGGGGACTGCCGAGTGTCAGCGAGTGTGCAGCTGTTCTTTCGAGCTGACATTCATCGCAAAGCAAGGGAAGACGGCACAGAGAGTGACCGGTGCAAAGACTTGTCCTCACTTGATCGGCAGCTGGGTTTTCGAGCTTTGAGCCAGGGGACACAAGGAAACAATCAAATTTGCTCTGAATTGATCAGAGGATCTCAAGGGTCGAACATGAAGTCTGCACCGACTGGATTATGTCGGTTACCTATGTGCAACGGGCTCCAACTCAGGCATTTCGTTGGAAAGGAAGTTGTGAGGTAAACTCTCTTGATGCATGAACAATCTGACTTCAAACTGTCGTATTGTTAGGAAACACCGTGGCTTCCTTCCCGCGTGCTCCACACGGTTAGCATCACAGATGTGGTTACTGTACTCTGTGCTATGATTGTGCGATCTTTGAAACTATCGTGAAGTGTTGGGCCTGTCGATCGGTGGGCCCCTGTCCTCGCCCCCATTTCCGTTCCTGTCGCCCAGCACGCTCAACGATGACACCTCCATGCTCCCCCGGGTGTGGAGAAGGCAGGACCATGTGATTATCACATTCGGGGAGATTACTCGTGGTGACAAATCCGGGGAGGCGAGAGAATCAGCTTCTGCGGCACGGAGCAGGGAGATCTGGTTCGCGATTTCGAATGTATCTTTTGATTAGAGTACGTAGAAGCACGATCGACGAGTCGGCAACCTGCAATATCGCCAAGCGATGCAAGGCTACACAAAGCAGATAAGGCTACATCTGTCCTGGCGTCATCCATATTCCCAAATTTTCGGGAAGACACGGACAGCTCATAGTGATCGTGTACCAGCTAGTCCCGTCTAGATTTCGGATAGAAAGGCGAGACCCCCGGGCTGCTATTTTGCTCCATCTCTCATTCATGACAATATAACGCTCATCATGCCTCTGAATTGGCATCCTTGCGGACTATTCAACGGCAAACCCATACACCCCTACGCCATTATCGTGCTGAACCAGCCTGTGAACGGACCGGCGCTGAACGCAGTTATTGGATCGGCCTCTCTCCTCGTGTGTGCCGATGGCGGAGCAAATAGACTGTACAAGTACGAGCGCGACGGTGGTCAGGGCCAGGTCGCCAAGCTTGTCAATGGATCTCAAAAGCTGTCGCAAGTCTCTAGCCGCTTACCGGATGCTATTGTGGGTGATCTGGACTCACTGGAGAAGGAAGTGGAGGAGCATTATCGCTCATGCGGCGTTCAAGTGGTCAGAGATCCGGACCAGTATTCCACCGATTTCACGAAGTGCTTGAAGTATACCCGCAAGTGGGCAACAACCCGTCCACAACACGACAATGGGGAGGACGACACATTGGACGTAGTCGTCCTAGGCGGGCTCGGCGGCCGCGTCGACCAAGGTTTCTCGCAGATCCATCACCTCTTCATGGCTGAGGACGATCCCTCGTTATTGAAAGGGCGAATTTACTTATTGTCAGAACAGAGTTTGTCATTTGTTCTATCTTCGTTGCCAGTAGCAAGCCCTAGCAGCACAACGTCCGAGGCCCCTATCGAGACGAACACAAACATCGTCCACCTCGCACCCGGCTATTTTGCCGAAAATGTGGGCATTCTCCCTGTTCTCGGCCGGACGTTATTGACGACTAGAGGTCTCGAATGGGATGTAGAGGATTGGCCATCCGAGTTTGGCGGTCAACTGAGTACCAGTAACCATATTCGAGCCGATAAAATCGAGATTGCTTTCGAAGGGCCAAGACCTCTGTTCACTCTGGAGCTGGACAAACGTCTTACGGCTGCTGGAGATCTAGGCTGACCCTTGAGAGGTGTCGGCGTGACCTGCGGCATGCCGATCATCAGTGCCACGAGTAAGGACTTTCGTCGTCCTATTTCAGGGGCGGCCGCCTTCGGATTATCTCGCTACTAACCAATATTGGTTGTCGCCATGGCAGTGCACCCGTCACGCGGTGTTGGTGGCGAACGGACTTGACGATCGGATGGCAGGAGACGCCGGGGAGAGCTGTCGGTCGAAGAATCAGTCATCGTGACAGCGGTGCCACTTCGTGGCGGGTACGCTTAGCCTGGCGAACTGCTGATGCATACTGCTGCAACTGCATGAACAAGCATGAGGTCGATTATCCGAGAGGCTCCTTCGAGAGCCAAGTCGCAGTGCTTCATGTCCTATCACGGCCAAGGACGGCCAATCAGCCTGGCTTCTTAAACATTCTGGAAGTTCTGATAGCCGGCGAACGAGCGTTCATGGGTGCCTCGTTCTCCGCTTTCTCAGCGGAAGTTTTCTTGCCATACCAGTCGACGTCGCTCAAGTTAAGCCTTCTTGCTCGGGGCGCATGGCGCCCTGATCTCTCAGAGCGGCTGAGGGGAGGATTGTAATGGTTCGGGCCTAATTTGAGACCTTTAGTATTGGGGTTCCTCTCTAACGGGGGTTGCTCAATAGGGCCACAAGGAAATCCATTGGGAATACCATCATGGGAATCATCTTCGCGCAGATCATAGTTCAAGACAAGGTTCTTGATCCGCTGCTGTTCTTCTCGTTCGGCCGCTTGCTGGGATTTCATCGAAACTGCGAAGCTCGAATCAGAGGGCAGCTCGATCGTCCTAGTCTAAAAAGATGGTCAGCACACTGTAATCGGACGCTACTCACCATGCTCCGCGATTCAGGGCTACTTGCTTGTTGTCGGTTGCCCTTCTTTGTCATCAACGAGAACGCCATCGTGTTGGGCTCAGGCCTAGGTGCGGGGGTAGACTCGTCGTCGATTGGCTCGATCGGTCCTCGTTGAATCTTGCGAATAGGTATTGGTACGTCGAAGTGCGTCTTACGTTCGAACTTGCGCGAATCCAAGCTCTCGGCCATCATTTTCTCGAATGCACGGTCAAACTCAGCTTCAGCCTCGGGATCGAGCTGTTCTTCTTGGCGCATGACCACGATCTGCTCTTCTTCGTCCGAGTCGGCCTCCTCTCTCTCCTCACCAGTATCCTCGTCTACACCCGCCTGGTACCAGTCAGTGGAGCGTGTGAAGTCGGAGCTGTGGGCGCCTACATCACCATCGTCTTCTGAAGATTGAGCAACCTCACCCTCGACTTCACCGTCGCCATCGCCGAGTGCATCGTCCGAGGCCGAGTCCTCCATATCCTCCACCTGTTCGGCAGACTTCTCTGCTGCTTGTTGCTTGTAATTTGCGCTCACCGCTTCAGCAAAGACCTGCGCAGCCTCTCCAGGGTCCGTGACCAGTTTCCAGTTGGGTCGCACAAGGGAGTATGTGTCTTGCACAAGGAAGTCAATCTCCATAGGTAGAGGCTCCTTAGTAGCCATGTAGTACTGGAAGAAGGTCAGGAAAAAGTCAAGCTTTTTCTTAGAACTACCTCTGTCAAAACAGATGCCACAAGTATCAAGAATAGTGCACACCAGTCGAATCCGGAAATAATCGTCCGGAGGGTCAAAAGGTGTAAAGTTGCCAGGCTGTGGGGTCCCACCCTCGTGGCCGAATGTGACGAGTCGGTATAAGGTGTCGAAGACGACCGTTGAGTCAATCATCTTGTAATTGTAGAGTTCCCCCAGGTACTTGACTTCGGCTATTCTCCGCTGATTGAACTTGAAGTCGTTTTGCTCCAGGCCAATTGTGACGTACTCGAGAACGTTGTCGATCACTCCAATCGCAAAATCTTGATGATACCGAAACAGTGCTTGAAGCAGCACAGCCAAGAGATGAATGTTACTGAACTTGACCTTCCCTGGCTTGCTGAAAATCTTTTCGAGCATCTGCACGACCTCTTTCTCCTCCCAGTGCAGTTTGCGAATGGTCTTGAGGACTTTCATATAGTTTCTTTTCGTCATATCCATGTAGACTAGCTGTCGTACGAAGAGCTCAGTAGGTGTCCGATCCTTTTGCTGGATGGCCGCTCGTTGGGGAGGGTCGACGTAGTACAAGGCGTTCTCGATCAACATTCGCTCCTGAGCTCCCATATGCTGTGCAGATTTCTTGCGGTTCAGTGTCTCCAGGAAGGATGTCATACGTGGGGTGGTCTCGGGATTGCGCAGAAGATAGCGACCACAATTCTCCAATAGATGTGCGATGATCTCAATGTTCATTCTGGAGAAGTCGTCGAGACTGACCTTGAAGCAGTGAAAGATCACATGTTCTGGCACGATACCGAATTTGGTGAGTTCCGCAAGGTAACGAATATTCGCCATACGGATCTGTCCCAGAAAGTCTTTGGATTTCCGTCTTTGAAGGCTGCGGAATTCATCATCTAGATGTGAGATTAGTCCCTGAATAACATCTGGCATGTATTGTCCAAGGGTGGCTGCAAGGCGCGCATAAAGCGGAAGTAGATCGATGCGACCCTTTGGAACTTCTTGGATCGCCTTGATCAGACGATTTCGGGAGGCCTTCGAGTTGACAAAACAGAAGTCCAGCGCAACTTGATCGACCATCTCCTTGGTCTGCAGTTCGGGCAGGCGGATGAGGATTGCGTCGACTTGGGCGCCCACTGTCTTGTTTGCGATTGCGGTCGATTGGTCTTCGGTTTCAGAGGGCTTCCCAGTCTTACTGTCAGTGGTCACAGTAGGGGCTTCTTCCGTCTCCGCCTTCTTCTTTGAGTCGTCAAGGAGGATGCTTGGGACACGACCTTTGAGATCGACAAGATTCTCGTAGAAGCGACGCTCGTCCTCATCTTCCCAGATGCCTGCGCCTTCACCCGAACCCTTAAGATAGTCGCCTGTCTTGATCATGCCGACAGTTCCTGAAGCGGCGTTGTCTGTACTGTCCTTCTCCTCGAGATAGGGCATCTCCTGGCCAAGAACATCGCAGAGAACCTGTGCATTTGCGACCAGCTTCTCTTGTGTCTTTGATTGTTTCTCAAAATTGGCTTGCCTATCCTCGAAGATCTCACCACTTTTGACATAAGCTTCAGCATTCCGACGGCTCTGGTTGTTGAGAGATCGTTGATCCCGGATGACGTGATTTTTGACGGAGGACAAGTAGTGTTCGAGGACGTTGACGAAGCGTTGTCGTATGGGTGGAGGAATAATTGGCTCATCTCCCTCAGCCGTGTCGGCAGAGTCCTCACCATCTTTACCGTTCTCAAGTATATGGCCCTCAGCATCGACCGTCTTCCGGCTGCCGTCGGAGGGTGGTTTGAGGCCTAGAACGTCCCAAGCGAAGTTCTTAACGAAAAGAACAGCCAAACTCAAATTAGCATGCTCCGGGTCATGGCCAAGCAACTCTTTCAAGACCTCCAAGGGGAACGGCTCCTGGTCCAGATGGGTATCCGGTCGAAGGCCGTTCGCGATCTGTTTTGGCTTGACTTCCGGCTGCGAGGTGCCATCTTTGGTCCGTGCCGCAGCTTCGTCTGGTCGGTCCACGTCATCCAGACTTCTAAGAATACCACACAGCCAAAACTCGGTGACAACTCGAAGAAGGACCCGGTGACGAACCAGACGTTCCTTCTCTTCGCGTTCACGGACTTCAGGGCTCCACTGCTTGAGTTGAGCCTTGTCTGGCGGGGTCAGCCCTTTGCCCAGAAGCCATGCCAACTGCTTGGTAAAATCCTGTGGTCCGAATCGCTGGTGCAGGGCACTGACGACCTCGACTCCGGCGGCAATGTCTCCAGCTGTCTTCAATTTGCCCAAGCCCTCAGCCGTGGCCGAGATGATCTCGGAGAGGTATTTTTGAAGGGACAACGCGCGGATCTCGGAAAGGAAGATATCTTGTGCAGCAGATGATAACCCGGTTCTCAAACGTTTAATAAACGCAGTGTTCTTCTTGAGCGACGAATCGAGGGAGTTTGCTACTTCGTAGACGTCTGTAGCCCTGTCAATGATTTGGAGTTGAATTCGATCTCAGTGTGACGCGGCGTACCCTTTGCGCCTGACCAGACGCGCAGGTTCAGGTCACGTAGCGTTCCTGTGTCAAGATGTCAGCGAGGACACATATCGAGCGCGATATCACACGCACTCTTGCGCTGGCGGTCCATGACGGTCCGCGATGTTGCAAAGACGTTCCCCACGCTCGCATGACGACAGGGTAGAAGGCACAGAGGCTGCAGGAATCCTGCCTTACAGGCTAAACGCCGAATTCACTTCGCGTTGGTTGTGGTGAAGACGGGCTAGGTGGTTGTCAAGGGGGAGTGAAATGGGAGGGGCATATTATGTTTTTCCCAAACCAACCCAACCGGATCAACCTGAAATCGGGCAATCACGCCTGCAGGATGCGGCACACAGGCTTGACTGGCAGGGTGTCCGTAGTGCGTAGTGTAGTGCCGTGGGCCGAGCATGATGACGATGCTTGCCAAGCCTTTGGCGAGATCCAAATCGGCCAACCACTACTCCGTACGAGATACGAATTCATTCACGCACAGCCTTGCATCACGCAATCTGGGAACATTTCTCATTGTAGGAGCCATGCACAGGACAGGGTCCCTCCGTCTATCCAGACCATGCTGTGCTAACATATTAACAAACGACCATTCTCACCTACAGTTCCCCGCCAAATATCTTTGCTTTCTGAGCGGCCAGTTTGCTCTTTCTTGCCTGAGCTCCTTCCTGGTCAGACCCTCTCTTCCCATTCTTTGCCTCGATCACTTTTGCCCGTTTCCGAGAGCCGGCCTGTGGCCCTTTTGTGCTCGCTGGGTTTCGCTTGCGCTTCTGCCCACTGTCATCTTGCTCGGCCCCATTTTCCAGCTGCTCCCGTCCCTCTAGTGCCTCAACAATATCCTCGGTCTCCGTCCACAAATCTTCCGCAAGCCACAGGGGCACCGCAGTCGAAGATTGTCCTTTGATATGAATGCCCCGAACATTTCTCCATCCTTTCACAACGTGTCTTTCGACCAATTTACTCACAACAGCAGTGATATTTTCCGCCAATTGCTCTGGCTTGAAGGCAGCCAGTCCAACGCGTACAGCGACAAGAGTGCCGGGTCGGACACTGACGGGCACAGAATTCAGGGCTTTCTCGATTTCTTTCGCCAGTGCCTGTGTTGAGTTTTTGCCAGCCGCGCCGTCGTCCTTCGGCATTTTGGACTCTTTCTTGTCTTTCCTCGAATCTGCGATAATGATTGGAATCGGCCTCTTCGATGGCCCCTTGTAGAAGACTTTGCCGAGCGTCTGGGGTAGACGGGTGATTATTCGGTCATCGGCCAGGAAGATGTCATGCTCAGATAGCAGCTGCCGCAATTGTTCAAATGTCTTGTATCTTGCCTTTAATTTCGTGAAGCCAATTATTCGAGTGATGCGCGTTTTGAGCTGCTCCGGAAATGCAGGGTCGGCCACCAGGTTCTTCACTGCTCTCTGAGGATCTGCGGTAATAAGGCATATTCGAAGGTCGGGAGATGTGTTTAGAGAATGTGGGACTGGGATTTTGCTGGGTTTGAGACGGTTCTTGTCAACGATATGTTGTTTGGTGGTGAGGGTCATCCATATCGGCGCTTCTGCATCTCCAGCAACATCGTCGTCAGAGCCAGAGGCACTGGTTGACAGGAGGCTCTTCTTCGAGGAAGCCTGCTGCAAACGCTTGGTCTCGGTTTGGATGTGCTGTAGCAAGGCTCGAGAAGCTTTGAGTGTCTGCATCCGTTAGAAACATCGGACCATCGGGCGCGAGTGTGTACCTGTTCAGGATCGAGCTGATAAGGAGTCTCTTTGGGAAGTCGGGACCCTATCGTCGTCATCATTTTTGTTGCGACAGCCATTATAAGCCCCTGCGCGGTAGAACTCGAAATTGTTGCGTGTCGCAAAAAGTCCCCAAAGTCAAGAGGGTCGGTCAAAAACTTTCAGTGACCGATCATTAGGCCGGTGATAAGATAAGATCTTATCGCTTAGATTTCCCTTTTCTGGACCTATCTCCAAACCTCGCGTGACTCGATTACTTCTCAAGACGTCAGTCGCTTTCATAATCGTCTGTCAAGCTTCATTCAGGTCTTCCCGTATCAAGCCATTTGGCAGCTAATTTAACTAAATAATACTGGTGTCAATCGACCCAGTCCAGCGCTGTATTTCGAAATGCTTCAAATATACGAGTGCCTGCATGGGACGGCTATCCGGCAGACACGAGAAACAAGCTGTATTACATACTAGTTAATGCATGAATAAGGTATCGGCATGTGCTGGCAGTGGGAAGATGACCGCAATGTAACCCTCTGGTGGTGGGAGCGGCCTGCAAATGACAGTCAACTCAAGATCTTTTTCTTTCCACGTCCTGCATTTTGTCCCCATGACACGTAACTGAGGCCGATAATCTCCATCGCGCGGAATTTGACGTAGTGAGAGCGAATCTCTTGAGGCCGGAGCGAAACGCGCTTTAGGTGCGGCGTCACCAGTCTCGAAAAATGTAGCGCGACCGCGCAGAGGAAGCGACTCCATCCAAACTCCACATCCGCTCGTTCTCCAACCACACCGCGTGAGTTGACCATTCCATCAACCTTTCAGCCCTCCCGCTACTCGACCTTTCTTGACCTCTCTCGTGGCCAGCGTCGACCTCACCTGCTGGCTGCGTCTGCTTTCGCTTTTCGTACTTCTGCTGAACATCGCATGAACAGAGTCGGTCCATTGACCTCGCATTCCCTCTGCCGAGGACGCGCTTTAAGCTGGTTAATTGACCCCGGCTATCGCGCTCCAGGTAGCTGAGACCAACGCAGACACAAGATGTCTCCTTCTACTACAGTGTCGAAGACACTTGCCTCTCCTCCTTCGGTCTCGAAACGGCCAACAACCTCGTTGCTTCCAGCGTTCGAGCCACTATCCTCTTCGCCCGCTCTACCACGACCGCTCAAGCGAACTCGAGATGCATTTGATGACCACGCGACCTATCCTACACCAGCCCCCACTTCCTCTACAGCAATATTGTCTTCTTCACCAGCACGCGTAGTCAAGTCTAGACCGAGTCTTCCAAGAACTTCGTCCACCCTTGCCGAACGCACACCTTTGGGTGCCGTCCCCTCCATCCAATTAACAGCCGATGGGAAAGTTACGCGTATGGGCAGATCGAGCGCCTCCTGCGACTACCAGTTCTCCTCGAACCGGCTGATATCCAGAGTGCATGTCGAAGCCTGCTACAAGCCCGCGGGGTCGCGTCTGGAGCGGGACCGCGTCGAGATTACGTGTTCCGGCTGGAATGGTATCAAGATACATTGCAAGGGTCAGGTCTACGATGTCAAGAAAGGAGAGACGTTCTCCACGGATGTTAGAAACTCAGAGATTATGATTGACGTTCATGACAGTCGTGTCGTGGTCGAGTGGCCTCCCAAGCCCCAGCTTGGTGCTTTCTCCTCAGAAGACGAGGAGGAGGATTCCCCCAGCAAGCGGCAACGTGTCATGTTACGCCATTCAACACCACCGAGCCCAAGCCCATTGCAAGCACGCAAAAGATTATCTTCTCCAATCTCGCCATCACCTGCCGTCCAGGCCGTAATGCCGTCGTCACCGCCGCTTCCGCCAGCTGCTGTCGAAATTTACGAGGATCCTGAGCCAGCAGAGCAGCGCAGTGAAACAATCAGTGCCGCCGAGGTATCTCAGTCCACACAAGCGCTATCTCAGAATGCTGAACATTCTGACGTCCCACAGAACAGTGCTTCGTTGTCTACTGACGACTTCTCTGATAACGACGAGGAGAATGACCCCATCATCCACTCTTTTGGACTCTTTGGTGCTAATCTCCTGCCACGCATGGCATCGATTTCTGCTGGCGATTCGCCCGACCCTAGTTTGTCTATCAACAGTGCTCGCTCTTCACATACCGAGCCCTCTCCCACCAACGATTTCTCTGCATCAGCCAAAAAGGCGGGGTCAGAAATTGATGTCCAAAGTCACATCATCAACCAACTTGCATTTTCACGACTATCGTCCACTCCACTATCGACTATTCTGAGTCATCTCCCACATGAAGCCGGAGTACTGTCGATCAATCAGATTAGGCAGCTGGTTAAAGACACAGCGTGCATAGGTGAAGTCCGTAGAGAAGGGAAAGATGCCGCAGGCAAACCACTAGAGAGCGAATTCTACTACATTCCCGATGAAGACGAAGATATGCAAAGAAAAGCAGCTGTGGTCAACGAGCTGCGAAAGCCGGGGTTGAGAGCATGCCGTAAGCAGCACAAGGTACTTCATCACCGTTGAATACGCTTTGAGGCATCGGCACTGACCATTTTCTAGCAATACTACTGGCGCAAACCGAAATGAGGCGTGTCCAGTCATGCCTTTGAGTAGGTACCGTTACCCGGGTAATGTCGACATGGCATGGTGAAGGAAAATCGACCGAAGTGTTGTCGGGTGCTATTTCCTAGTGTTTGTATTCAAAGCTCTCTGCGAGTCGGTCCACGAATCTGTGAGCAGCAGAAGCCTGTTCACCTTGTCTAGCGTTCAGCGTCAGTGCATAGCGAAGGAAGCAGATGAAAGTGTCTTGCACCAATGGTGGAAAAATGATGTTTTTCTTTGTTCCTCGTCACTGTTCCATGGGAAGATGTACCCCAGCCAACAGAGCAAGACTGAAGTCAATTAGCAATTCAGGTACGAGGTTACTCGGCCTTGTCGGAATCATAGAGATGTCCGTACGGGTTAGTGGGGTTATCAGGGTCGCTTTTCGCCTATTCCTCCGTGGTTCATCCGGTGCCGCGGGCTTGCCACGGATCCCTGCGGGGTGACTTCATACATAGCCAGATTTTATGCAGGAAATCCGTCGGGAGGGGCTCTGCAAAACCGAGCCTCGTCTGTCAGGAGCTGATGATTCAATATTTGCCTCCTGGTGCTCCCATGCGGTCAGAGGCATCATCATCGTATCAGCAGAATATCCATGATGAAGATAGCCGTGTGTTAAGCACATCGGTCGTGTAGAAGATAAGTCCTCCCCTCCGAATCTCCCCTCGCAGACTCGATCTAGCCCGGCGTCACCCGCTATCGGGCGCATGGTTCGCCGACACATCCATTAACCCAAGGCGTGAAGTCTAGATTAGTATTTTCTTTTACTCACCTCGCTGCTTGCTTGTATTTGTTTCTTTTCTCTATCCTCGTGACCACTTCCGTTTTGCTGACCAATGCTTCGCTTATCTCTTATGGTATTCAATAAGTGACGAGCCTCTGCTTCTCGTGGCGATCGACCTTTACAAACAGCACACCATGCTTCCTCCAGTTCCATCACCCGAAGACTACGGCATCTCGCCCGAAAGAGGATTCCTCCCCTCGGATCTGCCCCTTCAATGTCTTTCGCACCCAGTCTACGACCGCTGGGAGCGGATTATGAACAACTTCCAGTCCCTTTTACTCTCCAAGAGACTCCGAGCAGTAATCGACAAACTCCCTGTTATCCCTGCCGTCCACTTGGAAACCAAGGCTGAGTGGCGGAGAGCATATACTGTTCTGACGTTTCTGGCGCACGGCTACATCTGGGGCGGGGACAAGCCCTCCGAGGTATGTTCTCTTGCGTGGCGGCGTCGCAAGCAGTTTTGCTAACAGGGACTGCAGAGACTGCCACCAGCGATCACTTACCCTCTTCTTCAAGTGTGCGAATACCTCGAACTACCCCCTGTGGCCACTTACGCCGGCCTGGTATTATGGAACTGGAAACCGCTGTTCATGTCGGATTCTCTTGCTCTCGAGAACCTGTCGGTATTGACCACCTTCACCGGCTCCCTGGACGAACAATGGTTCTACCTAATCAGTGTGGCCATGGAAGCGAAAGGAGGACCCACAATACCCCTCATGCTAGACGCGATACAAGCTGCGCGCGACGACGACGTTGAAATGGTCACGAAGTGCCTCCAATCGTTTGCGCAGTCGCTGGACGAATTAGGCACCCTGCTGGTCAGAATGTACGAAAGTTGCGACCCTCACGTCTTTTATCACCGGATACGGCCTTTCCTGGCAGGCAGTAAAAATATGAAAGACGCCGGTTTGCCGCACGGAGTGTTCTATGACGACGGAAATCGCCTGACATCCCGGTGGCGGCAGTATGGCGGAGGATCGAATGCGCAGAGCAGCATGATTCAGTTCTTTGACGTTGTTCTTGGGGTCGAGCACAGGCCCACCGGATCCAAGAAGGATGAGACGTCCGAATCCGAAGCCGAACCTGGAGCAGCACCGAAACCCAGACACAATTTCATACACGAAATGAGACAATACATGCCTGGTCCTCATCGAAGATTTTTGCAGTCCGTCGAGGCGGCGGCCAACATCCGAGATTTCGTCGACTACAATCGATCCAATCGCCAGTTGACTGTCGCATATGATGCGTGCTTGGCGATGCTTCGAGCCCTCCGAGACAAGCACATTCAAATGGTATCAAGATATATAATCGTTAAAAGCAGAGAGTCGAGAAGCATTTCGAGAACTCGCCGGGAGAGCAGTCCAGAGCCGATCCCTAGAGGCGGCACAGGAATAGCGGGGATCCGCTATGGCAGACCTGACGAGACGAGCGCTGCGCAGAAGAAGAAGAAAATGCGTGGAACTGGTGGCACGGCTTTGATCCCCTTCTTGAAGCAAGCAAGAGATGAGACGGGCGAGCCGGCCATTGACGCATGGGCTCGCAAACTGCTTATGGGCGGGCGACGTACGGAGGCCGATGCAGAGATCGCCTTTGAAGACAGAGTTACTCGAGCTGAGAACCTGGATGCAGACGAACACCAGACTGTGGGCATGGCTGGTGCTTGGGATCTCGAAGATGCTGGTGGTGGTCTTTGCGCTTACTGAGACCTGTATTTTCAAGTCGGTCTTGCATCGCCTGCTGGGTTGTGGTAATTTTACATGCACATAGACGTGGAGGTGAGGACACCAAGCATGCGTTCTGCTGGTTTGCCCAGGGTGATACGGAGTACATCCAATATCTCTCGAACAGTGAGAAAAGAGCAAAGGATCACCCCAGCCCCACAGCCGAAAGCCGAAGCGTTCCGGCACAAAGCTGTGCCGGAAACCGAGTGAAGACTTTGATTTCACTACATCTTGATCCTTCCTTCCACCATGTCTCGTATCACTTGCAGCCCTTACCATCGTCACACTGTCGCAACAGTATCACCATGCGGTTTTGGTATGTTTCTCCCGTTGTAATATACCTGAGGGCTAAAGAGCCGTCATCGAGATCGTGCTTCAGCATGTTGCCCTCCTCTCCACTCTTCCATCTCGTTCCTTATGCCATCAGTTCTGAAAGTACCGCAAAACAGTCATGCCGCGCACTTTGCTATTCAATCGTTACGCTCCTGTATTGTCTACGCCAGTCGAGTGTATGCAGAGATGTTGAAATACCCGGGTAAGGTGCGATGATTCAATACACCCACCAATGACCACTTCCTGGCTAGCTGGTGAGAAGATTTGCGGTGCTCCTCGCCAATGTCAGCGCCCTCAGTTTTTTAGACTCAAATACCAATCATGACTGTCCAGCGGAGGAACGCCGTTCAGGCTGAAGATGTCTGCGACACTCTAGCCGGAGACAAGCTTCATAGGACGTGGCAACCAGCTTGGCCAGGACCACCGACGAAGGTGTAGGAATGGAGGATTCTACGGCCACTTGTTTGGCGCAGAGGTGATGTGCAACAGCCTTCGGATGCTATGTTTGGCGCAAAAATGCGGCAGTACTGGATTCACCGCAGTAACACTCCACCAATATTCCTGCGCCGCCTTATAGAAAAGGTCTAGCAGTTTTGCCCACTTGCTATCATCACCGCCAAGAAGATTCTCAGTCCTGCCGCACCCGTGCTAACACCACGGCTGCGACAATGTGAGCGAACTTTTCCATTCTTCTTCTCCGGCTTACCGCACCTGTCACCATCTCCTGCCATCATCTCCTGCCATTCCATTCTCAGCTTGCCGGTTTCTCTGCCGTGTTCCTTTCCCCTGTGACCTGCATCGGCGAGTTCAACCTCCAGCGGTAAGCGCACCTGAAAACGACTGCTGTCGGCATGGAGGCTCCCGCGAAGAAGAAGAAGAAGCGAGGCCGCCCTGGCAAGGTCGACCAACCTAATCCGAACGTTTCGGCAGCCAGTACCTTGAGCAGCAGCCCAGTCTCAAACTCCAGCGCTGCTCCCTCCCACTGGAACGGTGCCACAAGATCTACTGGTGACGATCAAACCTTTTCGAACGCACAGCCTTGTCATCTGACTGCTCCGTCTGTCGCCAACATCCCTTCACATCCATATCAGTACGCAACCGAAATTGACACCGACAACGACAACCTCACTGCAAACGACTGGCTTGACAATGTGTTCGGCCCTATACAAGAAAGCCCAAATCCTGACACTATCTTCCAAGACTCTCACCACGAACAATTGATGAAAGCGCTGCTCAATTACACCGTACAAGACCCAAGCCCCTCTCAAGGTACCAACGAAGAATGGAACAAGATGATGGGCATCTCTCCAACCTCCGCAAATCTGGGAACTCCCGACACGCAAATCTCAATCGGAGATCCCTTTCCGACGCTCGAGTCCTCGCCTTCAAGCCTCATCCCTCGGACTATCAATCCCGCCAATAACCGGACCACAAACTCCGTTACCGCATCCCATACATCACCTGCGACACCATACTCTGATTCACCTTCCGTTAATGCTCTGGAGCAATCCTGCACTCCGCCCCTATTCAGGGTACCGAAAGCTTCACTTGCTTGCAAGACTCATACGCCCGATTCGGCAAATAGCGAAGACATAGCGGACTCGATGTCTGCTGACGGTGAATTCAATGATTCTGCCCCGGGTTGCGCCGAGCCTCAATATGTCAACCAGAAGACCCCGCGACAACGAACCCCGGTTAAACAGCCTCTTGGTAGTCCTTTCACACCTACAACTGCACCAGCAAGACAAGCTACAGCCGCCCTGATGGACATTTTTGGCTCTCCCCTTGCGGCTGGCAATAAACAACTGCCAACACAAAATATGTCTCTGTCGTCGCCGGCGACCCGGAAACAGAATTCGAAGTTCTCTGGATTGTCCCCAACGTTGATTCACCCGAGTTATCAAGCTACCCCTGTCGAGTTCAAATCACCGCCCAATCCAGCCACACTGATGCAGAAAATGCGTAACAATACTCTCCTTCAGAACGAAGTGGCACATCCTCCAGCGAAGCGCGCACGCATGAGTTCAGTGGGTGCTCAACAGGTCGTCGCAAACATAGAGCGTGACTGGCAAGTCCAGCAGCATTTCTACACGCAAAGCCAACAAGGGTCTGGAACAGGCGATCCTGCGCTGCGTGCGGATCTGGGGATCGACGACATGAAGAACTGGCTCGACAATTCGCTACCCGACATTTCGCCTACTCAATCATTGACACCCTACAACAATGAGTACGACTATCCTATACCTATGCCTACTGGATCGTTCGATGCGCTCAACCAGGAGCATGAAGACTACGTCAGTATTGGGCAAAAGCGCACCGCCTCGCAGATGATACGAGGTGGCATGGACGCGAACCTACAGAGCTTGCCTGGAAGCATGGGTCAAGATTACGCAGGAATTGAGGATAATCTTTCAGGACTCTTCGTTCCCCTGAGTCAGCTCCAGACTCCGATGCTTATGGAGCACAGAACTCAAAACCAAATGAATCGCCAGACGCAGAAGCAAACTGCTTTATGCATGCAGGGCCGTCCTCAGAGATCTGCAGGAAGTCAGTTGAGTGCCTCTCCGCAAGCTCAATTTCCAACCCAAGGACAACGTGGAGGGCAACAAGAACTTCAAATCTCATTGCAGACCCAGAATCGAGGCCAAATCTTCCAATCTTCTCCAAGCCAGCAGATGGGTATTTTGCAGCAGCGACGAAGTCAACAAGGCACGCCTCAGAATCCCATTGACACCCCACTGCGGATGCTGAGGTCCACCCCATCCGTTGCCAGTACAGGCCGGCAGGAAACTCCCACACCTGCACCACGACGCCGCCGCCGCTCAAATCTTCCCAAGCCAGCTCAAAACATGGTCAGCAGTTCTCCTCAGACTGCTCACCCTTCTTTGAGAAAGGTCCAGAACACCCTGGGCAAGACACGAGCTCCAGGCCACAACACCCCTGTCGCTACTGCTCAGAAGGGGACAGCTGTGGGCCATGTCCAGATGTCAGATGCGCAGCCTATGCAGACACCTGGATATACTCGCCAGCAGGATGATGCTTGGAATCACGCTTTGATCGAAAGCAACGCAATTCAGACACCCACTCCCCTGCATGCTCATCTTCCGACGCCTCAGCAGCTTACCTCGACCGGCTCCTGTCCAAATACTATCAACGAGACACTTGAAGAGACCAATCGCCGCACTGGAACTCAGCTTTGCGGTGGAGTTGCTGGCGGCGTAGATCTCATCCCCACCTTCAACGCGACTACCGCGGTTGACGATTTCTTATCCAGCCACATGTTCCAGTTGCCTGACAACGTGAAGTTTGGAGAACTTGGCCTCGCTCTGCCAGACATGGACTTTGGCGATATGATGGGCATGGACATGAGTCTGGACTTCAACATGAACGAAGGTCTAAATATGAATGGGTTCACGGCCACAGCACCACCACCCTTGCCCGCGACGGTGGATATGCGGCCGCTACAACCACCCATGATCGCCAGCCCGGGCGGTATTGCAGCTGAGACTTCTCTCGGCCACCTCCTGTTCAACAATGATGTTCGCGCTCCCTCGATCGGTTACGCCGAGACCCTCATATCCGACACTGTCACGCCTAGCCCTGCTGCTGTCCCTGTCAACAACACCAATACCGATACCAATATCATTGCCCGTACGGATACCGCTGTGAATTTCGAAGCAAATGGCCACTTGTGTATGCCTGAGAACAGCGTGACCAACGACTCCAAAGCGACGACCGCGCCAAAGAACGAAGCAGGCTCCGCGCATGCTTGTGCTCTTCCCAATACCCTGGATGGAGGTGAAGATATCACTGGGGTGGACATGCCTGGAATACCGACAGACTTCGACTGGATTCAGGGCTTCGATGAGCATGCGGACTTCAGTGTTGCGGACTGGGGATTCTAGAGGATACGGTGAGATTCCGGTCATGAAACTTTTTCATTTGGCCGTGGACAAAGCGAGCTGGAGGGCAAGGAAGGGCGGGAAGGGAACAATGCATGTCTAGAAACACGCCCGGCACGAGACCGCGATGGAGACGACTCGTCCGCATGAACGCGCAGGGCTGAATTTATGCACGGGCCTGACAGCAGGCGTTTGCGTGCATAGGTCATCTTCCACACACTCGGAGGTATGGAGTGGTGCAACGCTATCTCTCGATGTGCCTGAGAGGGCGAGAAGGCCACGTTGGATAGCATGAGCTACCTCTCGTCTTCCTCCCAGGCAGGACATGGCGTCATTTCTCTATGCAGTCAAATCTCATACCTCATCAATGGTCTCCTTGTTCCCCAAACAGTCTCTTCATTCTTTCTACTATATGCTAGCGATCGTAAGATCCCGCCTCCAAGTCCAAGCCCATCCCATGGCCGATCTTCTTGACCATCCATCTCCTTTTGAATCCTTCCCTAGCCAATTCCCTTGTTCTTCTTGCCCAAATCTCACTACCTACCCTCCCGCAGACGAACCCTTCTTGGAGGGCTAAGATCGCGGCCTCGATACCACGCTCTTCACATGCTGCGTCGTACAGTTGGCGGGCCACAACTGTAGGAGCCGTGAGCATTTCATCCACGGCGGGTATTTCGTTCCTGGAAGCGCGGCTGTGCGCCGAGGAAATTGTGCTGTCTGCTTTCTTCAGAGAGCTGTGTAGGAGGGAGATGTTCGAAGACAGCGTTGCGTGTATGGTTTTCAGGTTCGCCAATTCGCCGTTAAGAGTTTGCATTGTTTGCTGTAATGCGGCATATTGCGAGGAGAGAGGTTGTAAAGCCGAGGAATTCTGGGAGATCTGTTGATGGAGAGAGGTTGTGAGAAGGTGAGAGAGGTGTGATAATAGAGCTTCCTTCTCGGGGTTTACAGGTATCGGTGGTGCGGGGACGTTTGATGCCGGATGCGAGGTGGAAGAGGTTGGTGGTGGTAAGGGAAGGTCGAAAGGAGAGTCGAGCAGATTTGGTTGGGAGGGTGGGGCTGGCTTGGGTGCCTGGAATTGTGCTTGAGCATGTTGCTGGTGATACAGAGGGTGAGCCGGCTGATAAGGTTGTTGGGTTGGAGGATAGTGCTGCGATACAGGTCGTTCAGGACGTTCTTGTGCTGGTATCTGGCGGTATTGGTCTTGATTGTATCCTTGAACGTGGCTTGGAGCCGGCGGTGGACTCGCCATGTAAGGTGGCTGCTGGCTAGGCTGGGGTTGGATATATTGTTGTCGTTCGCCCGGTTGGTGTGGCTGCGCTCGATATTGTTGTGATTCATATCCTGGTTGTGGCTGCTGCGATGGAAACGCTGGCGGCATGGAGTGTCTTAGACTGCTCGACCGCTGAGGCATGTAACTCATCCCGCTCGGTGGCCGTTGCACTTCACCGTTCCCATGCGCAGGCTGGAGCTTTTGAGGCTGGCCTTGACCAGGTAGAGGCGGTGGAGCATCGTATCGCCCCATCCTTGGCGGAGCGGTATCTAGGCCCAGGGTTCGTTGCGCTGGAGACGAAAGGCCAGCTTGCGGAGGTTGTTTTGGCGGAGGGGGCGGTAGCGGAGGAACGCCGAAAAGTTGTCCTGCTGGCGGCGGACTTACAGCGTGGATGCCTTGCTGTGTAGGCTGCATCTCTCTGGGTAAAGGCGGAATGGGTGGAGGTGTAGGTTGAACTGGTCTCTGTCGCAGTTGTGTTGTCCTCGACATCACCGGAGGCTCCTTCGCAAATATCTCGGACAAAATGGAGAGAAAATCCAAGGCATTCGATCTCTGCAAAGGCCCCCGTATCAATATATGACCGATCCCTGCTTCAACCTCGCTCCGCTCTTAACTCACCTCCCAATGTTCCCTCCAGTGCGCCAGATAAGGATGGTATATTCTTCCGTCTCCACCAACATGCTGACCTGGTCGAATTACCATATCATCGGTCGGCGTGACGTAGCACATTGGTGGTTCGTAGGGATAGGCGTGTGGAACCCATAATGTAACGGGGAATCGGTAGGTGTTGCCTCGAAAGTTCACCGGGATCGTGCCTGTGAATACGACCAGGAGCGCCGGCGCTCCAGTCTCGAACGCTGAGAGAAGCGATCAGCATGGTTTCCCTGGTTCAGTCGCGCGACGCACTATAGACATCTGTCCTTGGGGCGAACCCCGGATAACGGGCCAGGACATGGGCAAGGTCGGAGTAGGTACGGTTCGGGTCGTGATACTCCTTCTAAAGTTAGCACTCGACAAGAGAAATGATGCGGACTCTCCTTACTCGCTTCAAGACGTCGTATAGCCAAGTCAGAGTCTTCTGCGGCAGACCAGCCATCAGCGCAACATGGTCTAGGAATATTCAGTTTAGACATAGACGCCTCATTCCACCATTGGAGTTGGGGCTTTGGCCAAGCATCTATTCGGAGGCTGCAACTCAGGTAATGCGGGGAATGCTTACCAAAGGACTGAAGAAGTTGTGGAAGTGTGGTCGACTATGGTACAACTCATCATCGCATTGCATTCGGGGGTATCATAAATCTAGGACTAATCATACACCATCTCCTTGTCTATCTCTTGTCGGAGTCTTCTCGCCACCATATCATGCGTCAGATAGCGTCAGCTCCCTGCTGTGGGAGGGGTCCAGCTCAATCTATTTCTGCTGAGCGGCGGCCTGCTTGTCCAAGTCTAGCTCGACACCACGCTGTCTGGTCTTGCCCTCGTCATGCAAATCTTGGTATTTGGCCTGCTCGGCGCGGTCGCCTGTCAGCGCAGCAACCGCGCCCCCAACAGCACCTTGAGCACGATCACTGACGCCTTTTCCGAGGTCACTCAATTGGCCTTTAGCTTCTTTGCCTTGACCTTGGAGATTCTGTTCGCGACCTTGCTGCTTGAGATCTTCGCTGCCGACCAGGTTGCCAACGGTTTCCTTAGCGCTACCGACAGTCTGGTCCCATGATCCTTGAGTCCGCTCGGGGCTGTCCTTGGCAGGTGCGCCAGAAGAGCTGATGGCGAAAGGACCAGCCTTGACAGCGGTGTGGGAGAGGTCAGATTCGGCGGCAGCCGTGTTCTTGTACTTGTCGGCTTTTGCCTGGAAGAAATTGTTAGACACTGATTACACAGTAGTGCAAAGGACTGGCTGTGTTGAACTCACCTTGTCACCAACGCTACCGGTCACAGCTGCTATACCCGACTGGACGTAGCCAACGGCGGTGTCAACAGCTGACTTGAGAGTTGAGGTGTTGTCATTGGTAGACATGTTGGAGGAGGTTGAGTGTTTGTTTTGGTATTGAATACTGTGTGGTGTTTTGTTGGGTACGGTATGTTTTCTGAGGCAAGGTGTTCGGTTGCGAATCGAGGATGAACAAGAGGTCGGAGGCAAGGCTTTATAGCCAGAAGATCGAGTCCGGCTTTGTCTGTCGTACTGTGTAAAGGTGAAACTCTGGCAGGAACTGGTAAACCTGTTCACTTGCTGGTCAGCAGGCACAATGCAAGTGAAGCATGTGCCCATTTTGCCTCGGTCCCGCCATCGACGTCATCGCAGAATCGGGACGAAGGCACCACAAATCTAGAAAAGGAACGCGCTTCTGGCTAGGATACGCAATCCCTTTCACATAGACAGGGCTCGATCTCGATTCGTGTTTCCCCGATCTTGGGTCTCAAGATTCAAGAAGCTTCCCGTGGCAACGATTGGTTTCGCTGTTGGTGTGCTTCGCATCTTCTGGCAAGCTGGCCCTTCGATGCGTACCACAGCACTTTTGGGAGATCATCAGGCACTTGCCGCTGCGCCGGCGAAGAAGGCCTCGATTTCGCCATTGCCATTCGCTTCGATATCTTTTGGACTTGGTGCGTAGTCCGCATGTGCAACTTCGACTCAGCCAAATCGCAATTTGGGGCACACAAACACAAGCAGAAATGCCACGATCCACATGCCAAAGATCATGGCATACAGTTTCAGCCTCCCGAGCCAGCCTTCCTCTTCACTCATACGCTGAAGGAATTTCATATTCTTGCTCGCTGCTTCCATACCACTTAAGCTGGCATCGAGCCCCTCGATTGCTCGTCCCAGGATGCCCTTGTCCTGCTCGAGAGAGAATTGCAGCTTCCGCTGCTCCTGCTTGAGTTGAGCTGCCATATTCACTAGCGACGCGGTGATATCCTCGTGCATCCTCGAGGAATCCAGCAGTGATCGCTCCGTTGCAGGTAAATTTGAGAAGCCGCTCGTTTGCGCAGGCGGCTGATGGGCCTCGTCTGGCCCTTTGCCTCTTCGTCGCAGATGTGATGATCCGAATAACTCTTCCTTTTCCACCATTTCACCCTCATTGTTTGTTGAAGATGGCTCTTCCTCTACTTTCGTCACAGTTTTGCCTTCTTCCAGCAGCGCGTCCTGGGTATTCTCGCCTATCACACTCGCTAGGCCCCGGGATCCGCCGTGCTTTTGCAGAAAGTCGTACACGGTTTCGCCCTCGACATCTCGAAACGGAGGTTTCCGATTGTCCGTACCCAACATCTCAACCTCCCTTCCAATTTCCTCTATCCGGTTCCGCAATCTCTTTATGACAGCCCGCTTCTCGGCCAAATCCTTTATTGCCTCATGCTTTGACCGTTGTATGCGGATATTTTGTGCCTTTCTCTCCAACTGTAGCAGCGATGTCCGAGCCCCTTCCACATTGCGTAGCCATTTCGTACGATGGTACGGTAAAGAGGACCATAGCTCGGCCTGAATCTGCCGTTGCAGTGGCGTCAGTTCTGTGCTGTTGGGAGCAGAGGGGGACGGCGTCAGGAGAATCAAGTGCTGATAGCGGATGAGGGTGCGGTCGAGGTTGATGTAGTTGACTTCATGCTGGAATGGTCGCGTAGAAAGATTGTCGAGCACTGAGCTTTCTCGTCTTGAGCCATCGCCGAATGGCAGACCGACTGGTCTAAGAGCGGTGGTCAACGACATCTGAATTGCGGAGTTGGAGCGTTAACAACGAGTTGAATGTTAATCTGTGCTGCTGGTGCTCGCCTATTTTGCATGATGTCAAAAGTTCCGGGCCACGTCGTTCCAGAGGCTGCGGAGCGGATATTCAATCCGACCCCGTTGTTTGCCCTCCTGGGTACTGAGTACTCTTGAGGATCCTCCTCCCTCCAAACGCCGGCTCAACGTTAGGCGATACTACATATTCTCTACTCGTGGGAAGCAGCTTCTGAACACGGCTATTGAAGGCCATCTTCGGTTTGTACTCGGACAAATGCAATTTGTTCCTATTCAGGGCATTAGGCTTATGACGCGACAGCGCAACACCAGTATGATCAATATTCTTTGGATTAAGCACGTAGAGTGCACCGGAGCCTCAAGACTTGAAGCTACAGTGATGCAACTCACCAACACAGCACCAATATTCTGAGGCAGGCCGACCGCGCAGATTGTGTAGCAGCGCGGCCCGTCACGAGCACGAAGCTTGACTGTTCCCCTCCAAGCCAAGATGCTACCTCAGCACTCTTTACCTCTCACAGGCAGACACCATTCCAACTTGGAAGTATGACGGGCTGTCCTTGATGCGTTGGAAGTGTCATCTCAGACCACCACCGTGATCGCCCAGCAGACCGTCTTTGCGTATTCCATACTGTGGATTCTCGCTCTACGGTTGCCGGAGCCATAGCTCTAAATCCGAATGTCGACCATGGGAGGAGGGTTGCCGACAACCGCTTCCGAGAACTCGAGCATGGACGCACGAAATTTCTGGTCCCCCGGAGAAGGTCCTTTCAATCCAGCACAGTCTGCCGCGACCGCAGTTCAGTTCTGCAACACAGGTCCTAGTACGTGTCCAGTACGCAGCCCTCAATCCAGGCGGATCAGTGATGATGCAACTATGTCCTTCCTTTCTGAGGGCAAAGTCAAGCATCCCGGAAATGGATTTCACGGGAGAGATCGAGGAACTGGGCGTCGACGTGGACCCGTTCCGCGGACTGAAGCCAGGAGTCAACGTCTTCGGGAGTATACCAGTGTCAGATCATCTGAGAGGGCATGGTGCTCTCAGCGACTACGTCATCGTCGACAGTGGCAACGTCTGCATTATTGCGAAAGGGGTGGAGATGTCAGAACCTGCTGGTTTGCCTATAGCAGGGTGTACGGCTTCAGGCCTGACGGAAAAGGTCGAGTTGCGACAGGGCCAGAAGATCCTGATCAATGGCGCTGCTGGAGGGATTGGATCGTTGATGACGCAGATGATTCGGAATGCGATAGGAGAGGTAGGCCGAGTCGTGGCGGTCTGCTCTGGCGAAAAGAAGACCTCGTCCGAGATCCCGGTGCAGAAGAGGTGAGAACGGCAGATTTTGATTGCTCCACGTACGTCCTGATTTATCCCGTTCCGCTGTGACCGAGGTGTAGGTCTTCGACCATCGAACGCCAGTCCCTGTCCATGAACTACTGGTGGAGAAGTACTCTAAGGAGAAGTTCGACACCATCATCGACGCATAAGGAGTGCAGTCACTGTTCGATAATTGCGCCGCCTTCTTGAAAGAAAGTGGCTCGTACATCACTGTCGGCATCGCTTTCGATGACTATACTTAGGGCAGCATGCTGCTGGCAGTTACGCGGATGCTGAGGAACGTCCTGTTGCCTCGCCTTCTGGGCGGAACACCAAGGAGATATGTCCAGGTAGCTTCTGTGTGCACTTTGGACGGCCTACAGAAGTTGAAGGAACTATGCGAATATGGAAAGCTGAGAGTCCCCATCGACTCGGTTTGGGACTTCGACGATGTGCCAAACGTACGAACCACGAAGTCTGCGTGGAGCACTTGTCGTACGCTAACAATCCCGCCAGGCCTACAAAAGACTCTTGAGCAGACGCGCCAGGGGCAAGGTTGTCGTCAAGGTCAGGTAGGCGGGCAATCCTGTGTACGAGCTGGCAACGTCTTGCCTACTCTTCTCCGGAAGTCTCTCGCCAAGGAAGTCTGAATCTTCGAAAAGTCCCTCCATCACCCCTGTCCACACTGTCCAGCTCATTGTCGATATGCAGACCAAGGAGTTGGGGTATCGTTGCTCGCTGAGCTGTGCATGCCATACGTTGGCCTGTGATCGATCGCGGGCCTTGCCAAATACATAAGCCTCCATCATCGATGATTCCAATGCGTTACTCCGTACATAGTGCTCATTCACCGTGGATTGTAAGGTCCCACACAACAGGCTCACAACGAGGCCCCTGAATTGTGCATGTGGTATGGAACAAGCCACTTGCTCGGACTCGGCTTCTGAGAGGAAATTGCTGCTATAGACCTATCTGATCCTCGCGAGGTAGGCCAAAGCCAGAACCTGCTATATGCCCTCTTGCTTTCTTTGCTTTCTCAGAAGCGCCGCATCATGCTCGGGGCCGTATTGCATAGCAAGCAGAACATGTCAAGCCACCGTCACGGGATTCAAGGGCACGCCCGAGTAAGAGTGTATTGATTGTCAATGCAGAACATGATTCAGAGGCCGGTTATGCCTGGGGCTGGGCGTCGAAGGACCTGTTCACTACTGCGTAGAATGGCGAGTGATGATGACAACAACGCAACTGGTGTTGACGAGGCGAGACGATGAAGATACCAGTTGTGCCGCAACCGGCCGAGCCTAAGGCTCATGGACTCCTTCCGAATGAATAGTACGATCCCGGCGAACGAAAACACTCGTTGCCACGTGAACATGAGAATTGACCTGGTTGACGGGGAGAGATCGTGCGTGCCGACACAACCTGACACTGGGAGAAGAAAGTATAGAAGCCACGCATGGTGCACTGAGGCACCCCGGTCTTTGAGGTCATGATTGACACCTCATACCATGCATACCTAGGTAGGGAAGGAGTCGTCTCTTCTCCGATTGCAACTTGGGCAACTCAGTCCGGATGTGCTGGCATAGACCTTTGCACACTCAGCTGGCTGTGATGTGCATCTGAAGGTGCTTGAACCAGTGGCGAGTGAGTGCGCGAGTGAGCATTGTCGAAAAGAAAGACAATCGATACCAAGGCGAGACTCTCTTAACCACGGTCATGTCAGACACTCTCCATTAGCCAGTCACCAGTATGGTTATTCGCAATGCTCGCAACACACCTGGGAGATCTACAATCGTCTCGTATTTGCTTATGTCTGTCTTTCGGAGAAAGGTGATATACAATGGCCTGGTTCTCTGGTCCGAACGTCTAATCAAGCACAACCTCCCAATCCCCCCTCATCACCTCCGCGTAGGCCACACCAGCTAGGCAGCAATCAGGTCCAAGTCGTCCATAAAGTCTCTGAATCCTTCCTTCAAGTCACAAAGAAAACGAGGTCGCTTTTGGTTGGCGTAGGTCATCGGTACAGGAAGAGTACACTGGCGACCCGGGTAGAATTGGCTGCGCAAAGCAGCGGCGAAATGAAAGCCCTTCATTTCCTCAAGCCTTCGTCACCTTTCGTCAAGGTCCGAGGGCCACGGGCTCGGGAAATCTGCTAGTGTCGAAGAAAGGGAATCGGTCGTCGACGTCAATCGTGGCGGTGATTCGAAATCGGGAACAGGTAATTCTTCGCCAATGTCGAGAAGAATGAGAGTAAAGCCGCCCCTGCCAACGCCGGTGGTATATGCAAGTCGTGAGCAAATCAGGGCAGAAATGACGCTACGCCATCAAGGTGATCGTCATCATATGAGTCCGCACATTCGAAGATTTTCTTGGATGATGATATCTGAGACGTGGTTAGTAATAGGACGTTGTGGATCAATAACCAAAGCATACCGTTGACGGCGCCCATGACGAATCTTATCTGCGTTGTATCCGTCGCGCATGTGAAGTGGGTATAAATCTGTTTCGTCTCTGCTTGGTTGAGCGACACAAATCGGTTCAGTATGTAGTCGCAAGCAGCGGCATAGTCAGGACCGCCTGGAGCGCAGAAGTTAGTAAACGTCCCAGGACACTGCTGTATGATTGGGCTAACCTTCATAGTCCGGGAAGTAGTTCTGCATCGGGCTCACAGGCAGCTTCTCCTTGAACCTGTCGATCTTGTTCAGGAAGAGGATTATGCTGGTCTTGATAAACCACCGGGAGTTGCAGATGCTATCGAAAAGCGTGAGCGCCTCCTGCATGCGATTGACGGTCTCATCCTCGAAGAGGAGTTGGTCGTATTCCGAAATAGCAACTAAGAAGAGAATAGTTGTGACATTTTCGAAGCAATGAATCCACTTCTTTCGCTCCGATCGCTGTCCACCGACGTCAAACATGCGATATGTCAGGTCCTGGATGATGAAAGTGGTCTCGGTGATACCAGTCGTCTTTACTCGAGATCGCAGAACATCCTGATCGTTGGGGAGGTAGTCGTGGGCAGCAATGCGGTCAATAGAGTCGAAGTAGCTGACAGACGACATTAGCATACACACCGCACACGATTGTAGATTTCCACTCACTATCGTGCCGAGTCGTTGAGCTGATATTCTCTTGATCGCTTGAAGCATTCCTGGACACCGACATCCTGCCACAATGCCTTGATGGCCGCACCAACCTCAGGTGGCATGCTGTCGCCCTCGATCTGCTGTGGCTGCATAAAGATTGTCTGAACATGATACTCGGCTCGTTGGTCGTCCAAGGGTAGCTCCAGGGACTCCATCGCTTCCAAGATTACGCGCATGGATTGCACGGTATTGGAGAAGATGATTTCTTTGAAAGATTCGCGTTCGTCACGCGAATATCCGCCCTCGTGGATGAGCTTCATCTGTTTGAGGATGGTGGACTTCCCAGATTCACCAGCGCCTAGAGAATAGTTAGACTGTGTACTTCCGATGTTCAGGGGAGTGTAGCCTACCTAGAAGTAGCATCTTGATCTCGTTGCGCTGGGCCATCTTGTCCCTCTTGAGTTGGTTCTCGATCTCATCGTTTCTTGCCTTGCCGGCCGTATCTTCTTTGCTCGCGCCGCACCCCATTCTCGAGGATTCAAGTAGGTCGACTTTGCAGGAATGAAGATAAGAAAGGGATCGTTATCAGCGCTCGAGAGAGACTGGACGCTGTCAGTAAACACACTTTGTCCGAGTACTGGAATAAGCGACACGCGCGCGAATCCCTCGACTTAGCAGATACGAGAATATCTCTCCGTGTCACGGCTTTACCACATACCTTCGTTTGGAGCTGGAAAGGGTGTCAAAGTGAAGCGGTGGTGAGCTGGGAATGACAGGGTTTGATGTTGAGGTTCGGGTGTGATGGAAATCCGAAGGGACAACCGGCGCGGCTGAAGGAGAGGATTCGGAATAATTGGCGTCGATCACTGAGCGCTGGGCGGGCGTCAGGGACGAGATCGTGCGGATCGACTAGCAGGGCGCAAGAGGGTGGGAAGTAGCAGGAGGTGGGCTGCCCAAGACCTAGTCTCTAATGAAAGAGCCTCTCCCAGGAGGATGTTGTTCTACAGGAACAGGCAAGAATAGATGACGATAATGTACAAAGGGGAGGAGCTGGTTGAGGGAAAGATGGTGGTCGGGTCCAACTGTTTGGAGGAGCTGGAGAGACGGGGATGAAAATGGACTTTCTTGGGATGATCAATCAGTGCAGGGGAGTCGCAGTGGCTAGCGCCGTTTGCACCGATGAATGAGGATGCGCGACAAGCGAAGCAGGGGACTACAACGCTACGGCAGAAAAGAGACTAGGGCCGGGAATCGAGAAATCCAAGGTCTCGTCGCAAAGCCACTGGGAGCTCCAAGTCGGACACCCGCAAGAGGAGCGCAATCCTTAGGCGAGCATGGGTCTTGCCGGCGGGCTTGTTCCTCTGCTGGCTGTCAGTTGGTTGGCCAGTCGGTTGCTGCTATGGCGCGAGACTCTCCATCCCGGCTGGAGTTTACGTTAGCGGGCGACCACCCGCTGCAGTGCAGCAGCTACTTGCTCACTAGTGCTCCAGTTCAATTGCTTTCCCCTAGAAGAGAAAGGAGAAAAATGTACGGAGTACACAGTACTGCACTCAGGGTCTCGGACGGATAGGTTGCTCCCTCCATGCGCCAAATTGCTACACTGACTCAACCTCAATTCAAGTTCAGCTTGCGCCGTGGTTTCGTCAGTATCATGGATTCACTGGTCGCGTCACAATGTCAGTGGCAAGAGACAAGCCTTAGTCTGATTGTATCGGCTCCGGCTGCTGCCTCGCTGTCACTTCATCTTCGTGCTGGGACATTTTCGTGTCAAGCTTCCACCGCGCTACTGATGGTGCTACCCGCTCTCACCCACCGCTTCATCAGCTATTCTCACTGGCTGCCGCCCCTCCCCTGGGTCTTGCCTTGATAGCCCGCCTGGCCTTGTTCGATATTTGAAATTGCCCACTTGGTTGGACCTTGGCGAGCTGCTCTGGGATACGGAGTATGGTCGTCTTGTTTTGGCGCAGGGGGAGCCTTCCGTACCAGGTTTTATATTCCTCCCTGTCTCTCTGCAGACTTGCATCTTGAACTGCTGTCTCGACTCAGGAAAATATGGGTGCGACTACACAACTAAGCATGCGAGCAGTTCCAGAAACCGACTTCACCCGAACGGATAACGTCCCTTTCATTCTTGCTGCACACTTGACGGGCTTCGCTACTTCGGTTCGTAGTATGCAGTTCTAGTTCGTTCCATTCTTCGCAGAACCTCTGCGGAATAGGCAGTACGCAAAATGTGGCGCCCAACTTGAGGCTCTGATACAGTAAAGGATATCGCGTACAGATTGCTTTCTGTGGCGATGTAGCAACCGAGAAACAGCGAGACAAGCTCAATCCACCAGTTCCTTCCCGGATGACTTATTTTTCTACGTATGATGTGACGATGGCTCGTGAACACCTCGATATCGGGCTTGTCTATGTCTGCTTCACTGATATTTCATTGGCCTCTTGCATTGATTGTCTACACTGTCAATGGAAGATGACTGGAACTTCAAGCTTATTCATCAGAAAATCGTTATTCTTGTATTCCGTAGACTCTACTAGGTGTCGTCGCTTCGAGCTTGGGGTTCTCATAGGATCGAGGATGCTGTACGGAGTATCCTTGCAAGCGTCAGCCATAGTTGTCCTGAAATCTCGTATATCGGGTAAAGTTGATGAGGAAGGTGTGAAGCTAAACCTGCATACAGACGCACGACCCAGGTTTACGGGTCTCATCAAGCGGAGCGGTCGATCTGGCCACCAACTCAGGCACGAAAAGGGTGGCATCTTGCGTCCTTTGTTTCATCTTTACACCCGTTGCCCGAGTCATCCCACCGCAGTTGAGTCTCGTCTTTGCCTGCAAGTTGCATCGCTCATGTGAGCTGCACCTGAGAGCGAAGACCCTTTCTCTTCGCCGGACTTCTGCAGGGCTCCCCTTGTGGAAAACCCATCGCCCCTGCTGGATCCCCTGCTTCTCCGACTCCGACAAAGTGGTGGAATGATGATGATTCGTCTAGCCCTGAGCGGTCGCTGTGTTCTGCATTGCCGATCAGTGCCACAATTTGCTTCCCACCAACCTGGCGACGCCATCAAATCATGCCCGCTGACACTATCGCGCTTGCTTGACGCGTTGTTCTACCAAGAAGCTTGCCCACCATAATTGTTGTATTCTACGATTCGCCAATTTCTCCCGGCTTGGTCTAAAGCATCATCACATTGGGATTATCGGATGCCTTGATTGAGCGTGGAAATGTCAAGATCAGAGCCGCTTTGACGTAAAGAGACTGAGGGATCGGCATCTTTGAATCCAACCGGATGAGTTCCTCGCTAAAACTGTAATTAGGGAGTCGCTTCGCTGCTGTCCTCGCCTGCCAAATCCAACCAGTTATGCTTATGCGGACTGCTAGGTGAATAACATTTCAATATCACAAATGTCGGTCAACGCGTAATGGTCAGATTCTGAGGACCTTGATACATTTCTTACGGCCTCAACCCGGAACGCGAGGTTTCAGCATACGAACACATAGGTGCATAGCAGACACTGAGCACGGGCCAGACGTCAGTCAAAGTGTCTACCACGAAGACAAGAACTCACATCTGCAAAGCGAAAGGCTATCGACAGATATCCCCATGACAATTGGCGAAAATTGTGGTTCCGGGCCACACCTGTCATCCTCAGCTTCAAGAATCACGTTGGCTGTCAGTTGAAGGTTCTTCTTATCCAGATTTCGCCAACATTCGGGACAATATGTCGCGGCGCCTTGCAGCTAGAGTGCTCCACTCTTCTGGAAAGTGATCTATCCTCAGATGCGAATGTCGAGTGATGATGTTGACATGAGAAAGTTACACAGTATCTGTCTATCTCGACAGCCTTGCGCCCGCCGGAACTTCTCTACGGTGATGCTTGGTGCCTAGGCCACCTGTCGGCTTTCATTCGGCCATGTCTTCTCCAGGTCGATTCGTGTGCTCAAGATAGAGGCCAAGGACTCCGTACTCCGTATCCAGACAACGATGGTTTCGCTTGGCCTTCAGTAGCAATTTCCATACGCGAAGTGACCCCACATCAGCCTCGCTGGTGGTGTTCGCAATGTGGGGTATGTCTATTCCCCAAATCGAGCGCAATGGGCTCTCTAGCGAAATTATGAATAACCAACTCTCAGTGTGTCATGTCTCAACTGTGCTCCTCGTAGGCCAGGACCTTCTCCAAAATATCAACAGACCATCGATGTTACGGGCTGAGATCTTTCCGGGTCCTTCCTATTCGCAACTCGTGTCCCAGAATCGCCCAAGTCCCAACTGACGGCAGCACTCATGGGAAACCAACCAAGTATGGAGTACTGTAAGCAAGGCTTCTGCCAAGGAGGGATTCTGCACGCATATTCTACGGCATATTTTCAGCCAACGCAGGAGATTGTCGCATGTCCCGTTCTTGCAATATGTCTTTATCATGAGCAGTCGCTGACTCTCGTCGCATGTGTAGTCTCGCTCTCCCAGCGATTTGAAATACGCTTCATTATTTAGGGCGTGACCTGGAAATTCCCATTCCAGCACATGACGATCGTCTCGGATCTTGCATGAGTTATGCGCTCCAGTACTCATTTGTGAAGGTACAAACTTCTCCGCATAGCGAGGAGGCGGCGCAAGCGTGGGCACCGTTCGGTTCTCCGCTCATGGTCGAGGCGGCTTCTCCAAACCAACATGCCACTTAATTCGTTCTTGACCAATCGACCGCCACAATCGGCCCGCCATGTGGGTTTTCCAAGCTTCGCTGACCTTTCCCTCCGCAATTCGGCCCCACGATCGAGCGCTGAAAGGGCACAATTCCGCGTCCCGGGCACGTTTTTCGATGGCTAGAACATGGGTCTGCCGATAGGTGGCACACGAAGGATCATGACCCTCGCTTCTCAAGAAGCTCAGTTCGCAGATGTGAGATCTTTCTCTTGCATCACCTCTGTAAGACAAACGCTCCCTGATAACGGACTTTCGCCGCCATGGCTCTTATCGGCACTTCTACCATTGTGTTTCCGAAACTTGATAAAGAGAATTCTACCGGAAAGAGGAAACATGTATGCAGTGTCTGCTCTCGAGCTTTCAAACGAAGCGAGCACTGCATTCGCCATCAGAGGGGCCGTAAGCTTCCCTCTTTCTTGCACAACGCCGCTATGATTCTCGAAACTATCACCCGTGAGACTGTTCGCTAAGGACTGCTGCAGACACACAAGAGAAGCCATTCGGCTGCAGGGTATGTCGAAGAAGATACAGCAGAAGGTAAAGACGGCATTGAATTCCTGGTCGGGCAGTCTGTTGACGCCCGCTTCGTACAGAGACCTCCTGGTCCGCCACGAGAGGACACTGCACACGCCAGAACAAGTAGCAAGTGCTATAAATGGCTCACACGAACCGTCCTCAGGTACGGTTATTCCACCTCTCATGGGGTAGTGCCTGACGAAGGTCTTAGCGAAGCATACCCCGGCCAGCCCTCCAGCATCCGGAGACGAGGCCATCGATGAGACCGTTATCATCCCAGGAGACTCTTCCGTAACTGCTCGAAAAAAGCTCAATCAGCCTGCAGGAGATTCTGTGAGCTCTGTGTCCAAACATGCCTCACACCCAGCAGCAGGGTCGAACGACGCCACATCAGCAAGTCCCCCACCGAAGAGAATTCGCGTTCATGCAAAGAGTAGAGATCTTGCGACTGACCACGCAAGAGATTCGAGCGCCAGATCTGGATCTGCTACGCTTCAGGATCTGTCCTCGACAATGGGGCTGCATCTGGGCGATTTCAGCGTCGATGTCTCCGATCTGGAGAAGATGCGGACGTTTCCCAGTTCCGTCCCTCTCCCTGACTTGGACGGTGATCTCGAGTTCCTCGACTTCTTCGATCCCTTTCTGGGTCTACCTGCCAAGCAGGTTGAAGCGTTTACACTACCTTCTCTCAACACGGACGGTTGGTCCCCCTTGGAGAATTTCTCCGGTTCCAGCCAGACTTCCATGCAGGACTATGGCTTTCAGCAGAGCCACCTTCTAGGCACGAATGAATCGCCCTCGGTCGACGATAGCAGTCAAACGTGGGGACCCGCAATCCACACAGAGCCCAATGCCCCTAAATACGCGGCCGCGTGGGACGACGCGTCGGGACAGGCGTTTGTGACAACCCGTGCCGAACCAGAGGGTTCATCGAGCTTACATATTCCGCCATCGAAGAATTCGAAGCAGCCACCGCTTGTCTTTACAGAGTCGATGAGATACCATTTATTCCAAGACCTCTCAAGCAGGCTAAGTCCTGAGGAAGTGAGCAACTTCCGACTACCCACCGCCGCTGCGCTTCAGAAATGCATTCGGACATACGTGGACGCCTTCCATGTCCACCTGCCCATATTCCATATTCAAACCATGGATTTCGAGAGCACACCAGCTCCCCTGGTCCTCGCGATATGCGCAATCGGCGCCCAGTATCGCCTTGAAAGGAAGGTATCTGCCTCGCTATACCTAAAGGCTGATCAAGCGCTCGCAGCCGCCGTTGTCGACCGTGGGGACAATCTTCACAAGAAGCCACGGTTGCTAGAAGATTGGGTTCGGCCAGGACCTCGGGTCCGGAAGTCGACGCCTGATGCTCTCTGGCAGAGTCAAACTCGCCTTCTACTTGCCATGCTTAGCTGCTTTGGTGGTGACACAGAAGTAATCTCGAAGGCTATCGTGCATCTTGGTGACTTCCTGATAGTGAGTATGACGTGGTTTGGTGGAACAGATAACGTCTGACTGCTCTAGGACTTTCGCGAGCTCGCACCCATTGTACGGTTTCGGAGAACTAAAGAAGGGCCACTGACATGGCGAGAATGGATCGAAAGAGAGAGCGTCAAAAGGTAGTTCAGTCCATGCAATTGGCGACTTCTTCCTGACATGCTGCCAGGGTACTCTACGGCCAAATAATGTTCGGCAATCTTGTCACAATGACATATGGTATCCCGCCCGGATACTCGGTGGTCTCGGACGGTTACATCGAGATGCCGTGCGATCAGTCACTGTGGGACGCGCTCACAGAAGACCAGTGGCACGAAGCCGCCCTACGGAAAGGCCAGAGCTCACCGCTCAATGTCAAAGACGCGGTCTCGATGGTGATGAATGGAAATGCGACGAACAGCGTGCCACAAGAGTGCTGGGAGTGGTCTCCTCTTGCTATCACTGTTGTGATCAACGTGATATCCATCCACATCTGGCACATCACGCAAGGCTCGTATTTCTTCGGCGGGTTCTTGAGCCCGGGACAGGTGGACGACACACAAAAGCCACAAACCCTTGCACAAACTGAAGCCGCACTTTCGAGATGTCGTGCTCTGATCACGCAAGCCAGCTCTGATGCAGACTACCCATGGACAGAGGCCGAGACACCGCTGCTGTTCAACTGCCTAGCGCTTTTGCGTGTCAGCTATTGTCGGGCATTTACAGGGCACAGCGCAGCAGATTCGATGATGTTACTTAAGGAAAGCCAGGATGAATTTACGGCTTCCATCGAAGATTTCGTGGCGATGCCGCAGAATCGAGGCAGCCTGGTCGCCCGAGCTGTGAGCCGAGCATTCGAAGGCATGCTGATACCTTACAAAGCGGGGACGATGCTCATCAAGAAGACGGCTGCCCTTACTTGGGCTGTCGGTCATGCTTTGGCAGGGTGGGAAGTCGGTAAGTCATGTTATATCTACATAGTTTCTCCTTCCAAGCTCGTTACTAATTCTTGCTACCAGCACTACTGGTCACGAAATGGGTACACGCCATCGAAGTCGAGACGCGAACGGGCAAAGGCGGTCCCATCAGCGAGCTCGAGGCGCAGACCATGCAGGCGGTAAAATGTCTTCTTTCAGAGGTGGAGGACGGATTCGACACCGAGACGGAGCCTTCATTAGCCTCTAAGCTGGCGCGATATTGGGCGGGATTCTATGACGATACCTGGGTGTGGGGTGTCACTCCACGCATGGCGAATATCCTGCGGGAGCTGGCGATGTGCTATGAGAGCAAGCTGGCAGCTTTGTGACCTGATGAATCATGATAGCCTGCGGATGTGCTATATCTCCTGCCATGAAAGACGTTCGCTGCCATCAACCACAAGACTGGCTTCCGATGGCTCCGATAATGCGTACTGCGCAAACTCACCCGGTCATCACCCACCCATCAAGAACTCCTCTCCCTCGCTTAGTCATCCAGGCACGCAGGGTTCCCCAGATGCAGCGGCGGCTTCCGAGATCGCACCTTCCAGCCGATCGCTTGCCAGATCTCACCAATGCAGCTTTCTGGTCGACCATCAATGACTTGGTGTCCTTGCATCGTCGGTATCCAAGATATATAGACTCACACGCCATAGTTATCAAGAACCTCAGCCATCATAATACTGTCGTATTCTATGAGATAGCGCAATCTCGCGAATTGTCATTGAGTCGCGCCTACAATATGTCCTACGAAATGTCGACGCAGCATGGCACGCGTGTAGGAGCAAGACGTAAGGCGTTTCTACCTGCTATCCAAGCTTTGCCGACGGGGACTATGCTAACAGAGCTCACATGCAGCATTCAACCACAACCAGTCCCAAGCCGCCGAACAGGAGTACGACAGACTCCGAAATCTTGCACGTCAAGAAGCCTCCAAACGCGCCAACTGCTTTGAAAGATCGCAACAGGCATATCAAGATGGTGACGGCGCTGCCGCCCATGCGCTCTCGCAAGAGGGTAAAGAGCATGGAGCGAAGATGGAGATGTACAACAAGCAGGCGTCGGAGTTCATTTTCCGGGAAAACAATGCGGGCCGGAGGGTGCCTGCGGATACTATTGATCTGCATGGGCAGTTTGTCGAGGAGGCCGAGGATATACTTGAAGAACGGATCAAATACGCGCGATCGCATGGCCAGACTCACTTGCATGTTATCGTCGGCAAGGGCAATCATAGCGCGAATCACGTCCAGAAGATCAAGCCACGCGTGGAACAAGTCTGCCAGCAACTCGGCCTGCAGTATTCCACGGAAGAAAATGAGGGCCGGATATATGTCAAGCTTGATGGCAGCTCTGTCGAGCAGCATGATATCAATGGCTGGGGAGGATACCAGCACTACCCTGATTATCAGCAAAGCTATTCTGGCGGCCAACAGCAGCAGCAGTATCACGCGCCGCCACAGCAACATCAGCAGCAACACCAACAGCAACATGGACAGTACGACGAAGCAGAAAAGGTCGCCAAGAAGTTCCTTCCGAGGATCATCAACAAGCTCTTGCGAATTCTCTGTGGTTCCTAGCTTGGACTCGCGGTCTTCGCACGTACACAGTATGCCACCTCCACGGTCAGCGTTGGTCACAACATGATGGATCGCGACGTCTTTTCTGGGACATGCAAGCGATTTTGAGCCACGTCATCAGCGCGCCGGCGCAAAAGCAAGTCTTGTCGTCGTTCACACATGGTCCGAGACGCGTCCTTGACGGAAGTGCGCCCGGCGAATCTACAATCTGATGAGATGCGTGAACCTTTGAAGCCGTTGCGGAACGCGCTGTTTGATAAGAAGGGTCTTGGCCATTCTGGGCGGCTTGGGGTTACTTGATTGAATCAAGTCATGCCCTGCTTCCAGCCCCGCACCGATCCTCCTTTCAGGCTCCTCGTTGTCTTGGATTTTCGTTCTTCTGCTCTGCAACAGCAATCCATCATATGACAGAGCCTGGCAGAGTTTTCTGGCCCGAAGTTGCGCCAAGCCCGTGTCGCAATAGCCAATCCCGGAACAGGCTGCGCGCATTCAGCTCCAAGATCCCTGGTATCATTCGACGCAGTCCACGCAAAGACCACCAACTGCGCTGTCGAGGACTAGCGAGCGGTCGTGTTATGTGGGGAAGCGGTGATCGGCTCAATTAGTGCGCTGTGCAAGGAGTCAACCGTACGACCACGAGGACTATTCTGCAGCGACCACCGCCGACAACCTCTACTACGCCTGGCTCGTCCCGTCTGTCGCACACTGCGATGCGCCATCTGCCGGCACCTGTTTCTTTATCAGATCTAGCTACATGCCCAGCTCCATCCCATCCCCGCCGCATGCCACAATCCAGTACGACTCTGCGTAGCCTTATCTCGTCGCCTTGACTGGTGGATCTCCCGCCGTCGATCATCCTCGGTATGACATCAATTTAGCTAGGCTTCCATACATGGTTGAGGACCTGTTAGCGTTTGCTTTGGCACGCGACCTACTTAATATCTGCCTCGATGCCCCCGTCGAGCCCAAGCTATGCCGAGGTAGAACTAGACGCATTGCCATCATCCTCATCCCAACCGGAGAGAGCCTCTTTCTGGGAGGCTTCGGAGCCGTTGCTGTCACCGCCAGAAAGTCCTACTTCGTCTACCCACAGGTCATCAGAAAATGAGGGTACTCTGAGTGGAACTGTGCTTCATTGGCTTTTGTCTTTCCTGCCTAGGCATATCCGGCAACAAGCCGCCGTCGCAATGGGCAGATTCGAAGATTCGAAGGCGGCTCGCCTACTGCGCAAGTTGGAGGTGGACTCAGAACCGGGTTTGACCAATGCACAATTGTTTCTCACGAACCATGACTTGAAGCCCGTTGAAGAGGCTCGTCGCAAATGGGGAAACTGGAATTTTGTCGGTGTGTTCAACCGACAGCTCCATGCAATGGTGGGAGTTGGTCGCTGACGACCTCTAGCTTTTTGGATCGCTGACTCGTTTAATATCAATACCTGGATGATCGCGTCAGCCTCGATCACGCAGCACGGTCTTGCGTGGTGGCATGCCGTAAGTGATCCCTATCTGCGAAGGACGGTCCCAGTCCGTGCAAGCATTGATGGTTTCTCGACAGTGGTTATGTGTGTGGATCGGATATTTCATCGCGGCCTGCTTCATCTGCATGACTGGGCGCATCGGCGCCACCTACCATATCTCCTTCCCTGTTGTTTCAAGGGCTTCCTTTGGCATATGGGGTTCGCTGTGGCCAGTCTTCAATCGCGCAGCCATGGCGTGCATCTGGTATGGCGTGCAGGCCTGGATCGGCGGTAATTGTGTGGTGTTGATGATCCGAGCTATATGGCCCTCATTCAACAACCTTGACAATACCATGCAAGGTTCTGGGACCAATACGCGCGACTTTGTGGGATTTTTCATCTTCTGGGCAGGCTCACTTCCTGCGATTTGGTATGTCCGGACTCCTCTCCATGAACTTTGCCCGTTTCCAGGTAAATCATCTGCTTGCATGGACGACTGTCCCAGCTGGATTACACGCGCGCCCGCCATAGCCAGTTATGCCAAAGCCGCATCACTTCTAACACCATTGCAGGTTCCCAGTACACACCATCCGCCACCTTTTTACAGCAAAAGCCATCTTCGTTCCCATTGCCGGAATAGCCTTCTTCGGCTGGGCCATTGGAAGAGCTAATGGAATCGGTCCTATAGTCCATCAGCCGGCGACTTCCTCCGGCTCTACACTGGCCTGGGGCTGGGTGTCCGGCATTATGAGCTCAATCGCCAATTTTGCGACCCTGATTGTCAATGACCCGGACTTCGCTCGTTTCGCAAAGAAACCGAGCAATGCGTTCTTGCCCCAATTGTTGACGATTCCCTTCGGATTCGCGGTAACTTCCTTCATCGGCATCATCGTGTCCTCCTCGTCAAAGGTTATCTACGGCACTGCTATCTGGAACCCCCTCGATCTCTTGTCTCAGTTTCTTTTGGACGATCCTTCTTCAGCTGAGCGATTTGGCGTGTTCATTATAGCCGCTGGGTTTGTTCTGGCTCAGCTTGGTACCAATATTGCAGCAAACAGTGTCTCAGCAGGTACCGATCTAACAGCCTTGCTACCTCGCTACCTCAACATCCGCCGAGGAGGGTACATCTGGTGAGTGACGCATTTCACACCTGTACTGGCTTTGCCCCGGTCCTTCTCAGTTCTGGTCATCCCAATCCGGTTCTTGAAGCTAACAGCTTTCAGCGCGATAGTCGGCTTGTGCATGTGCCCCTGGAATCTCTTGAGCACTTCGAACAATTTCACGACGTACCTGTCTTCCTACAGCGTCTTTCTATCATCCATCGCTGGAGTGATGATATGCGATTACTATCTAGTCCGCCGGGGATATTTGTCTCTCAAGGACCTCTATTCGGCGCGAAAGGGCTCGCCATACTACTTCCATTTTGGCTTCTCTTGGAGAGCGTACGCCGCTTACATCTGCGGCATTCTCATCAACGTGGTGGGCTTTGCCGATGCAGTTGGGACAGAGGTGTGTTGCCTAATCGACTTCCCAGAGAACGTTGCCGGCTAACCAATCTGCTTTCCCCCCTCCCACCAGGTTCCAATCGGCGCAGTGTACATCTACCGGGTGAACTTTTTTGCAGGCTTTCTGGTCGCCATGGCGACATACTATCTTTTCTGCTGGTGGAAACCCGTTCCCGAGACCAGTAGCGTGTGGTGTGAGAAGGGCGACCAAGGTGACCGGCAATTCAGCGTGGTGTATGTGGATGGGACCTCTGCCTCGTTTGACGAGGAGAGATCAAGTGGCTCCCCTGGGGTTGGGCCCGGCGATGAAGAGAAGGAAGTCGGCTATCGGAACGGAACGCAAGAGTCCAGTTCGGCGACAGACCGTTCGCGCGAGGATCCTCACGAGGAGAGTCACGTTCGGTCTAGGCGCTGGGCGCCATGGACCAAGAGGAGGTCATGAACGAGGAAGGTGTTAGCACGTCGAGATTAGGTCAATGGCAATGATATTACTCGTGTCGGTCAAACCATGTGTCGGCTTTATCCATGCACAAGCGTGCCTGTGCCTTGCATGGTCCATGATACTACCTACCACTTACGCGGCCAGGGAATGCAGAACCAGCAGGGACAGAGCTCTCAAGAGACGCTACCCCATATGGGCCAAAGTGTTCGAAGGCACGGGCCTCAAATGAAACAAGGCTATGATCGCAAACCTGTCTCGCTCTCCCTTCAGGTCTTAGTAGGGAACATCTTGGTTTCCGCAGCACCAAGCTGGGACGGAGAATATAACCAACCTACCGCTCTGCCTTTGCGAGTAGACACCAGTGGCTTCCTTGACATCAAGTTGGAATCAATCATCTAACCCCCTCGGCCTCTCCCTCGCAGAAAGCATCTCCCAGCCCGTGCTCTTCTTTTTTCCCTGAGTCCGTTCGATCTCCCGGACCGCCTCGAACAAGTCGTACACAACCTTATCGCTGACGGCGCTGTCTCCCTTGTACTCAGGGTGAGTGCGGACAAAGTTCCGAATCCACTTCGAACCCGTCCACAATGTACCATTGGCTCGTTTGCGGATCAAGTCCAGATAGACGGCTAGGCGACACCGCGTGTCGATGTCGATATTCACACTGTCGAGATATGATTCCACGAGGGGTATCAGCCCAGGGAAGCCTTCGTGGGCGCCGTTGATGATCTCGTCGATAGACATGCGCGAGTATTCCTCCTCGACGGGACCGAGCGGAGTATCAATCGGACCGTTTAATCCCTGCGCATCGTTCTGGAGCGTCGATGAGCCTGTCCAGGGGGACGGTTCGCTGACTCCGTTCAGCACCGGTGACTGTACCGGCGAGTCCTTCGGAGTCCTTTTCTTCGGGAAAGGATCATTCCGGAACCAGAACTTCTCCTTCATAACTGCATCCCTGATGTGCGCCGTTTCCATGTTCTCCGTCGTCCGCGGGATAGGAATGTAGAAATTCAGATCGAAGCTAAGGATTGCGCGTGTGACAAGAACGATGAAGACAGCAAAGGCGGCATTTTCGAAATCGGTGATCTGAATCTCCATGCTGCGGAACTCCACTCGCCAACCGATGTCCGCGCCTGGGGGAGGCGGCTTGAATCGCATGTGCTGCCAGTTTGTGGACTGGATGTTCTCAAAATGGTTGGATCCTTCCGGATCGAGCTCCTTCAGGTCTTCGGAGAAAATCACGATCGGATCGCGGATGAAAAGGTGAGCGAAATGCGTGGCAAGCAAATCATCCATGCCACCATCCACGAGTTTCTGTTTCAACTCTTCGTTGACAATGAGGTTCGAGTCCATATATTCCCGTCGTAGCCGATGGTCTTGTGCGATGTATGTGCTATTGCTGGCATAGCGAGACTTGGGTATCCGCCATCGGTCGTTCTTCAACGGTTTCTCACCCAGCTCTTCGGGTGTTCTATCATCCACCGCTCGGGAAATCTGGTTCCACCGTACATCAGTGTCCACAAGAAACCCCTTGTAAATCGGTGTGGCGGCTGTGAGCGCTAGCATGATCGGGCCCAAAGGTGAGAGTTGATCATAAAGTGTCCGACCCTCGCGGATGTTCTTGGCCTGGAATGTGATCTGGAGGCAGCAGCTACCCATGCCGAAGGCCATGGCGTCCATGTAGACGCAATCTTGTTTGACAGCACCATTTCGAACATCGTCATCTTCAGGCCAGTTGTGCATATCGTAGTTGACAGTCGGGTCGCTGAACGGCGACGGCGTGTTCTTGTCTTTGAAAACGGGAACATTGAGCTCGACTTTTCTCCCTCTTCGTGATCGGATATTGGCAGCCAAGGTAGGGAAGCGGATGTGCGGGTTGGCGATCTCATCGGGAACGAACTGTGACCGCAACGCCGGGCCTGAAGGAGGATAATCGGGCTTGATCGTGTCTGGCAGGCCGAGGCGAGGGAAGGTCGTCAGCGTGATCGGGAATTCGTCAAGCCCCATATGCGCCTTTGCGATTTCGCGGCGCAGCCTCATGTCATCCTCCACGGCCAGAAGATCCTTGAAGTCGATGCCCCAAGGCTTCCCAGGCGTAGCTTCCAGCATGAACCGGCCGAACTCGGGATGAAAGGTGGGAAGGGCGCCGGTGGAACTGGTAAAGTCAACGCGAGGCTCAAGACGAATCAGAGAATCGACTCACGCAACGCCATTCTGGAGATCCGGCACTGTGACATCCTGGCCCGCAAGAGCCTGGTCTTTGGCCAATGCTTTCAACACATCCGCCTGACACAGCGACAGACGAACCTTTTTCTGCTCATCATCGATTGCGACGACGAGATATTCAACCTGGACAAGGTTCAGTGACCTGGCCCAGCACGCGGCTGAAGGGACCTTACCTCGTCGCCCCAAAGGAGAGCATCACGCTCTTTACCCTTGGCCTTGCGCCATATTCCGAGCAGTTGCTTGGACAGAGTCAGTCTCTAGATCTTCCGGGTATCAGCACTTTCTGGCGCAGATCTTACCTCGATACCCCATTCGCGTACTTGACCTGCCGCTTTCTTTGCGTCCGGCCAGTCCAGGGCTGTGCCTAACGCTCTACGAATGGATCAGAACATCAGCTGCCGACAAGCGCAGTTACGACTTACAAAAGGCCCATATCGCAAATTGGTTATTAGATCCAAATTTGCAGCAACAGGAACTGGCCGAGAAGAGAAGCTGAGGATATCGTGGTAAGCGGCGGGTCACCCCATCAAGCGAAGTCTCCTCTTGTTCCGGCAAGTGCGAGGTGGTATAGCTGGGGTGCGGAAGCCATTCAAGAGACGTGCATGATTACGCTGTAACCAATCGACAGGGGCTGTGCGTGCCGCCTACCAGGGAGGCGGTCCTGCAAAGACAACTTGATCGTGACGTTTTCTTATTCAATTTTTGCAGTCACAGAAAATCGGGACCTGAGGCGGAAGTAGCCGCAAGTGCCGATGAGACGATGTGGAGGGGGGCGCCTGGGTGGGCTGCAAAATTCTGATGCCTTCTCAAGTACACTCCACGGTTATTTACACAGTAGACGGATGGTGGTTGCAACGACCCCGACAGCCGAGAAAATCTCGCCATCCATAAGTTTGACGCTCACCGGGGAGGCATGGGTGAGAAGGGCCTTGAGGGTCGAGGCATAAATTCCGATGTTTAGTCATCCGGGCGAAGATTCACCAGATAGGAGCCAGACTGACGCACTGACATCTCCACGTGTAGGCTTGTGTGGGATGCGACGGCCACATACGAGTAGCCAGAGATAATAGTGTACTCTGCTCTGCTCGTCCGGTGACATCCGCACCCACGCAGCCGTCCGAAGCACTCGCACCAATCGACCGCAAAACGTGGGGGGCATTAGAAGTGACTCGCCTCACAAGCACCTTTTCAGCAATCATACCGTCTCAGTCGCAGCTGTGGCTTCTTTGACAGCAAATCTGATTGGATCACTACTTTTGTACAGTGACAGTACGGCATCAGGCCTGGAACGAGCCTTGGCTAGTAAGAGACTGAGATGAGAACGAAATGCTGCTGGCGGCTTTTGACGTACGAGTGTTGACATGCGAAGCACACACAAGTGCAGCTGAACAAAGCACCCGACCACGTGACCGCTGCCCTTGCAGTCGTTCTTTGCGATCCCTCCTCGTCTGTCATAGAATCTCGCTGCACGGTGATGTTCTGCTGAAAGTTGCTTCTGCGTCAAGTCGCTGGGCGGATCTCTTCTCCAGGCTTCACATTGCATCCCTCCTGCTCGACGCCGACAAATGCAGCACGTCCGCATATACAGCCAAAGCGAACACGCCGCACTGGAAAAGCACGCTGCTGTCCTTGCTTCATTGCTCTAATACTCTCTTCTCATTTGCCCTGCTTGCCCGGATCTCATCCATCTTCGCGACTCGCTTCTTGAACTCCTCGTACTGACATTTCTCGTAGCTGTGTCGTTCGTTCTGTCACTCCACACATCAGCACATATGCTCATTGTTGACAGCGCAGAAATGCTGAGGCGCCATCTCTTGCTGATGCTCGGCAGAGTGGGGGAGAGAGAACACACCTCACACTTCCACGGCATGAACCAAGTGTCGTGTCGGCATTTATTCAGTGGGATCAGGAGGTGTCCACAGCTGTCTCGGTATGCGAGGGGCAGTCGGGCCTCGGACATGGCCTGTCTGGATGCAGGAGCTGCGGCTGTCCATTGACACAAGCGATATCAGCTTCAATTCGACTGTGGTCCGTGTTATATTGGGGTTGAGTCAGGCAAACGACATACCGGCACCATCGCCAAGGCCGACTGCCTCCTTAACCGACTCTGCGACCGTCATTTTGTGCGACCGGTCCTTAAACAAGTGCGCTGAGGAGTTCTGGCTGGGTATGAAGCTCAATACGGCGATTTGAGCCTGGGATGTTCGGAGTAGCTGCGCCAAATGGGGGTGACGGAAGCACTCGGCCAGTAGCGCAGATATGCGGCGGAGCAATACATGTCTTCGCGCAAAGATTTCCGCTGAATATTTCAGAGTCTGGAGTGAAGGACGCCATTTTCAACAACAAGCACATAATTAACCCGATCCCAATGATACTACGTACTTAGCCACATCACGCTGCCCTTCCAGTGACAACCACATAAGTGGCAGGGAGGCTATAACGCAGGGTTCCAGTCCAAAATAGCCATGTTGCGTCCAAAATCGCAGCCGCCTGTACCTCACATACCTTCGCCCACGTGCAGCCGTGCCACTTTCGCGACATGCGGGCTTAGTCTCGTTGCTGAGAGTGCTCTCCGAATACCCCGTACGCCTCCACCACTCGCCTGCCCGCAGAATGGCGTTGCTCTAGAAGTGACCTATCAGCATGCGTCCCGTGAGATATCAGCAAACTTCTTGCTTCCACAGTGAGAATGAATGCGAGTGACTAGACAGCTAAATATGTAGGCGGTGAATTTATGACTCTTCCTGCCCGCCTGTCAGTCGGTCCGGCGCACGAGTATATGTACAATACACATTGCGGACGCGCGATCGAGTCGCAGTCAAGAGAGCAGTCAATTCAGTCGAACTGTGAATATCCCCATAACTCAAACCAAACCATCGCTGGATTGTGCGTCTCATACAGACAGGGAAGGGACGCCTGGCAGTTTAGATCTCTACCTTCCTACGGGGACTCCATACTCCATACTCCATACTGTATCAAACATGCCCATCACGGAGTTCCAAGAAGTCAGCGCACCATCCATCCACTGTCTTTCCCCCCATCCTGCCCGTATGGTGTCTAATGGCGCCACAGAAAGTCTACATCCACCTGCTTGCCATCCCGCCCGGCAGAGTCAGCACCTACGCCGCCATTGCGAAATCCCTCTCCAGCAGTCCCAGAGCAGTTGGCGGGGCGTGTCGCAATAACCCCTACGCACCAGAGGTGCCCTGCCATCGGGTGATCGCAAGTGATGGTTACGTCGGCGGGTTCAAGGGCGATTGGCAGAAAGCACCCAGCGGAGTGAATCAGACTATGAAGTTGAAATTGTTAAGTGACGAGGGGGTCCAGTTCACGGAAGGAAGGCTTGTGGCAAAGGATGTATGGTTTACTGGGCCGTTCGACATGGAGAAGGGCCAGACGGCGTTGAAGATCGCGATACAACAGCGGCAGAAGCCAAAGCACGGATGATTTGTGATTACGGAGTACTTTGTATTGTTTTCGTTGTCCGCTATCTCTGGGCGATAAGCCGCGCAACTCTATTGCACATTCAACGCCCAGTAGCATCCGCCAGGCTCACTTCACATGCCGTCAAGTTCGATATAACCGGGTCCTACACAGTACTTTCAGACGCGATGAGACAAAAATCAGTGGTGCTGGTGCATATGGCCCTCCCAAAGCCGACTCCGAGGATGTTTGCCAACTTCCTACCATGTACAAAATCAACGCTTCCATTGTCCACCAAATTTACAGCAAGGTGGCGCCCAAAAATGTCGACATGACGACAACAGCAGCACAAACCATCGGAGCGAAAGACCATTCGGGAGCCCTGACGGACGCAGCAGCGTTGCCCGAAGAAGTTGAGTCGCTGCCAGAGCTACCAGTTTGCGTGGCCTGTCCGCTGCCTTGAGTGGCGGTTCCAGTAGAAGCACCACCAGCGTTCTGCGAGCCAGGACCATCGAGACCAGGCCCAGTGCCGGCGCCTTCGGTCATGTACTTCTTAGCACCGTCTGGAATGGCGGGGAGAAGATCATCCTTGACGAGCCAGTTGGGGTCGGAGAAAGCAGGGCAGCCAGAAGCACCGCCAGTGGAGTTGTAGCCACCATCACCTTGAGGATTGGAGGTCTTGGCAAACTGCTCTTGCAGCACACCAAAGTCGGGCAGTTCGGAGACAGAGTTACCGCTGATCTCGACCAAACCGTAGTTGCTGGGTTCCTGAGAATATTCATAGACCAAGCCACCAGAGTAGACCGGAGTCATCTGGGTGCTATAAAGAGCCTCGACTTCACCAAAGTCACGGGTGTTTGTGTTGCAACCGTATTCGGACAGGAAGATCGGGAGACCATAGCCAGTGAAGTTCTTGACCTTCTGGTCCCACCCAGAAGTTTGGAAGGATGAAGGAGAGCACCAGGAGTAGTCGTTGAACGCGAAGAAGTCTGACCGCTCGTCGTCGGTACCGCAGTTCATGTACTCGGCCATCTCCAAACGGTTCTCTGCAACATCAGCCGCCGAGTAGCCGACAGGGATGGTTCTGTAGCCGCGGTTGCGGATATATTGTCGGATGTCGCGGGTGACAGCCTTGACATACGGAGCAGCAGCAGAAGTTTCTGGATCGTTGATGACTTCATTGCCGGAGAAGAAAGCCAAGGTGTTGCTATAGCCGTGGAAGGCATCGATGGTAGCAAAGATGCTCTGGAGGTATACATCGTTGTAGGATGGGCCAGGATCGGCTCTGTTGAGAGAGTACTTGGGGGTGTTGACGTCCAAGATCAGGTAGATGCCAGCATCTGCCAGTGCATTCATGCAGGCGTCATGAGATGCAGTATTGTCGACAGTGTAGACGCGAATCGCGTTGATGCCCAGCTTCTGGAATTCTGCGAGGTCTCGCTGGCAGCCCGCTTCGTCGGCGATGGGATCGGCCACGTCGGAGGAACCACCAGGTTGATAGTCGACGCCACGAATGTAGAATCGGTCATTGCCCGCAAAAAAGCCTTCATCAGAGTCAGTATACGTGTGAAATGGGATGGACGCGGGAAACATACCATTTCCCTTGACAGAGACGGAGGGCAAGCTGCTTTGTCTCTTGACGGAAGCTGCAGAAGCAGCACCGGCGCCCAAGGCGAGCGTCGCCAGTGTGGAGGTACGCATGGTTATCAGTAAGTGAGAAACCTGAGGATACGGAGCTCTCTTTCTTGTTTTCCAGTTGAAAGCAAGGCAAGGGGCTAGAAATGACCTCGCAGTTGGGAGAACAAAATGTAAGTGAGGTCGGGATCCAAGAGAATGAGGAATTCCCAACAGAAAACAAAAGTATTAGAAAGCGATAGCGAGGGAGGAGCGACACTCAACGACGAGTGACTGCTCTGTCTTTGGGTGATGAAGTTGAAGGCAGGAATGAAAGATGCACGACGCACTGTGCATAATGAAGGCAGGATATTCATGGCAGGGGCGCGCCCAGCCAAATGCGCTCCCAGTTGACGCAGGCGTGTTGAATGAGCATCGCCGGCCCCTGCACTATCCAGTGGGGTCGCCCCTGTTCGATCCCCTCTTTTGTGCGGGTTTCAACCACTCATCGCGAGCCCACCATCTGATGGTTTGCAGATACAGCTTCTTGATCCTTCCGCTTCCGTCTCGGGATGGGGCTCGATTGGCGCATGTTTTGAATTGCGCTCAAGGGAGGCCGTCGACATGCTGCAGGCTTTTCCAACCACACTTTGGCCGCACCAACGAAAATATTCTGCTGGAACTGAGCTCCTGCAGTGCCTGCCTTCCAGCTCGAGAGCCGGAATATTGTCGATTCTGTGCCAGGGAAGCTCCTGACTGACCCGCCTGCTAACGCTGTACCCAGTACTGTGTATCGCGCTCATGCGCCATCGGTCGCGTGCCGAGCAATTGGATGTCAAGACCAAATTTGCCCCAAGCGAGACGAGCCTCCAGTGTCCACGCATTCTTTTTGCACAGCCACGTCGATAAACAGGAGCTTGTTTCACGATTACTCCAGCGTCTTAATATCTGTCTCAGGATTGTTCTTTCATCTTGCCACTGTGCTGTGAAAGTGCTCCTGATCTCTCGCGGATTTTCGCCTCCTTGCCTATCATTCGAGGCTCGATAGATTTAATGCATGGGTGCCCCCAGATTATTGAACCACGTGATCTGGTAGTCTTGACAGGACGGCGGAGCTGTTAATGCACTTGTGTACCTGTTAATCAAACAGGCGTCGTAATCCTCCGATGATTCAATAGTATATAGGTCGAGAGGGCGATGTTCTGCTGGGCAGAGTGGTCATGGTCCTGACTCGTTGATTGTCTTGTCTTCGTTCTTGGATAGAGTGTCAAGTGGTGACCAGATGGTCTGTACAGAGAACGACAGTCGCTACCGGCACCACTGGTCGGTCCACATTCTTTTACTCCGCAAACTCGTCGACAACGAGCATGCACTGCTGCTCGGCTGCATCCAGGAAGTCGGCTGCAGACATTGGATGAACTCCAAATCGTCGGAACCATGGTCCGACTACGGAGTAGGCGAGGGTCAGATCGAAGGCAAGGACACCAAAAAGGTGAGTGGCAGCCTGCAGATACGAGTCAAGACCTGGTTGATAAAGATAATCTGGTCGATTGTCTCTACAACTATACACTACTTGCTACCGCCGCCTGTGCTTGTCCGTGCCAGGCCCACCGGCCACTTTTGTCCACACCAAGTCATAGTGTCCTCCCAGTTACCCAATCCCTTCATGTACAAGTTGGTTTCCGAGCAGACCGAAGCTCGAGATCACCGAACTCTAGAGTGATTAAAACGCCAAAAGCTATGCGCGGTCGCAGATTGTTGATCAAAGGAGAGAAATGCTGAGCCGTGTCATCGTTATATACTGGAAATCAAGGTCATATAAGCCGCCAGTGGAAAGCACCGCCGGAGTTGATCGTCAGGGCGTGGGTTCGAGGTTATAAGGCAAAGAAGAGGCAGCCACCTAGGCCAGCGAGCACCGCAAAGACACCTCCAACTTTGATGGAGGAGCCGACATTCTGCAGTCCGGGGTCGCTCCCCGTGGTCGCCGCGGCACCCGCTGCTCCCGTTGCGTCACCAGTGTCCGTAACTGGAGCATTGACCACAACAACTGACGTCGACGTGCGTACGGTGCCATCGGGTAAAGTCGTGTAGAATAGATGGGTGGATGTGCTAGGAGTGAAGTGCACACTCAGTGCCGACGATGTGAGTGTCACCAGACCTCCGCCATAGGTACTGAACACCACCGCGCCATTATCTGTCGAGACAGGTGTAGCGGAGGGCGGAGTGGTCGGAGGTACCGTCACGGTGGTAGCTGCGGGAACGGTAGACGCGAAAATCGCCGAGGAGAGGATGGAGGATACGCTAGCCGCGCGAGAGCTTGATTCTGAGGCAGCACTGCTTTGAGCAGGAGTCGAGGGTGTCACTGTTGACGTAGTGGTTGAATTGCTGGCCTGCCTCTTCTTTGCCAGATGTACAAGCTTGCTGGCGATGATTGGGTTTTCAGAGTGAACGTGCTCGATCGCCGCACGGTCCTTGCTGAAGACACCATCCTGGAACTTGGGCGACAGCGAGTGCAGGACAGAGTGCAGTGCGGCGGGATCGACGGCGTCCAGCAACGATGAGAAGGCGTCCCAGTTGTATAGTGATTGATCGTCTGGCTGGCTGTGCGCAGGTGAACTGAACGCGCCCAGCAGCAGAGTGCTGCAAACGAATGCGTGTCGTAGGCCGATCATGTTGACCAGAGAGATGGACGACAATAGGATTGGACCAAGCGAAGGAAGGTTCGTACCAAACAGATGCAAGTAGTGAGTGACAGCGAGAGAGGCGTAGGTTTGAGTGAAAGATGGATGGTTCAAAATTAAAAGGCTGGATGAGAGATGTGAAGCCTTCTTCTTCCCCACTGGCGTTGAGCGAGGAAGTGTCGGAGGTGCCAGTGAAGAGACTTTGCCCCGGCTGCTGGGAGCTGCGTGCTTGGGTGCCGGGTTGCAGCGACTAGCGGAAAATCGTGGCTTTGATATGGCCACACAAGCAGGATCTTCCCAGCGTGCGACCCCTGTCAGATCCGACGCGGCCAGGCAGGCGGGTATGCAAGTAGTCAGGTCGGCTCGGATGACTGGCCTTTCTGTGCCACACCCTGCGCGCCTGATAGCTTGTGTTCTACTGATACATCACTCGATACGGAGTACAGGACTCCATGCCATTCTCGCTACGCAGCACGATATGTTGGCTCAAACCAGGAGGCGTCATGGGATGCAATTTGCTTTTCGCGGTGGTGCTGAGACTGCACGTGGGCGCGCGCTGCCATGCCATGCGAGGCTTCATAAGCCTGCTTGCCAGCGGAACATCGGCTTGACCGGTCCACTTGGTGAAGCACGCCACTTATCAGCAGTCGATTCCAGCACCAGCCACCGGCTGTCTTGTCTACTCAGTACCTCGTACTGTGTTAGGTCTGACCGACCTGCTATAGAGACAGCATTCGACCTCCCCGTCCAACGCAACATCGTATCCTTACGCTCACGAGCTGATTCAGGCGGATGGCTGCGTTGCTGTGTATCGCATTTTGCCACTGCAGCCGACGAGGTGGAACTTGACCAACAACGGCCACAACGGGCCCCTTTTGGCGTGCCAAGCATATCCGGGCGGGGCTTGCTTGCCTCAAACTGAGCGAATCAGGATTCAGCCCTCGGGTCGGCAGTCTTGCTGGGTTGTGTTCGTCTGGCCTCGAGTGTTCCATCACGCCCAATTCGGCTCGTCCACACACTTTTGGTCTCCATCTCCCTCTTTTTGCTACTCCATTCCTGCGTCATTGTTCGCTCGCCGCATCAGTGGCTTGCCGATGAAACATCGCTTGTTGTTCAACAGCCTGTTTCACCGCTGATCGGTGTATCAGACGTATGCTTCCATGCCTCAGGGAAAGTCTTGAGAAACTCGTCATCCGGGGTTGGTGTGACAGCCGCCTAAAAGTGCACTGGTGACAAGTATGGCGATCGCGAAAAATTCCACGCCGGAGGCAGTTGCACGGCCGTAGTGGTTGCATTGAAAGCAGAACGAAAACTCAACGACTGAGAATACCGATCACCTGTGCGTGGCCGTGTTCTGGCCATTGCAAAAATTTCTATTTTTGTCTGCGGCCTGCAGATCGCATGACGGGTGTCACTTCAGATGCAACCATCGCCATGTCGACTGGTTGAGATTTCACTGACGTCTTGTACCTTGCATCGTCATCCCAACCTGCAGAACCACCAGCACAGATGAAGATAAGATACTCGTAGCCCTGGATCCCCGCTGGGCAGCGGCCAACAACGCGTCCCGTGTCGAACAAGCTCAGGCAACCTTTGGCTATCCGGAGGCCCTATCCTGGACGACTCATTGGTCAAGAGCACGAGCATCAGCAGATCCATCTCCACAACCTGTTCTTTCCTTGCCTATAAACTTCTCCCTATCCCAAGTACGAGGTAGCAGAGATCAGCCTGCCAATTGGTCAGCTGATGTCCTGGAACTGCTTACTCAGGTATACACGGAGAGTTCCGATCAGGTCGACTTCGTCTATTGGCTTGGTCTGTCCCGTCTGTTCAACAATGTCAGTTCCATCAGTTTTCAGCACCGAAATGGGAGGTACGATGTCACTTGTGCTCTAGATGAGAAACTCAACCTACATACGTGGCAGCACGATTTCCGGCGGATCACATGTGCCATCTGTATCATGACCGCATCGGTTTGAATCGCAAGGCTGAACAAGTCTTCGCGAGAATACTATATATTGCTCTTGGAGCTACTCCACCAGTGGAATGACGGTCACCTTATTGACCGTGTACGCGGTATTCGCGATTGGTTACCCGTCAGATACAGCCTGCAATCGACCCTAATGACCAAGAAACCTTTCGCCTGATCGTCCGACTGTAGGTTGAGGGCCACGAAATACTGTGTTGCCGGGTACTGTGTATATCCCCATGGCATTCACCTGAAAGACTTTCTGCGCCCATTCCCCCCGGTCTTGATCCATCTTGGTTGTCACTGGCCCAGCGTATCCGTCGTTGAGGGTCAGGACGCCCCACCGCCCGGAATAGCTTCTCATGTACTACTCGTAGGGCAGGGCCTCGACGTCCGAGGTGTGCGCGATGTCGCCATGTCTTGCAGGCAACCACACCTTCGGGAAAGGTTCGGCACATCGCCGCAGCTAGGGCGCGGAAGCACAGATTTGTGCTCAGTCATTGTGAAGCGGTCGACGGCGCGAATGCAAGGGTCATTTCTCATGATCTGATTGCTGAACGTTGCGCTTATGCAATACCCCTGTAGCTATAAATCCTCAGTGAGCATTTGGTAAGCTTGCTCGTCATCAGCTGTGGCTCGCTCTGGGAGTGATGCGTCGCGTAGCGTGCGAACATCGATGCCCACAGTAGCGAGGGAGTAGGGACTAGAAGACACCCCGTTTTGAGATCCCTCGGCTGCTACGCCCCAGAGAAGCAAGTGACGAAGCATGTGTATTAGGGTCGTGAGCTAAGTAGTTGAAGCTTCGATCTTGCTCTGGTGTGACCTCCTTGATGCACTTTGGTCAAGCCACAGGGGCAGCACCCATCTAAGTATGATGCAGGGTGTCAGAGTCGCGCTTGTGACTCTACTCTGAGCTGCCTGTCGCCTCTCTCCAGCGGGCGTCGAACCAGCTGTTGACCTTGCTGTCATCTTCTGGCTGAGGATCTTGCCTCGGAGCTGGACCCGGCATGTCTCCCACAGCCTCACTGTGGACGTCGGAATATTGTGCCAGGTCATAGGATCGATGCGGGTCGTGCTGAAGAGCGTAGGAATTGTGCCCCTGGTATTCGGGGCCGCTGGCCCCCATTGAGTGCAGCGAGGGGGTAGTGGCGGCGCCGAAGTCGTTCTGTGGGTGCCCCAGTTCTAGCAGATGCGCTGTACGTGGGTACTGTTGTCCCTGATGGTGGTGTTGCTGCCCATACGTCGACGACAAAGCTAGCTGAGTACCGTCGAGAGAACCACTAGCCCAGTCAGCTCCTTATCCCTTACGGTCGAACAGTTTTCCAGCGTACCTCTGTGCACTCCAGATGGAGAGAGCATAGTAAGGGACGGCTGGTCCAGGCTCCATTAGCGCTGGTGCTTCGTCGAAAGCCCTGCCTGTGCCTTGCTGCCTTTGAAGGTAGCTGCAATTCTTTCTCTTCTTCCGACACTCCTCACAACCCCGGGATGGCGACCCTACCACCTCGCACTAAAGGACGGACATTGTTATTAGGGGAAGGTGACAAGCCGCAAAATGAGCCCTACCCAACGATGACCGTCGCGGCATTGATCACAATTCCGCCTGCTCCTCCCTGGCAGCCCCGTTTCATTAACGAATTTCCTCTGTTTGCCTTGCTGGTCGTCCCGGCCATATCCGGAAGAGGTTGTCGATGCGCATTTGCCAATATGTGGCGGCGCCCTAGGGCAAATAGGTCAGTGGTGTAAACCCAGTGGTACCTTGGAGAGAGATTTCACTTGCCACTGCAAGCGTTGATTTGCCATGGTCCGTAACAGGTCGAGGTAAAGATGCACCGGCTACCGAGGGACGTTGGCCGCGAAAGAACGGAGAGACTCTCTTTCGACATGGTGAACTGGACCTTTATACACGACATGCACCTCATGCCAGCTTCGCTGTATCGCGCTGAAAAGTGCCCAGCCCATCCAGCTTGTTTGTGATGAGCTGCATGGTCCATAATGCTGACAGACTCCGTAGTGAGGCAACGGCAACTAGTCGAGACGCACTGCAGTCTGGAGGGGTAATTGCGGGCCATCCTGTTTCTGGCGTTGAAGACAGTGACCGGGCAACACTCAATGTTCAGTGAATTGAAGAGCAAAGGACCAGCTACTGTAGCATGGCGCGTGGACCACATTGCACACGTATAGACTCTCACACCCACTCCAACGGGCCGGAAACATTCTCATGTCGCTATTTCCATCGAGGCCCAAGAGGTCCGCGTGACAAGCATACTGAAGCAGCTCCATTGCTTCTTCGCTGGAGCGAGCCGGCCACAGGCTGTGGCTTTTCAACAGAGCGTGGACTGTAGCAGCGCGACCCACTTCCCATCATTCTCTCTTCCACAAGCGCTGGGTTTTGAGCTCTCCGAAATTCCAATTCCTCCCCTGAAACCTTTGGAGGGAGACGAGAGAATGTGCTGGAAGATTTCGACCGGGCAAGGCTGGTGATCTGCACAGACGCTCCTGCAGCTGTGACTGTGCCAAGCACGGCATGGTGGCGGTGAGCGGGATCCAGCAATAACGCTAATGAAGACCAGATATGCAGGATTTGGCGACTAAATCTGTTCTCACTCACAAATCCGTGCTCACGACTCGGTTTGATTGATGCCCCTGTCATTTCATGCGGAAATAACCTAGGGATGGTGTTCGCCAGCGACCGTGACAGATGCCATGGAAACGACAAGTACCATTGGTCTGCAAGTCGACACTCACATCTTGAATCTTCCCGTGCCTCTAATTGGATCGGTACAGTAGCAGAATGTGGGTTATTGGTCGCCTTCCGTGCGTGTCGTCATTGCCTTGCAGCATGACAGCGGCTGGGCCATGCCCATGATACCCCGGGATAATCTGGTGGCTAGGAATCCGAGCCGTGGGTGGGATGGTATCTTGAATATTTTCCCAGCTTCCTTGCCCATCATGAAGCCACTTGGCATTGCAGCTATGGTCCCGCACGAGTTAAGAAGGCGAAGGTTGGTATTTTAAGACTGTCGCGTCGCAAGGTCGCTAGATCCAGCTGTCACCTAGAGTTGACCGTGAGCATAACCAACAGACTGTCCTCGTCTTTCACCTTTCAAGGCTGTCCGACGCTGCAGGGCCTCAGTATGCATACTCCCATTCAAGCCAATCAAGCCCATCTCGAGTAGACTGTTTGAGACGGATACTGCTCGTGTCTCCTCGTTTTCTGTCACGCGAGGACGGTCTCTGACGACAGAGCTTGCTCCCGAATGGATGTGGCGCCTTGCATTTACTGGTCGGTGGCCCACCGAATAATCCCAGCATGACTCCTCAAGGTGTCGACCATTTGTTCGGGCTAGCTTCCAAGGCGTGGATGCTCGGTCTCTGGCGAGAACCGTGACCCGAGCTGTCCTGTTACTGGGGTGATGGAAGGAAGACGCCAATGCATGTAAACGACCTTGCGTGCAGAGATCTACCCGCTATCAAGGTTGACAGCTTTCACCTTCAGGCTCCTCATCCCTGTCACCGGTTGTGCGTAGCGCCGCAGATCGCGCGCCGGTGGACTTGAGTCATAACGCCGCTTCTGAAGAGGTAGCTTGACATTCGAATCGTGTCGGGCAACTATTCGAGAGATATAGACAGTCGACATGCATCCAGCAGCTCTCCGCAATGCAGCTGGGGCCTTCTCTGCATCACCCGCATGACATCTTGAGGTCAACTTCTCTGTAAGAGTTACGAGCCACAGGTCAGCGGAAACTTACCTGAAAAGACGGGTTTCACTCTGCAATCAGACTGCGTTTCTTGCATGAGACTGGGCAGACATGGTCGAAAGCTCCAATCCGTTTTCCAAACACTTGCACGAAAGGCGGCCTCGCAGGATTACGGCTCCGGATATTGTTTGGTCTCGGCAACAGGTCCTGGCTGGATAGTCATCGGATCCTTCAGACGCGATTGTAGAATTGATTCAATCACGGGTGATATCCGTGTACTGTATAGCTCCCGTCCCCGAGTCTCCTTGACGGCTTGTGTCCTTGTGGGCTTCACTTGCCTGATGGTTGGAGTCTCCAATGGCCGGAGACACAGTGGCAGGTCAGTGGGCGCAAGGTGCTTCACAATTAAAGTGCATCGCCAGAAAGCCTGGCATGGGGAGAGTAAGACCCCAAGGCAGTTGCCGGCCAGCAGACGATAAGGGCTGGGAGGGGAAAGGAAGCTGGAGCTTCGCCCCAAAGATGGGAGGTTGTGAAGTCGCTTTCGCCAGCCCTTGCAATGGCGCTGGGTCCGGCTGAACAAGGCTGTTTATGCCATGGCCCCTCCTTTGTCGATGGACCACGAGATAGACAACCCGCTTCCCCCGTGGCCAACGTCACGCTCGGCATCCTCTGTGTGAGAAATGGTAAACCGGAAGAGCTTCGATTCACTTCAATCGGCGTCGGTGTGATGTCGGATAAGCCCGCCAGCAATGGCAGGGGAACCGGCGGCGTGGGCGAACATCCACATTGTAAGGCTGGCGCTACCCGAAATCCCCTCGTCCTTGAGCACCACGTCCAGATTCTCAATACCGGTCGTGCAAGAGGAGGAAGGGAAATGTCCATGGTCTGGACTCATCATTGCTTGCCATGCATACGCAGAGATGCGGAACAACCAGAAGCGACGACGTTTGCTCGAATCGCCTCGCGTCATAATGTTGCACGGCCCCTATCAACGCACTGTCTAGGATGCGTTCATTCAACCCCACCTGGGAAGTCGTCTCTATTGCTACCAAATACATGATACAGCATGCTTGCCGTGTCTAAATCCTCTCTCACCGTGAAATTCAGTCCCTACACCTTCTTCTTCAGATCGAAACCCACGAGGTATACCCGAGCAACGGCGAACATGGCACATCCAGCAAAACAGACTATGCCACCAAACAGTTGGAGGTACAAGAATCCCCCGTGGTCGCGAGTGATCAACGCGCCACCAATGGGCGAGCCTGTCAGAGCTCCGAGCGAACCCGCGCCAAACACCGTTCCTGTCCGCACACCGATCTCCTGGATCGGCGAAACTTGCGCAATCAAGGCAGGCGTCAGTCCGATGGCAGCACCGGAGGCGAAGCCGAAGACGGGCGCAAAGACAAGTTGGCCTACATTGGTGTCGGCCGGGATCCAGACTGCCAGAATCAATATTCCCGCCAACGTACAAAACACGGTCATGACGTTGAACCGCCCGAATTTGTCACCGAGGATACCAGGTAGTGTTCGACCGAAGACTGAGCCTGCGTTGAGGATGGAGACCAGGTACTGTGCCAACTCAAGAGACATGCCACGACCGACCGCGACAGCCGTGATGAAGGAAAAGACAGGAAACATTCCCCAGTAGAACAGGAATGTCGCGATGGTGAGCAACAGCATCGGAGTCTCTTTGAGTGGTCGCACAAACGCCATGACACTCCAAGGGCGGGGTCGTGGTGGAAAGCGTGCGCGGAGGGTGAGGATGGCGAAGGTGCAGAGTCCGAAGATAAGAAAGGCACAGGTACGCATAGCCCAGGGGAATCCGTTCCTTTCGATCATCCGGCTGACAATGATCGGGAACAGCACACCACCGAGAGAACTGCCCGAGGCCGTGATACCGATAGCCATCCCCCGTTTCTTGTAAAACCACGTCGAGACACAAGCGACGGCTGGTGTGAAGATGCAACATGCTCCGATGGCCGAACAAACACCCTGGCTGAGCATGAACTGGTAGTATTCCTTGGAGATGGATGCCATCATCAACCCGAAGACGTGCATGAAACTGCCCACGATCAAAAGTCTCGTAGGGCCGTAGTTGTCGAAGATGAATCCCGCCACAGGGCCCGTAGCAAGCATGAAGAAGGTCTCCACCGAAGGAATCCAGGCGACCGTGCTGGGTGAGTACTGTCTCAGCTCGACGCTCATATACCTCTCCTGGAACACTCCGACACAATTAATCCACCTGGGTCAACGTTAGCATTCGGCGGAAAAATACTATCAGAGCGCGAAACCACGTACCCCCAGGAAACGAAGAAGCAGGCACTCGCAGCGGCAACCGTAAGCCACGCTTGACGACCGCCATCAGGAAACGAGGAGGGATCTGCCCACGGCGTCGCTGGTTTGGGAGCCTCGACTTCGACATTTTGTTCCAGAGAGGACCGTCCCGTAGACGCGGCCGACGGTTCTTTGGTGTCTGTATTGAGCTCGTTGCCCTTCGCGGCCGTTGAGGGTCCATTCTCCAGGGGCAGTTGCTTCTCGACATCTGCCGACATGGTGCCGGTATGTGGAGCGTCGAGCCGAGGGCAACAAGCGGTTTGTTCGATGAGTATACGCCGTGTCGTACAAACAGCGCGGGCTTGAAGCTGCTGGACTGCACCAGTGGAACACTCTTCTCGACACGACACACAAGTTCAAGAGAAAGCAGCGAAAGAAAGTAACCCGGCAAGTCAAAAAAGATCTCCTTTAATGGATATATCAAGAGATCGGAATAAAGATCAAAAATGCACCCGGCCAGCCCCACCCTCGATGTACATAGGAGCTTCGGCTTTATGAAAGCGCGAAGTCCACTGACGGGCTAGGCTGATCAATATCCACCGTCGAAGCTTCGCCATCGACTAGATGAGCAGGATCTGGGCTCTCATTGGATGGGACAGCCGTCAAGCTACCGACACCAGCCATGTTTCATTGGAGCTAGAACCACGTCCGTGATTGATCCGTGTCCGTTGTTGTAACTGTTGTACGAAGCGTTGCGCCCAGTGCTCGGCTCGCTCGAAAAGCCCTGCTCGGTCTTTGCTGTATCAGCATCTCGGCCTCTGCGTTGATAGCCATTCATCATGAAAACCGACGTGAGCGATGCACAAGTGTGTTGCCTGTAGGGACGAGCTTCTGGCTCTTGTCAGCACAACTTCTGGCTCTTGTCAGCACAACTTCTCTGTATGCATATAGTACGTAGCTCGTACAGTAGTTTCCAACAACTGTCCTCAACAGCATGAGGAGCCCGACCATGCAGGACGATTGTCGGAGTTAAACAGGCTGTCTGTCCGCCTGGCACTATCATGCGCAAGAGCGACGAAAAACTTTCCCATCGAGCGGACGGATGGTCTTTCTTGACCTGGTATTGTGTGATGTTTCTCCAGCCTTTGCTGTTCTGTTGCGCCGATCGAGGCCTCCCTCTCCATTCATCGTAGAGAATTCTGGCAATAGACCATACTTTCATCTTGGACTGACGAAAAGCGCTTGAGCCGTTGGCATGAGACTCTGAACCTCACATGTCTTTACCCTCGAGGAGGAGAAAGACACGAGTGAGACAGACAACACGGGTCGAGGTCCACGGCGTCTCTTATATTGATTGCGAGGATCAAAGTAATGTAGTTGAAGGAGATTTTGATGACAGTCACCCGCCTGCGCTTACTGGAACGTTTTACGCGTCTGTTCCTTCGATATTACTGTACTGTGGTACTCCTTGTCCGGTCACTCTCCGTCATTCTGCACCGCACCGCAGCGCGCCAATACCGTGTACACAGCACGTACTGTGTACATTGAATCCTTCAATGGTCCCGGCGACAGGCGATGCCGCTCACGACCGTCGCCTGGGTACGGGCGACTCGGCGAATGTTTTGTCATAATCTCGTTAAAAGTACTGAAGTCTATACAGTATATTCACCCCCACACGATCATAATCATGCCCCTGGCCGGCCTTCGTAGGCAGCATGCCCAACCAGAAAAACAAGCCCGCCATGGTAAGAATGTTGCCATGGGTGTCTTGACAACGAGAAGACAACCCAGACATATTCATCCCGGAGCACATGCATGGCACATGGGCCTGAATCAGAAAGTCAAACACAGATCAGACCGCCCAGCGTTCCGATGCCTCTAATTTGCCTGCCCGACGAACATGCACTTTGTATGTGAACGTATCCTGTCTTATCATGTCTAGTCATGTCTCAATGTCGCACTCTGTCTTCTTTACCCCGATCTGCCGATCTGTGCTTTATATCTCCGTTGTGTTCGCTTCCCTGGTCTACCTCTAATACCTCATCATACCCATATACCCGGCGACGGCTTCCATTCGGATTGCTTTCTCCTCCGGCGTCTCCCGAGGAGAGACCGCCGGGGTTTTGCTCTTGCTGGCGTCCTTGCTGTCCTTGCTGCTCTTGCGTGGCAGAAGGGCCTTCAAGCTTGAGGTGGTTGACGTGCTGCGGACGGAGGCCGTCTCGACCATGGTTGACTTCTCGTTTGCTGAAGGCATCGTGTGAAACTGGAAGGTCAACGGGAAGGGACAAGGTAAGGTGTGCTGGTGTTGGTTATGGTGCTGGGTTGATAGATCGAGCGATGTACAGAGTACCCTGTTCCGGTCTATCCAGGTATGTTGGGAGTATTCTCTTCTTGGAGCCTCAGGTGCTGAATATCGAGCGCACGTGGGTGGCACGAAGCTAAGTAGACAGCAGGGAGTAAGTAAATGGTGGCCCGACTGCTGACGTGGTGAATGCAGTGTTCTGTGTTCAGCGCGATGCTCGAATCTGGTTTTGATGCTGTATCCGTTCTCAATGGAAGACAAACGAGCCTGGTTCTGAATCTGAGCCTCCAATTCCAGGCTCCCACGGCTGTTATATACCTCACCTTACCTACCTAACCTGTTCTGCTTTACCGTCCCTGGACTCTGAGTCCTCGATCCAGCTCCACTAGCCACTCTTTACTGTAAATGGTAGGTACCAAGTGACAGGACAGCGACTAGATGGTGGCCTTGGCCTCGGCCTCGATCCCCACTTCGACTCAAGCATTGCGAGCTTGCTTATACAAGCAGTGCCGATTCGTCTGGTTTCCTGCTTGCCTAATACTTGGCCTTGGACAAGCCTGGCCCGCTTGGCTGAAATGTTCCGACTCAACACTGTGGGGAAATGAACTCCAGGCTGAACGCATACTTTCGCGAGCGACTTCCAGGCAGCACCATATACGGCACCGCGTTTGGTCGCGAATATCCGCGGCCAATGAAACGGCAAGGCGCGTACAGTGTAGGCAATGGGAGTTTGCAACTGTGACTCTGCCCTGAGTGTGTATATCTGGCGCTCGCACGGTTCTTTCCTCTGCGGATGCACGAGGAGCTCAATGCGTATCTTGTGACTCATTCGCGGCAGGGTACGAGTACGAGCACGGGAGATTCCCCTAGCAACTGGGGTTCGTGGTGATAGCGACCGCCAAAGCGACGTCCAATGCAGGGCAGCGCAACCCAATGCAGTTCCAATGCACTACACCGGTCTAGTCAACGCGAGAGAGGTGCCCACTCGACGTCGCAGGGCGGATGGGATCAGCAGGATAGGATAGGTACAACTGGAAGGGAAGTATGTAGAAAAGCGTCACGGCCATTGGTTCCGGCGTACAGTAGCTAGTAGGGCACTGAGGGCGTCGGGAGCGGATACTGGGTCGAGGTTAAAGAGCCACGAGGCCGTGCTGAGGGATACGGGATACAAGCATACCGGTCAAGCTCTGTTCGGTAGGTGGGATGGTCTGACTCACTTACTGTACAGAGTAAGTAGTCTGCGTGATTAACGGAGTAAGTGCCTTGGCCTCGTGGCTGCCTGACTCGAGGATGGTCAAGATGACGTTCGTATTCGTGTTGCGACCTCGACACAGTTTTAGGATCCGACTGAGAGCCGATGAGCATTTAGCACCAACTTGCTCAACATGAGTCAGTACCTAGGATTGACCGCTTGACGAGTATGGAGCATTTCATGCGGAAGTCTCTTAATTTCTACCCTTCGTGCTTGTCCGCTTTCTCACGTGGAAGCCCTCTTTTGAAGGTTGCATGCCATGTTTGCGATGGAGATATGCAGTAGACCTACCTGCAGCACATTCGGGAGTTTAGCCAGTCCACTGTCTTCTGACCAAACGGTACTCAGTAAGACTCCTTCAACTCTTAAATCCAGAGCGACTGAACTGCAGACTACTAGATGGGTTCCTGATCCTGATCCTCGCGATGAAAGAACCGTGGCCTTACAGGGCCGTGTTTGAGAGAGGGCTCGTATTTGTATAATCAACCAATTCCCTTCTTACTGTGCATGTCAAGGCATCGATCTATTTGAATGTGTACACCTTGATCAATCTCCTCCGAATGCAAAGGATTTCCCGAAGCCAATGAAACACTTTTATCCGCAGCAGAAGAAGGAGGAGGAGGAGGTTAGGTCCCTACAGTCATATCAGCAGCTAGTATTTCATGCGCATTTGATCCATGATATCATACCACAAGCCCATGCAATGCCCACGCCTGTTATGTCTATGATTGTGACTTCAGCTTTTCCGTCAACTCAGGCACCTTCTCGAACAAGTCGCCCACAAGTCCCACGTCTGCGACCTGGAAAATCGGCGCATCGGCATCCTTGTTGATGCACGCTATGACCTTGCTGTCCTTCATGCCCGCCAGATGTTGAATCGCACCCGAAATGCCGGCCGCGAGGTATAACTGAGGCGCCACGTTCTTGCCCGTCTGCCCAACTTGGAGACTGTTGTCTGCAAAACCGCTGTCAACCGCAGCGCGGGAGGCACCGATTGCAGCGCCCAGCGCGTCCGCCAAGGGAGGGATGAGCCGGTCGAACTCCTCTTTTGATTTCAAGCCTCGTCCGCCCGAGACGACCTTCTCGGCTGACGCGAGTTCCGGTCTGTCAGACTTGGCCAGGCTCTCCGACACCCATTCCGTGGGTGACTCGGCTTTGGGGTCGACACCGTCTTCAACGGCCGCGGACCCACCTTCTGTCTCCGTGGGGGCAAAGGACGTCTGGCGTACGGTGAGGAGTTTCGTCGAGTCGGTGGATTTGACAGTGAGGATCGCGTTACCAGCGTAAATGGGGCGGACAAATGCTGCACAGATTAGCCTGTTGCAGGAGGATAAGAACGCTGCACCTACTGTCTTCGCCCTCGATATTCATCACATCCGAGATCTGTTGGACGTCCAACAAGGCCGCAACCCGCGGTAATAAACTCTTTCCAAAGGCCGAATGTGAAGCAATGACATGTGAATATCCGCCTTTCTTGATGTTTTCTACCAGCAGTGGTGCCCAGTTTTCCGGCAGACCCCTCTCGTAGGCTTCATTCTCCACGGCAATCACTTTCTCGAGTCCTTTGATTTTAGCTGCTTCTTGAGCGATGGTCTTTGCAGCTTTGCCGGCCACGAAGCCGTGCACCGAGCCTCCGAGCTCGGCCCCCGCGGTGACTGCACCCAAGGATCCGGTGTTGAGTTTTCCGTCCTTTTGTTCCAGAATCGCGAGCGTGGAGAGCAGTCGTGCGAGAAATGACGCTTGCGCAGGTGTCAGGAGGGGTCTCGGAGCCGTCTGCGCACGTACTGCCCGTAGGGCTGATTGTCGAGCTATTGGGAGCATCGTGCCTGCTGGATGCTCTCCACAGGAAATGGAGGAAAAGGAGAGGAGCAGACCGTGCAACTCACAGTTTGAATAGAAGCATCGAGTCCCACGGTCATGAATTCGGTATTGACGTCTTCGGTTGGTGGAATTCGCCGTAGCTTGAGCCTCGGGTTTTCCAGTTTATGCGAGTTTCTGCCGGCTCCGATCCCGGCCGTGGTTCCGAGTTAAGCACTCACGTGAGCACTCCAACATTTACACGTGATTTGGAGGATTTTCCTGTGTGACTGGGAGGGTTATCCGAAGGGTTGGCCAGACAGTGCCAAGGGCTGTAATGGGCCATACCCCCAATTGTACGATACCGTATTGTTTCCATAGGCATCCGTAACTATATAGCTGGGTCTCTGCTCAGACCCCTCTGGAATTCATCATGTCCTCCAATTGAGTCACACCTGGATTTTCCTGCACCCCTTGGAGACACGCTTGTACTGTTCACATTGGCCTTCCTCCACAGTGATGCGTCGACCGAGACATCGCTAATAGCAGTTAGACATACGGCCCGTTCAACGCCCCGACATACAGCGACTGCTTTCTTTTGTCGACCCAGTCCTTCAACACCTCTGAGATATCTATGTGACTCTTCTTCATCTGCCAGAACTCCGTCGGCAAGGACGAATCATCCCCTGTATCAACCTCCACTATCGCAGCGCGCAGAACAATATCCTGCCGCCGAGCTAAAGCCCACCGCCGCCCGCTCATGCTGATCCCATGCATCAACGTGTCGAAGATCGGCTCTCTGGGCTGACTCATCTTGCGGTACATGATGAGTTTGAACCGCGCAGCGAGAAAGAGCATCGTGCTCAGTAAGGGCGTGTTAAGCTCGAGGTCTGCGTCGCTGATGCTGCGGAGTGCCATTGCTATGTCTCCGCAAGCCTGGCTCGAACGCTGCAGGGGGACCTCATTGCATGTTGACCCTTCACCCTCAACCAATCGTGCATACAGGATGATGACGCTCGCATGTGAAAGGATGCTGGTGAGGACAAGGTTCGGGTCAAAGTCAATTAGGCCGTCAGCCAGCAGTGTATAGCTGCTAGGCGGCTGAGCTCGAACGTAGTTCATCAGGTTGTGGTATATCTCGTCGCATGTAGCCAATGCGCGCCCGTGGCCTTGGTCGTATCTCCCCTGCTCATGTTCGTACAGGAAGTTGTGCACAGGTTGTAGTCCTATTGCCGAAAGGTGTATATGACTCCGAAACGAGTCGCGGAGATCCGGCGTCGATACATATGCCACGCTAGACAGGTGGTCCATCACGGCAGCTGACACATCTCGCCATGATATGCCCAACGTCGAAACCGCATCGACCGCAAGCGATGCCCAAGTCAGTGGGACGGCAAGCTCTTCTCCAGTGTTTGTCCCGATAGCAGGCGGTCCGACTTGAGCAGGACTCTGTGTCTGCATCTGGTTCAGCAGTTTGCGGAATAAGCCGATGTTTTCGCAGATCCTTCGACAAACGGACATCAGACTGAAGGTGCTCGGCACGTTGTCCGACCCATAGTCCAAGATAGCTACTACTAAGAGCGCTTGGAGAGATTTCACCGACGCCTTCGAGAACGCTTCGTCTACCACCTGTGATCGGAGATATCGCGAGAGTCGATGCCGACCATGATAGCCCAGGCAGATAGCCTGACTTGAATATGCCAATTGGAGTGAAATAACAGCCTTAAGGACCAGATCATCGATATGTGTCAGAGGCACTGGAAGGGCATCCAGCGCACTTTGCAGATGTTGCCGGCTCATGATGGGCAGCCATGGCTGGGTCTCCTTGAACCAAAGGTCTACCAAAGTATGCAGGTAGGCATGTGGCAAGGTCATCAAGTCTGCAACAGCGGCATCTGACTGTGGGTGGCTGTGACCCTGATGCGCCCGCTGGTGGCTGGACACTGGCGAAGTCTGGGAGACCGAGGCCTGAGCTGGGGAAGGGCAGATGGATGTCGATTGTGCCATAACAGGAGTAGCAAGTGTAGGGCTAAGGAGTGCCTCTGGGGCTGCCATAAATGGCGTTCTACGTTCATGCTTGAACCTCTCGACGTCTCGCTCCAAGGCATCTTTGCACAGTTAGACGAGGTGAGCGGGAAATCGAGGTCTCTATGACATACCTATGCGATTCTCCAGTTGAGTCACATAGCCAGCTCGAAGACCGCGCTTCTTCGTTTTGGTCACATATTGGCAACGCGCTTTGGCTTTGACGCAGAACGAGCAATTGGGCAGTTGACGGTCACATTTCGTCTTCCTTTGTCGACACAGGTAGCACCTAGACCATTATGTCAGTGAGCACGTAGGCAACGGTCGACAGTGGCACTCACACTGTGGAGCTTCTATGCTCTGAAGCAGAAGTTTCCGGGCTTTCGCTGCGCATGTTGGTTCCGCAGACACAAAGGCAAGAAGAGATTCCTGAAATTCAATATGAATGAGTATTCCTTGTATCAGGCGAAAGGTCATCGGCGGGAGAAGGGCCGACTACCCTTTTTGGGTGACTTTCCCGCCCATCCAACCGGCGTAACTTGGCCCGATGCATCTCGATTCCCATGTGGCCTTGCTTCGTGGACTGATATGATTGAGCCATGTATAACACGCCGGGTGTGCTGCAAGAATGGCGTTTTCCAAGAGTGAGAAGACTTGGTCAGATCTCGCGGGTGTCTCACACAACAATACAAGAAACAGCGGTCGAGCATTATGGCCTTATCAGTATGCAAGTCGTTCCGGACCACAGGATCAAATAGCTGACCAAGCAGAACCCGTCAGTCTTTCTATATGGCCCTGGAAAGGCACGGATTGAAGACACGCCAGAGCCAAAGATAACTGATCCGACCGATGCTATAGTCAGAGTCAAATTCGTGGGAGTCTGTGGGAGTGATGTATGTAGCGGGCCCTCGTATTGTCGTCACGGCACGTGAAACTGATATCCTCCAGGTCCATTTCTGGAATCACGGCGGGCTCAATGGGAAATTTGTCTCGGAGTCACAACCCTTGGTGATGGGCCATGAATGCTCAGGAGTTATCTACGCTGTCGGCTCATCCATCAAACATCTGAAGCCCGGCGACAATGTTGCGATCGAACCCGGCCAACCATGTCGGGCATGTGACAGGTGCAAGGAAGGGCTATACAACCTCTGCCCTGAAATGAAGTTTGCGGCCTGTCCTCCGGATACGCCAGGATGCTTGACGAGATTCTTCAAGATTCCAGCCGACTTCTGCTACAAGTTGCCCCCAGGGGTTAGTCTGCAGGAAGGCGTCCTGGCAGAGCCCCTTGCGGTGGCAGCCCATGCGGTGCGGATGATAGGACTCAGACCCGGCCAGAATCTGGTGATCTTTGGTGCTGGCACGATTGGTCTCATGTGCGGTGCGGTTGCGCGAATCTTCGGAGCCAAGAAGATTGTGTCGGTGGATCTCCTAGATCACAAGCTGGAATTCGCAAAGGGGTTCAGCAAGTCGACGACGTTCAAGCCAGAGTCGAGTGCTTCACCGGAAGAGAACGCAGCTCGGTTGATACGAGAAAACGAACTGGGCTTGGGAGCAGATGCCGTGATCGAGGCCACAGGAGCCGAAAGCTCCATCATCACCGCCATACACGTTCTCCGACCCGGGGGCCACTGTGTGCAAACAGGGCTCGGAAAGCCAGTGATCAACTTCCCGATTTTGGCAATGAGTGAGAAAGAGTTGCACATGCACGGAGCTTTCAGGTATAACCAAGGAGACTTCAAGGTCGCCATGGATGTCCTTGAAGCTGGAAACTTCCCCCTCAAAAGGCTGATCTCGAATATTTTTGAATTTGAGCAAGCGACAGACGCGTGGGAAGCAACCAAACAGGGGAGGGGTATCAAGAATATGATTCGAGGCTATGGATATAGAGATCCCGCCAGAATTAGCCATTTGTGATATCAACAACTTTGACTCGGCTCCACGCCTCGCAATCATCGCAGACAATTACTGCGCAAGCGAGCGGTCGACATAATATGGCAAATGCAGCTGGAAAGGTCGTCCCGACATAAAGCTGATAGTGTACAATCTGCATGACGAAGGAAGGCAGGTTTTCAATGCTGGCTCCATTCGATGGTGTTCAAGTCAATTCCTTCTTGGACAAGCTCCCACAACGGGCTGAGCTCTCTCAAGAAGGTGACCCGCTCCTTGACGGCTTTCAAGACATAGTCGATCTCGCTGGTCGTGGTGAAACGCCCAATGCCGAAGCGGATGCTACTGTGGGCACTTTCGTCGCTGTTTCCAAGAGCCCGAAGGACATAGCTAGGCTCCAATGATGCAGATGTACAGGCACTCCCGGAAGACAGGGCGATGTCTTTAAGCGCCATTAGAAGAGACTCGCCTTCGACGTAGGCGAAGGAGACGTTGACACAGCCGGGATAACGCCGCTCAGGGTCGCCGTTCATCGAGGTATGCTCCAAGGAAAGCAGGCCATCGGTGAGTCTTTTAGAAAGAGCATTGATGCGCTTGGTGTCGTACTGTAAAGTTGCAAAGTCAGCAAGATTTCTAAAGCAGACAACCTCGGAAGACAAAGAACAATCGGATCCAATCATAACCCCTGCTATGATAATCAATGCTGTGACATCGTCCTTGAAGCCACATGCTCAGAAAGCCATGCATGTTAAATAAAGCGTATAATCATGAAAGAAAGCGTTCGAGAAGACGCAGAATAGGACTTACCGGCATCTCTTCTTTGGCAATGCGGCACGCCTCTCCGAATCCGACAACCAGATGGGGAGCAAGTGTGCCACTGCGGAGACCTCGCTCCTGACCTCCGCCACTGATGATGGGGTCGATTCTGACGCGAGGTCGTCTTCTAACGTAGCAGGCACCAATACCCTTAGGGCCGTAAATTTTATGGCTGGAAATTGACATCAAATCCACGTTCCAGGCGTTAACATCAATAGGGATCTTGCCGACAGCCTGGGCGCCGTCGGTGTGGAAATATACCTTCTTTGACCGGCAAAGCTGGCCAATTTCTTTCATGGGCTGAATGACGCCGATTTCGTTGTTGACGGTCATGATGCTGACGAGGGCGGTCTCAGGCCTAATGGCCTCTTCCAGTTGCTGCAAGCTGATCAAGCCGTTTGAGTCGACTGGAAGATATGTGACTTCAAACCCCTCGTCTTGTAGGTGGCGACAGCTGTCCAAGACACATTTATGCTCTGTCTGGCTGGTGATGATGTGTCTCTTCTTGCCTGACCTGCCGAAAAACCTGGCGACGCCCTTGATGCTCATATTATTGCTTTCAGTCGCGCCACTGGTGAAGATGATTTCTTTTGGATCAGCACCAATGAGCTTGGCGACATGTTCTCTTGCCTGTTCCGCAGCTTTCTCGCTCTCCCACCCGTAAGCATGTGTCCGTGAATGGGGATTGCCGTACAGGCCAGTAAGGAAGGGTAGCATGGCGTCGAGGACTCTGGGGTCGACAGGTGTAGTAGCCTGGGCATCGAGATAGATGGGACGAGTACCCTGGTCCATGACTGTGGCTTGCTTCAAAATCCCAGCAGATGGACTCATCATTGTGTCGGCACTCATATTGGTTCCCGGGACGTTGACGTCTGAGGGAGCATTGCCGCTCTGTTGAATAAATTTCTTCTGGTCTGCTTTGATGGCTGCATCGATGTCGGAGACCTGGGCATTTGATGGCTTCGACTCGGAGACATAGTGGCGACGCGGAGTTGCGATGGAAGCAGCTCGCAAATGCGACGAAGGAAGAGATGGTGATGAAGTAAGCCTTCGAGCACAGGCTCTCGATGCCTGTCTCATCATAGACGAAGCAGGACCAGACATTATGAATATATCTCAGGCCAGCTGAATCTCGTGGGTTGCAATCGATGGTGAGGCGAGGATGATGAAAATGTGACAACCACAGCTATTACTGTAGATGGAGTGATTCGATCTGATTAGATTAGTGAGCTCGGGCGACCTTCCAGCCGAACTGGGGTCCGGGCTTCGGCATCGAAGCACCCGCGCCCTCCAAGTAAATGCGGTAAGACAAGCTACTGTGCGAAGTACATACTGTACCTAGCAAGGGTACGTAGTTAAACTGCAGGATAGGTAAGCACCGCCCAGTCAGCAATCACCCGGGCCACCCAGGCATCCCCTGGCCCTTAACTGCAGTCTCTCAATGCAGCTTCAATAGACACATCCTGTAGGTATCTTTCAGTCGCACCCTCTGCACAGGTTTCAATTCTGTCTTCACCCCTCTCGTTGAGACTTCACAAAGTAGAGAAACCAAGGTGTCTTGAGCCGCCTTTCATCTTCCTTACCCACAGCCACACAGCAGACGTGCTGCGTCATTGATTTGTTGTCGCCGAGGCCGTGCCCAGCGAAAGTGTCCCGCATCCTCCGAGAGCAAACGGCCCCTCTACTCGATTCCTCCACCACCGCCGTCTCTCCCGCTTAGGCACCAGGAAATCCACAGTGTACACAGCTGTACCTCTGCGCTGTAACCATTCCTTCCGCCACCCTCCGGCGCATTTTCGAGGTTACCGCGAGCTGGCCGAGAGCGAAGAGTCAATCTGGCCAGTATGAGTTTGAAAGGTGTAGGCAAGAGCATTACCCGGGCGCCTCAATCGTTCAAGCAGCGCTTCAATATTGGCGAGAACACGAAAGACGCCGTCTATATCGATGCAGAGCGACGGTTTCAAGAGCTCGAAAAGGAAACTAAGAAGCTGCATGATGAGTCGAAGAAGTACTTCGAGGCCATTAATGGTATGGCATGGGCCACACAATGGTAACATACTGTCAGGCTGACTGTCATAGGCATGCTGAACCACCAAATCGAGTTCTCAAAGGCCATTCAGGAGATTTACAAACCCATATCTGGGCGCGTCTCAGACCCGAACTCCCTGATTCCCGAAGGCAATCCGGAAGGCATTCGAGCCTGTGAAGAATATGAGGCCATCGTGCGGGAGTTGCAGGCAACACTACAGCCTGAGTTGGAAATGATCGAACAGCGGGTAATAGCACCTGCCGACCAATTGCTCGAGGTCATCAAAGTCATCCGCAAGGTCAACACCAAGCGAGATCACAAACAGCTGGATTACGACCGTCACCGGACGACTCTGAAGAAGCTGCAAGATAAAAAGGAAAAAACGCTGAAGGACGAAAAGGCTCTTTTCAAAGCAGAAAATGACGTCGAACAAGCCACCCAGGACTTCGAATACTTCAACAACCTGCTGAAAGACGAACTACCCAAACTCTTCGCCCTAGAAGCCGAGTTTATTCGCCCACTCTTCCAGTCGTTCTATTACATGCAACTCAACGTCTTCTACACCCTCCACGAAAAGATGCAAGGCATCAACATCGGCTACTTCAACTTGACTCTGGATATTGAAGAGGCCTTTGAAATGAAGCGTGGCGATGTCCAGGAACGGGCAGAGGCTCTCTCAATCGTCCATTTCAAGACTGCGGGAGGAATGAAACCCCGTGGCGTCTCAAAATACGCCTCCTACGGCTCTAAGGGCAAAGAGGCAGAGGCAAATAGCAGCCTGAAATCTCCATACGGCAGTCGGAGGACGGCCAACCCTGAGGACGGCGTTGCCAATCCACCTCCGCCATACTCTCCCAGCGGTTCAGCAAGTGCACCCCACAGCCCTGCTATTGGTAGCCCTGCGCTCGGAAGCCCGGCCTTGGGCGCGGCGATTGCAGCCAAGGGAAAGCCTCCACCACCGAAGCCAAAACCCAGCCGTCTAAGCGGCATTCCGGCCGCCGAGACTTGTACAGCTTTGTACGACTACGAAGCGCAGGCGGAGGGAGATCTCAGTTTCCTTACTGGGGAAGTCATCGAGATCGTGCACAGGACGTCAAACGAAAACGAATGGTGGACGGGGAAGGTCAACGGGCGACAAGGACAATTTCCCGGTAAGTCGAGCTTGCATGCCTATATTCTCTATTGGGCTTTTGTCTTTGCACAAATGGCTGATGGGGCCAAACAGGAAACTACGTGCGCATGAATTAGAAGCCGGAGCACGCACCTTGGACATACATGTGACACATAACCCTCGACATACGCCTGACGTCGCCCACGCGCATACCTCCAAGCGTGTTATTTTCTGCACAGAGGACTGCCAGACCACGAACGGACCCACGCCTGGTACGGTGCTCGAAAGACCCGAATTATTGGATGTTGATACGATCCCCGAGCAGAGCTGATCTGTCCGGCCCGTGGAAAGTAGACGGTGAGCACGGCTGAAACCCACGATCCCGCATGGTATCGGACTGCTGGTAGGGCATCGGCGGGACTTTTGGATAGAATATATGGTCGGGAAGGGAAGTACATTACGTACCTATATGAGATGGTTAGGATGTTTATATAAACCCACAACCTCTTGGGCTTGAGTCTTTTGTTGCTTTGCAACCGCCCCGGAACTTCGCACGGCCTCAGTCTTACATTTTTCGAACCCGGTATTCCATGCAGCCCAGCCCAAGCAGTCCATGTGCCAGGTGTCATCTCCACGGTGACGTCTTCCACGTGGGGACTATAGATGAGGTAGGTGAGGTGGTTGACTGGTTCAGTCCACACAAGATACGGTGTCCGCGATGAAGTCGTCTGCTTTCCCATGCCTTTCTTCGATCAGAGATGTATTATATATGGCAAATCTTATCGCCTTGCCTTCATTCGGACAGTACAGTGCTTTCATTATGTATTGCGTGTCCATAGCGGTCCTCGTATCCAACCTGCACGGAGTACCACAGTCGCAGTACCAGATGCTGGATACCAGATACCAGATACCAGATACCAGATACCAGATACCAAATACCGCCCACCACCCGATACATCGGTCGTATGTGAAGAGCCCAGCTAGGACTCGCGATATCGACCGTTGCTCGAGATACGATATCTGTAGATCACGACCCGGGATACAGGGTACTCATCGTACCTAGGTATGGAACCACTGACTACTTACTACCTGAGATATCCACATATCTCTGCATCCCGCACCTGTATCTGGACCGATATCTTTGGTCATACTCCGTCGTGACTTGGTGAGTACTGAAAAGAAATACCACCCTGGATTACATAGCATACAGCAGAATATAGAATCGTGACGTTTAGCGAGTGGAAGGAAAGACGGCCGCGAAAGTCTTGTAACACGTAATTAACGGATCACGAATCACTAACCGTGGCTGTCGAGGCCGGAAATACAATGTATGCCACAGCTAGAGCCACATACAAGGCAAGGCAAGGAATGATGGATGGAACGATGGAAGCCAGATATGTTGTTTCTATCGCTCTCTCTTCACAGTCAAGCCATAGCAAGGTATGATGAACAGAACGATGGAAGCCAGGTCTGCTGTTTCTATCTCCGGCTTCGTTTCCTCTCCCTATTTGCTGCGTTCGTGCCCTGCCATTGTGTTCACCTTTCCCCTCTTCTCTTGCAGCCCCGTCCTCGCGAAGACATACGCGTACATAAAGCGCTCATCGTAACCAAAAGCCTTTGTTGATCGCTAGGTACGCGGCATTCTCGCGCCAGGTCGTGCGTGTGCTTGTGCGTGCGTGTGTTGAAGGAGGTATTCTGGCCTTTCGTTTTCCTTTCCCCTTGTCTTTCCCTCTGCCATGCTCCTCGTCAAGCCTGTTGTCCTGCTGATCGCCAGATGCGTCCGTCGGGTCGACTGGTCCGGGGAAGCGATCGGATCTTTGTATTTGGTTGACGGATTCGGGCGGAGATGATGATGGCGGATCAAGGCCCAGGGCCTGGGCTGTGGCATCTCCTTGGGGCGGGATTGAAAGATTTGGCTCCGGTCTGTCCTCGACGGCTGTGGAAAGCCTCGGAGTCGCGTTCAAGCGAGCGTGGGCATGGGCGTGGCCTCGGGCGTCATCGGTTTTGGAGTCCGGCCTGAGCCCAAGATTGTATGCTTCCACTGGTGTTGCTGGTGCTGCTCCACCCTCGAGCTTCAGCCGCTTGGGTCGTTCGGCTAGACCTGGACCCGCAAGCCGCTGGGATTCCTCTTTCCCCAGGCGTGGGATATCATATTTGACAGCCGGTGGCGCATGGACGATGCCGCCGGTCTTCCGCTTCCTCTCTAGCTGTGGCATCGCGAACGTGCCGTCCAGCCGCCTCATGCCTGTAAATCCGAAGGTAGGATCGAATGAGATGAAGACGAGAGCTCGTTCAGATGACCCAAGCTCCCGCGGCGGACCGACCATGTAGATGATGCCTTCGTCGCCGAGAATCGCTCTAACCTCGCCAGCCCTGCCGTCGGGGCAGAGAACGTCAAATAACTCTTGTGGTGCATCATCCGGCGGCCACAGATGTACGCTGCTGGGCGAGAACATACGCTCACTGTCCTCCAGCTCCTGGTCCTCACGGTCTTTAATCCGCGGCCGTATCATCAGAGCCGTTGGACACAGTGCCCTCTGATCCCGGACGAGCGGACTGAGCTCCTGTCTGCTGACCACACGGAGACGGATGCGTTGCCGTGGCCGCCAATCCCCTTCGGGGACGAACTCGTCCGTTACGAGGTCGACAAAACACTGTGTATTGAAGCTGTACCCATTCCATTTCGTCTTGGCCCGAATGTACTCCTTGACGGTCTGCTCGTTGACGGCCGGAAACTCCGGATGAACGAACCGGTTGATCCGCACCCCCGGGTCCTCGTACCTGCTATTACTGGTCTCGTCAAGAGTGCTAATCAGGCGGTCCTCCGTCGGCGGATGGCGCATGCCTTCTTTGAGATCCTTGAGCCGGATCCGGTCCAGGGACTGCGTGTAGTAAGTTCGAATAGACCTACTACCCCCGTTGGCCCACTCCTTTCTGCACTCGACGATCAACAACTCGCCAGTGCGTTGATCGATCTGAAATCCGAGGTCCGTCCAAGCGTCGTTGATAGGTCCCTCGAGGTGTTGTCGCCGCCAAATGACCTTGATGATCAGCTCGGGCTGTGGGTCGTCCACCCGGAATTTGACCACGTGGAAATAGCTTGTCCAGTCCACCTCCTCGCTTTCCAGACTCGTTTGGTTCGTCACGGCGTAGAAATCGTCCTGGTGGATAGTGAAACATGCCGTAGAGCCTATCTCGGAGCCGTAAAACCCCTGCAGCTGCAACGGTTCTGCGTGGACAGGCTCGGCCGTGTCGAGATGGAAGGCCTGCAACAACCATTCGTGGTGGCCATGGCTGCCAGTCGCAGAGTGAGAGCCCATGACAAAGTACTTTTTCGAATGCCTCACGAAGAGCTTGTTGTTTGACCGGATGCGCGCGCACAAACGGACACGAGGATGCAGACCATGGGTCGGAGAGCCACTCGCCGGCGTGCTGTCAGACACGTCGATGGCGAAGACATATTGGCCAAACGCGCTAAAGTCACAGTGCAGAACCGTTATGTCATGAGCATAGCCTAGCACTTCCATCGAGTGGAGGGAGCCGAGATCTAGCAGTCCCACTTGCAGTTGGGTGACGGCGATGTGATTGACAAGAACACGGCCCTCGAACACCTTCTCCGTGGCTCTCTGATGATTGAAATTGAGAATCCGGAGGTTGCCACCTGCTGTATAGCACAGCATACCCGCGTTATAGGCGAAAGTCGAGGCATATGCTATAATCGAGGCCGAGTATGGCAACGCTTGTTGTAAAGCAGAGTGGCACTGATGGATGCGACCCAGGGTCTGCCTCTGATCAGCGTGTGACGGTGACTGCGCGAGCTGCACCCAAGGATGTCGTGGGAAGGTGGCCTGGCGTTCCGTGTCAGTATGGGGATCTCGATTAAGGCGGCACAGCAGACCTGTAAGACGATCCTGGCCGAGTGTTCATTCTGAAGATGGCGATAAAGCGGCTTGCAGGACCTGGCAAGACTCTCGTAGGAGCGGATATCTAGTCGTTTAGCAACCTGATACACGACGTCAAAGGGGAGTAATTCAAGCCCAGTGAACATGCCCAACAACGAGACGAGATGGGGCTTGCGGTCGACGAGCAGACCGAAACGTGACGGGCCGGTATGGCACATAGCATGGTTGAAGCGAAGTATAGGCGTTCACAGAAGGGCCATTGCAAGAGCTGTCACAGTGCACCATGAGCAAAAGGCAATCAAGGCAGGGCTGGGCAGCCCATATAGACTTCGTTTCTACCATCCGGAGTGACAGAGGTCAGGCTGGCCACGAGGGAACATGGGAGGAGGGAGCGACCGAGCCGACCAGCGAGCAGAGCCGCATGGTCATCTTCGAAAGCAAGCGGAGCCATGAAGGGGCAAGGCTAGTCTGTGACAGACATGTAGAGTAACTTTCAAAATCGGGTGGTACCGATGAAGATGACCAGGTGGTTGGAGAGAAACCAAGGGGGAGGGAGGATCAGACAAGGAGCGGGAATGGCAGGGCCCCCGTTTTGAGCCTCATCGCCTGCCTGGGCCAAGGACGAAGTCTATGCAAGTCCGAGGAACCCCGGTCGTAGCTAGTCTGCTGCCACGGCTGTGTACGATGTACCGGGTACACCTCACAGGCTGCCCCTTGCACCAGGCCTGACAGACAAGCCGGACAGACGCCAGGCATCTTCGCTGCGTCTTGCAGCCACGACCAGCGCACCTGTCACCCGCCACGTGATGCGGTGCGACGGGGCGTGAGCGTCGCTTGATCTACCTGTAGCATTGCTCCAGGCTCGGAGCAGGGAACCGTGGACGAGTTATAAATCCTTGCTGGTTCCCCAGTGTGCAACACTCGTGTGCTCAGCCTCCTTCTTCTCATCTGTGCCCAAGGAATTCTACTGCACTGCCTCTCTCTGCCTCAAGACAAGCTGGGATTCTGGGAATCTTTTGCCTGCCTCGTAAGGCAATCTTGCATATCCTGGGTGAGCACGCACAGTCAGTGTGGCCGCACGTCTCGTAATGTCCCGCCTCGCCCACAACCACTAGCACCATGTTGACTTGCCGTGCATCCTGGACGGGTTTCTGAGCAACTTTCGCCTCGAATTGCGTGTCAACTGGAGCACTCGGATGCCGTTGCTACCCCGCTATATCGGCTTTTGGCTTCCAACCGGGTCCCAAGGAACGTCAGGCGGCAGCTTCAGTAACTCAATCCCACGATATTCATGACCGAGCTTTACGCAAAGAATGAGGTGTCTGGCTGAGACAGCAGGGCTGGACTCGACGCGCCCTGTCGCATGGCGCCACTTGGCTTATTCATTTCCAGGTGAGGCTGCCAATCTGCGTCATGAGGGTTATTGCTCCTCCAAGGGGGCAGTGAATCGACCTTCAGTGCATGGCTCCACGCTGGGATTCGTGAAAGCTGTTGTCGTCCTCGGATGGACATCAAGTCCGGTACAGCTCGCTTAAGCAACAAGTCGAACTAGTACTGGCGGAATACGCGTCTCCATGCAGCTTCGGACCCGGCTAAAGAGGCTTTCTGGCTTAGCAGACGCAGCTATCGTGAAGACATTGCATCGTGTCTGCGCCTTGCCACTATGGAAGGTATGTGCAAAGTCCGGGATATTAAATCCCAAGTCGTGTAATTGGTTCTTGCAGGAGAAAAGCCTGCACATGGCCCAGAACAGGTAAAGCACGACTTCTGTGGTTCTTCAGAGAAACAGTCTACACATGGCCTCATGTGTCTTGCAAGTCATGGGTGACTTGTTCCGGCGACGCCGTCATTGACACGTCTCGCAAAGACTCGGCCCTGTAAAGCCAGAGGGCAAAGGAGCCACGGCCGAATGGGGCCTTTACAACGCAGCTTCAATCAAGGTCTGATTGACACCTGCAACGACGGGGCACGACAGCGGGCTGCAGTTGGTGAAAATAGCGGCGAGTTAGCAAGGCACGGAAGGTCTCTGGATTTGTGTTTGGCTTGGGCTCTTCGAACCCGCATCCTGTCGCTAAGCTGGTCGAACTCAAATGCAAACCTAATGCCTAACCATCAAGGGCTCGCTTCGGGTTCGCCGACTTCCTTGCCATGACCTTGGCGGGGGTGAGCATGTTCAGCGAGAGCAGGTCTTGATAGGTCACTGTGCATACTAGATAAGCGAATCTTCAATAGGATAAGATGACATTCCAGGTCCGCCGGAGTCAGGACTCATGGCCTAGCTCTTGTCCCACTTCCCATATCTGTGGTAGTCATCATATAGATTCTTGAAGACGGCCCTGGTACTCGGATCCATGCCAGCGTTCATCGCCCTCATCATGTCTCGGTCGATCGCATCCAAGACTCTATACATGCCTGCCATCAGCTGATCCTTCACCGCAGGTGCTATCTGGCCGTCTAGGAAGCATCTGCAATATTCCGTGACGAGATACTGCATGTGCTGGCCAGCCAACTTCCGTGCTTTCTTCACCTCATCATTGAGCTCGTTGCGGCGCTTGTTGGAAGAACGTGCCGCTGATACGGTTGGATTGCACACCGACGACAACAGTCTCGATAATTGATCTGCCGAGGAAAGTGGCAGAGGTTCGCCCGATTCTCGCATCCATCCGGGCAAAGTCTTGCCGAATGTGACCAGGGTCTTCACTGAGGTGCTACGTTGACTCTCAGTGGCTTTCTTTCCGGGCCAGAAAAGACATCGTAAAAGAGCTTGTAATGCAGGAAGCAACAAGTGGTAACGGTCCGAGAGGCGTCGGCGGTGTCTTCCAAGTATAGCTCCGACCACGGCACAGAGTCGTTCGTAAATCTGTCCCGCAGAGGGCGTGGACTCGAGCTTGATCGCGTCCTTCGCACGTCCAGTTTCGGTTGTAGCAGAGGCCACGATGCGAAGAGACGACAGTAATCGGTCCAGGGTCGATTGGTTGATAACGACCGGGTGAAGCTCAAGCACTTGTTTGCAATTTTCCAAGGCAAGAGCCAGTCCCATTTCATGTGGCTGCTCTGCATTATTGGGCAGAGATGCAACTTCCGCAAGTTCCTGAGCCAGCCAAGGATATTGTGCAATGTGTTGTGGCTTGACATGGGTAAGCACTGAAGCCACTACGACGGTGCATATGGGCTGATACGAAGCGTCCTGGCTCTTTCGACGAAGGACTTGAAGCAGATACGACCACTCTCCTGCTCCTATCCGGCGAGTAAAGAGGTCGGCGCTGGCCGTAAGGGAACTGATTGTGGCATACGTCCAGACTTCTGCGTGGTCGACGCAAGAGAGGAGCTCTTGTAGCCATTCGCTTACTTCCTCCCGCACACGCCCAGCTTCGAATTGCACTCCCAAGGTGAGACATTTGCGATGGATCGACAGACCTACTTGACCGTTGAGCTTTGCATCGGGACAGTCCGCGTTTGAATGGTTGTACGTCCTCAGCTTGTCCATGAGGATGGCGGCCGCTTGCTGGATTGTCTCTTTCGTCTCGATAGCCGGGAGACTGCCAACACCATCAAGAGCGAGTTTCCACAGGAAAATAGCGTTCTGACTCAATGCTTCTTGCGACATCAGTTCGAGATGGTGTATAGTCCTTCTGAGGTAGAATTTCTTCATCTCTTGAAGCTGTTGATCTTGGACAATGGTTTTGTCGGTGCCTGTGGAGCAACAAGCGCAGAGCAAGAGCATTTGAACGCAGGGGAACGGTAGAGTCTCCGCTGAGATTGACTGCTTCTCGGAATCCTCGAATTTCTTAATCATCCAGGAAACGAGTTCGGAGGAAGATGATGTGTTGTGCAGAGGGGTCGCTCGTGTCCACATCGCCTGGAGCACTTGATTCAGCATGTCGACAGCAAGGAGATAGGTATTCGACAGATTAGCTCCCTTCATCGCAGCAAGTGGGGAGTGTCCTGCGTGTTTGAACTCGAATTGTCGAGCTGCCAAATCCCACCATGCGTCCAAATGCTTTGTGTTGATAAAGATTCCGGGAAACAGAGTGTCCAGGTAAATCAGATAACTCATGTCTTCTGAGATCGAATCCAACGTCGGACTGTCAGTTCTTCGGAACAGTCGGTCACGCATTGCGTTGGCGAGTCTGTCCACCGTCACTCTGCCCATTTTCTCAATACCCAGGCTCTCCAAAACACTTCTATAGACCTTCAGATCAGTTTCGCCTGATTGGAGCGCAGCAGTGATGCCTTCCAAAAGGGCTTTTCGAAGAGGTGGAGCACGAACGACCTGATCATTTTGCAGCACAGCCATGTAGAGATCAAGCACGTTCGGTGAAGATATGTCAGCAAGCTTCGATGACGGAAATGTTGTTACTTCTTCGACACAGTGGCCGATGAACTGACGGAATACGTCTGGGTACATTGAGAATATCGAGGATCTCTGCAACAGCCTGCCAATGCATGCCGTTATAAGTTCCGCAACGTCGCAGCACTCCACGTTGCGTCCATTCCATAGATGCCATTTGTTTGTCATCTGAGCGGCTTTCTCTTGCAGCTGATGCATCTCTGCCTCCATCTTGGACATGTAACGTGGTGATTTGGCAGCAAGCTCAACAACAAGAGAGAAGCACTCGAGGCACTCGAGAAACTTCGCTGACTGCGCTCGAGTGTGGTCTGGATCGAAATAGACGGCGCTGTCCAAGGAGACAAAGTTGCAGCTGGACTCCAAGAGAAAATCGACTCCAGGAGGAAGCGCTTCAGAATCTGTGAACTCGACAAGCAGTCGTACAAGCTTTCTTAATCTCCACCGTTGGCCTTGAAAATCAGTCTTTCGACGCAGAACATCTATTGCCCCGCGTAAGAGAGAAGCCAGCTGATCCCTCGCGAGCCTTAGCTGTTCACTACTGGTATATGTGCTCTCCAGAAGGGCCGAGAAGATAGCCAACTTTGCGAAGTCTTCACTTGTAGATCCGATTTTGTCTCCAAGCCCCTTGACGGATTCGACCACGTCTTGCAGCATCCGCAACGCCAGAACTGGTGGTGCATGAAGGACGCTGAGCGTCTTGAACTCATCAAAAACATCATCGTCTTCCCACACTAGCACAGTCGGAATTCCGTCTAGACTGTGTTTCGATGTATAACGAGTGCGCATCGAGTCTGCCAGGCATTTTTGCCACGTCTCAACAAATACACCATAGCCCCTCGACCGAGCACAGTCGCGCATCAAAGGTAGAACAAGCTGGTCTCGCACTAAGTCGTACTCGCTTCTGGTAACAGTGCCGGATTCTATTCTACTCACGACTTGACCGAGGACGTTCCTCGAAGCAGGCGAAGTAGAATCCGGAACTAAAATAGTCGAGTCCAGTTGAATGACTTTGACCAGAAGCGACCAGGGTGCCGAGTGAGAGTCAGTAGCCAGCACGGCTTGAAGGACGTAGCTGACGACAGGCAATGAGATGTGCAGCTTCCGTGACCGGGCGATATCGAGAAGAAGCTCCAACGAAGGCACCCAATCGCCTTGGTCCTCCGCGAACTGCTGGCGAAGGACTCCTGTCGAAGTGACACGAGGGACCTGAGGCCAGGTAACATGAACCAGCCATATTAACAAAGAGTCAAGATGATGTTGTTCTTGCTGACGCCTTCTAAGGTCCATGAATGGAAGCGATCGCGCAGCCACATCGAGGACAATCCACGAGGACCTTTGCATGGATGATCCAGCTATCGCCTGCGAGAATTCAGAGTCACCCCGGAAGGGGTAGGCCTGACGGTTGTAGGCCTGAAGTAACGTATCCATGTGTTCGTAGAGGAGCGTGTCGGCAGTGGCTCTCCACTTCTTTGTAAATTGCTCGCTAAATGTTGTGCGCAGAGGGAAGACAATATTTACCGCAATCAGGCGCTCCAGTGTATTCCTTGAAGCCATCAAGGATATCTGGTCGAGGCGGGCATCGACCAGACATTCAAGGAGAGATAAACAGGGTATCAAGCAATGGGAGGCGAAAGCTTGTTGCCGGTCGTCATCCTTCGAATTCCTGGCGGATACATTGCTTTCCCAGAAGGAGAGCGCAGTACTAAGCATATCGGCAGCTAGGTCATTGTCTGGAACTCTAGAGCCGTGTCGTACAATGTAAAGGACCAACTCAAGCGAGACCCCAAGCAAGGCAGCTTGGGTCTGCAAGCCACCAGTCCATGCAGGAGCTTGACGAGATGACGCAGCGACCTCTGAGGTTGAGGAATCAAAGAGGTCCAGGCAGCGACACACGGCTTGTAAAGCAATCCAGGGGGTCACGTCGAGCGCAACTGCACCGTTTGCCTGGTGGTCGGATGCCGGGGAAAGTCTTCTTTTCTTGATTGGAGGACCTTCATGCTCTTCATGGGTGTTTGAAGCGTCAACCGTCGTCGATCCGTGTCCTTGGTGGAAAAGCACTTCTCGGATCAATTCGGCGAGCGCTGCGTAAAAGTGTCGCTCCAAGAGGATTTCGGAGCATACATCACTGGAAATTGCGCACGTCAAGCTGAGAAGTAACGACCAGAACTTTGCATTCGGTGCGAAACTGGGAAAGCTGTTAGAGATCGTGCAATCCAACCTCGACGTAGACATGTCACACCTTCTCTGAGCATCTTCACCGGCACCTGTGGATTTCCAGTCTGGTACGCCCAGCTTCAGCTTCCTCAACAGCCAGCGCAATACCCACTGCTCCTTGAACCCCTGTGAGCTGAACGTGGCCTTGTACAATGGTTCGACAAAGCTACGTCGGATGGTCTTCTCCAGGTCGATTCCGAGGATCTTGGCTGCCTCGTCGAGAACAACTGCGGCGGAACCCTGCATTCGCTCTAGGTCGGCCATGCTTGCCTCGAAAGACACCCTCGCCATTGTGATTGCCGTTCGCAAGTGTCGTCCTCAACACTCGCATCGTCTGATCGAGTGAATATATGCAGCCAGAAAGCAAATTCACTGCCTTTCGAAATGATCTCGAAATTATCTGATCCGGGAAAAATTACTCCGATTGTCCGAGTGCTGGAGCGGGCCTATTCTAGCCATTCACGGTTAGCGGATCGTCCATGTGCAGTGGAATGCCTTACATAAGCACCCCTCGGTTGTCGACGTTCATTACACTTACACCTTACCCGCTGCTCACAACTACTTCAGCCGGTTCCAGCTCTTCTCTCCGGCCAGCGTCACAGAGAATCCGAATATCTGCAACTCTCTCGTGCTATCAGGCATTGATTGCTTCCAGAGCCGCAACCGAACAGTGGCCTTCCCTCCGCGCCCAGGCTCCATCCACCAGCTTCTTTCATTCCAGGGCTCTTGATTCCGCTGCTTATTCCCCTGACGGCGGCGCTTGTCATGGCGCCAGAGCGCTTGCAAGTCAATCAAGTCGATCAAGTTAGTCCACCATTAGTCCGACATCTTCTTAGCGCTTGGAACAGTAGGAATCGCTTCACTAACGAATCGAAATACTGCTGGACCCTTTGGCGGTGGCCTATAAATACAGATAACCCACAATCGATTGCGGCTAGGCTGGTCACCGACTCTTGTTAGAAGTATAGTTGTGCTTGTCTAGCAAGGTATCTATTCCTACCGGCTGAATGGGGACCAGGTTGGTGCAAGCTTCTCGTTGACGACCACTGGTCATAAAATGAAGCCAATGCGCTATGTAACCGGCGCAACACCTGCTTGGAGACCTCAGGCTTACAGAACGAAATGAGCTGGATGGAAAAGCCATAGATCAGAGACTCGGCCAGATACCCGATCTGCATGAGACCCGCACTCACGGCGGTGCAGTGTTGGTGGCTTCCTGGGTGGCATGGAGTCCTATGGCAATACTGGAAAGTCCATATGATCTTCGCACATACAGAGCCTATTCCTCAGGACCTAACACGCTAATTCATACATACGTACATGCCCATGCAAGTGATCCGTGGCTGCAAAACGCCGTTTCGCGGTACATGCACCCCGAACGACACAATCCTTGCTCGTAAATGTCTGGCACTGCGCGTCTACCATGTGTGCGTGTGTTAAGGACCTAATCCTCACGCCACGACACAGCACAGTACAGCACAGGACCAGCGCCTGGAGACGGTCTACTCGCCCAACTTCCCGCCCGTGCCCTTCCTCCTCTCACTCAGCCACCCGCCCTTGCCCTCGCCCGCCCACCTCTTCGCGCCGGTCCAGAACCTCACCAGCCCCTCCGCACCCACCGTATCATTCTCGCGATACAGGTTCGCAACATCCACGTTCAATGGACTGTCCAGCCCCGGCGAGCTCAGCAGCTGCTGGATAGCCCCCATGGTGGTTGACAGCGTGTACATCGGGGCCCAGTGCTCGCCGCTCAGCAACGTCAGACAGATCTCGCCGGTCGAAAAGTGCACGTTCGGATGACAGATCGGCGTGATGAACTGCACCTTGGGCGGCACCATCGGGTAGGTGGGCGGCACCGCGATGGAGAGCAGCCACAGGCCGCCGAAGTAGGGAGAGGCTGGGTCGCGCGGGCCCTTGAGCACGGCTTCCCACTGGAAGAGGTCCTCGTCGTTGGAAGGGCCGAGGTGCAGAACGGCGTCGTTGGGGTTGGTTTGCAGCTCGGCGAGCTCCTGCGTGAGGCGTCGGAGTGCGCTTTTGATCGACGACGACTTGCTGGACCGCGGGGTGGATGTCATGGTTAGGGCGCGGAGTGTCCGCAGGAAGGTAGGGGAGGGTCGTGGAGGAGAGGTGTGGAGAGCTGTGGAGAGCTGTGCGAGCTACAGCGGCCACACAATACTGCACACAACACGAGGTACTGTAGTAAATGACTTCCAAAGTATCGGCTTAGTGAAGCGTTGGTGGTGAGGGTTGTTGGCAGGGCAGCCTCGCCAGCCTCGAGGCGCCGCCCAAACACATCGATCAATTAAGCACTCCAGCCTTAGACTCCAGCCGAGGTTGTGCCTGATCGACGTGCCTCGTTGCGCGCGTCGCGGGGACCAAAGAGACCCGCTAAAAGTGCCTGGGACAAATCCCTGCAGCAACTTTCTGTGCTGTGGCGGCGATCATCGCCTAAGGGGAATGCAAGATCTACGGAGTACTGTGGTATGCATCTGAAGCAGTGGTTCTACGATTCCACCTGGCCCAGAACGTTGAGGCTCTTTTTCCTAGAGTGCTTCCAACCTTCTGCCCCGGTTACTCAATATGCGCACCTCGCGCATTGCTCAAGACACAACGCGGATCTTCTCTGCGCTGTCGCCTAACGCCCGCACGGGGCGAACGACACGAAGTTCGAAGCGATTGGCATCCTTCGCGCTGGGCTTTGATGAACGAGCTGAGGTGAAAGAGGAGGAAAATGCGGAAGTACAGGGAGTTGGGAGTCCTACAAGCGAAGAGAGCCCCAGGAATCTAATTCCAGATATCGAAGACGCAGTTCCTACCTCGCGGCGTTCAAGCAGAAAGCGGAAATTCGGCACCGAGACGCCCTTGAATGATACTGTTGTGGCAGGGACGGTGACGAAGCACGAGACACCTGGGGCATCGCCCCGGGATGTCAAGGAGGAGGATGCAGACACAGAACGCGATGAACTAGGAGCTGAGGCTGTCCCACTCGAAGCATCACCGAGTGGTGGCGGACGAGCGAGAGCAAGAGCAAGACCTAAGATTCCAGCACGAAAAATTGGCTCTCCATCTAACGCAGGAGCGGGAAAAGTACGCATCCAAGCCCCCTTCAACTGGGAGGAGATCTACAGCATCATCAAAGCCATGCGGCAGCGCAACCCCACCGCTCCGGTCGACACCATGGGATGTGAAGACCTCTACTGGCGGGCTGCGCCGCCACGGGACCAGAGATATCACACGCTCACCGCGCTGATGCTCTCCTCGCAGACGAAAGACACTGTCACCGCAGCGGCGATGCAGCGCCTCCATACTGAACTGGGGCCTCGAGACGGCGATGGGCAAGGCAAGCTCCAGCTCCCACAATCCGCGTTAAATATTGAGAACGTCATCTCCTGCGATGCGACACACCTCGACAGTCTCATTGGCAAGGTCGGCTTCCACAACAACAAGACAAAGTACATCAAACAGGTGGCTAGGATCTTGAAGGACGAGTACAACTCCGACATACCGGACAGTGTGGAGGGCCTGGTGCGCCTCCCGGGCGTGGGACCCAAGATGGCGTATCTGTGCATGTCGGCCGCGTGGGGGAAGGACGAAGGCATCGGGGTGGACGTCCACGTCCACCGGATCACGAATCTTTGGGGTTGGCACAAGACGAAGACGCCGGAGGAGACGAGGATGTGGCTTGAGGGGTGGTTGCCCCGGGACAAATGGCACGAGATCAACAAGATGCTGGTCGGGCTGGGGCAGACGGTCTGTTTGCCCGTGGGACGGAGGTGTGGGGAGTGCGATCTGGCGGGCACGGGCTTGTGCAAGGCTGAGATACGTGGTTGGAAGGCTAGTGACAGGAGAATGAAGAAAGAGAAGCTCGAGATCAGCGTAGATACACCTGCTCAGGCTGTGAAACTCGAGGTCCAGGAGCGGAAGATAGTGGCGGTCAAGGAGGAGCTTGTAGATTCATGATTGAGAGCCCGTGAGTCGCTGATGTCCTGCCTTGCGCTCCGGGATCTGAGGGACACGTCTCGGCACGCGCGACCAACAACCTGTCCTCCGACCATGTCCTCTGCTGCGTATCAGATGCCAATGGACCAAGTCGGGAATCGATAGGCAAAGCAGCTCCAACCATCACGAGCTGTCTCAATACCATGTCAGGATTTGCCATCTTGTTCGGTCGGTGGCGGGTCGTCGCTGGAGCCTGCTTGTGCATGGTGGAGAGGATGTGCGAAGCACCAATCCGCACACGTACATCAAGGGAGAGTGAAAGCCCATGGACATAGAGAAAGCATGCAAGATTTGATCCCGCTATGGAGAGTGGGTGCCCAGGTGGGTAGACATCGATATAGCCTGATCTCAAAGGAACGATCGAGCGACTAACCACAAGGTAGTGTCGGCGCTATGAACGACCTCGGACCACTGCCGCGTTTCCGTCCTCTGTTGGTGCTCCATTAGGTGCAGTCTCCGGCAACCACTCGCAAGGTCCACCTGCAACGGGCCGCAGGTTTGGATACTGATGATGAGTCTGCCGAGAATGGTATCGCATTTCGAATAGGGTACATCGTCCTGGACGATGATTGTCTGGGGCGGAAGATGGGTACATAAGGGTACTCTCCCGACACGCGCATATTCACGTGCTGGTCGCGTGACTGACACGCGGGACCTCAATGGCGTCTTTATCTCCGATCAAAGGAAGACGGATTTGCCATTGCCAAGGTTTCTGACGATCCTCGAGAAGCTCGAGGTCGAATCGAAGGAAGCTTTCAGGCTTCGAAGCTTGTCACCTTCCCGCTTGGGGATGATTCGTGCTTAGCGTGTCCGGGGTGAATTCAGTCTATAACGCAGATCACACGCTGGGCCATCTCATCGCTAGCCGTGTCTCCGCCGGATTGACGGCGGCGATGAAACGTTGCATCTCTACGCCTGCCTCGTTTGTCAGTTCGAAATGGCACACCACGAGCCTCCACCACCCCGGCTGCTCATCCTCCGGACCCATGTTGGTCAGGCCGCCAATCGTAGCGGCGCTGCTTGTCGTGCTTGTACGACCCGAGCAAGCTTCATCGTATCAAAAGTGCCACCCAAGCAAGCTTCATCTTATCAAGAGGAGCGCGAGATACCGCTAACATCGCTACGCAATCTCAAGCGGCCGCCAATGGCCATACCGCAACTGCCTAATCGTCCGTGTGTTCATCCCATGTTACATCGGAAAGAGCGATGGCTAGGATGCGATCAGACAGCTCCGCTCGCGTGGTCGTCCATTTATCAGTAGCGACGACCCTGCTTTCCTTGCAATGGACGACTTCGTTCCTGTGTCTCTTTCGTTCACCCACTCCATTATCCTTCAGCCATGGAGCATATCGCCCCCGTAACACATCCAGCCCCCGAGCTGGATGTGGTGACCGAGCAGCAGATGCGCAAGCCATCTGTCGCGCCCAGTGCCACTGAGAAGCCGCAGGTCATGGAGCGCGTATGGGGTTTCGCCGCCCGTACCGACAGCACCGTGACGTACGAAGAATACGTCTACTGGGCCAAGATCGAGCGTGAAATGGAGCTTGAAGAGAACAGAGTGTTCCAGGCCGAGCACGGCTCTCCCCTTCGCGACTCGATCAAGAACGTCTTCTCAAAGGACGGCCGAAAGAAGGCGAAAGCAGAGAAGGAGACGAGACTTCAGACTTTGGCGCATCTTGACGAGAAGCAGCCGGCTGGTGGTGTCACTGACGTGGGCAATGACCGGTCTGTCGAGTCTGCGCTGAAGGTCTCAGATGCGGAATGGCGTACTGCTGCTCGTGCACTCCGAACTGCCAGCTGGGGCCAGATGTTCTTCCTCATCACCACTGACATTCTGGGTTGGTCTGGTGCACCGTCAGTACTCCCGGAGAATCAGATACACCCCGATCGTGACTGACAGTGCAATACAGGTTTGTCTTTGCCAGCGTGGGCTACGGCACCGGTGTAGCTCTCTACCTCATCTTCGGCATCTTCGCCGCCTGGGGCGGCTGGGTGATCTGGAAAACATTCCTCGATCTCGACTCTTCCCGCTACCCAATGCAGAGCTTCGGTGATCCCTTCCTGCGCCTCTTCGGCGTGAGGATGCGCCATTTCATCAACGTCGCCCAGTCGCTCCAGCAATTCTTCACCGTGGCCATCTTGATCTTCAGCAAGGCTTTGAACATTGAACAGATTGCTCATTCGGGCGTTTGCTTCGTCGCTATGATGGTCGTCATCATGGCTGTCGGAATGCTTGGAGGATTCATTCGAAGCCTGAGAAAGATTGGATGGATTTCGAATGCCGCGGTGTGGATGAATATTGTGAACTTCATCATCTGGTCAGTATTCTCCCTCGGGGGTTCTGGTGACATGGCTTGCTGACCAGCGTGACAACAGTATGGTGGCTTGCTCACATTTCGCGCCTTACTACCCGGCAATCACCAGGTCGACGCTTATTCAGACGATCGAGCCCATCAAAGTCTTTGCTGGCATCCCACCAGATCAGTATCAACAGCAAGCTCCAGGTTTTGCGGCTACCTTCAATGCTGTGAACACCATGGTCTACGCCTACGCTGGCGCTCTCCTCTTCGTGGCTTTCCTCTCCGAGATGAGACATCCGCTGGACTTCTGGAAAGGCATGTTTCTTGCCCAAGCCTTCATTTGCCTTGTCTACATGTTCTTCGGTGTCTTTGTCTACTCCTTCTACGGTCAATACTCTGCCAACAACATCGTCAACGTAGTCAACCCATATGGCCTGCAGACTGCCGGCAACGTGCTCCGACTTCTCTCCGGTTGGATCGCCATCATCATGTATTTCAACATCGGCATGAAGACGGTGTACCTGGAAGTCTTCCAGGCTGTCTTCAAATTCCCCTCGATTGTTGAAAAGAAGGGCAAGATCTTCTGGTACCTCTTAGGACCATGCTATTGGATCCTCGCATTCATCGTCGCTGGGGCGGTGCCCAACCTCAACGGCATTGTCAGCTTTGTCGGCGCCGTCTTCATGATGAATTTCACATACACCTTTCCGGGCATGATGTACATGAGCAGCATCATCCACAAGGCTGCTGAACTTCCTGGCGAAGGCTTCAACCCGGCCACGCGCGAAACAATCCGACACGACGACGGCTTAAAGCGGTGGATTAGGGGCTACAAGAAGACTTGGTTCAGAAGCACCATTGCACTGATCTACGTTCTCCTTGGCCTTGCATGCTGTGGAATGGGTACCTGGGCTGCCATTGAAGGTCTGATTGCTGTTTTCGGCCCTGGGGGAACCGTCGCCGTCAGCTTCGGATGCCCTGTGCCGGTGTAGTTGAATGCAGGAAACGAGCAGAGACGAGCCGTAGTGACAGATGCATTCAGCCAGCGCCTGCTAATGAATTTGCACGCATTTGCAACAACTCAAACAGCGGATCCTGTTCTGGATACATCGCCGCATGACATGAATCAGCAGCCCGTCAACGCCTCTTCGCCCTCAGAATGCTTGACCTGTAACGACTGATGAGCTCATCAAGTAGACTCCGGGGATGCACAGTAGGAGCTAACTGTAGTGCGCAGCTTGTGCTGCCGGCTTTGCCAGAAGGGAGGCACTGGAGGGTAGGGTTGGCAGTCAACAAGTGCGAAATCAGGGAGTAGACGGGCGAGGCGGGAGGCCACCCAGATGGAATCTCCCTTGGGGAGTGACGTCGAGGTAACTCGTGATTCGGGCTGTGATGGTACCTAACTTGTGGCTTCTGGGTGAGGCTGAAGCCAAGGCTGAAGGCTAAGGCTATCGCCGGCGTCGCTTACTGTACCAGGTACCCTGCTGTGTACACAATACACTGCCTGTGCAACGCAGTAACTGCTACTCTGCTATCACCAGTCTACAACGGGAAGTCAGACGTTTGGTCCAAAGTCGTTGCAGCATTTCTCTGAAGCGCGTGGCATGTACTTTGCTTGGGGATTGGTTTCCCTCTATTGACTTCCCCCACCGCACGCTTCCTGTTCCCGCAGTTGTTCGACCTAGACCCGTCATCCACCGCTTCATTTGCTCCCACCAATATGTCTGGCACCAAACGAATCGAGAAGTGGGAAATCGACCGATACTGGGAGATCTTCTCCTCGCTGGTCCAACAACCCGCCTCGCCGTCGTCGCGGCTGACGAACCAGGCCGCAGCCAATGTCCTCCGCAACTCGCAACTGAGAGATGACCAGCTCGAGAGGGTGTGGGATCTGGCCGACGTCGACGGCGACGGCGAGCTAGACTTTGAAGAGTTCTGTGTCGCGATGCGTCTGATCTTCGACTTGGTCAACGGGGAATACCAGGACGTGCCGAAAAGCCTGCCAGATTGGCTGATTCCCGAGAGTAAAGCACACCTAGTCCAGGCGAACCGCGCCTTGACCGGCCATTCGCAGGCGCAATTTGAGAGGATCGAGGATGACGAAGAAGATGCTGGCCTGAAAGACGGGTTTGACTGGTACATGAACCCGGGTGACAAGCGCAAGTACGAGGAGATCTATTCGGCGAACAAGGACCGCAGGGGAGAAATCAGCTTTGAGAGCTTGCATACACTCTACGGCAGTCTGGATGTGCCAGACACGGATGTGAGGAGTGCTTGGAATCTGGTCAACACGAGTGGCCGCAAGACCATATCGAAGGATGCTTGTCTCGCATTCCTACACATTCTCAACTATCGCCACGAAGGGTTCCGGATACCGCGCACCGTCCCTCCGAGTCTGCGAGCCAGTTTCGAGGGGAATCAAATTGACTACCAGATCGACAGTGTCCGGAACAGGCCCAACAAATACGACGAGGACACTTCGACTGGACGGAAAGCCAAGTTCGGCGACGCCTACCTTAGCCGCATTGGGGGCAGAGGTGGTTCCGCCTACGAGCCGAAAGGGACCGATTTCTCAGACGTGGTCGAGGATGAAGACCTGGAAAAGGTACGGCTCTTGCGAGAGTTGAGGGAACTCGAGGCCCAGCACGATGCGGCGACTGCGGCCTCGGATAGGAGACGAAAGCAAAAGACGGAGAATGGAGGTCCAAGACAGCCGGGCAAGACGAATTGGACCCTGGTCAAACGAGAGGCGCAGCAGATGCTCGAATACAAGCAGCGGCAGTACGTGGCATTGAACTCGGAAGATGCCAACACGTCAGGCGGAGACTTGAAGAGGCTCCGAGACGACCTGGCCTTGGTATCGGAGCAGATCGACGGGCTCGAGTCGCATCTGAGGAAGCGAGAGGCAGAGCTCGAAAGCATACGCCGCGAGATAGAGAACGAGAAGTCGAGTAGATGAGATGCAGCTCCAAGACGGTCGGCACGAATGTAGGCATTAATCAGACTGGGAAGACTCAACCGCCAAAGAACTCCGCGTTTCGCTCTCGGCGATGGCTGTACATGTTGTACAAACTTGTACTTTGGATAGTCATGGTTCTGGCAGAGCCAAGCGAGGCTTCCTCTTGCACGCCTCCGTCACCTATCAGTCCTCACTTTCCTTAGACCGTCCGCGGTGAATGTGTCGCCTCTCTTGAAGTTCGCTAGCACAATGGTCAGCAAAGCGGAGGACGTTCCCGAAAGTGTGAGACTAACCATCAGCTTCTTCCCAAGCTCTTCCTGCGCCAAACCCTGTGCCCAACCATACGGGCCACGCTCTCCGCTTGAACAGCAATACCGAAAATATAACACCGAAGGAGAAACCGAGTCCTGATCTGATCACCAGCGAGGATATGGCACGATCCCACTGAAGAACCCGTTAGCTCGTGCTCGTTGTCTTGTGCCTTCCAATGCCGTAGGAGCAGGAGAAGATAGCGTTCCGTGGCCACTCTCCAGAGATGCGCACGCCGCCCCTTGAAGAAGATCTTGCACCGTTCGAGAGAGCTCTTCCCCTAACATACCTTCTCGTTCAACAGAGCTTCGCTGACTGGTTTTCCTTTCGCGACCGGCAAGGGAGGGCCCGCAACATTGTCGTCCGGCATTTTTGTAAGCTGCACTCGGCCGTGTCAGTACCACTACCAGGACGAGCAGAGGTATGGTTTACCTGTGTATCGATTGCTCTTGAGGAATGATTGCGGATTGAGAGGTGGGTGCGAGCTGTAGTCGAATGGTGAAGCTCTGCCAACTCCGAGAGGGAGCAGCGACGCAGCTTGCGAAAAAGGTACCGGCCAATGGGAGCTCGTCTTGGCACCGGCAACTCGTCTTCCTCTTCCTGATCGATCACCTTTCACTTACCTTTCACTCGCATTCCTCTCGACCTTTTCCGCAAACTATCGCGTGAGATAAGTGATGGAAGAAGAAGGTGAAATGGCGTCTTATCAAGTCTACCTGATCCATCGAGAAATTGAATGCTACGAACTCGACCCTGGTCCTGGTACCAATAACCGCATAAAGGGCTGAACATTGGGGATCTCGTCCATCGCCCAGCACTGCGCGATACTCTTGCGAATATCACCTTCATTCAATCTTCCTTCGGCTGCCTGGTCCGTGTACTTCGCATTCAGCTGCTCGTCTGTCATTGGGTTCTTCAATGACCCCAGTGCATGCTCAACCCGGATCTCCTTCACTTGTTCCGTTCCGTCGGCCGCAACGTACCAGAATTTGACCCACGTCTGGTCATCTTCCACCGCCTCGTCTGGCACGAGAGTGACGCGATCTCTCAGTCCGACAATCAGCGCATCGTTCGCGACGCTCTCCGAGTACTCTCGTATGCCGCCCTTGCCGTAGATGAGACCCACAATTAGACCATGGTGGCTGCTGAAGATGATATCCATGAATTTCTTAGGCTGCTGGACGCCGCAGAGACGGATCGTCATCGGAGTCACCGTCGCTTCGATCTTGGTGAACGTCTCGAGCGCATCCTCCGACTTCTTGTTGCGCAGTGGACTTTGACCGTCCTTGAAGAAGTACTTATGTGCTTCAATTCCAGCGTCGATGAGCGGATGGATGACAATCCCGCAAGGATACGGCTTGAATGCATTCTCCATGATCAGCCAACAGCGCTCTCCCTTTTCAGCATCTAACAACTCGGCAATGCGGCTAACATCGGTGCCCTCGTCCGTCGAAGAAATCAACTTAATCCACTTCTCTATGGCGTGGGTTGTGCTCCCGAAACCCTCCCTCCCCAACCTCGCCGCGAGAATTCCATTCTGTGCCGTCCGTCCCGCATGCATGATCAAGGTGTCGGTGGCGAACACGTTCCTTGACCCGCTAGTCATGCTGCTCGCATGGCCCAGTGCCGTCGCCATTCCTTGGGCGTCGAGCCTCATGAGCTTTGCCACTGCGGCGGCAGCGGCAAATGAGCCGACTATACTTGTCATGTGCCAGCCCCTCTTGTAGGGGCCGAGCCCGAGCGCGTGAGCGATGCTCAAGCCCGTCTCGACGCCGACTATGAACGACAGAAGTACATCCTGGCCACTGAGCCCATTTACTTCTGCATACGCCAAGATGGCAGCTAAGGGTGGACCAGAAGGATGCACCAGCGTGGCTAGATGCGTGTCGTCGTAGAAGCGGGCCGTCATGCTCATGCCATTCAGCAGTGCTGCGTCGTCGAGAGTTGCGCGCTCGTGCATACCCAGCACTGTTGCCTGGCGTGGAGTTTTCGAGAGTGGATCTATCGCTTTGTAGAGTTTGGCGGCCGCAGGGAGTGACGACGGCGAGGAGGAAAGCCCGCACCCCATGCTGTTGAGTATGCTCGCTTTGGCCATTTGGATTAGGTCCGCTGGCAGGTCGGAGAGCGTGAGGTTGCTGAAGAAGGTACATAGCTCGAGGGTCAGATCGCGCGAGCTGTTGATGGAGAGGTCGAGCGACATCTTGTTTCCTGGCGAACTGGTCCGAGTCGACGAGGGTACAGTACCGCGGTCGTCGTGCGTTTGTGCCAGTACACACTATGTGCCCAATCCTGCTTCCTCTTGGATGTTTCGTTGGTCTCTGGAAGGGTACTGAGTGACTCCCATTTGTATGGTTCACACACGTCTCGCAGAATATTCTCCAAGAGTTCGGACCTATCTTAAATGGCTCGAGGTTCTGTTACGGGGCAACTGGGCTGTTTGCCGATGCCACATACGGAATTGATACTTGTACGGCTTCCCCCAACGGGCCCTTCATGCGGAGATCACTCTACTCAGTACAATCTCACGAAACTCGTTCTCCACCTTCCCCGGACTGGAAGAGAGGGTGGTATGTGTGGGGTAGATCTCATCGAGGCGTATTTGGAGCATAACAGCATCAGCCTGTATATTGACGCGGGCCGTGTCTTGTTCTGCCAAGTCAGCAGCAATCTCGCGGCCAAAGTCGAAGGAAGTACTTCGAGCAAGAAATCGGCAGCATGGCACCATCATTAGATACCGAGGTTGTGGTCGTGGGAGCAGGACCTGTTGGCCTTCTTACGACCCTCTTACTAGCCAAAGCAGGCGTCAACGTCCTCCTCCTTGAGGCCCTCCCGGACATCGATGACTCTCCCCGCGCAATGGCGTACGGGCCACCAGCCATAGTCGAACTTGAACGAGCTGGCATCGCCGCCGACGCGCGTAAGGTGGGCATGGAAACCTCGGACTATGACTTCAGGCTTCGATGGATCACCATCGACAACAAGACGGTCGCCGAATTCAAGCCCGAAGACAGGATCCCTGGGTCCTTTGACGCCGTGCTTTGTGGTCAGTTTCAGCTGGCTAAGATCATTCAGCGGCATCTCAGCGATTACAGTTGCGCAAAAGTAAGTTCCCCGTGGGAGAGCGTTGTATGAGTCCCCAGTGGGTCCAACCATTCTGCCAGATCCTCTTCAATCACCGTGTGAGCGACATCACGGAAAACGACGACTCCATAACAGCCTCATGCGACACACCAGCAGGCACCAAGAAGATCACAGCGGAGTACCTGGTCGGGGCAGATGGCGGGAAGTCAACCGTGCGGAAGATCCTCGATTTGGGGTACGACGGCTTCACGCTGCCACAGTGGCTGGTCGCATGCAATGTCAGGTATCCGTTCCGTGACTACGGATTCCAACGAGGACAATTCATCGTCCACCCCCAGCATTTCTGCATGGTGGGGAAGATCGATCCGACGGGCTTGTACCGCGTCTCGTACAACGAGCAGGAGCATCTGACCAAGGAGGAGGTACTCGCGAACGTGCACAATAAGTTCGAGGCAATCTTCCCTGGTCCAAAACCGCTCTCCAAGGACGCATACAAGATCGAGGTAGTCAGCCCCTATCGTATTCATCAACGGAGCGCCAGATCGTATCGAAAAGGGCGAGCTTTTCTCGCCGGAGATGCGGCGCACGCGTGTTCTCCATTTGGCGGTAAGCAAGTCCTCTTCTCCGTACTCGTGGCCGGCACTGACTATGGTTCCTGCCAGGGATGGGCTTGACCGGCGGCATATGTGACGCAGGCGGGCTCGCCGACTGTCTGATCGGTGTGCTTCGCAAGAGCTGCGACGACTCTCTGCTAGACAAATACGCCGAGATCCGGAGACAGAAGTATCAGGAGATCACCAATCCCGTCAGCTATGGCAATACTTGTGCATTGAGGGATACGGACCCTGAGACAGCAGCAACGTCAGCTGAGCCCTTTAAGACGATGAATACTTCGCCAGAGGCTCGAAGGAAGATGTTGGAAAGTGCATATCTTCTCGGGTGCGTTTTAACCCTCCCACGGGCTGCGTTAAACTGAACTAACCTGGATCCAGACATGACTTCAGACAATACTGGCCAGCATCACAGACACTAGGCAAGGACGAAAAGCACGAAGGTCCACCCATGAGAGCCGGCACCGCCGGCCCAAACGCCATGCTATAGGCTCAGTCACAAGTACGGGAAAAGTCCGATACCAAGTGTAGCCGGGACATAGAATTCATCTGGTGGCTCCCCGAAGCCAACAGGGTCTGGAGGTATGCTAGGATAGGCGTGTCAACATACGATTTTCCGAGAGACTTTCCCCATTTACACCTTGCTAACGCCTTGTTTGGAGCATGAACTGGGCACGCGAGAGAAGTCGAATCGTGCTGGTGTTCCTTGAGAATGGAAGGCCAGAGAGGCAGGAGAGGCTCGACTGTGATGCGGGTGTAATAGTCCACCGTACCATATGACGGTGGATCATAATTCCCCTCTCAGCTGAACGCGCCATTGACCTGCAGCCTCGTCTCGTCCTCCGCATGAATGAGCCTCCTCCATCTTCACCTTCTGTACAAATCCTGTGCTGTGCTTTAGGTCGCCTATCCCTTTCACGTCTTTCTCTGTGTCCTAGCGTTCCTAGCTATACGAGTAGTGCGACCTCGTCAGGTCCGTACACAGCAACGCCGACATGGCGGACAGATATTCGTTCTCGCTCACGACTTTCTCACCCAGGTAAGTCGGCCTGTGTTTGCTTCACTGCGCAGTGGCCAATGGACTGACTCGTGCAGCGGCAAGCTGGTTCAAATAGGTACAGATCATTCTGAGGGTCATCTCCTGCGCGAAGCTCATTAAATATCCAGAATATGCCCTCAATGCAGTCAACCAAGGTGTTACGTCGTTAGGCATAAAAGGTACGATATCTCCAGCTGGACTTGGAAGCATCCCACTTACGACCATGGCACAGCGACGAATGGGATCGTCCTTGCAACGGAGAAGAAATCCTCATCCCCTCTGATCGACCCGCCTTCGCTCTCGAAAGTCTCGCTCATCACACCCAACATCGGCATGGTCTATAGCGGCATGGGTCCCGACTACAGAGTCCTTGTCGACAAGGCCCGTAAGGTCTCACACACAAACTACAAGCGCATCTACAACGAGTATCCTCCGACGCGGATATTGGTGCAGGATGTGGCAAGAGTGATGCAAGAAGCGACACAGTCTGGCGGTGTGAGACCGTACGGCGTGAGTTTGCTGATCGCAGGATGGGACGACGGCATCGAGCCGGAGACCAAGGAAGCGAAAGAAGGCGAGACCGAGGCAGAGGCCAAGTTGGCGAGCAGGAAAACTGGCGGCATTCTGAAGGGCGGTCCCAGCTTATACCAGGTCGATCCCAGCGGGAGTTACTTTCCCTGGAAGGCCACGGCCATCGGCAAGAGCGCGACAAGCGCAAAGACGTTCCTGGAGAAGCGATACAACGACTCGCTAGAGCTGGAGGTGAGGAGAATCAGCACGAAGCAGATTTGTCCACTAACAGTCCACTGCAGGACGCTATCCATATTGCCTTATTGACGCTCAAGGAGACGATCGAAGGAGAAATGAACGGCGACACCGTCGAGATTGGTATCGTGGGCGAACCCGCAAACCACCTGCTCGGCTACGAGGGTGTCGAAGGAGCAGTGGGTCCCCGGTTCCGGAAGCTCACCAAAGACGAGATAGAGGACTACTTGACGAATCTGTAAGACTAGAGCCCTAGGTGGCCCAGCAAGAACGCCTCGCGGTCGAAGCAATGTACCGGCCTTTGTCGTTCAGGATCATCCTCTGCTGCTACCGGTTCGCTGGAGCAAATGCACCGGATTTTGTCTTCAAGAGATCATTGTCTGCCGGCAACCTGTTCGCTGGAACATGGCTACTGCAAGGCTGATGAGACAGGCGTATCATGCTGCGGTTCCCTTCACCATTACACGCACGGCAACGGCGCAAGGTGAGGGAAGAATGAAACAAATCAAGGTCCTCATCCAAGCGGGATTTCTTGCCGCAAACTCTGGTTCTCCTCTCACTGTCGCTTTCTCAACTTTTTGCGTGGTTGACACCTTTCGTTTTCCGAACTCTGTTCGCTGAGGACCTCCCTAGAGTCAGCCATGCAGCACGAACAGTATAGCGTGCCATCCCGTTACGAGCATATATAGCCATGCCATCTCGCTGTACGTCCGGATCCCTTGCTCTCCTGGTGTCCGTTATACCCAAATCCCCAATCACATCCTGTCTCACACACCCTGCCTCGCCGTCTCCAACATGGTCGCCATCAGATCCCTAGCCGACGAAACGTCCACCGTCATGGACAGGAGGTCACCTTCGCCTGTCGACGGCCACCACCTCCAACAACATGGGAGCACGTGCCGTGACGCAGATGCAGTGTCAATGCTTCATCGGCAACGGATGGGATTCGATCCGGAGGCGACGACGCCGCCACCCCCCCAATGCCCGCATTCCCCATCCTGTGACAAATACCACCATGTGGATAGCAAGGAGGCGACCGCCCCGTCAACGTCGAGGCACTCGAAGCCTCAATCCGCAGAATACTGTGGTCCCCACTACGGGCCATCGACGATGTACAGGGCGTATCCTCGTCCGCCAACGCCAATGCCACCTCGGTATTGGGACGACGCGTACAGGGCGTATCCTCGTCCTCCGACGCCACTGGCCCCTCGGTGTTGGGGCGACGGCTCGTGTACGTGGCATCTGCGCTGGGAGGACGGCTCGAGCGCAATGAGCGAAGCGGCTCCGTTCGATGCTGATGCCGAGGATGATGAGAGTGACGACGCTCGAACAAGCACGTCCGACGACGACGACGACGACGACGACGACGACGATGACGAAGATGAGGATGAAGATAAAGATGGAGATGAAGGCGACGACAGCTGGCCCCCTCAGAGTCAGGGGGCTGGTAGTGACGACGAGTGCTCCAGTTCCACATCGTCGTCTTCGGGCACCTCATCAAGCGACAACGACGATGATGGTGACGATAGCGACGACGCCTCGCAACCCGCGCCGGCGCGGGAAGAACTTTGCGAGGGATTCGTCCGCATTCATAGCAAGATCGACGTAGTTCTGGCCGAAGTGCGCCGTCGCAACGCCGAGTATGACCTGTGGATGAGGTGCTATACGGGGGAAGTGGAGCAGATGGAGGTCCATAGGGCGTGGCTCAGGGATGAACGTGAGCGCGAGCGTGAGCGTGCACGGCGGGGGGCATTTGTGGCGAGGGAGGGCCACCAGGCGGCTGTGTAGGTATGGAGTTGGTTCTGGTATATGATTTCAATTCTTGTGCATACTGTGTAGACTATCTGTTTGACTGCCATGCTGCTGGGAGGTACTGTACCATGGATCAGAAACTAATTTGTTGGCGAACGGAATGGCATGTTGAGATATGGGATATGGGACGCTTACATGCTCTTCGGATCCTATTAACTCGGGTGTGCCGGTCGGTGTTAGGCGAGCGAGGTTCTCAGGGGAAAAGACGTCGCATAACGAGACCATGCGCACCTACCTAGGTATCTACGTCGCTCGGTGTCGCGGTAGCCTGATGACAACTGAACATACGAGCTTAACCTCCCCAGGCTTCGGGTGGATAGAGGCGGAGGGAGCCCAGCTGAAGCATCAATGACTCCCACGCCTCGAGCTCGTTCAGGGGACAGACTGACCTATCGCGCAGGTTGATTGGAGTGGCGTATTGAATGTGAGGTCCGACGGTGCTGGTGCTGATACTGGTACTGATGCTGATACTGATGCTGATGGTGCAGACAACGTCCTTGCGACGCAAAATCCATCTCGGCGTGGATATGTCTCGAGGTTTGCGCTCTTACTGTTCCATCATTCACCAAGGAACATCCCGCATTCCGGGCCTTGATTCAAGCACATGTGCCATGAACTGGGGAAATCCTCAGGGGACGCTTCCTGGCTGGATCGAATGACTGGGTTGAACTTCCCAGATCCTCCAGGTCCCTTTCCCGATCAGGTCCTCGAGGCCAGCTGGATAGCTCAAGCGCCGCCCTGCTTGACATTTCCGGAGAGGTGCGATACTGGCTTCGACCCTGTCGACCTGCGCCGAGTAAGTACGTACGATATGGTACGGGATGTCTGCCGTTCCAGCTTCCATCACGAGAGGGTTCTCGAGACCCCTAGTGCGATGCCGAAGTCATCGTGGAACTAAGCCTGGTCGCGTAGCGTGATCCATTTGACAGGACACCTTCCCAACCCGGACGAGAGCTTGTCTCCTTCACTGTGGGAGTTGCCCAAAACCGGATAGTCTGGCATTTCCAAGCCTGGTAGGATGAGGTTATCAACAAGAAGCCGGCACGTTTTTGCGGCTTCAGGGTTTGAAGTCCCTTTATTGGGAGAATATACGTCAACACCCTAGCGTAGGGCGGCTCCTATGCCTATACCTTCGTCATGCTCGAGATAGACCAGCGAGAGGACTGTCCCGGGCAGGCACGCCGTATACATGCCCACTGGGATGTAGTAGCAGATACATTACCGGTTAGTTCGGGTGCTTTATGTGCTTGACTTTGCTCGTCTCGGACTTTCCACGAACCAAACCGAGGAGCCACCCGTGTGCTCTGATGTCTGCAGCGTGAGGTTCAGGCTCAGGCTGTGCACCGGACATCTACTCGTAACGGAGGATGAGGATTCGGATGCGTCTACTTGTCAGCCTCCAGCCAACGGACATACCGGATAATGCTGCAGATGGCCGTGTCGATGCTTCGACATCCAATGGCTTGAAGGTGTTGAAGGCGGCGAACAGGAATGGTCAGACGAACTACTAACGACCATGTTGTCCAACCATTGGCAGAATAGCCAAGACACACACTCACGGCTTAGCACGGTAGTCTAAGCATATGCAAGTATGTTACAGTAGGAAGTATGATGATGCATGGTGGTGGCCTCACATTGACGTAAGGGGCGGAACAGCTTCACAATCTCTATTCGATGATATGCTGAAGCCATTTTGTTCACAGAATGCTGACGTGCAATCCGAGTCTTGACGTATAGAAGCCTACCCAAACCGCCGGCCTAGACAGGGTTCGCTTTCGAGGCATGCTGTAAACTTAGCATTCCCACAGGCCACAACTCCCCGTTTCCGGACGGTGGCCCATCGTTGCAGGCCACACGAAACATCGGCCGTGCTCGAAGTGTATTCGAGCCGGATGGGATTGATCGGCCGCGTTAGGCTCCACCAGAATAGAAGGGGGTGTCCTTCATGGAAGTGACGGTGACCATGTATCCGTTCAATTGCCCGCCGAGATAGTACCTGTAGAAGAATAATCCCCGCGCCGTGGTATATGCCGTTGAACTCAGACGCCTCCGAAATGCCTAGGACAAAAACCGCTCGCTCAAGTAGAGGTAGAAAAGCGTCGGGTCATTTGCTTCGTGACTCCATATCCCGTACAGTAATAAATATCTTACTTCCGTATCGCAAACAGTAAGCATTTCTCCCACCAGTCCCTCAAGAGAAGAACCGTAGCTCGTCCATCATCTCGTTTCTCGGTCCCATCTGGATTTCCCATGATGATTGCGAAGACCCAGAATACTGCCACGATCCACGCAGCGACTGCGTTGCCGATGCTGATAACAGGCGACACAGCGTGTATGAGTACAAGGCAAAATGGACTAAACTCAAAGGTATGAGCATGGTCTAATGATTTGGCGTAGATCAGCTGAAGGTGATTTCGAAATAATGGCGCCACGAGTCGGACGAGGGATATGCTGGGAGAGCAGTCCTGTCTGCATAAGCGTAGAGGTGCGAGGATGGTAATGAGGACGGCGGCGAAGATGGAGTAGAGCGCACTGAATAAACAGTGGAACGGGTCGAGAAAAGACATCCACAACTGAAACAGGTCAATGACGGTCATCAAAGCAGCGCGATTGCTCTTACCAGAATCCACAGAGCATGATCATCTTCTTGCTCTTCTTCGGCCTCTAGTGACTTCTCTTGGATATATTGAAAGATCGCCGAGTTGTCTTCGACCACCGGGGCTCCGCCATGGTGGCTTTCATTTGGTCGATTTCCTGAATGCTGCGACCCCGCGCGAGATTGCCGGTGTATCGACTCTTCTATGATGCCCCGCTCCACTTGAGGACCGTACTGGAAATGTTTGTATGTGGGATATTGCTTGTACTCGGCCCCGAGGGTTGACCCGGACTCTCCACTTGATATTGACGTTTGCAATCTCACGGGGTCTAACCCGTGCGGTACAGAGGGACTTCGAAGGGTCGGAGAGACGCGGGCCATCGGGGGCTGCTGTATCGGCCGAGGAGCTGAACGGTAATACTGCGTCTGGGAAGAGGTGGAGGGGTTGTTGCCGTCATAGTACACAGGAGCGTGCCTCGGGAGGTGCGAGTCCGATTCGTAGGGCATGCTGATGGTCAAGCAGGACTCTCGATGCGAAAGTCGTTGTCATCACCGAGCAGGCGGCAAGAGCTGTTGAGCTGATCGGCGACGGGTAGCAGGGGCAGGTTGACGGCTTCTAACACAGACAACATGGGGAGCAGAGGTGTAATGAAATACCAACATGATTCTAGCGACGAGAAGGAACCCAAGAACTCAAGAGACACGAACGTCTTGGTCTTGATCATCCTGCTCGCTCAAGCTGGCTGTAATCCTCCACTTCCGCTGCGTCGCGCCCCGGCCAAGATCTGGGCACTTGGCTCTCGTCTAGGCGACATCTTGGCCTCTGCGACACGGGCTCGAAGGACGGCAGCTTGCGTTGCCCTGAGACGGAGACGACTTTCCGTGAGGCCTGGCGACGGGGTTGGCGACTTTGCAGTGGCCCGTTGCCGGCTTGCTACACCGTTGATTTGACATTTCTGGATATCCAAGTCGAGAAATGGAAGCGTCGACAGGCCTGCTCATGAATGCTTGGCGCGTGGCGGTTGCGTGCGACTGGCCTCTTGACCTGCTGTGACAGGCGCAAGGAGCGAGAAAACTGCGGGTCAGTGCGGCAACAGGCCTGCCGATTGTGCGCCCTACGGCCTGACCACGTCTACCAAGTCCTGCTCCCGTGCTGTTTCCTGGGCGGTGGAACACTGCACGAATTCCAAGCCTCCTGCCCGGCACAAATCTCAATTTGATCCTTCGCCCAAGAAAAGTCATACGCACAGCTATTGCAGTGCTTTGCTTGGTCTTCAAGTCCTCCTCCAGCAATCCAATCTCATTGGTGGCAGAAGCAACGTCACGTGGAGCTTCTTTCGGCCGGGACTCCCCGGCAGCTCTGGGCCATGACACAGGCACCGTTGTTAAGCAAACACACAGTGCATTATATACATACATCATGACTTTGGCACGGACTTGACCATCTCGCTGCTTAGTCTTCTTCTAGCTAGTGCATGCGTACAAGGTACTCTGCCTTCGCATACCTCATATTTCCATCACTTCGTCAATTCGCGCATTCTCAAGAAATTGGTCCTGAAGTCCAGGCAGAGGGCTGAGAGATATCGTCCATCCTGGATCATGTCTAGGGCCCAGTGTTCTGACATACTGGGCATCTTCTTGTTCGGGGTCTTTGTCTCTCTTCCGTGCTGCAAGGCTTTGGGTACAAGACCGCAATTCTTGCGGCAGCGCTGGGCGCGTCCTTGGCTAAGTGAAAGAAGGTCTGTCAGAGGGCCGTGATTGTCGCTCTCGAACACGTCCACCGCCAAAAATGAAAGAAAGGACACGCCCAGATGTCCGAGTGGTCTCGTCCTGAACAGGCCGACGAATGATTAGCAGTCAGTAATGTCTCCGTCACCTCTTGGAGAAAGCTTGTCGACGTCCTGTTGCACATCGTGTCATAATCCGCAAAGAGATATTCCTCAAGAGCACTAGTACTTGCATGGCAATATATTGGCGCCACTCGAATACTCACACATCGGGCTGGGCTCCCCTTGCAGGCGGAACGGTCGGAATTCTCAACTCAACATTGTGCGAATGCATGAACAGTACCGCATCCCACCTAAGCTCCCATCGACTTATTCCTACTCTTCCGAAAACTTTGCAATATTGACCTGTTTGCCTTTCGTCTTCGTGTATGCCCTCTGCTATGATAGCCTGTACCTCGGATCTGGAGTAATTGATCGAGATTGATGTTGTTGAGCAGCTTCTCAGCCCCCTCACAGCGCCAGGAGCACGGCACTATGATGGCATTGTGCGGCTTGTACCGATGATTACCGAATGGCAGACCGGCACGCGGACATCATTGGTATACATATCGCCCATGTTGTTGATGTCTTTTAGTGATGAAGTTTTGGGCGCATGGACCACTTGGCCCGAGACTCACTCACCTTCCACTCGTGCTGTACCAAAAACCATGATGGAAAAGAAAGTCCTTTGAGAAACTGACCTTATATGCCTCGTACACTGAGGCTCAACGGTACATACAGCACTGCCCACAATTCTTTGGGGCTTTAAGCGTGGTTAGGATCAACCAACAATCATATCCATGGTTCGCGAGGACGTCAGGATCTAGACTTTTAGCTTGAAACTGTGCTTTTGTAAAGAATGCAGGATGTTTCCAATCCTAGCGCACGAAATTCTCCGAGACAACCGGGCTTACGCTCATATGACGATCTGAGAGTATGTAGTAGAAACTGTATCATCACCGAGAAAGGCAATGCATGGGATGAGGGTAGTGAACAGGTAGACGATAACGACATTAGCTTTGCGTCGGGACATACCTGGCCTGCAAATGTCGGAGAATCTTCCACTGACAGATTTGAATTTCTGCACCTGCAGAGCGCCCGCCAGCCGCAGATCACTGCACCTCGCTCCAAAGTCATGGATTTGTGGCAGTAGGATCGTCAAGCTGGCAGACAGTGCTGGAACCCAATACTGGTCATGAGCCTCGCATGCAATACCGAACGCGACAGAGCCTGGATGTCTTCGAAGGCCGTCAGGACGGTACCGACCTCAACAACATGGATTCTCTGGAGTCTCGAGCCAGACCCGCTGCTGTAGATATGCTCGCCAAGACAGATCAGCCAGTCTTTGGACGGACCGTGGTATTTCAAACCCGGAATTGTACCACATATCTAGACTTACCGCGCACGAGGTCGATGTTTGGTAATATGCGGTCCTGCCTTCAACCACTCGTGCAACAATGGGCGAGAACCCAGGTTGGTGCTGGTACGACTGTCGCTTCCCGCACTTCCCTCTCAGGTGTGGTTGAACATCCCGAGCTCCGGGTAGAAGAGTCAAGCTCCACATGGGGTCACCGAAGCCGAACGTAGATATCGGAGCAGTACTTGTGTTCTTTCTGCTAACAGTCTAGGAAACGTCTCCATTGTGCTGAAGTGGAGTCAGAAAAGCTCATTCGAGCACCACTTCCAGCAAACAAGCGGAGTAGGCTTCCGACTTGACATTCTCCGTAGCACGTCAAACGATGTCCGCGTGGGTAGCACAGGGGCTGACGTTGTGTCATGGGTTTCCCGTAGAACGCAACGAGGTACTCTGCCATAGCACCATGTAGCCATGGTATGTACACAGAACTCGTGTAGCATCGGCCTCGGGAGACTGTCAAAATAATGGGGCGACAAAACCCAGAAGTACCAAGCACTTCCCTGCTTCCGCAGTTGTCTGTTTGACGAACCACTCTTGCCCAAGGAGTCCATACGAGTATTGTGTGCTTGGGTGACTGTGAGGGTAACTTTCGAGAGGCTTGATCGACCTTTTAGCAGGCTGATGGGATCTTCAAGCGCATCGGCAAGGAGGGCTTTTGTTATTCTGACGCTTATTGCGTCCTTGCGCGTAGGCACCAACACGAGTGTCACGGTAAACCCATGTTAGGTGCTGGGAGTCGTCACAGGCTGGGCGGCTCCCGGAGTAGACGTGGTGAGCTGCAGCAGGCACGCGAAGGGTGGGAAGCTAACTAAAACACAAGCCTGCTCCGTGTGATAGGCGCTCCAAGCCCATTTTTCTCCTGGTATTCTCCGGGGCCCGCCACGACCCCGGCGATGCCTCTAACCTTACGAATAGGCTAGTGAGCCAGAACGCCAGGCGTCTGACTTGCGCCAGTAGCTTAGACGGAATTAGAATAGCTGCAAAGGCTGGAACCTGGCGAGGTCAAACCAGGGCTCTCCTTTCCCTGACTGCTAAATCGGACGAGGTAGAAGACCCAGGAAATGCCTGTGAATGTTAGCCTAGTAGTGTACAAATATCTTGCGCTTATCATCTTGCAGTTCTCCTTGTAACATTAGCCGTGCAGCTCTGCAAAATTTTCTTCGGACTGGCTGGAGGTACAGGGTACGAAACCACAAGTTTCATCCTGGGGACCCAAAGACGCGGGTCATGTGCGGCAGGCGGCGAGAGTTGACGAGCACTGGCGCGGTTGGCTGGCACGTTTGATTCCTTTCCGGAGGGTCGATGCGGCAGTGGCTTGACCCTAATTCTCGAAATTGGCCAAGATGGGCAGGCGAGTGGATTGGACTCTGGAAGGAGAACACGAGCTGAGCCGCGAGGCGACTGATGTGGAGAAAACGGACCTGGACGCCGTGATGAATCCTGGAGGAGTTGCGCGGCGAGAGCGAAGCGAGGGAGGGGGGCGCCGGAGTGGCAGCCTACGAAGCTTAGAGCCATGCGTGCAGGAGGTACCTGCCGCCTGTTGGTGGCCACCCTAATCGAAAACGGAGCACGGAAGAACGATCACCTGAAAAGCCCCAGCCAGGGGCCCCCGGCTATGACGAAGCCGAATTACTGTGTATCTGGTCGTTCTGTTCGTCATATGCCGTGGCTCCCAACCAGAAGCCTGACCGCAGACATCAGCTGGGGGCGTCCCTGGACTCATTAACTGTGTTTCTGGTTAGGCTCCCCGCAACGAGACGAACCCAGTCAGCCATCCAACTGCATTTTTTCCTTGGCCTTCCGTTGGCAGAGCTGTGCTGGTCAAGGGAAGACGCCCGCGGGACTCGGTGATGAGGTTGGACGATCTGAGGGTGCAGTAAATTTACTGTGCACTCCGTACGTATGTCAATGTTAGAGTACAGGTGGAGAGTTCAGCAGCACGTTTTTTTTGCCTGCAACACATAATACTGTGTATTGTGTACATCTAGCCGCCTTCGAAAATCGTGGGAAAAAGCCAGCTTTCATGCGGAGTGGGTGCCTCTCTCTCCAGGCGTTTGTTCTCTTCTGTTAACTCTACCTCAACTGTCGACCAGGTCACGCCAGACCTATCCTTCTGCCTAATGCCAAAAATCGTGTAAAAGGCAGCGAACCGCCACCCCACCCGAGGCCGTGCGCCACTCCAGCTCTTTTCTGCTGGTACCATACAAGGTCCTGCGACTTAGTAAGGAAGCCTTTTTGGCAGCCCAGGTGGCAGGCATGGGCGGAGCTTTAAAGTGTCAGACGGGTGAAGACCCACCACGACCCATGGCCCGCGCACGCGCTATCGGCTCCCTTATCCTTGATCGCCCAGCGTCCTCCCCTTCGGTTGGACCAGCAAGCGTACCAACTCCACTCTGTGATGCTTCATCTCGACGCCCAAGGAACCATGGATGCCATCGAAAGCCCATGCCTTTTTGATCCGAGCACTATCTGGTCCCACTCTGGCCACACCAATCAACCAGGTCTCCACCACACTCTCCACCCCTCCCCTTCTTCCCGTTGTTATTTGCTGCAAACCCCAACTGCTAGAACGAGGAGCCCGTGCACCGCAGCACCACTGATGGCAACTTGATGTGCCCGGCTCTCCTCCTTGCACGCCCGACAACTGATCCAGCATGAGATCCAACCCTACCTCTAGCGCGGCGGCCCGTAACATTGCTTTCGAAGGAAGCCCTCTTTCCTATTTCCTGTCTTTCCCACCGTCATCCTCCACCAGCCTCTCTTCTCACTGTCGCTTTACGCAGTCACCATCCTCTTGCTGCCTTTCAACACCTGTTGATTCTTGATCACATCGGAGCCTTATACATTGCCATTGCTTTTGCTCTTTGTCAAAAACGTACTGATAACATCCTCTCTCTGTGCCGTGTTCCCTTCGACCAACCACGCGAGGGCCCGTTGTTGCCAATCTAGCAAGCGAGCTTCTCGAGACCTCACTACCCGCTTCGCAACGCTGTTTGCTTACAAGGTCCATTGGCACCTCAGTGGTGTCATACAGAGGTGCGCGATTGAAAGAGGAGGTGCATCAACCGACTTTCCGCACTGCCGGAACATTGATCAGACCTATACCGAGGCTGCTTCTACTTAGAAAGCCCTGTTCCCCCTGATCTCCGTTGTCTCCTAGCCTGCCTGCATAGGTCACATACTTGATCAGACATGGCTTTGGTGCCGCATCCGTCCCCTCCTGGCGTCCTCGGTATGCAACCAGGCGGTCACTTCGGCCCGATCAATGGAGCTGCACCCGTTGATGCGCATATGCAACGCCAACGCCTTCTGGCGCAATTGAACGAGTCCACCTGGCAAAGAATAGGTATGTGAAGCATTGTCCAGTTCTACCGTCACCTGCTGACTGGGATAATGATAGGTTCGTTGAACGAGCTGCTCGGTGACCACGAAGGCGCCCTATTTGCGTATGAACAAGCTCTGCGACACAACCAATGGTCGACGCAAACCTTGAATGCAATCTCATGCATTCTTCGTACAAAGGAGAAGTATCCCGAAGCTATGGAATACCTTAAAAACATCTTGAAAGTAGAGCCCGCCAATGGCGAGGCCTGGGGAAATTTAGGTAAGGACAGCTCGTGCTTCGGTTGGATGTCAGCTTACAGCAGCAGGCCACTGCTACCTGATGATGGACAACCTTCAAGAAGCTTACACCGCCTATCAGCAAGCTCTATATTACCTTGCAAAGCCCAACGTAAGCCGTCACCCACCACCCCGCCACTGCTTCGCCTAACACTATGCAGGAACCCAAGCTGTGGTATGGTATTGGTATCCTGTATGACCGATATGGCTCTTTGGAACATGCCGAAGAAGCATTCTCACAAGTCATGCGTATGCAACCCGACTTCGAGAAGGCGAACGAGATCTATTTCAGACTTGGAATCATATACAAGCAGCAACAGAAATTCCAGGAAAGTCTTGAAGTAAGTACATGTCTTTTTTGTGATGGCTACGACTGACATTGTCGCAGTGCTTCAAGTACATCGTCAACAACCCGCCACGCCCACTCAATGAAGAAGATATCTGGTTCCAAATTGGTCACGTTTATGAGCAGCAGAAAGATGTAAGATCCCCTTATCCCCAACAATGGACTCAGTTAACCTTGTTGAAGTTCGAAGCCGCAAAAGCTGCGTACAGGCGGGTTCTGGAGAGAGATCCGAAACACGCCAAAGTGCTACAGCAGCTCGGGTGGTTGCATCACCAACAAAGTAACAGCTACGCAAGCCAAGACCAGGCCATCGAGTATCTCGAACAATCGGTCAGTTCTGGTATGTTTCACCACAGACTCTATTGATTTGATAAGCTGACCGCCTCGAAGACAACCAAGACGCCCAGAGCTGGTATCTTCTCGGCAGGTGCTATATGGCACAACAGAAGTTTCCCAAGGCCTACGAAGCTTATCAACAAGCTGTGTATCGCGATGGGCGCAACCCCACATTTTGGTGCTCCATTGGCGTCTTGTACTACCAGATCAATCAGTACAGGGACGCCCTTGACGCATATTCGCGCGCCATCCGCTTGAACCCATACATTTCCGAAGTATGGTACGACCTTGGAACCTTGGTTAGTACAGCTGATGCCTCCGCTCGCACTGCAATCACTAACCGCAATATAGTACGAATCATGCAACAACCAAACATCTGATGCACTTGATGCGTATGCTAGAGCAGCTGAGCTTGACCCCACCAATACCCATATTAAGGCGCGGCTGGCCCTTCTAAGAAGTGGAGCTGCAACTGGGCCTAACCAGCACAATGCACCCGTACCTCAAGATGTCCATCCCCAAGCGTACCAGAACGGTGTTGGTGTTCCTCCTGGACCACAATGGGGAGGACCATCTGCGTCAAATCAGCAAGCACAGCCGCCGCTGGTTGATCCAGCACGTGTCAACGATTGGGCAAGAGGCATTGCAGGCATCAACCCACCTCCCGGCCAGCAGCAGCAACAGCCTCAAAATGGGTACGAAGGCCGTGACGGTATGAGGGCACCGCCTCCCCGTGCGCCTAGCCCACGCCAGGATGTGCCACGTGCGTACGATACATCTCGACAGACTCCGGTGCGCAAGATGCAGTCACCATCTCCTAAGATGCAGCATACCAACCCGGGTATGTTTCCCCCTGGTCCGCAAACACTGCCACAAATCTCGATGCAAGAGCGTCCTCCCGCCTTTGGCAGTGGCGTTCGGCCGTCGCCCACAATGAATGGGCCGCCGGCACCGCATGCCAGTACCGCTGGTTCTGGCTCAACCCTACCGCCATATGGGCGACCCTTCAGTCCTCCCAGTGAACTCAGGCCTCTCCGAGACGAACGTCCCCAGTCACCTGGCCCAGGTTATCGCCAGCCGCCATTCCAAGCTAGCCAACAATTTCCCAGCATCGCTAACGGTGTGCCGTCTGCTCCACCTCCTCTCCCCGCTGTCGAGGGCCCTCCTCGCGATGATAGACCCCCCTCAGCTATGAAGCGGGCACGTGAGTGGGAAGCCGATTCTGGTCCCTCTAAGAAGCTGGCCAACGAAGAAAGCCGTGCACGCCTAGAAGATCCCATCCGCAGGAGCAGTCCTCCAGGTCGTCTGCCTACGCCCAAGGATCATTTCAGACGCAGCTCATCGGAAGCTCGTCGCGAACAGGAACGACGGGCGAATGAGAACTACTATCCCTCTGAAGCTGCACACCACCCTTACAGCCGACCTCCTCAGCACATCCCGTCGATGCAGTCAATCTTAGATGGTCCCAAGGACGAACGCCAGGAACATGTTGAGCAAGCAGCCCGCAAGGTGGACGTGGATGAGGACTATGACAACAACAGCGAGGACGACAAGCAGCGGGGACCGCCTCCGGCAGCCATAAGTCCACAAGTAGGTGGACCACTTCCGTCGGCGACGCCAAAGCAGGAGCAAGTGGCATGAGTTATCAGATATTTTGTTCTGCCTTGAATTACCACACAATTTTCCTTCGCATTCTTGGGTTTGGAGACCTTGTATAGCACACGCGTTCAGCGGCAGCCATCAGTGCATGACCACATGATCCTGTCATCGATTGTAGCTTCACACAATTAAGACGAATATAACGATCATCCTCAAAACCACTCAACCTGAAATTCTTCTCCAGCAGGGCTGTTGTCTTTGTCAACCAATAACAAAATCTTGGCAGAACTAGCGGGCCCCACCGCACCGAACTTCGAAATCAAACTCCGCAACGCACCTCCAAATGTCTGCAACAACTTGCCAACTTGACAATTTGAGACACCTCGTCCATTGCTGAACAAGATGTAAGAGAATGTTGAATCTCTTTTCATGGCATTGCTAATGTCTGAATCAGGTCTCACCGAAAGTTCGAAGCCCCGCGCCACGGTACACCATCACCTCAATCTGAATTTCCCATATTGATAATGAGAGTCGTGGACTGACGATTTTTCCTCCCAGGATCGCTTGCCTTCCTTCCCCGAAAGAGAGCTGCGAGACACCGAGGCAAGGTCAAGAGGTACGGTTAAAACACACTGGTTATCTAGAAGTCATGACTTGCAAAGAGTCGAAGCTGAAACACTTCCAGCTTTCCAAAGGATGACCCCAAGAAACCAGTCCATCTTACCGCCGCCATGGGATACAAGGCCGGGATGACGACCATCGTCCGTGACCTTGATAGACCTGGTGCGAAGATGCACAAGAAAGAGATCGTCGAGGCTGTCACCGTCATTGAGACTCCTCCTGTAAGTCCCAATTTCCCGATATAGCAGCTGGTAGGGGCATCTGTTTTTGTACGCAGGCTGACTTTCTACGAGATGATTGTCGTCGGCCTCGTCGGCTACATCGAGACTCCCCGCGGTCTTCGCTCCCTGACTACTGTCTGGGCCGAACACTTGTCAGACGAACTCAAGCGCCGCTTCTACAAGAACTGGTACCGGTCGAAGAAGAAGGCTTTCACAAAATATGCCAAGACACAATCAGAGGGCAAGGGCAGCTCTGTCACCCGTGAGCTCGAGCGCATCAAGAAGTACTGCACCGTCGTCCGTGTCCTTGCGCACACGCAAATCCGCCAGACCCCCCTCAAGCAGAAGAAGGCGCATTTGATGGAGATTCAGATCAACGGTGGTTCCGTAGCAGACAAGGTCGAATTCGGCCACGGTCTCTTCGAGAAGCCCGTCGAGATTGACACCATCTTCGAGCAGGACGAGATGGTCGACTGCATTGCCGTCACCAAGGGCCACGGTTTCCAGGGTGTCACATCAAGATGGGGAACCAAGAAGCTTCCGAGAAAGACACACAAAGGTCTCCGAAAGGTTGCTTGTATCGGCGCTTGGCATCCTTCGCACGTCCAGTGGACAGTCGCCCGTGCTGGTCAGATGGGTTACCATCATCGTACCAGTGTCAACCACAAGGTCTACCGTATTGGAAAGGGCAAGGATGAGAAGAACGCGGCTACTGAGTTCGATGTTGTCCAGAAGACCATCACACCGTACGTGCACATCCTTTCTTGGGAGCTCTCACAACCATACTAATAATGCTGCAGAATGGGCGGCTTTGTCCACTACGGCGAGGTCAAGAACGACTTCGTCCTCCTCAAGGGCTCGGTCCCAGGTGTGAAGAAGCGGGTTATGACTCTTCGCAAGTCGATGTTCCCCCACACTTCACGCAAGGCCTTGGAGAAGGTCGAGCTGAAATGGATCGACACCTCGTCCAAGTTCGGTCACGGTGCTTACCAGACTCCTCAGGAGAAGAGACAATTCTTGGGTACGCTCAAGAAGGATCTTGTTGCTGCTTCGTAAGTGCCGTGGAAATGGCAAGGGTGGTTGTGGATTTTCAGTAGTTGCTTGCAAATGTCTCGCTACAGGCCTGGGACATGATAGTGGCATGCCGACGTCAATGGTGGTCGGGCACCGTCACCGCAAGATACCAACAATGTCTCTTGCCGTGGTCTTTTGTGCGCGCTTGTCAGCATGATAGGACGCACCTGGGCAATTAGTATGGTGGAACGAAATGAAGAATACCATGAAGTTCACCTTGCTCCTTCCAGTCCTGTCGAGGCGTGATACTCTCTGAACTGTGTGGACGAGTCCCTATGTCCTTGAGCGCCGGACGGTCCAGGAGTGTAGCACGTGCACCTGGGCCCGGTTCTTCTTGTGTTCCGATGCCGAGACACTATTAATGACATCACGCTCGAGAAATCAAGTCAATTTGGCCCGGAACTGCACCTGGTAGTGCACGCCCTCACATGCTCATAACCAAGGTCTGTAGACTCTCACATCGGACAAGCATAGGTCGACCACCTGTCCTCAGGAGTGGAATAGCTGCAATATCGAGTCGCCGCCCGAGACAGCTAGTGAAGTACACAAATATCTCGACAGACTCTCTTCCGTTACCGTTACCATTACAGCCCAGAGGCAGCAGAGTTCAAAGCCTCGATTCACACTCCACGCTGGGCTCTCGAACAATTTCCAGGGTCGCTCATTTTACAAGGCACAGCATGTCCGACGACGCATCCTACATGTCCTTCCTCAACAAGGCGAATGCCGACCCTAAATCTGGCCAAGGCTCTACAATGGCCGAATCCGAATCAACCTCACAACGCCGCTCGTCGTTTGATCCTACCTCATCCTCATCCTCAGAGGCCCTTCCCGCGACACTAAAGTCTCTTCCCGATATCACATATACTTCGGACACCGATTCGCCGTTTGAGCCCGTGCTATTCAATTACGCTGGATCGAGGTTGCCTTCTGCGAGCGAGTTTAATACAGTCCTGAGCCATGCGCATAAGGGAAAGAGTGGTGGAGACGTAGAGGAGATAAGTGTAGGTGATTTCGATCCCAATGGCGAGTACAAGGAGATCATTCAGAGGGTCGAGCAAGCGGGAAAGGAAAAGAAGGGTGTCAAGGTATTCAGAGTGCAAGCGAGCTCGACGAGGGTGGAATATTATATCCTGACCGTGGGCGAAAGGAACTTGGTCGGAGTTGTGACAAGGGCCGTTGAGAGCTAGAGTGGGGGAGCACTGATAGCACAAGCAATAGAAGCGGAGCAGCCATCACCTCCCATGAGTTTGGCTATCACTCACCACAGGTGACTTTCGGGAGCAGCATCCACCACCGACTGCACCCTGACCCGGAGAATCCGATGCGAACAGCTGGTGATGCATCAGGCAGGAACGAAGCAAGTCTTGATCCGCTTCGAGCAGTTGTACTTTCCAATGCAGCTTCACTCGTCACCGTACGAGGATCGAGCGGTCAGCATTATGGCTCAATTCGCTATCCGCGTCCTGAGCGCGGGCAAGGCGGTCGCATTGAACAAAAGTAGTACAAACAACGACAGATGGTATCGTTCTCGCAAATCACGTTGACTGAACCGGCAGCATTTAGTGTCGTGATCTTGGACCTGATCTAATACCTGGACGTGGCAGCAGGAGCGTTTAAGCTGTGCCCACCCCCCAGAACAGGCACTGAAGCCTTTCGAAGAGTTGGGGCCTCAGCACCAGCACGCTGGGCGGTATCCACCATTCGAAATATGAACATCCTAGTGGAAGCGTACGCGTCCATTTCAGCACTCCCCATGCAAAGCACATGTGCCCCTCATCTTTGTGTGATCAACACAGCTTTGAGCTCCGAGAGCGATCATGCAAACAAGCTCAGTAAAATCTAGAGCATATCAGCAGCACGAAGAGTAAGAAATGCTCCGTGCGGGCCGATTGTCCTAATTATGTGGGGAGAGAGGATGCAACATCCGCAATGCGACAATAGGGGGAAGGAAACCAGTCATTAATTTTGTCTGCAGTCCACGGCGGGTTTCTAAGCCCGCCAAGGTCATTCTTCCACAAAATGAATGCCTCATACTAGGAATAATATCTGCGATCATATGATGTCCGCGCGGCTCCTTGAGTCTTGTCAATAATATACTCGTACACGGCCAGAATGCGCTGAAAATTGAATTCCTGGAATCGCTCAAGCTTTAAGCGAAACGATCTCAGCAATACCCGCCAATCATGGACAGGGGTTTAGCGGAGCGGAGCCGAGACGATGCATTTGATCCTGTGTCGACCCTCGACCAAGCGCGTGTGATCCAGGATCGAGTCACCCTGCTATCTGCGAGCACCGCGCAGTCCCGTCTGAAGCGGGGAGCATGGTGGTCAAGATGAGTCACAGCATCTAAAACCATCACAAGGACTGCACGGTTTTGCCAGCCTCCTCAAGACACAGTAGAAGCCAAGGAGGCAAGCCCAACCGGGATAGCATGTGACACATTACGGAGTATGTACAGGGGGACGTCCTGACTAATCGCGATGATTCCTACCGTCACCCCCCTGAGAGCGGTCCAATCAAAAGCACCTCAGCCTGAGAGATGGAAGGAAATCAGGGCCGGTCAGATCGGACCCTCTGGTATAGTTTCCGGAAGTCAGCAGCTCATGATTCGACAGTGAGGGCGCCACTTGTAACCCTCATTGGCCCTTCAGTTTGCATCAGGCTCATGGGGCTCAGCAAGAACGAGTTAAGGCTGCAGCGCGAATGGGGCACAGCTGTGCCACTGCGCCCGCTGAACGCGTCAAACAGCCTCTCGGGGGCCGGGGGCTCTGCTCTGAGTAATGACCAAACGAAAGCTGCCTTCCACCTGCTGTTTGGAGCTTGCGTGGGTTGGCTGCCGCGTAGGCTGTGACACGTCTGGGCCAGGGGATCAGGGAAATCAATCTCTTGCGGGAATCAAGATCTCCATCTGAAACTTGTAACGTTAGGAGAGGGAGGATCTCAGACCTAGAAGACGCTATGCGGACATGGAGATCCCATCCGCCAGAGAGTCGTCTCTAGGGAGGTGCAGTGAAACTCAGTTCCTTGTCCGACCAAGGGAACAAGGATCAGTAGATACGAAGACCAAAACTGCGAGGTCCGGCCTCAAGGAGAGCTCAAGGACGACGGCCGATCGCTTTCGTAGTCAAGACTTCAAACTGTGTTTCGTCGCTAGCTGTCTGTTGCCCAGCACAATCGATCATCCACATGCAGGTACCAGAAAAAGAGGGTCGGGCGTGTCGACGAAAACACTCGCGGCCAGAGCAAGATATATACTTGTTTCGGCGGGCTGTGAGGGATCATGATTGATCCTGCAAGTAATGGGTCATTTCGCCACGCCTGAAGCATTGCATCTGGCCACTTGCTCCAGCTGAAACTGGCCGTAACTGATTTGCGCAGAAGAGGCTAGCAGATCGTGATGGTGACAGGGAGACAGGGACAGTTGGACTTGCGGCTCCTATCTTCGTTCAGGCTCGGCAGTGGAGCCAGTTAAAGGAGGCGCGCCCGTGGCCGTGATTGGGCTCGGCCCACTGGCAAAGCCTCTTTCGTTTGTCGCCTGGAGCCACTCCGAGTCCTGCCTGGGCTGCTTCTAACTCCTGCATCTGCGGTGAACTCGACAAACACAAACAAGTCCATCACGAGTCCACGCTCCCATCCGCATTGCAGTATACCACTTCTTTGTTCTTTGCTCGATTATCTGCAGACCGAGCATATCCATTCGTTTACCACGATTCTCGTTTTCTTTTTGGCCTCGCCTCATTGCTCCCTCACCGAGTCGGTCCTCCTGTCGCGCATCGAGACTGCGTGCTCTTCCCCTTTCGCTGGCAGAAGGTGTATTTCTTTCCTGCCGGCCAGAGAGGAGTACGACGACTTTACCTGGCCTCATCACCACTTCACCTCACCCCAACACATTACATTGCTAGCCCTCGACCACGCAAGATCACAAAGAAGAGGCTCCGTCTTACGCTGACTCCCCTTTCGGCGTGCTTGCTATTTTCAAACCACTTTGTTCGCCTAATCTGCACTGCTTACGCCTGCGAATCGGCCCAACGCTCGTCCACCTCCGTCCTCGTACACTGCGGCCAGACCACGGGCCTCTAAAGATTGCACCGCCCTCCTCGATCTTATTGTTCAGCTGAACAAATACCCTCTGCCTTACATCCACGCCAGTTCGCAGTGCTGGCGATCGATCTCCCTGACGACGAGTCGGTCGCCATCTTATAATGTCGTCTCACAGCAACAGCAGCTCCGCGTCGCCTCCCCGAGTACCTCCCCATATCCGCCTCAATTCAGGCCAGGGTGATATAGTGAACAGCAATGCAACTAGTTCGTCGAGGACGTTAGTCCCCACAACCTCAAGGCCGACAGCCTCCAGATCGCAGCTAGACGCTGTTTACACCCAAGAACAGGTACAAGGCTCAGCCGAAAGGCTACTGCCCCCTGTGTCGGGCGGCTCAAGGAGGCTCAGAGATGGGGTTTCGCCCTTGAGGTCGCCCGTTCGCTCGAGTTATTCTTCCAGAAGGTCAAGTTGGGAGTCGGATCGAAGCAGGGACAGCGGAGGCTTCGAGAACCCCTTTCGAGACTCCAGCCAGTCGAGGCCTGGATCACGGGCTGGCAGCGACGACAACGATGTCAACACCCAGACAGTATCAGAAAAATTCAATATCCTACCCTCCTCGGGCCTCCTTCTATTTCCCGAAGACGTCGAAAAGGACGACTACCTACACAACCCCGATCCGAATGACAAGGACCGCGACTGTGATATATTCAACAAGCGAGGCTTGGTAAATGTTGGCGGTCTTGCGTTCATCACGTTAGGGATATTGACCCTGTTCGTCGGATACCCAATTCTGTACGTTCCCACGCCTAGGTTCCGAACACTCGGTGCTGACAAGATTCTAGGACATTTGTACAAAAGATAACCTCAACACCCGATCCCTGCGCGGGCAGCAACGCTTGTATAGGAAGCGGCAAGGTACCCCACTTGAAGAACATGCGTACGAGCCTGATTGATCCCGACACACCTGAATCGGCCAAGACGAAGACGGACTACCACGGCAACACGTGGAATTTGGTCTTCTCAGACGAGTTCTCCAAGCCTGGGCGAACATTCTACGAGGGAGACGACCCGTACTGGACTGCAGTGGACATCTGGTATGGTGTGACACGAGACTTGGAGTGGTACGACCCGGATGCAGCCACCACGAATGATGGAGTGCTAGAACTACGCTTTGACGCTTTCCAAAATCACGGCTTGAACTACCGCTCCGGCATGCTGCAATCGTGGAATCAGATGTGTTTCAAGGGTGGCCGATTAGAGGCCAGTATATCTCTCCCTGGACGGGGCGACACGGTCGGCTTCTGGCCTGGTTTCTGGTCGATGGGCAATCTTGGACGACCAGGTTACGCAGCAACCACTGACGGTCTATGGCCCTACTCCTACGCCGATGTGTGCGATGCCGGTATCACCGCAAATCAGAGCTCCCCCGACGGCATCAGCTATCTGCCCGGCATGCGACTCCCAGCGTGTACATGCTCTGGCGAAGACCATCCCACTCCCGGCAAGTCCCGATCTGTCCCTGAAATCGATGCCCTCGAAGCCAGTGTGGGAGTCCTCGACGAAGAAGGCAACGAGATCGGCATGGTATCTCAGTCTTTTCAGGTGGCTCCTTTCGACATTTGGTATCAACCGGACTACAACTTTGTCGAGGTGTTCGATTTCTCCGTCACCGCTATGAACACATATAAAGGTGGCCCGTTTCAACAGGCAGTTTCGGGCTTGTCCAACTTGAACAATGCGTGGTATGATGGAAACGCTTACCAAGTATACGCCTTTGAGTATACGCCTGGTGCTACTGGAGATGTTACCTGGTTCGTCGGCGAGCAGCCGGTCTGGCGTATGCAAGGTCAAGCTCTCGGACCGAACGGCAATGTAGCGCAGAGAGTTGTCCCCGAGGAACCCTTGTCCGTCATTGTGAACTTTGGCATCTCGCCTGGTTTCTCGCCCTTGAACATGACCGGGTTGGCTCCGTTGATGCCAGCTATCATGCGCATCGACTACATCCGCATTTATCAGGACGATAATGGCGAGGTGACCTGCGATCCTGAAGGGTACGAGACGACAGAGTACATCGCTAACCACTACGAAGTATATCACAACCCGAATATAACAACCTGGTAAGTTTGGCTTGGACAATCTGCGGTCATCCCCCGACTAACATACGTCTGCAGGGCTGATACTGGCTACGGGTGGCCGAAGAACTCGCTTGTTGACGGCTGTTAATACTAATACATAATGTCCCGGTGCGGTCCAGTTTCGATAGCCGGCTTGTGCTGGCCTGTACAGACGTCTGTTTCGTCCTGAGATTTAGCGGCATGGCAAATCAGCATCGCGGCGTTTTACGAGGGATTGATTTTGGAGAGCTGGAAATCTGGACTATTCGGAGTACCATCATGGCGGGTGTCGGTTTCCAAAATCTTGTCTACAACTCCTTTTACGACTGAAGCAGGGAATCATGACTTTTCCCGGAACATTCAGCGCGCAGCACAACTTTAGAGCGAGGGTGATAGCCATCACCGAAAAACAGCGAGATGTGGAGATGAAATGTCGAGCATGGAATGATTGCGCTGGAGAAGCGGCGATGCCAATGGCCAGGCTGTGGAGTTCTGGCGACACTGGGAGGTGGATGCGAGAATATCCTTTGTCTTGCTCAATGGCTCATCGACGACTGACGCGTCGACACATTACTATTAATGCAAGCACAATCGAACAGTCCCTGCTGGTAGATACTGAACTCAATGTGATGCGTGAACAAAAGGCACGTGCTTAGCCTGATAATCCTGCAATGCCGAAGGTTATTGCATCGTTTACGCGTGCTTCCATATGTACTTCGACCTCTATTTGACTATGCGCACTCTGCGCTCGGGCTGACTTATTTGGGAGCAATATATGGAGTAACACGTCGTTACCACGTTTCACGTCAACCTTGAGTCTCGTGTCACGCACCATGTTCTCGACCACCTTCTCAACCGCGAGCAGCCCAGCGCCAAGGATCTATGCAACCGCTGAAGAGGCAGAGGCAGCTGCGGCAAACGAGCGGCGTCAAGCCCCAGCATCCAGGAAGAAGGACGACTACGAGACAGTCCAGAGCAGGCAGCGCGCGGAGATGATTTTGGGACAGTACGATCTACTGATCAAGTACGCAGTGGAGAACGGGGTTGTAAGTTGCCCTCTGAGTCCTGGAATCCGCTGGATCGTCGTGGCACTAAGACGCGCATCGCTAGTCGATACCGCAGACGAGGGCTTATTTTCGGAAGGTATCGTTGGGCATTGACACGGAACCGATTGTCAAGAACTGGTTTTCGTAGTTCCTTGAGCTTGCGTGAGCAGCAGCCGGTGCTCCAGCTGGCTGCGAACGGTACGTCGGATGTCTCGACCCGTTGATACCCCGGGTATGGCTACGGGTACATCGACTGTCCATCAAAGTTGTATTTTTTTATATGAGAGGAAAGGAGTATGATCAGCCAGATGCTCACACAACATCAGTGGCTTGTCACACATTTACGCAGGCCGTGAGCACTCAGTAACAGCGACGGAACGCGATAAGATGAGATGCCCTAGGTGGCCGGAAAAACTTCGGCCTGCCCTCAAAAAGTTTCATGTACGAGTGCAAATACTATTCTATGCGCACACCGCAATACCTACGAACACTCGTCGTCGCTGCTGTTGTCGCCGTGATGTCTCTGGAGGAGAAGTTGGCCAAGATCAAATCACCCAATCTTCAAAGCCAGAAGCATGTATGTTATGGTCTCTATAAGTGGCAGCCGTATACTGACGTGAAGAAGACAGCGGTGGTTCTGTCGTCGATCGAAGAAACCCTCACCGAGCAGAAGACGAAATTTACACCAACTGCATACTTTGCTGCCCTACTCGCCCTTTTAAAGCAGTCTGCTTCCGCTGGTCCTGACAATGATGTCGTTGCCTCCACCATCTACCTCCTCGACCTCGTCACCTCTCATGTACCCGCAAACCTCCTCCGCTCCCAATTCAACACAATCGCCTCTCTACTGGCGCCCTTTTTGAACGCTTCTAGCTCGAACGCACCGCTTCTACGGTCGGCAATCGGATGTCTCGATTCTCTATTGGTCGCTCAGGACTCGGCAGCATGGAATCTCCCGCAGACACAAACGAGCCCGAGGCAGGCTATCCCGGTGCTGCTCACACTAGCCATTGACACAAGACCCAAGACAAGAAAAAGAGCGCAAGAGGCATTGACGACTGTTCTGAAAAATCCTCCACCTGGACCAGCTATTGATCATCCGGCTGCTGAGCTATGCGCCGTCGCGGCACAGAACAACCTGAAAAACGCGGTGGATCTAGCGCACCAGACACGGCGGCAGAGAGGCCGACCAGATGACAGCCATGAACCGGCAGTGATACATGCCCTTCAATTGACCAAGGCCGTGGCTGTTGCTTCGGGGGGGTGGCCGAGCAAGAAGATCGAATCACTATGCGAACTGCTACTGTCGATATCCAGATCGAGAAATGACTACTTGGTCATGAGTGCTTTCGAAGTGTTTGAGGTCATATTCGAGGGCATGCAGGACGTAGTCTCGTCGTCAAAGCTACCACGCCTGCTCGAGGCGATAGTCGACTTGAAACCCGCCCAAAACGACTCGCAGCTGGTCCCGTCATGGATAGCGATCCTGTCGCGAGGCTACGGTACAGCAGCTGTGGTCGAGACGGAAGAAACTTTTGCGAAACTACCAGACCTGTTTGATCTTGTTGCGGCGTTCTTGACAAGTCCGTCTCACAATATCAGGGTCTCGGCCTCGGAATGCCTGATTTCGTTTTTTGCCAACTGCATACCAGACAGCGTCATCTCTGATCCATCTGTTTATGACGAGAAGCTGCTGGAACAGATCTCGAAAAAGGCACTCGACCTGCTGTCCGTCAAATACCAGCCGGCTTGGATGGAAGTCTTCGGTACACTATCAGCTCTGTTCGACGCTCTACGATGGAGAGGCGATCCCTTCCTCCTGCCCCTTGTCAAAGCCATCGGCGAGCTGCGCGGCAACGAAGGCTTTCAAGGCAAGAAAGAAGCCGATGAAGTCCTCGGTCATGCCATCCGCAACCTTGGCCCCGGCGCAGTGCTGAGTGTGCTCCCCCACAACCTCATCAAGCCACAACCGGATCAACCGGGCAGAGCATGGCTGCTTCCCCTGCTAAGAGATTACGTGTCGAACACTAACCTAGGTCACTTCAGATCGGATCTAGTCCCGCTCAGTGAAGCGATGTACCAACGCGTCATCAACCACGGCGACGTTGAGAAGACTATGAACATCAAGGTCTTCGAGACTGTGGTACAGCAGGTCTGGGCTACACTGCCGGGCTATTGTGACTTACCACTCGACCTGCAAACGGCCTTTGACCAGCCTTTTGCGGAGATGATCTCGAATCTCCTGTACAAGCAGGCTGATTTGCGAGTTGACCTGTGCCGAAGCTTACAGAACCTTGTTGAATCCAACCAAGCCCTTCTGGCATCCGATCTTTCGGATGAAATGCTGCAGCTTGAACGGAGGTTGTCACGTTCGGACGCGCAGAAGAATATGCAACACCTGGCTCAGTTCGCAAGCAACTTGCTTGCCGTACTCTTTAATGTTTACAGCCAAACGCTCCCGCAATCACGAGCATACATTCTACAGTGTATCAACAGTCAACTGAGCATCACACCAGAGAAAGACCTAGTAGAGACGTTCGAGAGAGTCTCTAAGATGCTTCAAGACGCCCTTCCAAAGGCCGACCAGCCGCCGTCAAAGAAGGAACAGAGCCAGGCCTCTGCAAGCAGCCTGCCGCCTACATCCCACACCCTACTCGACCTCGTCATTGCCCTCTCAGTCCACTTGCCCCGATCGACGTTCGCCTCCCTCTTTGCCATTTGCGCTGGCATCATCACCAACCCGGCCATTCTCAAGTCTGACCCGCAACTCATTAAGAAAGCGTACAAGCTTGTGCCTCGATTGTCCACCTCCCCAACCGGAACAGAGGCTCTCAAGGACCGAAGCAAGGAACTGCAGGAGCTGATGCTGCGTACATCAGAGATGACACCCGTTCCTGCTCGACGAGATCGAATTCTTGCAATCGAGACCATTGTCTCATATCTCCCTCCAACAGACCTCCACTTCATACCCAGCATTCTGAGTGAAGTTGTCCTTGCCTGCAAAGACAGTAACGAGAAAGCCCGAACAGCTGGTTTCGACCTCCTTATTACTGTGACAAACAAAATCTCTGATTCATCAAATCCGCCGGACACGACGATTCGCAATCGCCTTGTTCCGCATATGCCTGATGACTCTCCAGACGCACCCGCCACCCTCGAAGAAGTCTTCACCATGGTCAGCGCCGGATTGGCAGGCGTGGCGCCGCACATGGTGGCTGCAAGTATCATCGCGTTAAGCAGACTGTTCTTCGAGTACCACTCCCGACTGACTGACAAGACGAAGGAGGAACTCGTTGATACGGTGTCAATGTTTCTGCAGTCTAACAACCGCGAGATCGTCCGCGCGGTGCTTGGTTTTGTAAAAGTCATGGTTGTTGTGCTGCCTGGGCAGATGCTGGAACCGAGGATGCCGAGTATCATGCCCGGGTTGATGGTGTGGAGTAAGGAGAATAAGGGCCGGCTCAGGGTGAAGGTCAAGGGCATTGTAGATCGGTGCCTACGCAGGTTTGATGCAGCCAAGGTGGAAAGCTGGGTTGGTGGTGAGGACAGGAAAATGGTGGTGAATATCCGTAAACGAAGGGAACGGGCGAGGAAGAAGAGGAAGGCTGACGAGGACCCTGAGGAGGACGCGGAGACTCCAGCCAAGAGATACGACAACGAATTCGACGAAGCAGTTTACGGCTCCGAGGATGATGAGTCGGAGATCGAAGGCAGCGGTGATGAAAACGACGATGACGATGACGACGATGCCACGACAGGCGTGTCAATCAAAAAGCCTCATGAGCGTGGAAGGAGGAGAAGTGACCAGTACATTCGTCAAGAAGCCGAGGAAGATGAGCCCCTTGATCTTCTCGACCCGAGGAGCATGGCAAGCATAACGACCAAGAAACTGGGACGGCTGCGGGATTCGGATGTCAAGTCGAGGAAAACAAAGGCTCAATTCAACGAAGACGGCAAACTCGTATTTGGCGGTGAGCAAGACGATGGCGTCGGAGATGATACGGTTATGTCTGGCGGCGACCAGCAGGACAATTCCGTTAACGCCTACCTTGATGCCGTTTCTGGTGCGGACGCCGTCCGAAGAGGTCAGAAGGGCCGCTTAAAAGTCAAATCCGGCATGCAGAAGAGAACGAAGCAAGAAGGGCGGCAACGTGAGAACGATGAGATGGAGCTGGATGTCGAGGAAGCCAGACAGGTTGCCAGACAAATCATGCAAGGAAGTGCGAGCCCCAAGTTCCCAGGCGGCAAGACGGATGCCAACAAGCAGCGGCGAGGCCTGGGCATCGAGAAGCGGAAGGATGGACCGCAGAGACAGAAGTTTCGAGGTGGAAGTGGCGTTGGGAAGCAGCGCGGTGGAAAGGTGCAGTTTTCGGGCAGGAGGGGAGGACGAAGATGAGATAAGAGTCCTCTGTCGTGAGCTCTCTCTACTCTGCCTTCCCCTCTCTCTCGCTCGTTCAGACACGATGATATGAAGAGATGAACCATGGGGACAAGGGTGGGCGTGTTGTACGGTGCTGTCAACATCCTGTTATTTCTCTACCTTTGCTACATTTTCATTTCACCACTACAGCTCTTTCCCAGCTGTCTAACACCTCAATTCTCTATAATTTGCACCCGCAGTCGCCATATCCTTGGTTCGCATCTCTCCGCATGACCCATTCAACGACCTCTCGCTCCCCTCGAAGCAACCAGTTCCTTGGACAACCTCCACCAACCATACAAGGAGCTGGGAGTATGTTAGTTGGGCTGAACTCTCGCAGGACAGGAGACCTTCTCACCTCGGCTGTTCCCTGTGGGTGTGCAGTCTCGCAATTACTTGATGTAACCGCCGCCGCAAAATGCCCGAGTGCAAGGGACAAAGCTCACGGTGTCAGGGTCGGAGGTTTGCGCGTCCCTGATGTAAAGGGCTTCAGAGGATCCGTCGCGCTTGATGTACAAGGGCAGAGGAGCTGCGGAACCGTCGTCACGTTTGATGTAACCTCCGCCGCAGAATGCGCGAGTGCAGGGGACAAAGGTCACGGTGTCGGGGTTGACGGAGTCTGGTTCACGGACGTTGAGGTTGGTTGCAGTTGGCAGGGCCAAAACAGCGCTGGTCAGGCCCAAGGCCGAGAGGAGAGCTGTGAACTTCATATTGTTGGATTGTTCAGTTGAGCTGGATCGGGGTGCTGTTTGGAATTGTCGAGTTCTCGGTGCTTCGTGCTGCGAGATGAAGTCTGGTGGTTTGCTTCGAGATGAGCTGACTTTATAGGAATTTGAATCCTCAACCACCGGCTACGGCCTTGATCTCCCTTGAGCTCTCAAGGCCTTGGCCCTTTCTCGCGTCTACTGTGTATCGGGAGACTACAGGAGCAGCACGAGGGCGATGGCGTAAGCCAACGGACCTATCTCGGTCGACGTATGGTTTCTTCTGTGAGACCTTTTGGCCAGTTTTGGCGCCACAATCCGTCGTGTCGGCTACCCGGTCAGTCCTATGTGATTACACCTGGGCGGTGACATGGCTCCTCTGCCGCCTCTCGACTCAGCATGGCGTCGGGGTTACCCAGAGGCTTCTCTCAACAGGACGACGAGCAAGTATCTCGGCTCCTGGAGATGCTGCTTACAGAGCGGAGCTTCCCCCAACCATGAGAGTGGTCATGTTACCTCGACGCGTGAGCCAAATGCCGCGAGTCGAATGCATCCTTCGGGAAAGCTCCTTGACGGGAACATCGCGCGATGCTACTCGAGCTGACTGCTGCTCCAAAATGTGTTCCGAAGCAGCTGCGTGAGAAATCCTTCCAGAGACAGCATGTCCAACGTGCCCGCAAGAGACTTTGGGCAAGACAGGATATACGAGGCGATAGTCGATTCTATCTTCACCGCCTGCCGCAAACACGCAGCACCCAGCGATTGCACAACGCCGAATCGAGTTCACTGGGAGCACTATGGCAAGCCTGCAAGCGTTCGCCTTCAACGTGGTGGACCCTTGAGCTTGTATGTACCAGTCAGCCTAATACGCCACGCGACCTTCAGCTGCAGGCCCTGGCATGTCCGGCCCACACGGTACGAACCCTTTACTTACTCTTACCAAGATATCGAACAATCGCCAGATGCAGTACACGCGTTGATGTGGGGATGCCACCATGGACCAAGAACCCGCTAATTGGGCCGTGTCGAGATCTGGGACAGGGGTGTGCTCGTGGCTGCTTACGGATCATGCCTACTCCGTACAATACGCTGGTACGACCAGCGTTGCCCTTCAGCTCTGTCCAGGAGATAGGGCTGAGTACCTGTTTCCATGCTCGGGTGCCCAACATTATTTGGAAGAGAGAGTGGCGGTCAAGCATTCTCTTTAGCTACAGCTTGGTTGTTAGTCCTCGGGCCCTTTGTCTTACTGCGGTGGAAAGGAATTATGTCGGCCTGACCAGCAATAATCCTGACCAAAGGTCCCGTTGGAGGACAAAGTGATCCGAAGGCCTGAAGCAGACTTGCCTACGCATACGGAGCAGCTCTATCTGCTTCCCAACAATGGTTGCTTCCCTCTCGAGTGCACAACAGGACTATCTCGAACACAAGTCACAGAGAGATCAAGAGTCCGTCTGCATGTCGAAGACCGAACATCAGGCCCAGAAACGATAAAGACGTGTCGTGGACTTACCCTCGTCGTCACCTGTGGCGACCATGGATCGTTTGCCACGCTGGACGTCTCCAAAATGGCTACTGGGCAGGAGGAACGACTACCAATATTCAGAACTAGGTTGCCCTCATCCAGCAAAGCACAATACATCTCGAAGATCTGTGATCATGGTCGTCTTGCTTTCGGCCTGGACTCTCTCACTTCTGGTCATTTCGCGTCGATTATACTGGGATGGTAGGAGGGACAAAGCTTTGGAGCTCTACAGTATGTCTTCCACATGTGGCATACTTGCACCACGAAACTCAATCCCTGCAGCACCGTTACAAAAGTCGATCGAATATGAGGTCAGGACGTTCACCCAAGGGCTCTGGGGCGACCACTCAATATACCAAGGGGCGCCGAACGAGACAAATACCGCAGCATGGAAGGAGATATCTCACCGTAGGTCTACCATCCGCAACCCTTTGATGCTCCGATACTTACAGCGGCCGACACAGTGGGCATCATCAAACTGGACGACAGCCAGATTTCACAGCTTTCGCAGCCGACTATCCGCTACAACCGAGATCCACGATACTCTGCCGGGGCGATCGAGATGTTCCACAATTTGCACTGCTTGCACCACCTGCGGATGCATGTTTGGGCTGAGCAGCCCGAGGTGTTCTACGGTCGAGATCCGACAAAGGATGAAGCTGCCGCTCATATTGGTACGTCTTGGACTCACCGCCACGTACAGCGGACAGTATCGATCAAGCTAACTGTTCGCCGCAGATCACTGTATCGACCATATCCGACAAGCCTTGATGTGTCAGGGTAGCACCGATATCATCACGTTCCGCAAAGATCATAAAGACCGCACGGTTCCGAATTTTGACGGACCTCACGTATGCAGGAAGTACGAGCCCATTGCGCAATGGGCGAGAGACCACAAGGCATGGAACATGACTCCGGAGGGTGATGATGACGACGAGGATGGACAAAGTAACGAGCATGAGCATGGGCGCGGGCATGAACACTGACCTCTGCGTGGTAGTGTACGCGAGATACGATTCCAAATAATCCGCCCGGTCCACTCCGTGACAGTCAGCAGCGGAGACGTGATATAGGTGGGACCATGTCAACCCGCAAAAGTACATAGTGTGTGAGCGCAGAATAGATAATGTTTCACTGATCCTGCAGGGTCTGCTTGTACGTATGGAGCACATTAGTACTTGTCTACGGAGTACTTGCATGTACATCCTGAAATTCTGTACCCGTATGCGCACGGGTAGGCTGATAGTATCTGCATCAAAGCTGAAGCTGAATTTAGGGTATTGTCGGCGACTCCGAACGGAGTACAGTAGGGATCCACGGGGACCGTGGGACCTCGCAGCCAGCCAGCGAACCGACCAGACCAGAGCAATCAACCAGCCATAGTCGCACCAGTCGATGCATGCTACGGCGTATGTACCTAGGTAATCAATATATACCCGGTCAGGAAGGTGTTAATTAAATGTGCGCCAAGTATAGATCCCAGGCCATACCCTGCTCAGTTAACGCTATTATGTCGGATTACCATAAGTGGTAACCAGCTTCAGTGTCCAGTGACTAAGTAGTTACCGCGGCGGGCCGATGAGCTCGCCCCGCCCCGCTCTGAACTGTATACTTGATCAGGATACTCCGTACTTGATCAGGATAGATTAACTGCCGAACAGCTACGCCCTTGATTCTATATCCGTGACCTTATCCATCAGGGTACAGTACTCCGTAGAATGCGTTCCGTGTGCAACCACGCACATTAGCTATAGTAATTACCTAGTCAGTCCATAGGCGGGATCGAATACCACGTGCCGTACTGTGTGCTGTGTAGCCATTAGGTATGTGGTTTCATTGCCGATCCGACAAGAGGCGATATTTGCATTTTTGTAGTTCTAGACCAGATCGCATCGGGTTTCTACCTAGGATTCGGGTCCCCGTATGCTTCCACTTCAGTCAGCGAGCAGGCGACTTTGTGGATGGGCCGGTGGGTGAGCAAGTGAGTGGATGTGTAGGTGCACTGGCCGAGCGAGTACGAAGGCGACGGTGGTGAGCTGCCGCGATGGAGTGAGCGAGCTTTGCACCACCGGTAATTACGTACTTTGCACTGTGACCGTGACACAGGACTACCTACCTAGGGTGGCTAGCCGGTATTGTGCAAGTAATTAGAACATCCAGCACCTGTTGTGTTTGAAACAGTGGTGACAGTGACCTGCTGAGCGAACAAGCTTCTGCGCCATCGCATGTAATTTCGTCGTGGTCGTGCGGCGACAGGACTACCTTGATAGCTGACTGCTCCGTATGGTACAAGTAGAATACACAGTACCCGTGGTGTAAACGCTGCGAGGCACCTCTCGTGGGAATAATGTAATTAGTGGTACTTTGGTGTCTTCCTTTCCGGTTCGCGCCATGCAGGTAGAGTCGAGACTCACCGCATGTGCTGGACGGGATACGCGACGTGACGCGATCGATCTGAGACGTGCCATATGCCATTACCACGTCAGGAAAGAATTTGTCCTCGGGTGCGAGAAGGGGCATCGGGCACTTGGATGGGACCAATGCAGCGATGTGGACGCATAATCAGGCCCGGGCCCCGAGTCTGGTCTAGACCACCCACGCAGACCTTGTACCCGATCAGTACAAGAAGACCACAATCGATACGGTGCCGGGCTGACGGTATGTCTGGATGGAGCCGGAGATGGCAGCGAGAGCTACTCATGCACGCCCGGTATAGATGCCGGTTATAGTACATGTACCCTGCAAGCCTACCTAGTTGGGGCAACGTAGTGGCCGTCCCTTCCACGGGGATCCAACAACTTTACACGTATGCCGTGCTCGTTACTTTGCCGCGAATCCTGATTCATGCGCCAACAGTGATGAGCAGGTGTCATGTTCGCGAGGTGGACCACGAGTCCTCCTGGCCTTGTGACTTTCATTCGACTCTGGAGCTGACTGCACACTTTATCGTCGCGCCAGAAATTTGGAATGGCCCCCTGAACCGTGGAGTGAAGGAGTCCACTCTAAGAATACCTCGCGCCATACGGACGAACAGTCCGCCACGTATACATACGAGATACACCCGACAGACCACACCCCCGATGGAGCGCGTCTACATTCGCGCTTAGCTCGCTGCACTTGGTTCCGGAGTCGAGGTTCACCCTCCGTCGCTCAGGCGCTGACGCCTCACTGCCCTGGGTATCGGTCGAACATCGACACCAAAGACAAGCCCGCTTGCTTAATGAACCCCACAACTCGGATACTTCGACACAATAACCGTGTTCACGTCCTTCTGTGCTGCATCTTGCTTCTGCAGTCGATGCGCACAGTGCTCTGTGTGGTTGTAGTTTGCTAGATAACTGTCGATACGCCGGCCACGAAGCAGCGCGCGGTGCATCTTGCGCCACATGAACTGCATGCATGTCCAGACTTTCGTTAGCAAGGGAGACACGTTCATGCCCACACGGTTGGGAGACGATGAGGGCGTGGGACTGACCGTGCAATGAACGACATGATATTCCCCGCTCACGAACAAGTACTCGTACTCTCCGGACAGGACGCTCTCCCTGTCGATTTCGGTGCCTTCCTCGCTGTACCAGCGCCACTGCGCATGACTGAGGAATTGATCCGTCAATTCTCCATCGAAACAGTCGGACAGAGACCAGGTGAAACTCATGGCGTCGAAGGAACAGCCGCGAGAACGGGCTTCTGAAGGAGAAGAACCACAGTCTGTCCATGCTGGTGGTGATTGATAGAGGTGGAAGATGTGGTAGACCGGGTAGACACAGAGCGTGATGACGAGGGTAAGGGAGAGGACAGCCAGCGAAGTTGTTTTCGTCCAAGACAATCGTGCGCGTCGTTCTCGGAAGGTGGCAGTCGGATCTTCGAGCGGTACGTCGCCTTGCAATTTCTGGTAGTCGTGCGCCATGTGTGCAAGAAGAGATCAATGAGTCGTTCCCTGAGCGAAAGGAACAGACAAAATGCAAGTCGTAGACCTGGGCGAAAGCGCTCGGTGCTCCGGCAAGTGTATAATGGAACGAGAGTGATGACAGGAAATCTGAATATCGAAAGGAAAGGAGGGGAGAGGCAACGAAGCAAGGACCCGGATCAGAACACACCCTTGGGAGTAGTATGGTCGGACTAGATTTGGCGACGCCAATGCTGCGAGCGTCGGAGGGCCGGGAGGAAGCTGACCTGGCAGGGAAGACATTAGACCTGAAGAATAGCTACCGAGTAGGGCTGATGGTCCTGTTGCAGAACAGTCACGACATCGTTGCTTCACACTGTGTAAGGGTCAGTGGGTAACCGGCCCGCTGGCGTTTTCCCGAGGAGAAAACCGAGAGAACAGCCCCGACCACAGTACACAGGAGGCGGTCTACGAGTGGTAAGCTGAGTGGGTCTGACTGATCCTCCTGCGGTCAAGCAACTGCTGCGCGGCTGTTGGGCTGTGTGCCGTACGACAGCTCTTGAAAGGTTTCTTGCAAGAGAAGTCGTCAATCCGGTTGAGTCGCTGAGCTTGGACTTTCAGCTGGAAACTTATCTCTTGGTGCTGAGTCTGTCTCATAGCTAGATCTTGCTCTGGCGAAAACCGTAGGAAGTTGACAGAAATCTCCATCCTCTTGACCATGAAGTGGAAAAGCTAATGAGTCGAGTGATTCCATCACAAAAGGCTTACCGACGTGGTAAATTCCATTGGCCAGTCTAGCTTGCTACCCGGTCATGGCTTTAGCCTTGCCTATTGAAGGATGCACCCTCAGCGAATGGTGCTTGCAAATGCCATATTTTGTCGCATTCTCAGTAATGATTATTTACCGTCAGTTCAGTTTACGCGGTGGTGGTGTCCGCGGCTGACCTGCCAAATACAGATATCACGAGATAATCGCCATGACTCGATCGGAAACTCGGCTACAAAGTACCTGACTCGCCGACGGAATCCTCAGTAGCGAGTGTACGGCAAGGAGCAGCTCCTCGACCGAGGCTGCATATGGTCGTGACGGAACCCTACAGACCGCGGACATCAGCCGCAAATGGGAAAGTGACACGGCTTCTATATGACTTCCCTAACAAAATTGCCGAGACCTTTACTCATGGGCTAGAAACCCTAGTCACGGGGAACGAGTTGAGGCAGTCGCGGACGTAGAGAAAGATGTCACGGAGTCTGCCAGTGGCTGATTGTGAGGAGTGATATTGAACAGGAAGACATTCTCTGCTGTTTCGAATGGCTGGCCGAGGGTCGACGATGACACTGATGCACTCCTTGGCCATTATGAACACTCCATGCCAGGCGACGGCAGCCTTCCGTGGCAGGATCATTGAATACAGCCGCCGGGAACACGTGAGGCCAGCATTGCGATACGCTGGTGGAGAGGGCGGTGAACTCGGTCTACCCTCGGGAGTAAGGGGCACGTCCATTCCATGACAACAAACATGCTATCTTATTGCTCTGTTTGGCGTCATATGGAATACTGTATGTTAATTTGGGCCATGACGGCCGTTGCTCATTCCAGCCATTGACTGGCCCCGCCAGGTTGCACCACGTTGGGCTCCTCGTTAATCATACTTTCGGTGTCGCCCACCTGCTTTCGCTCCGACACCTCCCCACTCTTCAATCGTGAACGTACTGCGGCTAACCGTCCACTGCTGATGCTTGGGATGCGTTTGTGGTCATCAGCTCTGCTTGTGCCCTTCAGCGCCAATCCTTGAGACCCGCGGTTGTCCCTCATGACTGCTGATTGTTATTGGAGAGGCTCCGCAGAAGAAGAGAGCCGGTTGAGATGCAGGTAGACATCCGTGCCATATCTATACGCAATTGTTAGCAGGGGCTCCAACCTGGGTGGCCGGCAAGGAACGTACCCTTCCATGGAGATCAGCTTAAGATCCCCTCCGAAGTACCGTGCATATAACCGTGAAAGCGGCAGCCCGTACCCAAATCCAGCCATCGGCGCCTTAAAGTCACTAGCGTTAAAACCCGGGTCCAGCTCTGGTGTGGTGTCGACAGTAGTGTACATATATGTCCAGACGAGAGGAATGGCGGATCGTGGAATGCCGCCTCCTTCGTCGCTGATTTTGATGGTGATGTCTTCCTTTCCCTCGGCAACAATCACTTTGGTCACTGGAAATTCCTCCTTTTCCGCCCCGTGTGTCTCAACGACCGCTCGGAGCGAGTTTTTCAAGGTTTCGAACAGCATGTGTGACAAGTGACCCGGAACGTACATAAAGTTCAGGTGCGGAGGACAGAAGAGTTGGACTTTTGGGGCATCGAACAGGCCGTAGTGATCTTCACACACGAACCTGGCATTCTCAATCGCCTCCTCTGCTAGCTCTCTGACGTTGGTCTTTGTGCAAATGATACCCACGTAGTTCGGGTGTTTGTTGGTGGTCTGATCCGTCAACGCAATGTGTTGCCCAATAAGCATTCTAATACCTATGCGAGACATGTAGAACCGGTCGAGGAAGGATTGAATGGAGGAGTCGATTTGCATTCGTTGTTGTTTCCGCTTCCACTCATTGATGCCCTGGGCCACGGTCGTGACGACGGGATCGTGTCTTCTCTTGATCATCTCGAGAGTTCGAGCGAACTTGCGGTTGTACTCGGACAGGACTGGCGGCCACTCCTTGCCATCATCCAGGGCAGCAAAGTAACGTCGTGAATTCATGCTACTCTTGCCATTGCCGTCGTCTTTGAGACTGGGGTTGCGTGTGGTGGCGGATAGTTTTGTGCTTTGTTTTTTGGGAGGATTCAAAAGACGGTCACGGGTGGTGGTGTCTAGGTTGGGTCGCGGAAGGGTTGTGATCTCTTCGAAGGACTGAGCATACCAGTCTCTGACCTTTTTGATCGAGGGCATGTCATTGAGGCCATCTGGTAGTTTCCGTAGCTCTTCTACTCTGTGCGCCAGGCGGACTGGAAGCTCTTCGGAGAGAAACTGCGAGGCACGAAACAGGGTCCCTGACGGGGCATTCAGTATTAGTTGTCTCTCGATGGCTTCGACGTTGACATACCGGCAGAAGGCTTGTCTCCAAACTGCACCATCTGCCGGAGACTGACTCCAGTCGGCGGAAAGCTCGCATAGTGTGCAATGGTTTGGACAAGCTTCTCGGAAGGTTTCCACGACATGTTGATGAAGTTCAGGCCTTGCGGCCTGCTTCAGTAGGGACGGACAACTTGAAGGCGTGCAACAGAGTGTGAAGAGCAGCGACAGTGACTCGAAACTGCAAGCAGCAAGTCGTGTGGATGTCAGGTCCGATGTTCTCCGACTGAAGGGTGCCGAGGCAGGGTCAAGGTCTCAATGACGCGGAACGCTCGCCCTTGAGCTCGAGTGAGATCGTTCTGGAAGTACGGAGGAGATGCTCAGTCCTCGACGGGTGCTGCCAAGCTGGAAGATTCTGTGCTGTGCAACACACGTAGCACAGCCGGGGAAAAGAAGCTGAACCTGCAAGTGACAGACGACTTTGTGACTCGTGCGTGTGAGCAACTGCCCGCACACTGTGGAGGGCAAAAGAGGGACCAAGGGCCAAGGGACACGAGCCCACCGCCGCTTCACCAGAAAACCACCTGATTGTGGAGTGAAGGGGCCCGAAATGATTGGGTCTCGGCCCTAGGGACGGATGGGCACAGGCCTCGCTGGGCTTTGGGGGCAGCATCAGCCTTCCTGCGCTCCAGCCTTTCTGGCTTTCCCCTTTGCTCCGGGCGTCGGTGTGAAACCCCCATGTCCCCCATCAGCGTCATTCCGCCCGACGAGGCTCGATCTTGGTGTCGCTCGTCGGCGATCCTTCTGCATTCCGAACGACTGCCGAACTCTTCCGCGTTTATTGCCATTCTTCCTCCTGCCACTCACATTCGACGGTGGACGTCTTCAATGCAAGTTGACCCGTCTCAGCCCGTGCGAAGGCAATCTCTCGATTTTTGTTCTCATCATACATCAATCCACTAGCTTACAGCCTGGTACTTGCCCTCCGAACCTGGAACGTCCAGGTAACAAGATGCCGGAATGCTGCGACTGTTATATATCGATGGCCCCAAATGTCCCCAAACACTGCGATTGGGGATGATGCTTGATCTCATGGCCTGGAGTCCCAAGATGACCTGGCTAGAAGGGCTTGTTTGGATGCAAACACTCTCTCGCAGGCCAGCTTCGTGATTGACGAGCCTAGAGCCGTCTTCGCGGACGTGCAAGCCAGGAGTATGCTGCAACGCAGACAGCACATGGATTGACACATTTACTCAGCTGCTGAGAATCCGGAAGCATACCGAGCGCCGTTATTGTCCTTTTGGGTGCTGTCGTTGCCGTGCCGTGGTCTTCTCTTGAGCTAGGTCGCGGCCTTATACGGGTCTTCGAATTGCCCAGCAATCTTTGAGAGGCTCTGAAGATCCAGAGCGATAAAACAGACATCCCCCATATTACTTTCACCTTGGTGAGTAGACATGTGGGCGAGCATGGCGCCTCTTGTCCGCTCTCACGATGACCTACTCGCAAGGAGCCCTTAGGTAATGCCGAAGATCCGAAGGATGATACCTGATATATATATAGCCTGCTACATGATGTGGTATGGTGCTCAAATACCCTGATGGAGGGAATATCCCGTGACTGTTGCTCGTTGTTCACGTCTCGGGATATCGAGCCTTCAATGTATTTCACTGACGCTCAGAGTCAGACATGGAACCTCAGGGAAGCACGTTGACGAGGCCTGGCAGGAGTACATAATCGTGCATTCTGCGATAGACCATTGCTCAGGGTCCTGTCATCCATGTTCAAGGCGAGACTGGTAGGCGAGGCTGAGGCTGAAGAGCCGAAGGTGAATGGACAGAAATGTCACGAGAGAATATTTCAAGCCAGAAAACAAACACTTCCTTCCTCAGAAAGCGAAACCAGAGAATTGTAGGTACGAATAACATGTTTGCTGGAGCGAGAGCAGCCACGGTCTTCGAACTGTCGTCAACGCTGACCGCGACAGGGACATTATCTTTCAACCACGGTCTCCGCTTTATCATTCACAATCCACTCCGGCGCATTTGCAGGCTTTGTTTCATCGACACTGCGGTCGCTTAGTCGTCGCCCTCAACCATGGCGTCCGACGGAAAGCCACGGATTCACTCTGAGGAAATGACCTTGGCTGAAAAGTTTCCGGCCATTCCTGCGACTCACCACGGCGACATCATCTGCCAGGTTGATTCTGAACCACTTCTCCCTCTGTATTCAAGCACGACCTCAGAGCCCGAATCTCAGATCGACACCAAGAAGCACGACAACAACCTCCATCTTCACGAAATCACCATGACTCGCACTCCAGTTGTGCAACGTCCAGTCGACGCTGCTGCGAAGCGTGACGACGACCTCGTCCCGGCTGGCAACCCTCAGCAACCACCGATGCTCACTCGAGTGACCTGGGCAGTGATGGAGGCCTGGGAAAACCGCAGCCTCAACTTCCCCAAATTCATGTACCACGTCGTCTCCTCGCTCTGGTTGTGCTTCGTCCTGTACCTGGCTTACTGCTTGTTGCCGATCCATGGCCACTGGTCACTGGCAGGGCAGTCGGACAAAGCGCCTCACCAGGCTTCGGATCTGAACAAGTGAGTCCGACTGCAGCGTTCAGGTCAGGTGGGAACTAACACCGAGTTAACTGCAGCCACTTCAACGACTTCCAAGGCTACTCCGAGTGCAATATCCGCATGGCAGATCTCTACGCGCCTCTCGGTCATGAAGCCTCCAAAGTCTCACACAACGGTTACTGCGCCCGCCGCAAGGACCTTCTTGAAGCCATGTCAAGTGGAGGCCGAGTCGGGTTTGACGCACCTTACTTTCCCAGAGGTTCGATAATTCTAGCCCGCCATTGGCCATCCATCTGACTGTTACCACAGGCTGCCACTACCGCTGGTACTCGGTCGAAGAGATCTGCATGATCCTCGAACGCTTCTCTGCCGTCATCTTCGTCGGCGACGACAGCCTGCAGGCCATCTACATGGGGCTGAACATCCTCCTGCGTCGCGATCTGGGGCATGGCGCCGTCAAGACGTGGGAAATGGACACGCACACCCGCAGCCAATGCAGCTGCGACAACCAATTCATGTCGACGACCTGCGCGGCTCACCTCGTCACGTTCAGCGATGACCTCAGCACCGCCGGCCACAAAGGAGGCAAGATCGAGACCGGAACGGCCTACCTCTGCGCGCGCACTCCGCATGCCTTCCTCCACGTGACCTCCTCCCCGGCGCCCGCATCGACGATCGACAAGTTCAAGGCCCTCGCGCCCCGCGAGAAGAAGGCAGATTACCATCCTATTCCCGTGATCCACGCCCTTTCGCCATCGACCGTCAACGCGGAAACCGCCGTGTCCAGCCTGCAAGAGTTTCTCAGCTTGGCAGACCAGTCCCACCGCAAGACGCCCATGCTGTGGCTCGGCCCGCCCGCCAGCGGCCACACCGAGATCCGGGGCCGCAAGGGCAACCAGGAGATCTGGGACTTTGACCGCCAGCTCCGCCGAGTCGCCGAGGACAGCGACGTCGAGGTGCTGGGTATGTGGAACGCGACCGTCCAGGCGAATTCGTGGGACGGCGTGCGGTTCGGCGAGAGAGTGGCGCTGACGCAGGCCATGATGGTCGTGAACTGGCTGGCTAGATTGGAGAGCAGTTGAAGACGGAGACAAAGACGAAGACGGAGACGGAGACGGAGCAGGAATTAGCCACAACATGAGTGTGAGCGTGTGTATGTGAGCTGAACTGGTCTTACTACCACCACGGTGCAAGGACGAGAACATGAACATGAACGATTGATCAAGTGGCGCATTTGAGGCGAGACAACCAGACCGCTTTATTCAGCTAGTGAGTTGAGGCGTGTTTCACTCGTCGGTCAGGAAGCTGAGACAGTCAAAACACGTAGGAAGATGGCCAGCGCTGTAGAGTGATCAAACTCATCGGCAATGTGTGCCATGCAGTGCCATTCAACTGGCCTTGATTGGACCAGCAGAGCATTTCACAATATTCTGCTCTTATCTGTTTTGCTGGTTCCTTTCCCCAACTTGCAGCTCTCTCGCTGCACTATGAATAAGTCGATATTGGCGTGTTGCAACACCAGGACATGGTTGTAGGCTTCCCCCAACTCTCATGGTGAATGTACCAATGGCACGGACCCCTCGTTTCATTTCATCTTCTGTCATCCACGCGGAGGGAAAAGGCCGTTTAGAAAAGCACCTCCCCGCTCCCCTCTGGATCCCTCCAAGCAGTTCTCTTCCCCCTCGCTTTATCTCTCTGCTTCCTCTCTTGTTCCGCCTGTTTTTGCAAGCGGAACACCTCCTCCACATCACCCTCCTCATAGCCAGGCGGCGGGTCATCATCCCTGTCGAGATCCACCTCCCCCAGCAGAAGCACATTCTCGCCCCTGACTAGAAATGTCCCGCGGGGGATATCACAGTATAGATTCCGTGCATGTTGTTGCGACTCGGAAGGTGTGATCGTGGTGTCGGTGTGTGGATTTGTCGAGACCGAGGGCGGGACTGTCACGAAGTACCGCTCTCTTGTGTCGGTGAGGACAAGGTTTGCGAACTGGTCCCAGCTGCGCAGGACGCCGAAGATTTTCCGCCCGTCACGAAGGACGAGGAGAAGTTTCTCTACAGAGACACGTTAGACGGGTCCTTGGGAAACAAGGGGTTCTTAGAGATCGAGAGGTCCCTCGAACGTACTATCTGTTAAATCTAGCAATTGAGCCGCCGTGGTGAACATCTGTGGCGGGAGCTGAGGCGGGCCTTGAGGCGGCGCCGACGGGCCTGGAAATACGGCATTCTGCTGCTTATGTGTGTGCTGTTGTGATTGGCCCTGTCTCCGTGGCGAAGAGGGGTGTGCAGGAGGATCGCTCAGGGAGAGGTGCTCCATCGTCACCGACCCGAGAGGCAGACGTCCCCCAAGCAAAAAGGTGATGGCAGATCGAAATGCGCGGGATTCGTTATCGGTGAGGCACGAGGAAGATCTGAGCAGCGAGTAAGGAGCAACTTGTGTCAGTTGCAACCATGGCAGCTACAATGTAGACACAATATCATCCGAGGCAGGAATTGTACATTTACTTCCTGTCAGTAAAGTCAAGAAATGACGAGTCGATGCGTCTGATTGAAGCATAACGAGCAAAAGATCCGCCGTAAACAGCCGCGCGGCACTCGTACCTCGTACCCAGCACTGAGAACGAGTGACGAAGAGCCACAGAGAGCCAAATCGTAGTACTCGCGTAACTCCGTACCCACTGCCTCAATCTCTCCATGTCGAGGAATTGTGCCGGCAGTCGGAAGTGACAGCGTCAGTCTACTGCGCAACTCATTCTAGACTGGATTCAGGGGGTTGCGATGTGTCCGATGTCCCGTAGCCTGGCGACGGCGTGGAGAGACTTCGGGTACCCTAGCCAGCCGCAAAGTCCCCTGTATGTGTGAAAATGCCGGGTAGGAAAGGAGTTTCTCCGAGCTGCGCTTTTCTGGTTGGTCAAGCCTGCCGTCAAACTGCTGACTAAAGAGAAAGTGGCAGATATGGCCGCCGGACCATCGACGCACACTACGCGCATCTAATACCGGATGTATCTGAATGTATTGTGCTTGCTTATATTATCACACTAGGTCCTTGTAACAGATAGCCCCCAATCCATGTACGTCGTAGGCAAGGCTTGCGTCCGAGTTGGGATAGCCATTAAGAGTAGAACCTCGGCGTGTGTAGTTGTGCCTGGTCAACAATTGGATCATCAATTGCATACCGTCTTTGTCAACCTCCCACCAAGGCAGCAGAACTGCGGGCGAACATCAGTCCGACATCGAGGACACCAGGCACCAGGGTGAGAGGAAAGTATTTATGGTTATCTCAAAGCACCCCGTCCGTCTGCACATGTTCTGTCCACAGTGCGGAGTGGTCCAACACGACCTCCCCCAAGGATAGAACATCAAAAACAATCTTGAACACACATCAGCTTCAGTCACGTCTCGAGTATGTCACTCTTCGGACTGCAGCGTATGCTTGACCAGAAACGGAATCCCCCTAAGCCACCGACCGAGTCATTCGCTGGTAGGACCATTCTCTTGACCGGCGCAACATCTGGCCTAGGCTTTGAAGCCGCCAAAAAGTTCGTGGGCCTCAATGTCGACAAACTTATCATCACGGCGCGCAACGAAAGCAAAGCTCTGGCAGCGAAGGGGCGGATCGAGGAATGGGAAAAGTCGAACCCGAGGGCGGCCGATGCGAAACATACCGAGATCATTCCGATGGTCCTCGTCATGAGCTCGTTCGCCGATGTCCAAAAGTTGGCAAACGAGCTGAAAGCAAAATTCCCAGGAGGCATCGATGGCGCCATTCTTAACGCTGGAATGATGAACACAACATACGTCAAAAGCAGTGATGGTTGGGAAGAGACTCTTCAAGTGAACGCCCTGAGCACCTTCCTCCTCGGCCTTCTCATCCTGCCACTTCTCATCGTCTCAGCAGACTCGGGAAGAACCGCAAACTACAAGCCTCACCTGACATTCATCTCTTCGGGCACAGCCTGGATCATCCAACCAGACGAGATGAAGGCGTTCATGGCCAGCGAGAAAGCTCTGGAGGACCTAAGCCAACAAAAGAACTTTCCTGGCGGCCTCTCCGGCGGTGCAGGCCAATACGCCAGATCCAAGCTCGTGCTCGAGTATGCCGTGCGTCATCTGGCAGCCTCGCCTGCCATAAAAGGCCTCGACGGGAAGCCCAAGGTAATCATCAATACGAATTGCCCCGGCCTGTGTAAAAGCGACCTGGGCCGTGAGGTTGGAAAGGGCAATCCACTCATTCAGCTTGCAAGGTGGGTGCTAGAGGCCATTCTTTCTCGCACGGCGGAAGACGGCGCCAACACATACGTCACGGCGCTGGAGCTTGGCGACGAGTGTCACGGCCAGATGTGGAAGAATAATCGCGCCTTTGAGGTCGGGCCGATGTTGGCCACGGACGAGGGGAGAAGGTTTGGCGACAAGATGTGGAATGAGATTGTCCACGTTCTGCTCGAGGTTGATGGCAGTGCAAAGGCTTTCTTGGGCTGAAGTGGACAACTCAGCGCATCTCCAAGCCAGCCCCTGGTGCTGTTGTGGGGGATGACTGAGCTGTGTGATTCTGCCTTCACTTTCGAGTCGGGGTCTGATGGGATTAGCAACAGGCGGAAGTGCCACAAAACCTGTGTTGTTCTTCAGATATAGGCACTGGAAATGCCCGCTGAATGGGTGTTTATCTGGTATACGGCTTATTTTCGTTCCCGGGCCAAGTCACAGATTAGACTAGATAGACAAGCTCGACCGACTTGTCTTTGTACCTGCCCGCTGGATCGTTGTCAGGACGAATGTCGAGGTTAGTCGTGACTATGGCAACAGAAACCCGATCGTCCGCTTCGGTACTATCATGTAAATCCGCTGCCACTGTCCTGGCGAACCCTATGAAGGTGGATTAGCAATCGGTCATGCATATAGCTTTGCGCCGATCAAGCCGACTGGCCCGCAACGGAAGCTGGTGCGCTGGCAACAGCTGACAGGCCGTTCCGCACATGCCTTTACGGACTTGTCAGTGGTTGCTACTGTCAGTCACAAAGGCTCCAAAGAAGACCCATTGAGGCTCCAGCTTGGGCCTTTGGGATCTGCGATTGTCGAGTTCATGCATCCCATCTATTCCTGCGCCCCGCTTTCATCAGACACCGAGACAGCAGTAATATCTTGATCTGGGCTGCATTTGTTGCATCTTTCCGGGAGGGTTGAAAGAACAATCACTTCCCCGGAACGAGCCTCGACCCCGCAATCCGCCCGATCGGGCTTATCGATAGCGTGATTTCCGACGTCGTCACTCCAGGTCGACATCGCCATGATTTTGGTGAGTCGCTTGCTGATATCTGGATTGTTCCCCTTGGACGCGGACGCTGATGGGAGTGCAGGCTTGCTCCGCTTTGTGTCGAGGATACTCCACGAACCACGATCGAGCCATAACGCCGTTGTAATTCGATCCTGTGCGATACGTTTCAGCTCGTCATCTCTGCCACACCGACAAGGAGGCGAGAGGGTCGTAGGGCCCTCGACTTGATGTACGCCAGAAGCACAAGTTCCAGATCGGCCTCTGCAGCGCAGGTCGTCCACGAAGACGATGACGCATCAATGGCCTCCACGCAAGCCACCACGACCACCACAGATGCGGTACCACCGTTGACGCGCGGTACTTCGTCCGACTCTTCTGCAGCATCCTCGGCGGACACCGATCTGGCCAGCAGCATACTGGGAGACGGATACATGCTGGAATCACAAGATGGAGTGTTGACCGTGCCGTTCCGATACCAGGAGAATGCCGACTTGCTTTGCCCATTCCAGATACTCGACTGCGATCGGGTGTTCGCCGACATTGTCCACTTTAAGATGCATGTCTTTTCACATTTTCGAGGCCACGAGCTGCCGACCACGGCCACCTGTTTCCTATGTGACACCAAATATGTCAACCGCCCCGAAGACGATCCTGCTTTCGCTTGGAACACCATGCTGTCGCATATGGTGCATGATCATTTCCGAAAAGGTCAACAGCTCGCCACGGTAAGGACAGATTTTGGCCTCATGAAGTGGATGCATGCCCGGCGGATCATTACCGATGCTCAATTCAAAAGGACACAGTTACTCCCGGCTCAGACCGTGCTCGCTGCACGCGCCAACAGAAGAAGACCAGCGATGATCGCCACAGAATTGCCGCGAGCACCTTCAGCGTCCCCACCAGCTAGCGTGCGTGCACACCGGGCACAATCCTTTCAAAATCAGAACGAGCCGTACACAATGAGTGCGGGACGAAGGCAAGATAGACGTCGTCTTGATGCCACTCGGACTCTGATCCGAGCCCACAGTTATCTTTGAGATTTTGAGCGAGAATTGACAGATACCCAGCGTTGAGCGTCCAAACCCGACGTCAGATCGGATCGAATGAAGGCTCGAGTCTAGCGTTACTCGCATCGTGATGAAATGTTTGTATTGCGCCAAGTGGTACGAAGCGGGCGTTCCAGGTTGCTGAGTCACTGTCTTGAGCGAGGGCATCAGGTTGGCGTACGCGGTTCGATCGTTTCATTGCCAACTGGTCGAAGGGACTTGAATCTGGGACGGGCCTCGATCGCATGAGCAACAACGTGTTTCGCAGCTGTTGAACCTTGAATGGATAAGCTCCTCGGTCATTGATGTTTAAGCAGTCCGTGTAATCTTAGTGAGCTTAGTCGCACTCTGCTTGAGAATCCTGTAGGCATATAGCGATACCTCCGCAATTTGGAAGCAGAAAGCAGAGGATCTTTGAAGATGGTCCCATACCACCACTTTACGGTAGTATGTTGGTCATTGACTGCGACATGGACCCGGCAGCCCGGCCAAAGGAGGACTGGTTGTTGCCTCTGACGCGTCGTGCGTCGAAGTAAGTTGTAGGGACTTGGGAGACCCACCTGGTACTGGACCCCGAAGAGTCTGCGCCGAATCCACGACCTGCCCTGATGTGGACATGGAGAGAACCGCTCGCGGGACTCTGGGCAGGACGAACAGGACGACGTACTACTCGCACAGTACAACCAGGGAAAGAAAGATGTCTTTGAAGTTGGTCAGAACGAGGAACCCCCAGAACGACCTGAGCACACAAGCCCCCAAAGGACCCCCTGATCAGCAGATTCCGCCACCAAATTTAGCGAAGACCACGCGTCGTTTCGACCAATCGTTCTACGGCAAGGCGGGTCGCCTGTCCAAGTTTGATCACAAGCCCGTTCCAACCGTTGGTTGCAACTCGCAACACACATTATCTACAAGCACCTATTGTTGTACGGAGTACACTTGCGCGCTTCTTTCGATCCCATATTTCATCGAACTCAAAATGGGCCCGATGCCGGACATCGCGGCTCGGTATGCCGGCAGCTGAGCAGAATCTACGAGACTTGTGACACAACGTCCGAATCTTCGGCTGTGGGGCCGTTTGGCTTAGAGGATGACTCGCACGTGGCCATGAGATACTGTAACCGTCTGCAGGCATTTGTAAAGGAGCTCGCTCAACTGTCCACCTATGAAATTGAATCGTTAGCCTCATGCCGACCCAGAGCAATCCTGAAAGGTCTCGGAATGAGAGCAAGATCAGACAGCAGTTGGTACATATAATGTCGTTTCCACAAAGTGTTTCAGAACAGGTCTGTGTGAAATTTGGCTTCATCAAGGGTCGCAGAAGAAAGTGAGCAGGATATGATCAAGACATACCGATTTTATGAGAGGCCAGACTGTTCATTAGCCGATTGGACATGTTGTAGTTGGGCCAAACGGAATACCCTCTCGACCTCCACGATCTTGGGGAATGAATCCTGCAGATTGAGGCTCGGTAGGCTACAACTTCCTCTGATGGTCGCTGAGCTGCAGACAGAGTACTAGAACATCTGCCAGATAGTTCTTTGACAAGCAGCAGATCCTCATGTCTTGACCGATAGGAAAGAATGTTTCAAGTCTGCAGGACACAAGTCCTCGTCGAAAACTTTTCCGATTGGAGCAGGTCCGTGGTAGCTACAGGCCAGCTTTACTTCGGTCGTCGGAAAAAGCCATCAAGGCTCTGCTGCTTAGCATCATAAGCAAGGGAACCCAATCCTCCACGTGCACGCTTGAGATCGATTAAGTGGTCTTTGCTGTTGACACTATGAATCGTCATCGAGAAGCCGCTGAAGGGTGATAAGACCTGATCCTCTATGGCAGGCTTGGAGGTGACCGCAGCAACGTCGTCTATTGGATTCTCGATGGTAAGCTCTAGAAATCCGGTGTTAGTCCATGACGGTAAATACTCCAGAGGTCGACTGTAGCTTGGAACCTCAATATTTGGGCCAAGCACCACGCGACCAGCATTGAATTTGCGCAGAAGGGTCTGCCACAATACAGACAGAAAAAGTCCGTGAGACACCACGGCCACACATTCCTGGGTAGGACTTGAAGTATCATCCGCGGCGGCGAAGAGAGGAAGAATGAAATCAGCCAGAAACGCTTCAGCCCTGTCCGACATAGCCACCGCTGTTTCTTGTGGTCGAAATGATGGATCTGTGGGACCAGGCACGCTGGGGTTCAAGGAATCTTGCGTCCTCCTCGACGACCACGGCACGAGCTCTAAAGATCCAAAGTCCTGTTCTCTGAGCAGTCCGAGTTGGACCACTGCAGGCACTTGGCCGGATGGATAATGTAGCGTCTGATGCCTTTGTAGCTCGTTGGCCGTCATGAAGGCTCGCTGTAGATCCGAGGCGTAAATTTGGGTGAATCTCAAGTTGCGGTGGGATGTGAGGTACCGTCCGAGTCGCTGAGTTTGCAGCACGCCATGGTTTGTCAACCTGGAATCAGAAACACCAGCAAGAAGACCCGCCACATTGTGTTCGGTCTCACCATGGCGGATGAGAAAGAGATGCATGAGTTGGCCGAGCAATGAGGCGCAGGTCCAATCTTGAGAAATCAAAGTAGCTGGTGAAGGCAGAAATGAAAAGCGGTAACCTCAAGTTAAAAGAAGGCAGGTTTGCCGAAGCCTCGCGCTCTACTGTGTACTCGCGTGGTCGTCCTGCAGGATAATCCTCGAAATACCTATCAACCACGGAATTATTCAAGCCAGAACTCGGTGCGACGCAATCGGATCTTCTACATCATAATGGACGGGTTGGTTCACATTCCAAGCGTCAACTCCGAAAGCTCACTGATCTTTCTGCAGCCTCACACCCGCGGAGCAACGAGAGCTCAATGCTCGTATGGAAGCGAAGCAACTGAAGGAGTTTATGAAAGTGAGTGACCCCCGAGCACATCGAAGTACAAAGTGCCCCAATGGACCCAGGCTGCTAACCAATCGCAAATCGTAGACATATTCGAACCTCGTTCAACGCTGTTTCGACGACTGCGTCAACGACTTTACCACCAAATCACTGGTCTCAAGAGAAGAAGGATGCGTGATGCGATGCGTCGACAAGTTCCTGAAGGGATCCGAGAGGTTAGGCGCAAGGTTTCAAGAGCAGAACGCGGCCATGATGCAATCAGGTCAATTACCAGGGAGATAAATTCACTGTACCCTCATCTCCGCTCGCTATGAGAAATTGTGTACAATATGGAAGAGGAGACTCGATCCATAACACACCACACGGATTGGAAGTTGTGGTCTTGCACTTTGCTCGAGCCGTTGAGGGATATGTTGAGGTGTCTCCAGTATGAATGAACTCAGACCCCCGGACCGCCATTGACATGTTCGACGGCAAGCATACAGAGTCCAGGACATTACCTGCCTCTATTTTCGAATTCACACTGCATATATGTGTCGATCTGGTGGCATGTGCCCAGCCTGTTGGAAGAGAGATATCTTCGTGTTCCTAAGGATACCAAATTCGAACAAGGCCAAGGTAGACAATTCCAATACTCCGTACTCCGTACTTGCATCTCACCTGCGATGCTAACGATCGCTTGTGAGAAGGCGGATGAGTATTACAAATGGTCATCCTCCTGCATTTGATAAAGTCTTTCCCCAGCATTTCCTATGCAAGTCTGAACCAGCTGAACGACCATCTCGAAAAGTACCCAGGTTTGTTTGAACTCGCAGAGTTTCCTTTAGGTTGACGCACCAAGAACAAGAGCGCCACAGTGTGGCGCAAGCATTAGGAGTGGATGATATGATTTTGGTTGGTGGTGAACCCATACGAGGCTCCGAACGGTCCTCAGACATTTCCTCGGCTGGCTTACTGGGGCCATCCACTGAGCGCCTATTTCGGGAGTCGAGGCCGCTCAATCACGCTGCGACTGGAAACGAAACGCTCCTGGTTCAGCTGCCCCAGGCTTTCGGCTTGGGACTTTCCGGGCATCAAGCAATCAAATTCTCTACACAGTAATTAAGCCACTGCTTGCATCGGACGCCTCGGCGCCGCTATTGCACACGGTGGCATCAGTATAATTCGGATGAACCTTGTCGGCCTTCGAAAGGTCAGGGTCCCACATGCCCGTACCGATCGGGCACTTTACACGCTCGAGCTGTGGTGGCCGTGTCAAGGTAATTTTCACCTTGTCTTATTTCAGGTCCCGACTTTTTCCACGTTCACATTTAATTCTCCTGATCGTTCCCCTGCTCTGAGCCTCCATTCGCCTGTTAGGGGTGTATTTTTTGACGGATCTCGATTTATCTGCCTTGTTTCCCGTGCTCGCCATCGCCGGCTTACATACCACGCGTCTATTACAATAGTTTAATCCTGTTCGGCTCACATCGTCGTCGTGTCTGAGACACCTCGACCAACCGTACCGCCGCCGGCCCCCACCAACGGGCACTGCTTCACGTTCTGCTTCGAAGTTGCTGCGCGGATCTTCGGTTCGTGAAAAGCGCGTTCTCGACATTCCTTTTCCTCTCGCCTTCCGTTGTTGCCTTGGACTGGATCCAATCACTGCTGTACGACCGACTGTCACATCAAGCTTCCCAATCGACCTCCAATGATTTACTAGATCCGTCTGTGTGACGAACCGAACTCTTCGACCACTCAACCCCTCCCCTCCGCTCGTCATCGCACTTGGTGGTACACGACCCGAAGACACGTCTCTACACAAGCCCACAATGGCAAGCAATATCATCGGCAACAGGAACAGCACACCCGAGGCGTCCAAGACCTCGCTGCGCCCTCCCAGCTCTAGGACTATAGGCACATCCGGCCCTCATAACCAGCCTGTCCGTTCCTCTGCTGATATGTCTTTCACTTCTCCTCTGTCGGCTCGTTCCATCCGCCCCGCGTCCGAAGTCTTGTACAACCAACAGTCCCAACAAGGAAGCATGGATGACTCGAGCAAACTGGGCGAACAATGGATTCAGGACATTGAACAATACGAGACCATGTTGGAAGAGATGGCTGCGGCAACGCTGGACCAGGATTTCAAGGATGAGTTGAGCGCAATTGAGCAATGGTTTCGAGTTCTCAGTGAGGCTGAGCGCACCGCTGCCACCTACGCCCTGATCCAGCAAACCACCCAAATGCAGCAACGCTTCTTTGCCCAAGTCCTCAACCAGATGTCGAAAAGCCATCCTATTTCTGGGGTACTATCTCCGGCAAATTTTGGCGAAAAGGATGCCATGTCGAGCCGGCTCAGCGACGCCATGTCCAAGCTGAATGTGGAAGATCGCAGGACATCGCTTACTCGCCCGCCAGTGTCTCCTGCAGGCAACAAGCGCAACTCTGGTTTGGATCAGTCGACTATTCACGCCATGTTTCCAGATGCTGTGGCTGCAATCCAACAGCAAAAGGCGGAATATGCCCAACACACAGGAAATCAGCCGCCGTCCAACAGGAACAGCACAGTAGTCGGCGACCGTAGCTCATTCGTGGCGCCCACGATATCTGCCCCAAGGGAAACAAAGACTGACGCAATGAGCTGGCGTCAGGGCGGCGGAGAATCTCACCAGGCCCCTATCTCTAGACCCAAATCTTCGTCTGGTCAACAATCACTGCAACAGCCAATGGGTCAGTTCAGTCAACCCCCATCCTCCGGCGCCCTTCGTTCTCCACGCCCTGTGGGACATACAGGTGGCAACATTCAGAGTACTACCCTGACTGCGCCGGAACCTGCGTCGAGCGAGTACCCGCTTCTATCTCCGTACAACGTGGGAAATCAAAGTTGGGCTTCCATGAGCAACACCCCGATGGTCCCCAACTTCAGCCAGGCTCAGTCCCACAGTGAAATGGTGGCTAATGCAACAGCCATGAAGCTTGCGGCTCTGTCCACCGTGAACAACCGCATTGCCTTGGACGACGTCAAGAAGTATAGACGTGCTAGGTCTAATGAGCCTCAGCCACCGACCCAGCCGCCATTAACACCTGGAATCACAGCTTCCGGCATTCCCGGCATCAACACCATCATGGTCAACGATCATGGTCAGATCCTAAATGCTCAACAGGTGGCAGCGATCCAAGCGCAACAGATCGTTGCAGCACAAGGACGCCGGTCTCGACCCAACTCTCCTGGTCTGCCCTTGCAGACTCCCCTTGGACAAACCGCTTTTGCCTCTCCTCAGCACAATGGATTTTTGGCCGCATATGACGGGACACCAATCATGATGGGTGCAGGCGTGCCCGGTATGGTTCCCCAAACGGGAATTTTTGGCACGGGTGGTGAAGGATATCTCTCTGACCATTCCGAGGTCAACCGTGGTCGGTCACCCAGGGGCAGGCGAGGTAGTAGTAAACCTCCTGAAGACCCGACCGATGTGAACTTACTGAAGGACATTCCGGCATGGCTTCGGTCACTGAGATTGCACAAATATACCGACAATCTAAAGGACTTGAGCTGGGAAGAGCTCATCCAGCTGGACGACAAAGGACTTGACGCTCGCGGTGTCAATGCTCTGGGTGCACGAAACAAGATGCTCAAGGTAAGTCAGAAGAAGATCGATTTGGAAGTCGTTTGCTAACCGGTGCTCAGGTTTTTGAACAAGTGAAAGAGGCTCAGGCAGAAGGCAAGCTTTAGGGAAGCGAACTATCGTCCACGCCGGCTTCCTCCAGTAACACGATCGAGAAGCCGCATGTCGAACATAAGCCCTAGGAGGACGCATCTCCCCTGAGTCGCTGGGTTCACGAGCAGGAAGGGAAGAAAGGGGTAACTTACCGGTCTTGGATCTTACCGTTCCACAGTTATGTCATTCTTCATTCTGACATTTGGGCAAAGAACACGCCCAGGCCTCCACTTGTGAATGTGGGAACGTGGCCCAGCTCTACCAATGTATCTATCACGGCCGACACAACGAGGCCTTCCTTGTCGGGTACTTTGCTTGCAGAACGGCTGACTGATCCGGGCGTCACGAGTTCACGTTTTGATATAGCGTGATGAGATAAGCGATACCACATACGAGTCTTTGATACGAACATGTTAGTCAAACAAAAGCAATATTAGATTTGATTCTCCAATGCTTCTCCTTCACTGTGTATTAGTTTCAGTAACTGCACCTTGGGTCAACCCTCAGGGAGATGGTGTGGACGAGAGCCAGCCCAGCCTGATGGCACAGCCTTGCCAGTTCTTACTGGTCCGCTGCCGACCCACTGGAGCCGAGCGGCAAGAAAGCAAGCCGACACTGCTGAATATCCATCGCAACTTGCGACCAACGGAGCCAGGAAACCGGCAGTGACCTCACCTTTGTCTTCAGTCCAAGACGACAGCCCCAATATACATCATGCCTGCCTCACCGCAAGAACTCTCCATGCTCCTGGATCCCCTCGTCCCAGAGTCCATTCAACATAACACCCGTGTATGTGACTCTACTTGAATACTATTCCGTTCCCGGGTATCCGTACTAATATCTCTAATATACTAGGTCCTCTCCAATATCCGCTCTATATCCGGTCTTCTTCTAGGCATCGCCGCCGGCATCCTTGGCCTTGAATCCCTCTATGGCTTCGCCTTCTACCTGGTCTCTAACACATTGATCTCGTTATTATTCTACTTCCTTCTCGCCAAGGGCACGCCGCAGAGATACTTTGCCGGTAGTGCGGGAAGTAGAGGGCTGAATGAGAACGGGAAACCGGGGAGGAATTCGGGCACGGGCGCGTGGCGTGAGATTTGGTTCGGCGGAGGATTGTCCACAGAGGCTCTGAGTGGGTTCGTCCTAGGATGGGCAGGAGTTGGCGGTGTCATTAGATGACGTGGCTGCGAGCAAAGACTTTCACGATGGAGAACAATGACTGTTGTGCCGCATCATGGCTGGGAATCCTACGCAATGTGGTGGACCTCCCACACGTGACAAAGGCAAGGGAAAGAGCAAGGACTTGATGAGAGCTCCCGGCTTCACCCCGATGGCAGGCGAGGCGGCTTCATTTGATCTGTTCCCGTAGGAGGATGTCTCACGAAGTCGAGAGTAAGGTCACGCATCTTTGCGCTTCCCGACGGGGGACACGGATGATGTTGGGACTTGGATGCGCTCGAGGAGTGCTGGAATTGGTGCGGGTCGAGCTTGCGCTGTTCAATCGCACCAGCGTGACCGGCGCACGGGTACCTTCATAGCACTCCATGCCCTGAACTGAAGGTACCTGGCTTGCCGCGTCAGACGTGCCAACTCCACGACTTGGAAACTGCGCCTGGGCCATATCGACAAGCAGTTTCGAGAAATCATATTAGCCGCCCAGCAGCTGCATTTGTTCCTTGTCTCTCGGAAGTTACTCACGCGACTTGAGGAACAAGGTCCATCTCTCCGATCACCTCATGCTATGACCCTGTCTCCTTCCGTTCGAATTGCTCTTGTCGGAGCTTATACGAATGAACTGCCGCTTATGAGGAGGCAGATCAGACCAGACGAAGCCTTCAACGATGATGTCCTCATGGTCGCCTAGACTGAACATTCGCAGCATAGACAAGAGTTTTAGGAATGCATCACCCCACAAGATCGAGGTAGAGGCCACCATGCCATTTCGCCTTGAAGTCGTCGATCGTCGATCTGGTGCTGAGAGAACATGGCTGTCTGGCAGCTTTAACATCTGCATCGCTACGAACACGGGTCTGGTCTCGAAGTACGTGTGGCGGTCGCCAGGATACCGCTGCCGTAAAGAGGTGAGGAGAAAAAGTCCTTTGGCGACAGAGACAACAAGCTTCAGTGTGAGGCTTGTCCATATATCTGGATTCAACAGAATTATCCCTGATGTTTTAATTCTTCCTCTCTCTGGCTTTGGATTCCCGGACGACCAACGAGTAAGTCGAATGTTTCTCCAAGCGTACTTCGAGCTGACGCTTCTCGCTGTACACGGCACCTGAAAACGTTCCTCGTCTTACCCGTCTTATGTGTCAGTGGAGCGAGCTTTGTGGTCCGTGCTGCGGAGATCTCATTCCGCTCCGTTTACGACTCGACGATATGTCCATACCCTTGGGTGCCGGTACATCTCATCGGCGAGTTTCTCAGGGGAGATATGTTCTCGGCCGGCTGCCATCCGTTCCGCGCCAACATCACTCATCGTTCGAACCCTTTTCATAGCCCAGCCCGACTCACCCTTTCAGTCGATAACCGCCCGATGCCACAGATCGGTTCCTCGATCTTCGATCCAACTGAGTTCCAACGTTCCTCTTTCTGGCGCTCCGGGCGTGCTGTGGATGAGATCGAGTCTGGAGAACCCACGACACGTTCACCCGGATGCAAGAGAACACCTAGACAGCTTCAACGAAGAAGACAGGCAAACACGTGAGCAGCTGGCATCAAACGCCCATCATTGGAAAGTGCTGGGCGATTCGACGCTCCTGGTACTTTGAATGCAGCCGACACTCCGAAAGGCTTCTGGCGACAAGATACAAAGTTCGATCAAGAGAGGTGTTTGGCGACACACTCTACGCTCGGGAGCCAGAGCCGCACATCAAATAGCACTTCTACAATCACCTCAAGAGCCTTCCGTGTGCCAAAATCCTGCAGATAGAAAACGCTGCAAGCCTTCAAAGTCAGGAGGGGAATCTGGGCTTTCAGCACTATTGAATGTTCAGCTTGCAGGCGACGCACAGCGCTTCACTTCACTGACGGGCTTGTCGAAATAGTCGCTTACAATTGTGTCTGCCTTGCTGAACGTCTGCATTGCTTTCACTCGACCGTCCCTTCTATGCCTTCACTTATACGCCTAGGCGTTTTGAAGCCGGTCTTGCCGTTTGCAGCTTCAAAACGGCTGATCTCCCGATCGCACAACGATCTGAGGTACGTACAGTAGAAGCCAAGTTGAACTCTGGCAACATAGTGTAAGGGCATGCCATCAACGTGGTCATGCCCTGCTTTGGCTGCCTTCTTTCCGTCCAGAAGCATTACATCCACGGCACGACGCCACTTCAAAGGAAGCTATCCCCTTTCTAGCCCTTTTTTGTCCCACCGCCTCTGACTCTAGCATCGCAGGGCGGCTGGAGGTGCGCCTTGTTGTCTTCTGGACCTGAACAGCTCACCAGCAGCGGTATTCCTCTCGACGTCCTTTGCGTCGCGGATGGGGCATTGAACCTTGACCTGCATGCCGCTAATGCACGGTAGAGACCAAGTAGCGACCGCATTGGGACTGGCGTCTCCTCTACCGAGTGCTCCCAGCCTTATTCTTCGCTCCTGTGCACCGTTTCCCGAAGCCGATACACTCAAGCTAAGCGGGTCACAGTCTCGTCTCTTCGAAATAGTATTATGCAGGGAACCAACACAGCAAAGGACAGAGGCCTATCTTCCAATAGCGACAAACATGGCCAAGGATCAAGAAGTACAAAAGGGCACAGGACTTCCTCTAGGTCCAGCACATCTCCCAGACTCTGACCACGAAGCTAGAGAAGCCACTTCCCCACCCTTGGACACCTTTACACTCGTACGGCACCCGCAAGTTCATTATGGACACGTCCTCCAGTACTAATGAGCTCGATGCTCGCGGTGACGATGCCCTCATAACTCTCGGAGGGGCCGTGACTTGGGACTTTGTTGGTGACTATGCGCCTTCAGAGGTCCCACATGCCGATCCCGTGGATCAGCCCATCGCCGAACCCCCCTTCAACGCAGGAGGCACCCACTGCGCCCAGATTAATCCCCCATGCTTCGACAGCACTTGTTTGGACCGTACCCTTGTGTTCGATGCTGGTGGCTCATCTTCCGTCAACAATCTCCCGTACGTCAATGCTGCCCGAGGCATTGGCCCTGACAACTGGGAGAGTCATGGGCCTGGGGCTCCGTGGACTCCGTGGAGGGTTTATGCACCATCTGCTTCACCATACCCTTACCCAGCAGCCACGGCTGCCGATCCGTCAACCGCCCAAGCGGCTGCACGTCCATTGCTGTCAGAACGGAAGCCTCGGTGTCTTAGCTGCCCTGCCAAACGTGGCTGTCGTGGATTTCCTTTGTGTCAGACGTGCATAGGGCTGACGCCTTTGCAAAGGCCACCAGTCCGCATAGCGGAACGCTCATTCCTGGATCGAACACTCTGGTTTTCTCTTTGCCAGGAACTAGGCGGAGGGTTGAATGGACTGCAGGTTGCGCATCACGCACACGACGATTATTCCTCGAAGCTTCCTTCAGATCAATGCTGCAAGATCATTCTGGATTTAGGTTTGGAGGACCTGGCCATTAGAAGAGATATCCAGGAGACACATATCCTTGCCTGCGACCTCCATCTCGCTTCCCAATTGCTGCCGCCTGATGGGAGCCGGCCGCCGTGCATCGAATTCTCCTGCTTCGACACATTTGTGCTTGAAGGCATGTGGAGATCTTCCTGTATGTCTGGCGAAAAGGACAAGATGCTCTCCGAAGGACATCCGGACACGAAAGCACATCCGAACACGGTAGGACAGTCGAACACGGAAGGACAGTCGAACACGGAAGTACAGTCGAACACGGTAGGACAGTCGAACACGGTAGGACAGTCGAACACGGTAGGACAGTCGAACACGGGGATCTCTTGTGACAAGACCGAACGGGCAGAGATATTTGCCAAGGTCGAGAAAGAGAAGAAGGAGCTTCGCCCAGCAGAGCAACATTTATTTTCCGAGATACAACTTACTCTGGGCTACTACAGCTTACTGCGGAACGTCGACTTGATCTCAACAGCCGAAACGACTCAGCGTGTCCTTGCCGAGGCCCGGTTTGCCATAGCGGAACTCATATACCTTCTGGCTTTTCGGATCAACATGCTGTTTGTCGAAATCTCATGCGTCTTTCCGACTCTTGATGGGGACAACTTTGTGGAAATGCATTCGTCTCTCGATGCCGAGGCGCCAGCCACCAAGATCCGTCCTATCATATTCCGTTATGCGGCAGAGATTCTGGTCCGAGGCTTGGAGGCCATCAGGGCTCCAAAATGGAATTTGAGCAATGAGGATCCTCCGAGCCCTCTCCTTCAGTTGGAAAGAAATCTCGCTCAATCGTTTCTATTCATGGTGAATCATCTACGGGCATATGAATGCCACCTCTCGGGATGGTACAACGAGAGGCAGAGGACAGGGGACATGCCCGGCCTTCTAGCCTTTGTCCGCGCAGCAGAAAAAGGCTTGCCCAATCATCTCATCGTCGCTGTCCAGAGGCACACGCCATGGGGCGGCAAGAGTTCTGTTCCTTTCTTCGACCCTTTCCCGCTGCTGCACACGCAGTGGAATCGATATTCAACAGTCGACTTATTTACGCGCACTCCTGCTGCACTGGCGTCGACGATGCTCAGCGGTCTCGCGACCTGCGGACAGCGCGTTCCCGAGTATCTGATCACGGAGCACAACTCGAGGTTCAAGTTGTCGAAGTCCAAAAAATTTGAAAGTCATGACGACGGAGTCTGGACGGCTAGCTCGACAGGTGGCCCTGGCCCAGCAACCAAGGGGGGGATTGACCTATGCCATCACCCTGATCCGCCACGGTTCTGCGGCACTGACTCTGCGATCTTGGCCCTGGCTGGCGTCCACCTCGGGGACAACACTGAGTCCCCCGACGACTCGGAGGCACTTCGGATCAATTTCGTCCCTCCTGAAAGATGGGAAGCCGAATTCCGCGACGTTCAGGACCCATCGGATGCCGTGCTACAGGTCTGGGAGTACACATCACAGGCCTCGCCCTCGACACAGCGCAAACGCAAGCAGGGCGAACACTCCGTCGAAGGGGATCCTGCGTTGGAGTCCGGCCAAGCCCCTAAGCGTCGTGTATCGGTATTCCCCGAGACCCGCGGTATCCAGGCTATGTATTTCGGGGCCGTTGGGGAGGGGGCAGAGTTCAGAATCACGTACGATTGGGGAAACTCGCAGGAGTGAAGGAAGCGACGGAAGTGGACGGTCCTGGCACGGTCGTTCGGGGGCGCTTGGTCTTCCAACGAGGGCCATTCTGTCGAATGGGGGCGGGTATGCATACAGGGACAGAGCATGGTGGTAGCCTTGAATCTTCGAGAAGTCAAGCAAGTACGTGAGCCCGCATGACCGATCGCGACGTGTTGATAGTAACGAGGACCAGACGGGGATGACCAGGTCGGTCAGTAGGCGCATCGGCACGGTTCCAGAGGACCCATCCATCTCATAGAGTATGAGTGTAGATTGCAAACACGAAATTTCCACTTGTCTCTCTCGCTTGATGTGTTGAGCCGTCGGCGGGCAGGAGACAGGTATTCCGTCCCAACTCCTGAACTCCGAATCCCCATGCCCCCTATGTAGCCTGCCGCCACGATACAAGGCCGGTCCCACTCAGTTACTAATTACTGTACGGCGTATATAGACAAGTACAAGTATATATATATATATATATATATACATAGCTGCTCTGAGAAAATGGTCAAGAAAAGCTCCTCCATCCAAACGACAGAGCGTAGCCACAAGTGCTGCGGACGGCTCTAAGCCCTTTTTGCCGGCGAAAATCGAAGTTTCTGCAGACCATCATCGCTGTTTGAATTGGCTCTTAGTACGACGGCGGAGGATGCTATATCAACAAGTATCCACATGACGATGGACTTTTGACGAACTCTTCTCTCTTCTCCTATCCAGTCCAGTCAAGTGCTTAAATCCCCACGTAGATCGAATCACTGTGTGATATATGCTATCCGTTACAGTAAGTGCTATCTGAGGCTCATCCACAACAGTAACCCTGCCTGCACAATTAAGTGTCTCTCCACATACAGTATCGAAAGACTCGGAGACGGATATTGAGCCAGGGAGTACCAGTGGATGGAATCCCTCTGGCTGTGACTATTCAAGAGACCAAAACACCAAACTGCACAGAGGTGTTGTACGCCATCTCCGGGTCAACGCTCAGGCTGAGCACCCCTTGGCCCCATCAGTGCTATGCAATGTGCAAGATCGTGGCCGCGCGGGACCGAGGAAACAGCCAACACAAGTACAGCATACAATCATCCCCACACCACACCGCAGATGCTCCCTGACGTTCCTCTAATTAGACCAAATCCTCTACATGAAACGCTCCCGCTCAATTCTAGTCGAAGCTCCTGTCACGGCCTCCCACCCGTCCCGGCAACTGCGCCTCTGATTACCACCTCGTATGGCGCAACACGTCCGTCGTTGTATCCAATACTCGAGGTGTCGTCTTATGCCTCAATTTGCAAAGTATGGCATACTCTGCGCGGAGTCATCGCATCGGTGACAATGATTAGCTCGGACTACCTGTTCATGCCTTTGAGCGCGCACTGTGATGTGAAGAATGCAATCTGTTGGACGGCAGATCGTCCTCCTAGTACCTCGTCCCCCGTCGGAGCACCCGTCCAGTCAGTGATCGTCGCGGTTCAGGTTTTTCGGTTTTCTCATCCTTGCCATCTCCATCATCCTTGTCACCATCCTCACTGGTAGGTGCAGCTTTGCCAGCTTCGCCATCGACATCCACAGATTTCTGTGCCGCACTAGAGCGGCGAGTGGATCGTCTTGCGCTCCCAGGTGTGGTAGCAGCGAGTGATCTCGTGGTGATGGACGGAGACTGCATGGTGGACCGTCTTGTGGTCGGCCCACTGGTGTCTTTGCCGGTATTCATGTCGATCTCAATCGTGTCGGATCGGCTCTCTGGCTTCTCCTGAGGCTGCACCGCCTTCTCTGCTTCGGGCTTATCCTCTAATCTGGACTCGCCATTTAAGCCATTCGTTTCTTCTTTCTCCTTGCTCTGCTCGTCCATTTCGTCCATCTCCACGTCCCCATCCTCTGTCTTGGGCTCAACTTGCTCGTGAAGGGAGGGCGGGTCACCAAGCGGCTTTCTGTCCTCGTTATTGGCAGGCTGGGCTTGTGGCTGATCCAGAGAGGTGACCGGCTCCGACGCTGCAACAGGTACAGGTGGGTGAGGAATGGTGGCTAAGGATGGCGTGCCGTCGGTTGTTGCCGTCGCCGGGTTCTCAGGTCGAGGAGAGGTCGGTGGGACAGTTGTTGAGGTGGTGGAAAGATTCTCTGCATTCAAGACACCTGTCTGCTGAGCCTGTGCCTGTTCATCATTCGCAGCAGCGGACATGCCGAAATCACCCTGCAGTCTCTTCGGTTCTGCCTCAACCTTGGCCGCTATTGCTAGCGGGGTAGTAACATCTATCCAGCTCGGTCGGACCGCAGTAAAGGCGTTTGCTGGGGACGTGGAGGCCGTTTGAGGGGCTGATTGTCTCCCAGCATCAGCAGTCGAGGCACTAGTGTGGTGGCCATTGGTCGTGCGTGTTTCTGGGCTCTGTTTGACACCATCGGACGTTGTAGGGCTGTCGTCCGTCGCGGCTGGACTCGGTCTGTACCCAGCAGGTCTCGCATCCGGATCGACTCCGTAAGGACCTGGGGTGCCCCGTCTGCTGAAGTCTTGGATTTTAGTCTTGAGCTTCATTTTCAGGTTCTTAGGATCTGCCATGGTCCCGGCCGTGCCTTTTCCATGCTCGCGCTCGAAGTCTTCCACCTCTTTCACGGGGACGCCATATCTCTCGAGCGCCTTCTCAAGGCTACCGATCGTGCCCTTTGGTTGCTCGTGATTCTTTACAATATGGCATTGGAGACCGTGCACTGTACGCCAGTCGATACGAGCACAACCGTCGTGATTACACCGCAAGTACATCTCGACTGCTGGGCCTGTGGGGTTGTCAGCAGTGCCTCCGATGCCGTAAGACGTCCAGATGCCACGGTTGAGGCCGTCCACCCTTTCACAGTGATGATGCCGATTGGCGAACGCCTCAGACATCTGGTATGGATGGGTGGTCGAAGGGGTACGTTTCGTGCTGGTACCACCAGTAGGAGTGACCGCAGCGCTGGCCAGCGCTCCTGAGTACGGGTGGAAGCGATTGTTCTCCATCCCATTGGTTGTATGATTCGGCGTTCTGTTGCCATCCACATCGTTCGGTGGCCTGGACAGAGGCGCGTGTGAGGCGGGCGGTGTATCGGTGGTGCGAGCATTAATGGTGGCGAACCCCGATGCGGGTGGTGGCGGTGGCGGGGCGTTGACGGAAGCAAACCCAGACGAGGTGGTAGTGGGTGGTGGCCGTGTATCGTATATTTGTCTCGGAGGGTTGGGGTTTACGGCTGGAGTGACAGGTGATTGGTTACTGGGAACCGTCCCAGGAAGTGCTCTCGAAAGAGGAGAGGCTGGCCTGCCTAGATGGTTGAACTGTATCCGATCAGAAGATGGCTGTGAAACATGGCTGGGCCCATTGTTGGATATCGTTGGGGAAGCATTGGTCGGGGTAGTGGAATAGGGTGAGTGGTGGTATGGTCGTGGATATGAAGAGCTGTAATCCCGGGCAAAGGCATAAGACGAAGCAGGTGCAGGCGGTGGCAACGTGCTCTTGGTTGGGATAGGGAAGTTGGACTGCGGCGATGGCCTCGACTGAGATGGATTGATGGCATCTGGCTGCCCAGGAGGCCCGACCTGATGGCGTTTGGGGGGAGGTGGTAGTGTTGAGAGCGCTGGTCCTGGCGGAGACATTGACGATGAAGATATGCTTCGGCCGCCTGGCTTAGGAGACTCATCGGGCGGTAATCCTCGCTTAAGTCGCTTCAGACGACGTCGAAGATTCTAAAAACCATCAGCGTACATAGGCGAGATCGAGTGGCCAAGGACCTACGCCCTCTTCCTCTTCCAGCTCATGATCAAACTGAGAGAATGCAGCGTCTTCTCTCCGACGCCGGGCTTCAATTCTTGCGTCTCTACGTCGACGCGCGTCCATGATGGCAGCCCATTTCTGGTCCTGAACTTCACGGCGGCGGCGGATTTTTTCGTCCTTGCGAGTGCGCTTAGCCCTGAGGAGGTCATACTTCTTGACGTTGTGGTCCTCGACGCGCTGCAATTCGTCAAGCCGGGCCTGGACGGCGTCCGGTGATTCCAGAGCGTGCTTCGACGCCGGAGGAGGCAGTGGGATTGGAGCCGTCAGGGGACTGGCGACCCTATATTCATCCCCACCACCTACAGAGACATCGCTGTCGGACGACTCGGGATCCATGGGATCAGGCATGGTTGAAGAATGGTATGGAGGTGGTTGATGATAACTCCTAGGCGGTGGTTGCTGGTACGGCGATTCCCATGACGAGCGCGGACGCTAAAACATGTGATTAGTTACAAGAGCAGTGTGAAACAAAGAGAAAATCTAGCAGTCGAGGTTGACGAATCAGGGGGGCTAATGATAAGAATGATGACTGAAACTCCTTCGAGCAGGTGGCGGAATGGTGGTGGGTGCTGAGAAAGGGGCAGTCCTGCAACGCCCGCAATCCGCAGTTATGACAGGCGGCCCATTCTCAGTCGGAGTCTTGGAAGCACCGATAACGAGATTGAATTATGATGAATGAGGTTGATTAGATGGCATGGTCCAGAAAGGGCAATAGACTGGCAATGAGCAATTCGTGCAAGCATGCCAATAGGGTGCTAGGGAGGATGGAAATTACGCCCGCACAGACTGGTGCAGCTGAATAGTCCCGAATAGGAGCGAGGTTGTATTGGGACACAGCCGCGATTGGGTGCGAGGCTTGTCTTGGGAGCCGAAAAGCGGAGTCCAGGTCGCAGGTATGAATGGTCGCCAAGATAAGAAAGGCCAGTCGAGGCGAGGTGGAGGCGAGGTGGAGGCGAGGTGGATGCGATGCGAGGTGCGAGGTGCGAGGTGCGAGGTGTGAGTGAAGGGTGCGAGGGCTGCGAGCTGCCCTTGGAGATGCGCCCAGTACAGGTCAGCTGGGCTTGCCCATGGCCTGGGGTCACCTGGGGCCAGAGAGATCATAGGCGTGGCATTATTGTCTCTTCATGCCGATATCTTGGGCATGTCTCCATAGCTCCATGTGCAGGGCGCCAGTCCGAATGTGGCGTCGTGTGAATAGGTGGTTTGACGTGATTGACACGGAGCCAAGCTGCCAGTCGCATAGTCGTAGCTGGGTGCCCCAGGTAAGGGACTGACAGCAGGTGAAGTTGCATGACTTTTCTCTCGTGATCTCTTTACACATGCAATGCGACAGGACAGATGTGCAGTGGTGGGCAGAGAAGAGCATTAAACGCAAGGCAACATACCTCGGGTCCAAAATCGCGGGAGACCTTGTGTGGCAGGTCTGATGGTGGCCGCGCATACATGGCTGAAGGAGATCAAAGATATGTCAAATGGTCCTCTGCAAGCGGACTCGTAAAGGAGGGAAAAGTAGAGCGCCGACGAGGCTAGCCACAAAATCAGACCCGGCGCTGGGACATTGTCGACGGGTGAATGGTGAGACAAGGTTGACAAAATCTGGTGGTGTACAGTTCCGAGAGACTGACGGCGGAAAGTGACAGAAAGAACAACTTGTAGGTGAGAGAGGGATGAATGCAAGCAGCGGATAGGCAGGCACACACTCAATGAACGGCACGCGCGAAGAATGGCCTAAGTTAGAGTCGTATGAGGTACGCATCAATTGGGGAAGGCGCTATGATACAAGGTTAACAACAAGCGAAGAGGCGTTCTAGAGGCGACGCGGCCGCCGAATGGTTCGCACCTGCGACAAACGAGGCGCAAAGTGTAAAGAAGACGTGTACAGTCCACACTACTCGGCAACGACAGCAGCGGCTTCTCGCTTGAGCCTGTGTGGCACCATCGTGACTATCCAGAGGGTCAGTGTCCAATGGACGCATCGCTCAATAGTGGGATACGAAGCAGCTACGAGTACAGGAGGCCACCACGCCCTACTCCGGAAGCGGGTGAATCGAAAAGGGCAGCGATTGACGAGATTGAGTTGGATCGTCCACCGTAATCTTGATCATGCCAAGTGGATACCGTGGGTGCGTGGATAAATACGTACCAAGTACTCCGTACGAGTAGCTCGCACAGCAGCGTCGACAGCCTGACGGGGCCGACTAGGTACATACGATACCAGGCGAACTTCCCCCAGTACGTACGCAGTATTCGGGGCGGAGAATGTCCGTCGAGGATAGATCCTTCTTGCCCTTCATGGCGCTTCCGTACGGGCACGAGTATTGCTGTACGTGCTCTGGAGGAATAGCTCCATCGGGAAGTTGCAGCTGCAGAGCAGCCGTTGCGACGTTCGGCGAGGAAGCCAGCCCGTTGTTTCAGTATACAGGCGCTCGGACGCTTCCGAATCAGCCTGCAGGCGCCGAGGATTCCTGATCAAGATTAAAAGATTCCCTGGCTGTGGCCTTATCCCCTAGCCTCGACGTAAGGCCGTGTGACATGGACGCCGAGCGCACGCCTCTTCGCATCATAGACGCAGGCGGGCCGCGATAGTGACTGGTAGGACTCGTAATGCACAGGCTGGCTGCGGCGACTGCGGAGAGCGTACTGTGGTAACCGCTCCGCCGACCGACTGATAGGCGCATAGTATACACACCCTGGCGTTGCCGACTCGGCCTGGGGACAAGGGGCCTGCATTCGATTACATCAATAAATCGTATCGGACATGGTGCTACTCCGTACTTCTTGCCAACTAGCCTCGTATAGCCGTCTCTTGACGTGTCCGGTAGCCGATAAGCCCCGCGCCGACAGTGCGGTGCCTATTATTTTCCCCCCATGGCCTTTTACTCCGATAGCCACCAGTTTTCATACCTAGTGTTGACCTAGTATGGTTTCTTCCCGATCGTGCGAATCATTTCCGGCTACTGTCGTGATACAATTCACGGCAATTCAAATTCCCCTTATCCGCAACAGCGGCTGCAACCAGGACATGGTCCCAGTATCAGGACCTTATACGCGTCAAGAGCACCTGGCATTCTCCTGATACTCGTTACAGTAATGTCTCGGGATGCTGAGCCAGAGTATTAGGTGATTGGGTCTCCATCGTCCCAAGCCTAAACTGCTCTCGCTGTTAGGCGTGCGGTCAACATTATGTCCACTACGGAGACGCCCGGATCCCCTTGTGCTGTTTCTTGATTACAGTGACACTCTGTTTCAGGGGGTCTTGACTCAATCTTCCACTGACGTGCAACCACATGTTCAGTACGGAGTACTCGCACCGAATATGGCAACCTATACGGTGGTGTACACGAATCTCCACAAAATGTGCTGCGTAGCATCTCACAATCTCCTCCGAAATCGGTCTCTGATGGCCCCTTTCTGCTGCGTTCAGCCTCCTTCGCATCATCTTGCGAGCACAGCCTTGTCCTACTCCGACGCTGGCGTCTTGATAATGCAGAAACAATCACGCCGCGAACATCTGTAGTAAATTCAGGCCTCTTCCTGAGGCTATTCCGAAGTGATCTGCGTGCATGCTCCCCCTTTCAACACCGCCCCCTTGTCATCAGCACTGTCTCCACAATTCCATCCTCGAGTGAGCCTCCCAGTTGCAGCTAGGTCCGGCATCATCCATAGACAGTACAAGTCTACCTGGTCCCAAAGCCAGAAGTGCTGCATTGGGTATAAGCACACAGCAGGAACACTGGTGCAATCCCTCGGTGATTGGCAACTTGTCTTATGCTATTACCCTTCACTGGACCAACGAGAATGCTGCTATTCCGAGTACGAGTAACACCATTCTACTGCAGTATGCATGGAACACGGTCGAGCGGCCGCAGTGAAACCCATCTTGTAATAACATGATTTGCTGATGCAGAGCAGAACATGAGGAGAGATTTGCTTTTCTATTTTCACACTCGGGCCACGCTCGTCCGTGCCAGTGAGCAGGTCAAGTGGACCCCGTTATCCATTTACATATTACAACCTCTAGCTGTTTCCCCTTTGATAAGACACCTTTTGCTCAATCAACCGCTGTTGCAGTCGTCCTTCTGCTGCAAAAAAGGTTCGCTGAGATGATGTGTCATGGTCATGGTAGATCCTCGACTCCGACCACTCCTCCCCCTCGTCCATTCAAATCATGATCCAGCAATGCTTTCCCCATCGTGGCGAGTAAGCATCTGTCCTCACCTAAAATAGACAAAGTAGAACACAGAGAGAGAAGCCTGCCAGCCATGCCCGAAAATAGCCCGGATGGTCGTCATCCTCCAGACGGGCAGTGAGAAGTTGAGTACAGGGATATCATTAAAATACAAGTCGCATAAGACGCTTTTCGACCTCAAGGCTTCTGCTCGCCACCTTGTGCGCCAGCATCACCACCAGGGGGAGGAGTTTGTGATGACTCTTCACGAGCCTTGTGCATCTTGTCGAAGAGTGTGAGAGCGGATGTTTGGAGCTCATCGATCTTGGCCTTCATCTCCTCAGCGGTGGCATTACCCTCGCCTGCTTGGTTCTTGGCGACATATTCACGAAGAGAAGCAATCTTCTCCTTGATAGTATCTGCCTCAGTCTTGTCGAGCTTGTCTTCAAATTCCTTGAGTGCCTTCTCAGTGTCATTGAGGACACTGTCGGCACGGTTGGCGGCCTCAATAGCGGCCTTTCGCTCCTTATCTTGAGCACCATACTTCTCGGCGTCGTTCACCATGTTTTCAATCTCAGAATCTGAGAGACCTGATCCGGAGGCAATGGTGATAGACTGATCCTTGTTGGTGGACTTATCCTTGGCGTGGACGTGGACAATCGAATCGGCGTCGATGTCGAAGGTAACTTCAATCTGAGGCACGCCGCGGTGTGCAGGTGGGATCCCAACCAGCTGGAAGTTGCCGAGTAGCTTGTTGTCGCGCACGAGCTCTCGCTCGCCCTGGTAGACCTTGATCTCGACCGCAGTCTGGAAATCGGCAGCAGTGGAGAAAATTTGCGACTTCTTGGTGGGGATGGTGGTGTTGCGATTGATTAGGCGAGTGAAGACACCGCCAAGGGTCTCAATACCGAGCGAGAGAGGGGTGACATCGAGCAGTAATACGTCCATAACCTCGCCAGCAAGGACGGCACCCTGGATGGCGGCACCAATGGCAACAGCTTCATCGGGGTTGACCGACTTCGCAGGATCGCGGTTGAAGATGCTCTTGACTGACTCTGTGACCTTGGGCATACGAGTCATACCACCAACAAGGATGATCTCCTGAATGTCCTTGGCTTGCAGATTGGCATCCTTCAACGCCTTGCGGACGGGCTCAATGGTCTTGGAGATGAGAGGGTCAACCATTTGCTCGAGTTGTGCGCGGGTCATCTTGATATTTATGTGCTTCGGCCCGGACGCATCTGCAGTAATGAAGGGAAGATTGATGTCAGTCTGGATAGACGACGACAGCTCAATCTTGGCCTTCTCAGCAGCCTCACGAATACGCTGGATAGCCATTCGGTCATTCGATAGATCGAGGCCCGATTCCTTCTTGAACTGCTGGACGATGTGGCGGACAAGAGTGATATCGAAGTCCTCGCCACCCAGGTGAGTATCACCGTTGGTAGACTTGACTTCGAAAACACCTTTCTGGATCTCAAGCACTGAGATATCGAAGGTGCCACCACCAAGATCATAGACTGCGATCACGCGATCATCTTCCTTTTCCAGACCGTAGGCAAGCGCAGCTGCTGTAGGTTCGTTGACGACCCGAAGCACGTTCAAGCCAGCAATCTGACCAGCGTCTTTTGTAGCTTGTCGCTGCATATCGTTAAAGTAGGCAGGGACTGTAACCACGGCGTTCTTGACGGGCTTGCTGAGATATGCTTCGGCAGTCTCCTTCATCTTGGACAAGACCATACCACCAATCTGAGAAGGCGAGTATTTGTCGCCACGTGCTTCTAGCCACGCGTCGCCGTTCGTGTGTTGAACGATCTTGTAAGGCACTTCTTTGATGTCGCGCTGAACCTCCGGGTCTGAGAATTTTCGTCCGATGAGACGCTTAGTTGCGAAGAGGGTGTTTTCGGGGTTGACAACTGCTTGTCGCTTGGCGGCAACGCCGACTAGACGTTCGCCCCCTTCGGTAAAGGCAACGACTGAGGGCGTTGTTCGGGTACCCTCAGCGTTCTCTATTATCTTTGGGGTTTTGCCTTCCATGATGGCGACGGCTGAGTTTGTTGTGCCCAAGTCAATGCCAATGACTTGGCCTTTGACCTTCTCGGTCGTCTCGGGTGCGTCGGTGGAGGCATATCGTGAGATTATGGAGGAGCGTGGTGCTCGAATCTGTGAGAGGCGAGAAAGGGGAGTGGCTCGAGGAAGCTAGTGCACTGGTTAGAAAGTCAAGGGGAAAGAGGTGGAACGAGACCTACAGCTCTTGAGAACCTTGATGCAATCATGATTGCTCAAATTAAATGAAGTACACGGCGAGGAAGGGAGCGGTACAAGATGGTACACGAGTACAAGAAGTACAGACGCGAAGGGTAGGGTTGAGGATGAAGAAGTCGGAGAATGGGATGAAGAGTAGATGAGTTCAGGATGCAATGGAGGACGCAATGGAAGATTTTCTCGCAGAATCTCGAGGAACAATTCGCGCCTCGGTCGACCTGCTGTTTTGGGCGCCGCAGCCTCGTTGGAGAGCAGCTCTCAGCCTTGTCTGCGGATGGCAACTCCATTGCGTGCAGTTCAATGCCATGGGTGTGCCATAAGAGAAGTCCACAGCCAGAACAGAGCCGCATTGATGCACAGAGAGAAATTGAGTCCTATTACCACTGACGCTTATATTTATTGCGGGGACAAAGACACCTTTCCCCTTGTGATTTCTCGCTGCCATCCTCCTGTCCTCTACCCGCTCCGCTCGCATCGTCCCCGTCTTTCTCTCTCGCCGAGAGATGAGTCTCATATCCTAGGCCGCTCAGCCCTCGTCGCGCCATGACAAAAGCCAACCGCGAACTATGGCTTACTCCTACCGAGAAACTAGCTGCGCATCATAAATTCTACCCTACAAAAATTCAGGTCGCCCATCACCAGTTGCGTCATCTCATCAGCTCTGCCGAGAAGGACCTGATCTACTACGTATCATTTAGGGATGTCTACGTTCTCGACCTTGAAAGCCATCAAAACTCGCTCATAGCCACCGTCCCTTTCGATACGAGATGCCTGGCCGCCGGCCTAGGCTGGGTCTGCGTAGGCGGAGAACAAAACGGAGACTGCGCCTTCATCAAGGTCGAGAAGGACGAGCATGATCGACCAATATGCTTTGGCCATGATTTCAATCATGACCTGCTCGGAGGAGAAATAGTGAACTCGATGAGCATCCATACCATCTTGAACAATGGCAGGACACCAGATGAACCCGTGGTCCTCATCAGCAACAATGACAAGACGGTCAAAATGTACTCACTTGCGCAGAGAGAAGTGCTGACCACCCTGCCTCACACCGTGCCTATGAACTTCGCGGCAATGTCACCGGATTCGAGTATCATTGCTGCTGTTGGCGACTCAGCCCGCGTGTACTTCTACGGACGCCGGCTGTACCAGGAGCCTGATATCATTGACGGCTCGTCCGGACGTTATGCCAAATATGAGTGGGATATGCTTGCAGATCCTCAAGTACCGACGGGTGATCCTGTCTATGATGATTATAGCTTTGCAGTCACATTCTCACCCTCCGGACACCTGTGTGCTGCCTCATCGCAAGGCGGGTCAATCTCCATTTTCGACATGCATCATTTGCGCAACAATGAGGACCTTGGAGAATCATCTGTAATTTGTACCTTCAGGTCATCACGAACCGCTCTATTTGGATGTGTCAGGGCCATGACCTTTTCTCCTGCACCATGGGATCTCCTTGTCTGGGCAGAAGATCATGGAAGGATTGGTGTGGCGGATGTGAGACGAGCCTGTGTGCGGCGACAGATACTAGAGCTCGACCCTCGGAAAGCCGAAGAAACTAAGCTCGAGGATGGCACACCTATGTCGTACCGCAATATTAGCCACAAGGAGAAAATCAAGCAGCAGCATCTTACTCGCTTAAGGGCCATGCGCGGCTTATCTTCAACCAGAGAACTAGATGGAGAGCTCAGTATAGATGATCTCCCGAACGAATCTGCCAGACGGTACACTCGACAGGACTTGATCAGCTATCGAGGCTTGGATCTGGATGCCCGAGAACGATCAGTCACCGAAGCCCTCGAAACCACAATGGACGACGTCGCACAGCCCCCACCACGCCCATACAGCATAAATTATACTTCTTCGCCACGCTGGTTTGCGAGTCGAATACCATCGACTGCCACCCCACTGACACCCGATACGGGAAGGTCAACCAGTCCTCAAGTCCATCCTCCACGGAGAAGGTCCTCGGTGGTTTTATCAGAATCAACAGCAAATACAAGTCGGTATCTGGATGTCAGTGACGGTCGCAGAGCTAGAATATCCGCCTCTCCGGGTCGCATAGGTGATGATGATGAATTACCAGTGATGTCCACAGGCGATCTGACTCCGTTCACGCCGGGCTCAATATCGCAACCGACGCCCGCAGATATTGCACCAAACGACCCGTCGCATACCATTCACACCACACTGGAAGCAGCGAGAGACATCAACAACAGCCCGCGTGTGGATCTTGCTAGGATCGAAGCCGCCCTGGAAGCTGAGCGAGAACTGGGTAATCGGCTTGAACGGCAGCTCGCTGACGAAAGACAACTGTCGCTCCTGCTTAGAAGGCAGCTTGACACACAACAGCGCTTGCTGGTGGAAAACTCCAACCAGCTGGAGCATCTTCGGGCAGCTGCGAGAGAGACAAACGCCCGTGTTGAGGCCTCACTCGAGCGGGTTCTGCAAAGACAGCTCGCACATGAGCAGCACTTCTTGAACCAGCGAGCCGAAGAGTTGCGAAGCGAGTTGAGAACTGGCACAGATTACTCGCGAAGATTGGAGACGGAGAGAGATAGAATCTTGACCGGCGATCCAGCTAGCGGCACCACCAATCCCTCTTCAGCTTGGACAACAACACTGCCCACCACCAGTGTTCGCCCGTCAGGCATGACGAACGTGCTTACAGACTACATTGAATCCCGCCGTGAACGGGTGGCGCATATTGAGAACCTGCAAAGACAAGTTCGTCGAGCAGAGTCACGGGTCGCCCTGGCCGCGATTGATATTCAAGCTCTCGAGAACGCCATCCAGAGGGAAATGGTCGTCGAAGAAACGACTCGTCCGCGCAGTCGGAATGCCACAGAAGCTCATCCACCACACCCTGCCACCGTTGCCAATGACTCCACCAGGCTCACCTCCGCACCTCTGCGCGCGGCCTCGCGAGAACCCGAACTCATCAACCGTCCCTCCATCAACAGTTCCAGTGCACCCCAACTCCGGGATTCTCCAAACCCTGATCCTGCCACCCGCAGCCCTGCTGTTACCCGGCAGGGTGACTTCGTCCGCGTGTCTGGGCTGGCCGGTCGTGTGCCCGACGCAGATATGCGCCTCGCTCGTATGATGTTCCTAAGCGGCATGACAGGCAACCGCTCGCTCGATGCGAATGGCAACTGGATGCCGCCCGGGGCCGGTGCGGCGTTGCATCGGATTTTGGGCGCTGGAGCGTCTGGGAGTCGAGGCGCGACAGGAGTGGCAGGTGGAGTGGACGTGGATGGAGCTAGCCCTGAGCTAGGCACAACCGGAATCGGATTCAGTCCGGATGGGCAGTTCTTGTAAGTGCTTGTGATTCCCAGTGATGGAGGAAAATTGTACTAACAATCTTGGCTCAGGTACGCCGGGACTGAAGAAGGCATCTTTGAGATCAAGGTCAACCTGCGTGACAGGATGGTCTTTCCTGCCTTGGAGGTGAGATGAGACGAAGAGTGAACTCCGGGTGAAGCACCTTTTCCTGCAAGCCTGCCGGTGTAATGCCTCACATTCAACTCATTGTCAACCTCGCCTTTTCGTTACTGGCGCATGGACCTGAATTTAGCGGATTGCTTTACCTAAGTCGCCAGTACGCACCTTCTATCCCGCGTCCCTGTAGTCTCCTGGTCTGCACCAGGAAATCATGAGTCACGATGGGAGTGCTGCCGATATATGACGATCCAGGAGTGATGATTGACGAGAAAGCTAATGGAGGAGCGACGAGGAAAAGGCATTGGAGCTGCTTAGCCTCTATGCTGTTGCGGTTGGCGATGATGATCGACTCGACTGGCGATTCGCAATGGAACGATTGCCAACTGGCGGCTGGCGTATATGTTCTTGTATCCATAATTATTTCACATACATCTTCTGGCTTCAGACATATCTTTGCCTCTTTGCAGCTGATCCATAAGTGTGGGAACCGCCAATTTCGACATCCCGCGGCGCCAGCACAAAGATTGAGAAAGCCGAACCGGGCGCATTTCGTCCCTACTGTATTGTCTACACGAGGACGACCACAAGTTGTCCCCCATCGAATGTATATGTATGCTGTACATAGTGCTCGTGGGAGCGTCATGGGCCCAAGCCAGTCCATCTGCGCTCGCGGCTCAATCCTTGCTACTAGTCGCCTATCCTACAGTTGCGTCTTGCATCTTGCGTCTCGCATCTAGCTTCACGCAGCAGACTGGCTTCTGGTGGGAATTTGGCTCCCGCCCTCCTCTTCAAGCAGTTGTGCCTCGCCGTCACCTTCACCCTCCAACAGCACCATCCCCTTCTCGCTGGATATCAACTCATCCAGCCCCTTGGTCTTGACCTCCATGACCTTGCACAACGTGTACTTGTGCTTACTTTTCACGACCTTCTTGTGCCGATTGCGCCGCTTCTTCTTCTCCTTGAACTCCATCGGCTGGGTCTCGATGCCCATGACGCGGACCCTGCATTCAAAGAGCCGTTCGTCCAAGTAATTGGGCTCGCCCGTGCGTTTGGCGTCGTAGCTCTCCGTGCTCGACGTGCCGGCCTTGAGCGTGAAGTCCCGACTCCCCAGGATGCTGGCGCGGTTGAAACGCAGGATATCGCCCGGGGAGACGTTTTTCATGTGGAAGGGCAAGCGCAGCGTGTCCCCCTCCGTCAAGAGGTATGGGAACCGGTGGATGTGGGCGACTATGTAGTGCGGTTTTTGGCCGTGGAGTTTCGGGAGCAGCGTCTGCACGGAGCGGGAGAGCACGAGTGGTCTTGACAACAGGGACGTCGTGCTTGAGGGAACGCTCGTCGTCGTTGGGTTCGCGGAGAGTGACGAGCCTGTTTGGCCTCCGGTCGTGGAGAGATATGTAGGTGGGATGTCAGGCTGGGTGTTCTGAAATTGTGAGATCGGAGTGGTTGCGGATTGCTGGCTCGTTGCTTGATGTAGCTGCGCGCGGAAGCGGAAGGGGAGGAGGAATGTTGGCGGTGCCTGCGAAGAAGAGGTGTGTTTGGGAGAAATGTTCAATGCGCTCTGGACAAGGGAGCGCGACGAGACATGGTAAGAGGTCAGCCTTCGGTGCTGCTGTATAGATCTGGCAGAGTAGTCAGGATATGGTGCAAGTCTCGTGGCGCGAGGTGTCGTCCACTCACGATCTTGGGTGTGAAGGTGCCTTCGACGGCATAGAATCAAAGATGCATTTTATCGTGCGCCCACAAATGCGACACATCGTGTTCGCAGGCCAGGCCGGGGCAGTCTCGCAGAATATTGAATAGACAACTTCCACGGTGCGCCGAACCGATGTAGCACGGGCTGCTCAATCAGATCGTGAGATTGTCTCGGTCGTTGTGGAGCTGGCCCTGGGATTTCTAGCTGCGTTCATACAAAACATGGACGGAGGAGTTGCGTTGGAATGGAGTCGACATCTCGGTCCGGATCAACTTTCTTCCAGGCTCGGACTTCTTCGAAGGCACGAATATTCAGATGCGGACTAATTAGAGAACGCTGTCTAGTATCCATTCACCACTTACAACTTGGTACGAGCACTAATGATTGTCATGGGTCAAACCTCGATGCGTGCTGGGATCGCTACTACCCTTACATCTACCTGTGTGGGTCACTTCACACTGGCTTCCACATCTGTCCCTGCTGGCACCTTCTTGGATTCCACGCTCGCCTCGACATGGTCCGTCATTAACTCCTTGACTTGCTTGATGAACCACACAGCAACAAGAGCCAGAGCTACGAACGGAATGACACTCGCCCACGCCAGCCGGTAAGCGCTCGCGTATGCCGAATGACTCGCACGCAGGGCCTGCTCCAGAATCGTGCTGTTGATGCCGGCCACAGCGTCAAAACCTTCGCCTGCTCCAATCGCCTGCACCAGATCAGGTACCGAGCTTGCTGGTAGGCCTGCACTTGTCGCTGCATTTCCAACATCACGCGCAAGGGTGGCGTCGATCTTACCGTTGATGATGGCGTCAAGGACTGCCGAGCCAAAAGCCCCGCCAATGGCGCGGGCAGACAAGGCGAAGCCCGATGCAGTTGCGATGAAGGCGTGCGGTGCGGCGAATTGCACCAGAGCGAGGATCAGAGTGAGAGGCCCCGACTGTCCTATGCCTGCGAGAACGGCAAAGGCGTACTGGGCCCTGTCCTCCGAAGGTTTGACCGTCGCGTAGCAGATGCAGACGACGAGGAAGATGGCGTAGGTGAGTAACAGGGGGTTCTTGAGGTCTTTGAACTTTGTCGAGTAAAGCCTGTCATCGCACGTGGTCAGCCAAGTGGCATCGAGAATCCCAGGGGTCTGCCTACACCATAGGAATCGAGAAGCAGATGGCCGGAAGCTGGTAGGCCAGTTGGCGAATGGCAATCTGCCACGACGTCGACTCCCACCCGAGGTTGAGTATGACTTGTGGAGTCACAGAATTGACGGCGCTGTAGAAGATCCAGCTGGTCCAAATTAGCTGACGTTCCGGACATGTGGAAGAGCACGAACCCTTCAACCGCAAACGCGAAGACCGCCAGCGGAAAGTTGTATCCTTTCTTGAACATAACCTATACCAGTATCAGCATCGAGGGCGTGGCTGTGGCTGGGAAGTATACTCACATGAGCCACAATGCCATCCGATCGCCCCTTCCACTCTGTATTCATGTTAGCTGGTGGAAGTCCGATCGGCAGCACCCCTTACCATAGAATCCGAACGCTATCAGCAGAACTATGCCGATGACCAGCGGAGCAATGACGTGGGCATCGCGCCATGGGTAGGTCCCACCAGTCCAATCGAGTGCCAGGATGATCAGAGTCGCTCCACCGATGAAGAAAATGGCACCGACGGGATCCAGAGACCAGAGGTACTCCGCGACCTTCATCTTCGGGTAATCCGACCGTCTAGGTGGGTGGTAAAACGCCAGGAGCATAAGGACAGTGGCGCCGTGGAAGGCAGCTTGCATCCAGAAGATGTTCCGCCAGCCGCCCTTGTCAGCGTTTGTCACAGCCCCAGCACCGAGCTGTCCGACGCTGTCGAGCCGCGTAAGCAGACCTTCGCCCCGCCGGAGAGTGGGAAACTCACAGCCCTCCAAACGCACCCCCCAGGAAATTGGCACCGTTGGCGATGGCGCGGTATTTCAACGGCAGGACTTCAGCGGGGATCGCCACGATGATCCCAAGAGATGAGAGCCCGACTCCTATCAGAATACCTCCGCCGATCAGCGTGTTCATGGACTCTGCCCGCGCAGACACGATGGATCCCACGAAGGCAACGGTAAGCTGGAAGGACGCGAGGTATTTCCGATCCATAACGTCCGACAGACGCCCTACGATAGGGCACAGCACGCTTTGCACGAGGAGCGGGCCCTGGATCTGAATCAACGAAAGCCCATGAAGATGGGTACAACGGCAACGTACCTGGATGATCCATCCAGCAAGTCCCGGTTCCCCGATATCACGGATGATGAAGGCGATGACCGAGCCTGCAGCCACGACCACAAAGACCAAGGTCAAGTTTCTGCTCGCCATTGTCAAATTACCTTGTGAGACGGCGATGGGGATGTGATCTTTACCCGAACATGGTGACAAGAACAACGAGCCATGATCTCCACCCGAGTGGCACATGCGTGATGTCGAGGTGTGAATCCGTCCGAGCAATGGCAGCGTTGACTTCTTTGACGTGCTCGACCGTCGTTTCATGATGCTCACCTGTTGGTTTCTCCATGTTATGAGCAGGCATCACCTGTTCATGGTCTCTCTTTGCCTGGGTCTCGTTCATCGTGGTCACGTATTCGAGGGCTCAGCAGATCGCTCGAGGGTATGGATATGGATGAGACCCGACACCTCAGCATGGAGGTTACTGGTCTGATATGGTTCTATGGTCTCAGCTTACCACGTGGGGTGTCTCGTGCCCACCGTCCACGCACCGGCAGTGTCCTTTTGTTTGGCACTCACTGCCGTCGTCTTCCCCGCGTCGATGATTTGTGATTCAACAACACGGAGAGTGTCCGAGGAACGCTTGTCCCGACCTACCCCCAGGGGCACTTGTACCACGGCTGTGAGGTTGGACATTGAGTCGCGCCATGGTTGGTGGCACAAACCAGCTTGAGTACGATCCTTGCGCTATATGGAACGCCAAGACGGGACCATAGGCGATGGAGGACATGCAGGTTGTTGTACACGGCTAGTCGGCATGCAGGCGATAGGTACAACCTGCGTGAACCTGGAGCAGAGCGGGGAGCTTCCCCAGGTCTTTCCCCGCTTGAATGGAGGTCGGCAGTTGAAGAACTTGGGGGAGGGTACAAGACTACGGATATCTGGCATTTCCGGCCGAGCATAAATACAATGTTCCGGGGTCCTACAGGTAAGCATATCCGAGTTGCGTTGGCTTGCAGGAGAGACAGAGCTTGTACATTCGAGACAAGCATTTAAACGAGTCCGTCCCTACCCAGCTAGGGGTATCAAGCCTTGGCCCAACCTTGACTCAAAGCTTGCTGAGACTGAAGGCATGATGGCGCTCTCAACGCCACTGATCCTCCAGGCTGTGTCGCCTCTGTATCTGCTTGCCGGGTTCCTGCTCAGCACGGTGGTGTACCTCTTTGTCCAAAGCAAGAGGGCCAATCTTGATCATATCCCCGGGCCGACGCTGGCAAAGTATTCGAACATCTGGAGGGGTTATCGAGCATGGAGACTCAACCACCACACCGAAGGAGTGAACAACTACCAGATCCAGATGATCGGGCAGTATGGGGACGTCGTTAGGATCGGCCCGAAGCACGTTCTTGTCTATGATCCCGAGGCAATCGACACGATCTATGGCTTCCGGGAGCGACTAGACAAGGTAAGCGTAGTGCTTCCAAGAGTCCAGCAGGGATACTGTGCAACTCGTCGCTGACTGGCAATAGGGTCCGGGGTACAAGGTCTTCGTCATGACTGGTAAGTTGCACACGGAAATAACAGGTCACGCATTGTGCTTACCGTGAATAGGCACTGACCAGACTGCACTGGTCAGCATCAAGGACGAGAAAACGCACGGAATGTACAGGCGACCCATCGCCCATGCTTATTCACTGTCGTCTCTGAAAGGATACGAGCCATACATCGACCAGATGATCGAGAAGTTGATAGGTGAGCTCGACAAGCATGACGCCGACGGGACGCCCATCAACATGACGCGCTGGCTGCAGTATTGTAAGTCCACTGGGGCCACCGGGTCCTGATCCGCAATGACTTACCGCGTGGTAGGGGCGTTCGATGTGATGTCCAAGATCTCGTTTGGCGAACCCATCGGCTTTCTCGACCACGGCGACGACTTCAACGGCATGATCCAGGCCCAGAGGGAGAACTTCCGGTACATCAGCGTGGCCAATAACTTTCCATTCCTCGACACCCTGACCAAACGCAATCCGCTGTTGAAACTATTCAAAAAGAAACCGTAGGTCATCTCATTCTTGGTAACAAAGCATGTGTCGTGGGATGCTCTCCTTCGTTTTTACCCTATCCCTGTCATAGCTTCACCGAGACCGATTCTGACGGTGGCGCAGGAGCATGTTCTTCACGTTCGCAAGACGCGTGGTCAGCGAGCGGCTCGCACAAGCGACCAAAGACCCCGAGTCCCAATCCCAGGGTGGCCGCCACGAAGACCTCCTGGGCAGCTTCATCGCCGCCAGAAAATCATACCCTCTGATGACGGACATCCGCATCACGCACATCACGGCCACCAACGTGCTCGCGGGGGCCAACAACAGCGCGCGCGCCATGGACGCAACCATCCACTGGCTGACAGCACACCCAGAGGCCCAGGAACGACTGTACAGCGAGATCAAGAGCGTCAACATGTCCGCCATGAAGGAGGCCGAGACCGAAGGCCCCGCCGCGCTGGAACTCGCGCTGAAGATGCCCTACCTCGACGCGGTCATTCAGGAGTCGTACCGCCAGTTCGGCGCGCCGGCGAATAACCTCGAGCGCCTCGTCGGTGATGCGGGCCTCACGCTGCCGAACGGCGTGCACTTGCCTCCTGGGTCTGTGGTCTGCATGAACGCCGCCTCGATGTCCATGCTCCCTCATGTCTTTGGGCAGGATGCGCGCGTCTTCAACCCGGATCGGTGGATGCAGCAGCGCGGCGAGAGTGATGAGGCATTCCACGAACGGAGATGGAGGATGCAACGCGCCATGATCGTCTTTGGGCACGGCAGTCGGAGCTGTATCGGGAAGAACATTGTTCAGCTGGAGTTGTATAAGATTTGGGCCACCCTCTTGAGGATCTACAAGGTCAGTAACTACGGAGTACCGTGTCCTGTTTCCTGATTGGATCGTGGATTTTTGACGCGTTCGCGCGGAGTGACGTGCCACAGCTGACGAGGTCGACAGTTTGAACCTGCTGCCGTGCAGCTCCACCAGGTCATGACGATTCCTCGACGGCGGGAAAAGAAAGGTGGGAAGGCGGTGGAGATCTGAGGCCTGAGGTCTCCTTTGAGGGGAGGAGAGGTGGTGGCAGGTAGAGAGCCTAGAAGCAGATAGGACTTCATAGCGACCGCGTATAGACATGATGCGGACGTGTGCTCTGCAAATCCTCAGTTCGAGGCCGATCCGACTCGTGCTGGATAATGAGTCAAGACTGTATCCTAACACATACGGGGGTGAGGCCACTGGAGTTGACCATGACTTGTTGAGATAGAGGTCAATTGCCAGCTACATACACTCCATTCTGACCAGCGGGGTTCCCTTCGTCCTTCGGATCATACCGAACATCGCTGTGGCCGACTACTAGCCACGGCAGTGGACCAACCGCTTACAGCAACCATCCTTCCGACCATCACTGCGGCGTCAACATTTCGTCCGCAATCTCGAGCAAGCCCTTCGCTTGCCGTCCGAGTACCTGGGACAAGATCCGGTCCACGACTTCGCCTTCACCATTTGCCAGACCTTCCCACCACCCACCCCAATTGTTCTCCAGCCAGTCAAAGGACTGTGGCGGGACGGTGTGATGCTCCTTGTGCCATTTCACGGCCTCGTCTCGCCCCACGAAACGGAGGTCTACCTTGCGACCGGTCCTTTCCTCGACCAGCTTCGCGATCTCGCTGACCGACGTGGCTCGTGGCCCCGTGAGGCGCAGGGTCTGGTTGACGTACTTTTTGTAGTCGGCGAGAATGAGCGCGTTGCCCTCGGCGAGGTCATCGATGTCGACCCACGCAATGGCAGCGTCATTAGGGATGACCCACTCCAAGGGTTCCGTGTCGCCTTTCTTGAAAAGCACCTGACCCTTCTTCCACATCCCGTACCGGATGTCGGCGTAGTATCCCCAGATCTGGGCGTACAGGCCCTCACGGAGCACGGTGTAGTCCATCCCGCACTGCATCAGATACTTGACCGTGTGGACGTGGCCCTGCTGGATGCCCATGACACTGTCGAGGCCAGTCTCCCCGCCGAACATCATACTGGTGTAGACGACCGTCTTGACGCCCACGGCTCGAGCACTCTCGATGGCAGTCTTGTGGTATTCGACACGCTGTGTGCCCGGGTCGTTGTGCGAAACCAGGAACAAGACATCGCCTCCGGTGAAGGCGGCCTCTAGTGACTCGCGGTCGGTGTAGTCGCCACGGCGGACCTCGAGGCCATATTGCTTCACGATAGATGGGACGCGATCCGGATTCGTGGCCGAGATGATAAGGTCCGTGGGTGCGATCAGCTTCTTCTCAAGGATGAACGTCAGGACGCGAGACCCCAGGCGGCCGCTTGTCCCGGTGAGAATGTATTGGGTCATTCTGATGGATGCTGTGGCAGGAAGAGGGCCCCAGATGAGGTCAATGGGAAGGTATACGTCTGGGTCGCTTCCTCAACTTATACCACTGCCGCTGGCCAGAATGGCAAGCCGGACGACATATTCGCCGCAAACAGCCGACGGGGAAGAGTAAGTGCTACTGCCCTTCTCGTCAGGCTGCGTCTGAGACATTATTAATGCCTCTCCCATTCACCCGACGTACTCCGTAGAGAGTAAGTAAGCATCACTTCAGCCGTATCGTGGGTTGGAGAGGGATCTTCGACGCTGCTAGAGGATTCATGGTACGTCCTGTGATCAATGCATCGCCAAGCGCATGGTGTAGCCCATGTCTTTTGCGAGACTTGCCGTGCCGACAAATCACAGGCCACGATGGTGCGAAGTATGAGTAGGTGTTATAACCAAAACGGGCTGATAGGGCAGAGGGCGAAGATTGGGCGACAGGGGTGTACTGTATGTACCTGCATCCTCGCCGACTCAGTGGCATCCTCAACCAGCCTCAGTGGCGGCTGGTGTAGGACGTGGTCAGAGTCGTCACTCCTCCCTTGCGATATCCAAAGTCACTAACGGCGGCGAATTGTAGAGGTGGGAAGAACTCATGCTTGATTGATACGGTCAGCTCGGTAACGGACTGAGGCTGCCCAATCATGATGCCGTGGGACAACGAGTCTGAGAGCTTGAGACATTTGCGTTCTTTCGTATCTGACGAGCCAGCACTTGTTCTTTTAGTACAGACGCCGGGGTCCTCCGTAGATGACTGCAGACTGCGATTCCGGTACGGGTAGAGGACGAGGAAACTTCGAGTTCATGTTAGCCGGAGGATGAAAGACAACTGAGTCGATAGGCGAGACCAAGAATACGGAATATTCCAGCGTCCTCAAGCGCAGTTTTCAACCTCTTTCCTACTGTCAAAACCGTACACGGTTGACTGTGCATAGTACGTATCACTTTCCCTTCCAACCGACCTGGCTACAATGCTCGGTTAGCTGAGGGATGCACAGATCGCGGTTCTGCCAGCTTGGAGAATGGCGCCGAATGAGTACTCTTCCGTCGGGTCTGGCAAGCTCAAACTCAAAGGCGTAAAGGATTCGAAGATCGACAAGAAAAAGAAAAGAAAGGCATCTTCATCACAGCCCAAGGAAGATGGAGGGGCCACCAGGGATGATTTCGACGATCGATCCATCATGTTGAAGAAATTGGAGGAAGAAGATGAGGCGATGGCGACTGAGGAGGGACGGACTTTGCAGAAGCAGAGAGGCCAGAAGCGGTCCGAGAGCGAGGCGGGGCAAAGAGAAGAAGAGCAGCTAGGAGCCGTGATGAAGACAGAGGCCGAAAGGCGGTATGAAGAGCAACGACGGAAAAGGGTATGTTTGATGCCAATTTCTTTTGTATTTGATTGCACCACGAGCCCTCCTGGCTTTGTATCCTTGTGGCCGTTTTTCTGCGAACGGATCAGGCCTAATCTATTACTGTGTACTGTACAGCTCGAGGAACGGCTCAAACGAGAAGGGGTCAGGACGCACAAGGAGCGCGTGGAGGAGCTCAACAAATACCTCAGCTCCCTGAGCGAACATCACGACATGCCGAGAATTGGGCCAGGATAAGGTGGCATCAACAATGCACTGTATCGTCCAGACTTTCGACGAGTTTCAATCGAGTCTCCTCATGACCAGTCTACACCGGGAGTCCATCTGCAAGGCGCATCAGCCGCAACGCTGGGCGGGTTCGAAGCTTCGATCAAATAGCAGAAATGGCTTTCTTCAAAATGAACTGACTCGTCTGCTATTCCGCTGTATCCTCTGCTTATGTACAATGTTTCGCCCACTCCATCATGGTAGAAGGATGATTTACTCCCCAAACTCTGCTCGGCCTGGTTTCGAGTTGAGGTATTCGTTCCTGGCAAGGCCGGCGCGTCAGCATTAGTCCCTCACACTTGTCCTGACCCAACATACCTCTCGATGGCCCAATCCATGACCAAATAGGCAATCATCAAGGGAGGAACCCAGTAGAGGATCTGGTTGCGAGTGCGGCGGAAGGTATTGAAAATCGCGTCGGAAACGATATGGTGGGTGGGGTTCAGTCGGTTGGGCGACACTGTGTATGTGACGATGTTCTTTTGTGTCGGCGAGCCCAAGCTCCCCCACCAGCCCATATAGCTATTGCCCAGATATTGTCAGTGAGCTGTCGACAGTTTCGGGATGCGCCATGGAAGACCTACACTCCATTCTTCGGATCAGGGCCGTGACCACCACGCAGGATGCGAGTGGCCTGTAGCCGTAAAGCTGGTGTCGGACGCATCGTGTCGAGCTATACCCGTGGTGCTGGCCAGGATCAAACCAAAAGAGGTGGTCGCTATTGAAGTTCAATCACGTTGTCGAAAGACGAGGAGCTCTAAATCGCAGGCGAGAGAAAGGCTTGGCGGATTATGTAATGCAAGCGCCATCGAAAGGAAAGTCGAGGCAAAGCTCCAACTCAGGCTGCGGAGATGTCGACGACATTCATTCTCGGAAGTCCGGTACCAGCAAAATCGTCTCTTCTAGGGTGAAGGTGGTAAAGCCACCTGAGTTGTAGTCACCTTGCCTTTCTCCCTACTCGCCGTCGCCATCATGACAGCACCCAACGTTCTCAACGCCATCTCGAGATGGGCCATTCCCGTCTTCATCGGCGCCTCAATAGCACAGTCCGCCCTCTACGATGTAAAGGGAGGATCGAGGGCAGTCATCTTCGACCGACTTTCCGGGGTCCGAGATTCAGTCGTCAACGAGGGCACACACTTTCTCGTGCCGTGGCTGCAAAAGGCCATCATCTACGATGTGCGGACGAAGCCCAGAAACATCAGCACCACCACCGGAAGCAAGGACTTGCAGATGGTTTCTCTGACACTGAGAGTGCTGCACCGTCCTGAAGTCCAGAACCTGCCCAAGATCTATCAGGTGAGTCCCAGATGAGCTCGCACCTACATACACGTATTGACAACGCCCCAGTCGCTCGGTCAAGATTATGACGAAAGAGTGCTCCCCTCGATCGGCAACGAAGTCCTCAAAGCCATCGTGGCCCAGTTCGACGCCGCCGAGCTCATCACCCAGCGAGAAGCCGTGTCGCAGCGCATCCGGGCCGACCTGACCAAACGAGCACAGGAGTTCAACATCGCGCTTGAAGATGTCTCGATCACGCACATGACATTCGGCCGCGAATTCACAAGGGCTGTTGAGCAGAAACAGATCGCCCAGCAGGACGCCGAACGAGCAAGATTCATTGTGGAGAAGGCGGAGCAAGAAAGACAGGCAAACGTCATCCGCGCCGAGGGTGAAGCTGAGTCCGCAGACATTATCAGCAAGGCCGTGGCAAGGGCAGGAGATGGCTTGATCCAGATCAGAAGAATCGAAGCAAGTAAGGATATCGCCCAGACGCTGGCGGCCAATCCCAACGTCACCTACCTGCCTGGTGGTGGTGACGGGGAGGGTGGCAAAGGGAAGGGTGCAGGCTTGTTACTCGGATTGAGGGCATGATGGAGATCTGTGAGTCTTTCAAAAACCAGACCGTGTATTCATATGATTCACCCGCCACTACTACTACTGGAGGCTGTGTTGTGCAGTATGTGGCGCCTACATAGCGACTGGCAGAAATCCCGCGTCAATTCTCAACTTTTATCTCGGCTTCAACCTCAGTCATGTTTCCACGCTTCGTTTATCAAAGGATTGCAAGATGAGCTGATCTGCTTTTGGCCGACTGCTCTCTCGACCTGAATTTTTGTTCCACGCAGCCGCGCCAGGGCGGATGCCGACGCCATTGTTGCAACAGCCCGCGCCAGCGCACCCTACTCGACCTCATGAAACTTGCAACTGTTTGTGCCGTGTCCACGCAAGCTGACAAGTTGAGTCGTGGGGATTCTAGGCATGCACGTACAGTACGTACAGATCACGAACCATCCGTGTGGTTGCGTTTTTGTTCTTTCCATCGATCATTGCTAACTTTTCTCTCATTCAAGACGCGGTCCTCTAATTACTTTAAGTAACCATGCGTTGTAGACCCGGCGCGCGGGGTGCTCGCATGGATGGTGATCATGCTGGCCCTTTCGAACTGCTAGCTTATGGTAGACTAGAGTGTGTATCTAGATGCTCCAGATCTCCAAGAGCGCCATCGAGCGAGCGAAAGAGATCTGCCAAAGAAGAGAAGACATGTCTACGCCACTCTTGCGTATGCACGCGTGCTCAGGTTCAAGAAATCGATATATCATACAAGTAGACGGTATAGCATCCAAGAATATTGGTGAACAAGCAAGACGACGAAGAAAACTACAACATGACCGTACCACCCACCCACTCTGTGTACCGCTCTTCAGCCCTTACACCTGTGAGAACCTCCGTACATGCCTCGCCATACCATGCAAATGCCTTTTAGTTTTCTTGCTCTCACCACTCTTCGTCCAGACTGTCAAGGTACCTGGCCCGCCGCACATCTGCCCTGCATTCCCGGTACAGGCCATGTTGCATCTGTCTTCGCCGAGCTGGGAAGAAGTGATCTCCGTCCCGCAAAAGCATTGTCCGGCGTACTCGGTCCCAGCGAGGGGGTAGCCCTTGCTGTCGCAGAAGGCGATACAAGCGTCGTTGGTGACGTCGCGGCCGTTAAAGGTCGACCATTTAGGGAGCGTGCGAGGCGAGACAGTGTCGGTGAAGCAGCCGGCGTAGGACCAAGAGGGGTTGGACGTCGAGGGCGCCCAGGGGGAGGCGACTGGATGGTCGGGCTAGATGAGCAGTATTAGAAGACGTGATGAGCGTTTACCTGCACGTGTGGATCGGGTCGTGGGAAATGCGATAGGAAATTGATATGAAACAAATGGTATGTGGTAATTGAGGTCTCATTGAGGAAGATGGGTCGGCTTCTCAAAGAGAGTGGCTAAGGAAAGGTGGAAGATGACATAGTTGTGTGCAGGTAGCGGGTCGTGATGGATGAGAAAGCATCATATGTGCTTGGGTTCAGGTAGGGTAGGATGGGAATGGATATCTGGATGCAGCATCGGCCTCTGTACCACCCGCGGACGGAGCCGCGGATAGATGAGAGCCGGTATGGGTTTAGGACGAATCGTCATCAGTGCTGTCGTCGTCTGAAGATGAAGGTGTTGAGGGAGAATCTGAATCCGTATTTACCGAAACTAGGGTGGAAGCAGTAGAATCAGGCGTAGCCGCAGCTTTGGATGTCACAGTGGCGAGCGTCGTTGCAGAGGTAGGTGGCGTAGACGCAGCGCTTGATGAGGCGGGGGCTGAAGCAGGCGCGGAGGCGGCTGGGGGAGGGTTGGCGACCTGGACAGGAGCAGAAGAGCCTGGTCCAACCTGAGCGTTGGTACAGGAGTCACCGGAACACTTCTGGTATAGAGAAATGGTGCCAGCACCACCGCAGAAGCCAGAGTCATCTCCGGAACATTTCATCGTGCAGTCCCCAACAACGCCAGGGATAGGCTTGCCGCTCTCAGGAATGGAGTTTCCGCCTGCAAATCTGTTAGTGCTGTCAACGGCTTCAAGATAAGTACTTACAATAGCACTCCTTGGAGTACTCAGTCCCAGCTACGGAGAAACCCTTGCTATCACAGAAAGCAGCACAGGCCTCGTTGGTCATCTGATCGTCTGATTTGCTTGCGCCAGTGAGGATTCGGTTGTAATAGTTGTCGGTGCCGCAGCCCACGTACGACCATCCTTGGCTGGTGATATCGTCAAAAAATGTCGCGGTGGACGGTGAGATGGCAGTAGGCGCGTCACAGCCAGACTGAGGAGTTGCAACAGGACCGGGTTGCACCGGGTTGCAGCCAGGCAAGGCAGCGAGGATACCACTAACAGGCTCGTCAATTTGCGGCGGAATGCGGCAGCCTGTCGCTTGGGAATCAGGGATCAGATCGAACACAGGACAATCTTCAACACGGCCACTGTCGTTCGTGCACTGATCGACGGCGGACTGCAGCAAATCCTCGTCCCAACCCATCACAAAATCGCCATGGCCACCGTAACCAGTCGGGTCACCCATGGAAAAGACGAAAGGCTGGGAATCGCCGTACCATTGGTTGGCGAACTTGCCGGTGCCCCAGATGACCTCGAAAAAGAGGGAGATGAGATGGACGGGAAACTCGGGCGGGCACTTTCCAGAGTTGTATGAGTTGGCAGGGTAAGAAACGTGCGACATGTGATCGGGCGAGTCGAGGTCTTTTCCATTCCAGCAAGACGGGAAGAAGACCTGGGCTCGAAGACCGTTGGGGCAGTTGTAGTTCGGGAAGTTCGGGGTCTCTGGCTTCGCAGGACCATTATAGTCGAGGCAATTGTAGCTGATAGCTTGAGAGGCAAAGTCATTTCCAGCAGTGCGCTTGAACGGGTTTCCCGCCACCATGCGGAAACCTGGCGGGAATGCCTTCAACTTTTCTCCCTCGCCGGCACGCTGCAGGTAGTAGACAGTCATACCCCCGACTTGGTCGACGCTTTCGAACGACCCATTCTGGTGCTGGAAAAACAAGGTGGGCGTCCAGTAATTGCTGTTGTCGCCAATAACAGTGCAGGAAGAGCAGGTAGATGCCTGGGTAGAGTTGTAGTCCATGGTGAAATCGAATCCATTTCCTCCCACAATGGTGTGCAGGTGATTGGAGACTTTGCCAGGACTGATAATTGGGTCGGCCCGCTCAACCACAATCGGGGATTTGCACGGTAGTCGCCAGAAGGCAGCCACTGGCGAGGCAGCGAGGGCGGCCACAATGCCGGCTGTGAGGAGGGCAGACATATCGTTGTACGTGCTTGGATGAGTCCAACTGGGGGAACAATCGAGATTTCTGGGAACGAACGACGGCTCGCAAGTATAAAAGAATGGCTCTGACAAAGGATTGGATGTACGATGCTTCGCACTGCGAATAAAGAATGAACGGCGAGAGTCAACTCTCTAGCCAAAAACGAACGTGAGCTGTGAACAAAAAGAATGGTATCGACAAACAATGAAAGGCATCAGAAATGGTACCCGGCGGACCGGGGCATGATATACAGACCCAGAGACGTATCCCCATCCAGAGCCATGTCCAGGGTCACATAACGATAAAATTGCAGGTGTAGGCTTACCCAGTCCCGTTTGGTCTGGGTAGACAGGCGTGACAGGCTAGATCCTGGCAGGGCTCCGCGAAGGGTTGCGTGCCGGCGAACCTCGAAGACACGCGGCTCTACACAGTAGACGTTGTGGCGGCAGCTGTTCCACTCGGAGTCCGATAGCTGCTGACATGCCTGGCTGGGAACCAGGCCCGAAGTTGAATAAAAGAGACGTTCTAGCAGTCGACTATCGTGTATGGGCGCTAGACAGACGGGCGAAGGAGCTTTGTCACGACCCTTGAGAGAAGAGCCATGACGCCAGGACCACGGTATCGATGCTTGTCGCCAGGAGGACTAGGCGAAAAGAAGCGAAAGATCTCGCGGCCTAAACCGAAAGCGAGAGATTCGGCGATGCTAGGAGGTTGAGAAATGATGCCTGCCAGATTACCGCCTGTTTCAGCAGGGCGTCGAGGTCGAGATCTTGACGTTCAGGCCAGTCGGCGACCGTTATCAAACAGGAATGAGCGATGTTTCATGTTGCGCCACTGTAAAGCACCAAGATATTGGCCATCCACGTGTCAAGCTGCTCTCGGCGATGAGAGCGAAGCTCGAGTGACTCTGCTGAGCGGTCATCAAGGGCAACGCAGGGATTTCGTAGATGTAATGCGATGGCACTGTGCACGACCTCGATGAGTAGATATGCACTGCCCCTTACTGGGGACATTCCATTCGAATGAATTATTGAAGGCGACTTTAAAAAATGAGCGGCCTGCGGATTCGCGGAAATGAACACGAGCTCCGCATCTCGTTTGCGGGTAAGCGGGGCTTCCGTTTCTTGGCATTTACTGTGTAGCTGACGAAACTCAAACAAAAAGCTGCCGACTTCGCCAAAAGGGGGCCTAAGGGTTGCGATAATTCGCCACACGTGGTCCACACACTATGCCGGCATTGACAACGATACATTCTACCAGATACCGTTACATCCGACACTAGGGTCTATCTAAGCAGTCTATCACGCAGGTCGACAACGGATCGTCCTCAAGGACCGACGCCGCGCAGATAACAGTCGTTCAAAGCTGCTCCTCCTCATCCTTGACGGGCAACTGGATCACGAACTCGTTACTATCCCTCTGGAGACGACCCCTCAAGGCAGCCATCGTCAGAATGTCCTTGTTGAACAAAACCTGCCCGAGTCGCCCGACGTGAGCTCCATGGGGGTCATCCCGCACACCAATGACCAGAACGCCTGTCTGGCTAAGTTTGTCCTTGTCCTTGAAGGCAGGTAACCGTCGCTTGACAGCTTCGGCGCCCAGAATCCAGGCAATTTGCGATATTTCTCGCTCCAGCTTTCCCAGACCTTTCCTCAATTCCTTTGTCAGATAGACTGTGGTGCCGGAAAGCAGATGGGTCAAGCCTTTCTTGCCCCTCTGAATTGCTTCTCTCAAGTTGCAGCCCCAAGCTCGCTCCTGAGGTTCATCGCATGGCAGATAGTGAGCAACGTCCGGGAGCCGGCCGAGGCGTTGCGAGTCCGCCATCCAGTTCTCGGTCACAATGTCGATACCCTTCGCTACAGCCATGATGAGCTTTCCTGTCTTCTTCACGGAACCTTCTGGGATACACAGGACGGTGGCATCGTTGATGGTCATACCGACCTTGCCTCCAAGCCGCCCGAACGCAGACATTGCTGCTCTTTCATCCTGTACAGTTGTGCTACCGCTGAAAAGGACCACGGGAGAGGGGCCAGCATACCATGCAGGTGTTGAGCCCTCCTGTCGGCCTACGGGCTGTCCAGTGGATGGCTGTGATAAATCGCTGTCACGTCTTTCATCCCGGAGTGTCGGCGATTTTCGATTCCCTGTCTGTTTCGCTGGAGTCTTGGTTGGGTTCATTAGGTCTTTTGTTGCATTTGATCTGACTGGGTTCCGGCTGACGATAGTACTGACAGCGAGCTCAACGCCTTTCGAAGTGTCGGTTTCAGTCTCAGAGAAGTGAAGAGTGGTGCCTGTGACTTCCATATCCTTCAGCTTCCGCTTTCTTCCTCTTGTTCCACCTGAATCTATTGGTGTATCGGCATCACCCTCTGTGCGAGGCTCATCAGCTGAATCCTCCGAGTTACTCGGAGTCTCTATAGCATTGGCTGAAGATGACGAGTCTGCCCTATGCGCAGGGTGCATTGCAGGGCCGTCAGCGGTAAGAGCAACTGCGACGTCCTTGGACGCGGGTCTTAATCGTGGGCGTACGGGTCGGGCTAGGTCTGATGCCGAATTCGACACATCAGTGGATTTGGGCTTTCTTGACGGGTTAGAATGTTCTGACCGATTCGTCTCGGGATGGGGAATAAGTTCTTCGGTACCGGTCTGGCCTAGAAGTGGTCCCGAGATGGCAGGCTCGTTGTCATGTACCTTGTGTTCCGCATCACTCTCGGCGGCTGATTCTCCATCTTCCCCTCCACCAGCAGCAGACGGGGTTGGGGAGCAGGTGACTCGGCTAGATCTGCTCGGGCTACCCCTACCCGCGTCCGAGGCTCCCTCCATCGCTCCCGCATACTCCTCTTCAGACCCAGCGGTATCAGACAGTATTGGCAAACGGGGTGGCTTCATGGACTGTGAAATCTTTCCGTCGTCATCCCAATGCACTGCCCATCGACCAGAGGGTGCTAGAAAGTGATCAGAAGGCCGTAAGATGATGGATTTATGGTGAGTCTCAGTTGACTCTGGAAGCTGGACCTCCTGTGGTCGTCTCCAAGGACTGGACAAGGGCCAGAGCTAACACTGAAGGTGCGCAGGAGTGCAAGTGTAGCATGAACCTCTGAAAGCAATGTCAGGACTACTCAAAAGAACCAAATTCCCGTCATTGATTCGTACCGAGGCAGAGGTAGGAATGTCGATCGTCGGCATGGGAGCTCAGGCTGATCTTTTCCTGTGATGGGTCATCTGGCAGAAAGAACGTTGAGCAATCGCCTTGGATTGCGATCTCAATAAATGCCTCGGAGCCAGCCGCATTGGAGTGCTCCAGAAAGATGGCAACCATGGTTTCGATGTGGTAGAATCTCCCCCAGGCGAATAGGTCTCTTGAACACCAGAGAGCAGAGCCTTAGAAGGATGTAGAGGTGAGACTGAAGTTGAGGTGAGTGACCCTTTCATGGTCTTGGCGGGGAATTCACGACAAACTGGCTTTGAGTCCACGGTCACATCTCTGCATAACGAATGTCTAGGTACGCAAACTCGAATTGATGACAGAGAACGCTCTCGGTCGTGAATCATTGGTAGCGGTACACGCTCAAGCACGGTGGTAACTCATTGACCTGTCACAGTTTTTTTTTGCAGCCGGAAACCCCGACAGTGTGAGAGCGTGTTCTTTCCGCTCAAGGTTGCCAAAATATAGCTTCCCATGATGAATCAGGCAGATCCTCCACCTGGCTGAACACTCCCGGCACAGCCTTTGCTATCTCGAGACGTCGACAGCGTTCAAGGCTTCATACGGTTGGGAAACTTCCCTCGAACGGCCGAACGACAATCACCTTTGCTATATTTGGGCCCACACAGTTGAGACGGGCAAAGGACATGGGACACTCCTCCACTAGAAGCCCATTCCAACACCCGAGCTGTCGGGTTGGCCTCGGCGCGACACTGCCTTCAGCACGCAGTGCGCCCTGTCGATTTCTCAAGTTCTTCTGCTAGTACCGATTCACCGTGCCTGTCAACGGCTCGCAAGGCAGCCGGAACTCTTTCACCTTCACCACCACTGGATTCCACACCCACCACTACGCCAAACCGCCTTCAGTGTCAGGTCCAGCTCTACGAGGTTGGGCGGCTCAGATTCAGAGCTAGTACTTGGTGCTTTTTCTTTTACAACTCTGCCGGAGTTGGGTGAGTTTAAAAGTATCTCCACCTCCGGGCTCGGGCAACATGGGCAGAGGATTGGTTAGGCACGGCAGATTGATGGAAAAGATGTTGCTGGTCGGCCAGGCATCGACCGCATATATGTTGTGGAGATCTGCGAGCTCCTAGCTGTCCAATAATAAATTTCGAATTTCAGAGCATCCAGATTCCAGGCGAGTCACGGGCTTACCTTCTGCTTCCAAAACGAGAACAATACGTTATCTTAGGCGTACGAGTAGGAGTTTTTCGTCATGGTCGGAAGTGTGGTAAACGGCCTAGGGGCCGAGGTTCACGAGGATCGCTCACCAACAGGCGCAGCTAATGGACGGTGGTCTCCAGAGTATTTCGGACTGAAGTTGATTCGGAGAAGGCGTCGGACTTGTGGTTGTTCCCATGTTCATGGTACCCAATAATAGGTTGAGGCTGGACTTTTGAAATGATCGAGTACAGGGAGAGCAGTCCCCGGGAACATGTACAGCCAGACGGACGCTGTCACCATTGGACGCCAGGAGTCGACCTCCGAGAAAGTCTTCTTGGTGCTGGAGCGAGCGCTTTGTTGAGCCGTCGTGGGCGCTGTCAGGGATGAAGGTAGTGAGAAAAGGGGGCACTGCTACGAGTACTCCGTACTCCGTACTGAGATTCCGATATCCATTCGGCACCCATTAGGGGTAGGTGAGGGGTGTGGAGAAAGTTGACATCAACCGCTACGGCGGCGCAGAGAACAACTAACAGCAAAATCGTTGACAACCGCTCTCTCTCTCATGGCGGTGCCTTCACAAACCACTGTGAGTACGACTCAGGGCCCTCTCACCGTTCGCATCTGCAAAGCGCAATCCTCTGCGCAGTCGTGGTGGTATCGCCCAGTGTGATCGGTTGATGGCCTTCTGCGCTTGCCTGGGCGAACAACAATATCAAGCCCTTCTTATTGTTCTTGATGTCTCAAGCTCCGTCTCCAGCCGACCAACTTGCTTCAGGGATGGTTCAGAACAGAGCAGCATGTAAACGAGATATGGAAGGTAATAGAGTTGGGAGCTGATACTCGTGATGCGGTCAAGAATCGGTTGGGCAACTTTGATTCTTGTGGTTTCTCGGGGTCGAGCGATCTGCCCGATTCAGGTGCGTATACAAGGTGAGAAGAGGTCTAAATGGAGGAGGATGGATCTCGACCTTCCTTCATCTGTCGCTCTCCCCTGCGTCGCCTTTCCTAGCTAGCTTCCAAAGCATTGAAGCCTGCTCTCAAATACGACCCGAACTTTTCTCGCTGCAAAATCCTTCCTCTTCTATCCGTTCCAACACCTCGACACCTCTTTATATTCCTTAACCGAACCGCTCTCTCGATTGTCTTCATCTCTCCCTCATTTTCCTATGTTGACTTCATCTCAGCTTTTCTTTGCGGCCCTACCGCTCCGCTCCTTCCTTTCCTCCTCCGTCTCACTGGGAGCATCAGTGTCGGCCGCCACAATGACCACTTCTTCCCCACTCGCTCTCCCAACCGCTGGGGTTGGTGGAGCGTACTACGACAAGGCCTTTCAGGTTCCAGTCTACCCAAATTCCCCCAACGACCTGGCGACCTGGCGTCTGCTTGACACCTGGAACAACATCATGGTCAGCTATGCCTGCACTCAAGGAATCGCCACAGGTCTCATCTGGGCCACACTGACCTACCTGCTCGCCCTGACTCCGGACAGCAAGAGAACCACTCCATTCCACAGCTTTATGCTCGTGGGCCTGGTCTTTCTGCTCATTCACATGATGATTGACATTGTGTCGTCCCTTACCCCAGGCATTCAACTTCTCACAGCTTACACCGCCGTCACATTCGACCTCGCCAACAGCATATGGACCACAAAGTTCATCGCAACCTTTGCCGCCAGTCAAGTCACAGGATGGTTCGCTTTCGTCTTCGCTGCCATCTGCCTCAGGATTCAAGCCAAGGGGTTGATGACCGGTCTCCGAGTCCGCCGCCCGGGCGTCTACAAGATCGTCATGGGTTACCTTGTCCTGACCTCCATAGCCGCGTTGGCCGCCGGCATAACATACAGCATCCACCAAATGACGGTTCTCGGCGAGCCAGCAACCAGTGACGCACGGGCCATGGACGTAACATACACCATCCGGGTGGCGTACCTGTCCTCGTATGCCATTAGCATCGGAAGTTACAGCTTGGTCTCAATGCTCGCTGTGATGGACATCGTGTGGAAGCGTCGTACGACAATATCGGGAGGCGGTCCGTACGCGTCGGCTTTGAACCTCGTCGGCCTGCTCTGCGCCCAGTCCTTCGTCATCCCATGTAAGTCGTCGCCCTTCGGTCGACAGCTGGCGTTGGGATTGCTGATGTAGCATCGATCCACAGTCCTTTTCTGCGTCCTGCAGTTGATACCTCTCCAGACTGGGATGATGCATCCGGACCTCATGCTGCTGCCCTCGGTCTACATGATCCTGCCTCTCGGCTCGCTCTTCATAACGGTCAATTCGAAACCTAACCCCAACGTGGGTAACGGTAACGTCGAGTCTCCCTGGACGCCGGCCTTCCCAACCAACAATTGCAGGTCGCCAGCCCAGGATGCCTACACCGACAGCGACATGATCCTGACACATCAGGCTGCGCATCCAGGCCCTCGCCCTACCTCTCAACACGTGCACGGTAGTGCCCATATCGACCGTGAGCTCAGCACCATCGACGCCATGGAATGTGGCGAGAGTGCACGAGGACGACGAGGAACCGACGCTGAGGCTGAGGCTGAGGCTACGGCAATGTTGCTGAACAAGGACAGCCAAGAGAAGGAGATGTGGTCCATCCGAGAACGGCAACGACCTAAACAAGACCCTGCATAGTCGGCAGGACGATAGCCCCGCCGGCCATCGTCTCGGCGACACCCTGACTGACCTAAGTTAGGTGGAGCTGGGTGACGCGGTCTGGGCTGACCCGCGGCGTCAGTGGGTCGACGACGAAAGTACCATATTCAACGTCCAACGATGCCATATCTTTGTACAAGTGCGCCATCTACGGATGGGGATTTTCTTTCTTGTTGGTGATCCGGTATGTCTCTTGTCAAACGGTCCATGGTCACGGGTACCCGCGTGTTGGACAGCATAGCGTATTCGAAGCACGGACCACTTGCATTCGCAACATCGACGCGGGTTTGATCATGACTCAGCAGTTCCTAGATGTGAGCTTGACAAAGAGAGCCAAAAGGCAGCAAGGAACGCTTCATTATGATTGCTGGCGGGTGGTCCAGTCATTGCATAGACTGCTCCGTGAGATTCATCTGGAATTGAGAAAACAACGAGAACGTGCTTCATGTGGCCATGATCCTCTCCGACACAGTGCGACTGCTCCCGTGGACATGTAATTCCGGCTCGTCCATACCTCTTCCCAACTCAAGTCGTGACCTTCCTCTTGACCAGCCTCACCCACCGTCGTCTCCTCCACTCACCAGTCCTCCCACGACTCTCCATCCTCGCCGCCTCCTCCCAATCGCTATCCTTCACCGCGCTCTTCTCCTTGTTCCCGCGCTTCTCCTTCTCCTTTTCTCGCTTCTTCCTTGCCTTCTCTTCCTCCTTGCTCGTGCTCCTCACACCGACCTTCGGCACCTCGTAATCGCCATAAGCAAGCCAGAGATCATCTTCTCTGTTTGCTCCTGACCCGGGCGCGGGCGGCAGATCCCACACCCACCCGCCAAAGTCGACATTGATACTCTCTCTTCGATTGGTGCTTATCCGGCGTAGCCTCGTCCCAGCACCGTCCTTGCCGTCATCCGTCCACCCAGTAGTCGTTTGTGCAACCACGGGCTCCCCCTCATCATCCTCTGAATCATGATTCAAGACGTCGTATTCCACTCCGATGACTAACCGCTCATTCACCCACTCCCCGGCTTCCAGATCCAGCTCCCACTTCTTACTCGCCCACTCCCACCCCTCCGGTGGCTCGACATCCTCAAAGAAGCGTGTCCCGCGCGGTCTGTCGCCTGCTATGCGAGCCGGAGATAAAGGGTCGTAAGGCTGAGACGTGAACAGGTGGGGTTGCCACTCTGCCGCCGGCTTCTTGGCGGATGTAATGGATGAGAGGGGCCGATGCTGTAGCTCGAAGATCTCGACTTCCCTGGTCTCCGGGGTCGAGGAGAGTGTAATTTCTGAAAATTTGGCAAAGGAGGACTGAATGGCGTGCGGCGTGGCTGGTAGAGGGATGCCGGTATTGGGGACATATTTCTGATGCTTGTGATTCACGTCGTTGAGGGCGAGGTTTGTCTGCTGCTCGGCCTGTGTCCGCAGCTTCAAGAGGTAGGTCTGTGCTGTGGGATGGGAGGAGATTGTGAAGCTCCAGCCGGTGAGAAGGAAGATAAGGCGCCAAGGAAGGAGGTGAGCGGTGATGAATGATAAGGTCGTCAGAATGGTGAGGTACAAGAAGAGCTGGGATGAAAACGTCTCGTCGGAGAAATTCGTGGCAGGCCCGATCGTGCTGACCAATGCGTCGTGGGCGTTGCTGAAGTCGGCCATGCTGTTCTGCAGGTCGCGCATGTTGCGGAAGAAGTCCTTCGATGTTTCGCTGGCCGGTTTAATCACCGTGGCTGGGGCAAGTGCAGGACCCGTGAAAGCCTGATGGTACTCTCTTGCCATGCTTGCGCTGGTCACAGGGGGGGGTGGAGGGTGGCGGGACGTGAAGGCCGGGATCATGATGTAAAACAAGGCAATGGCCATGGGAACGACAATTAGAAGGTAGGGATCTAGACAGACGAACGTATACGTTGCGAGAAAGGATAGAGTGTGCGACGGTGTCCGCCAGGTGAACAGGCGGATGAGCCGGTTCTGGAAGACGAAGACGATGCCGATCCGCGCATTGAAACGTCGAAAGTTATTGGTCATCACTGGTAGGCTGAATGCCGGACGTGAGACGTAGATAGTCGAGCGAGGGTCAATTGGGGTGGCAGATGAGTCTTCATCTGGGTCATCCGTAGGCACAACTTGTCGGAGTAGACTCGAAAACAGGCGGTCCTGGATAGATGTCCTTAGGCTGGGGGTCACCGGTGTCTCCTCCCTTTCTTGCTCAGCAATGCTGATCTGAATGGGCTTATGTTTTGTAGGGGATGGTGATACTAGGCTCCTGAGCCTTTGTCTTCTGCCTTCACCATCTGCATCGGAGGATGAGCCGTTGACATTGGTCGTCGAGCGAGCGATGACTGGGATAGGCTCATCGCGGTTGGCAAAGGCTTCCGCCGTGTATTCGTCCATGTTGGAAGCGTCTTTCAATCCCGCCAATTCATTTCCAGATGGAGTACTCACCGACTCGAGCAGGAGCATTCATTCTGCGTATGTCTCGTGATGACCGAAGGAGCACCAGAGGAACATGTGGAATGATGTTCAGACACGTGAGCATCAGCCACAAAGTGGCTTGTCTGTGGCGCTGACGACTACTCCTCTTTCAGGTTAAGGTGACATGCTTGCAAAGTCGAAGTTAGCGTCGAGGTTTATTGCGCATCTCCCTACCCATGCATGAGCACGACCCAACCGACCCCGGAATTTTCCATGCGCGTATCGCTCCCTCGTGAGATCTGTCACGAGTCTCGTTCGAGGATTTGAGATGAGAGTCTCTCGTCTAAGACGATCAAATTCGAGACGAGATTGCGAGAGGTGCACGCCCATGCTAGTGGATGGTCACGTTTGATAGCCAATCTTTGCACCCACCCTGCTTTTAGGTCGCTGCAGTGCACCCAAAGCGGGAAAGCCACACCTTAAGAGGCATCCTCCGTGTGGCTCCTCCACTCACGATCGCCCCCCATAGCGTTCTAGCTCATAGACCAGCTCAGGCCAGCTCAGGCACAACGGCGCCCGTAGGCGTGGGCAACTCGCCCCAAACCCCTGGTCGGCTCCATCCAGTGCAGGTCGCTGCTCTCCCTGCGGATTGACAAAGAGGCACTTGTGGGCAGTTTGATTATTGTCACCGCAACATTGAAACCAGCATTATTTTTGCCCTTGTATTCTCTCAGAAACCCTTGATCCTGAAACATCCTCTACCGGGATTTCGTCCTGCTTCATCTGGAAGCCAGCCCTATCCCATCCGGCTTTTTGGAATCATCCATCCCCTGACGACATTCCAACACACGCGTCCAACCTGTTACCCCGTACCAACCAGCACAGGTACCCCGGTCGCGACCGGGTCGATCTGACTTGCACTTCATTGCAGTCACCATTGAGTCCTCCCAATGGACTGAGAGAGCTGAACACCGTGTTGGTGTTCGACGTAGAATCATCGGCAAGTGAGCTGAATGTGAACTGAATGTGAAAAGAGGTGGGAGAAGGCCACGATGCCTTACCGACAAAATGCAGGTGCATCTGCTGGAAACAAGACCCGACCCGACGAGGCGGATGGCAATGGTGGTACGAACCCCATGCAATGTCAATGGCTAGCTGCCTTTCATCAGCCAAAACTGACATTGTGCTACGATGCAGTCGCACTCGACGTTCATCCACCGACCAAGAAGCAGCCGCCTTCTTCGTTCCCTGCTGGGCCCATAATCACAACAACGCCGTCAGCGGCGGCGTCGAACCGCGGCTCTACTGAAAATGTAGTCACATCTCGGAGAAGGCAGTCGTCGATCCCCAGCATTGCGAAAGCCCCAATGGGTCCACGCCCCTTGGATTATGGTGGTAGTTTGGGCAAAAGGTACTTACCACAGTCCGGGACCTGCACGTTCCATGCTAATTCGCACCTGCCAGGGCGGCCAGCAATTCGTTAGCTCCTCAGTTTAACTCCTTGCGAGGTGCCTCCGCCGTCGCTTCCCACGATCCATACACGAACGAGTTATCCATCAACGACATTTCACGATTCAGCTTTGCATCCATACAAGCCAAACCTCAACTGCAAGACGAACGTGACGGGGCTTTGAATCTGGGGGACTTTCTCGAGCCCACCTTCAATTTCGATGATTTCCAGGACACCATTGTTGGCACAGAAGGCCCTAGCCTGAATCACTTCCCTTTGCCAGGGCGGAGCACCACCGTCAAACCTACTCAGCCGACTGGCGCGCTTGCTGTCGAGCAGAAGCGGCCCGTCACGCAACCGGCCATTCCCATACCATCTCGGAAAGGATCAGGCGTGTCGTCGGTTACTCGCAAGAGTTCGACAGCCTCCAATAACTCCAGGGCCTCTGTCAAGTCCGACTCCATGAGTACAACCGCGACATCGATACTTCGCGGCAGAAGGCAAAGCCACTTTCCGCCTAACTCGTTCAACAACGCAACCCCGGCCCCTAAAGCCCCAAGAAAGTCTGTTGGGCCTGGAACCTTTGTCGCCCCAGATACTTCCGACAAATCGACTGTGAGGCGGAGACCAAGTGCAGGTGGGAGGAAGGCAACCGCAGAGAGCACAAAGGGTCTGGGATCGAGAACCTCGGCCGGTGGGGCAGATGAGAGCGGTGCTGAAGATACAAAGACATCCGGCACAACCAGGTCGAGGCCATCATTGGCTGCAAAGCGGCAGAACTCGAAAGATCTGCTCACCCCTTCGAGAACACCGGATCCGTCAAGGTCGACATCGACCACAGCACCGCATACGCCGACAAGGAGAAGCGGAACACCGGGTAGGACAACCACCCCGGGAGCCAATGCCGAGAAGAACCGTCGCGTGTCTGTCATGCCCCATCATGCGAGCGGACTGGGTGCACGAACAATCAGCCCAACCGATGCGCGACGAGTGAAGCGGATGTCCATTGTCCCTCCTGCACCACCATTGCCTCAGAGTCGCATATCGCAAGCTCCGCCGACTCCTCAACCAGAGCCGGTCCCGCAACTGCCACACTCCGACCTTCAATCTCCCGCTATTCCCAACCGCAAAAGCCTTACCCCGTCCTCCTCGAGGACCACTCCAGATCCCAACCGCAAATCATACAGTTCGGGCCAATCTTTATCGTCAAATACGAGCTACAATTCTGTGAAGAACACTATAGTCAACCCTGCGAGGCTCTCTCAGGCGATCAACTCTTCTCGGCTACCCACTCCTAAGCCTCGCCTCGATAGCTCCACAAACAGCAACTATGAGATGGAAGTCCCGCCAGTACCTGCCATACCAAAAGCATACGAGTCTCCTGGAAGCGAACTTGATCAGCCCTTCTTCTCGGCAAGGTCGTCTGGGTTAACGCCATTCGATGGGGCTATCTCTGCAAGTCCGGTAGTCTCCACGATAGCGGACGCCATGAAGACCCTCGAAACTCCACGAGCCCCAAGCGATGCTTCGCACAATTCCAACGCTCCACCAGTTCCGACTTTACCATTGGAGCCAGAGCCAGAGCCGCAGCCACAAATGCAACTGCTACCACACCCGGGACAGCAACCACAGCATAAAGCGAGCAAAAAAGCATTACAGACTCTCAGGCTCCCGCCGTTGAACTTGTTGCCACTGAGCACGCCAACTTCAGCTAAGATCAGGTCACTTAATGTTAAGCCGGAATCTGGAGGCCCACCCACGACGCCTCCTGGCATGCGAAACAACATGAAGACACCTAGTACACCTATGACGGCCTCCAAAGCAAGTTTCTTCTCCAGAGCCAACAAGCCTGCTGAGGATGCTCCCACGATGCGAAGTAGTACTTCGCACCATGCTCTGCGTGCAGATGAGCTTCGACCTCCGAGCGAGATCAGTCCCAGCCTTCCAGTATTCTCATTCGAAGCAGACAAGTCAAGGACAATCTCACCATTCGTGTCTACGTCTGTTCCCAAAAGTAACGACGAGTTCTCCAACTATATGCAGCCTAACTTCATGGCCCAGCTGAACAGGAATCCAAGCCAGCCTCGACCGAATGGTCCTCGTGCCCCCAGCTTTTCGGTAACGCCAAAGGCCGAACCTGCACCAGCAGTTCAAAGTCCCGTTGAGAGGCCAGCCGAGAGCGAGTCCGCTTTCTCTACGTCAGCATTGAGAAAGAAGTTGAGTCGGAAGTGGAGCGAGCCGAAATTACCTGAGACGACTTCGCAACCAGAGGATCTGTCCAAATACGACAACATGCCACCACCAAAGCTGCCGGCCTCTGCAAGCTGGACAAATACCCAGACTGGGCCTGCAAGCCCTCACCGTCCGTCATATCTCAGGTCAAGGAGACAGGCCTCGACTTCAAGTACAAACACTGTACCACCCCGGCAGGAGAGTTTCGATAGTGCCGCCTCGGCTGGTCGCCCTTCGTTTGAATCCGGTAGAACACTAATGATACACGGAAGTCGGTCAGAATCGCTCTCTGCAAGTACACCAAATCTTGTCAATCACAGATCTCCGCCACAACGGCAGCAAGAACCACCTCTTGACGGAGACGATATGGTTGCCGAGGAGGAAATGAAAAAGCTTGCTTCCAAGAGAAAAGACTTCGAGTCAGCTGCCCGAGAACTGGACAGTCTCCGAGCAAGAGCCAAACCAGCCACCCGAATGTCACAGAGCACTGCGTCACGGATATTTGACCTGAACATCTTTGAGCGGGGTGAAATTGTTGACTACCCAGATATCTTCTTCACCGGGACACTGAACTCTCGTAAGATTATCGGCGACCCGGGTTCCACCTCGACCAATTTCGGCTACGACGACGAGCGTGGTGACTACAACATTGTCGAAGGAGATCATCTGGCCTATCGCTATGAGGTAGTCGATCTTCTCGGCAAGGGTAGCTTTGGTCAAGTCGTACGATGTGTCGACCACAAGACTGGAATTCTCGTGGCTGTGAAGATCATTCGCAACAAGAAGCGATTTCATCAACAAGCTCTCGTGGAAGTCAACATTCTGCAGAAGCTCAAGGAATGGGTAAGTTGAACAAGCAAGCGATGTCTCAGGCCTAGCGGAACTAACAGCGCTTCAGGATCCTCACAAAAAGCACAGCGTGGTCAATTTTGATCAGAGCTTTTATTTCCGAGGCCACCTCTGCATATCCACCGATCTTCTCGGAATGAACCTTTACGAATTCATCAAGGCTCACGACTTCCGAGGGTTTTCCCTCAAACTCATCCGGCGTTTCACCAAACAGTTGCTGCAATGTTTAATTTTGCTACAGCAGCACAAAGTCATCCATTGCGATCTCAAGCCGGAAAACATTCTGCTGGCGCATCCTGTGCACTCCGAAATAAAAGTCATTGATTTTGGTTCGAGTTGTTTTGAAAACGAAAAGGTGTACACGTATATCCAGTCACGGTTCTATCGGTCTCCGGAAGTCATCCTTGGGATGTCCTATGGCATGCCAATCGACATGTGGAGCGTTGGCTGCATCCTAGCTGAGCTTTTCACCGGCTATCCCGTCTTCCCGGGCGAGAACGAGCAAGAACAGCTTGCTTGCATTATGGAGGTCTTTGGCCCTCCGGAGAAGCATCTGATTGAGAAAAGCAGCCGAAGGAAGCTTTTCTTCGACTCGATGGGCAAACCTCGTTTGACAGTATCGTCTAAGGGCAGGAGAAGGCGACCCAGCAGCAAGGACTTACGCCAGGTCTTGAGATGCGACGACGAAGCCTTCCTGGATTTTGTCACCAAGTGTCTCAAATGGGACCCGACACGACGAATGACGCCTCAAGACGCGGTGAAACACGAGTTCATCACCGGGATCAAGGTGAGCAGCACGAGCAGGATTAGGAGCGCTACTCAATCGGCTGTCAACTCGCCCGTGAAAAGAGTCAACTCGGTCACGACCTCCGGTAGTGCCAGGCCGTTGCCCCAGCCACCGTCGACTCTGAAAGCACCAGTTGGAAGCCGGCAAGAGACCTCTCCAAGCAAGCCCGGTGCCAGGCGTCAGTCAAACATGACGGGACCTTTCGCTGCCACATCTCAAGCAAAGCGGGCATCACATGCAGCGATGAATTCCTCAGCATCCAATCCCAGTCTAACGCGCCTCACGATCGGTCAAAGGAGTATGAGCGGGAGGTCCGACTTGGCTGCAGCGGCGGCTGCTGCCAGTCTGGTCAAGTAGACACGGATTCATGAGTGTTACAGCAGGTACAACCACGAACTTTTGAGAGCAATGAGATGCGCCCTGGTCTGATGAATTGTGAAAGAGACAGAGGGACGAATTTCTTACTATCTTTAATGAACATATAGAAGCCTGTCAGCATAGTTGTCGCCGCACTGGTCGGCCGCACACGACCAAGGCTGTCCCTCAGTCCTTTGGAGCTTGGGGCTGGGACGAGGTTGGCGTGAAGCCATATTGGCATCGGGAAGTCCCCTTTGCTGAGTAGGGTGTAATTCTGTATACCACCAACAAAGAATCAAGAACGATCGAGGATGTTCCTGTATACCACCAACTAAGAGTTAAGAACAGTCGAACATGTTCGACATGTTCGACCTGTCAAACCACCCCGTCATCTTTGGTTTCCCGAGGCTTTGGTGCAAATACGACAAAGGGAACCTCAGACGCGGTGAGAGTAACTGGGAGGTAACATGGACAGATGCGGAGAAGTACTGTACTCCGTAAACTGGGCTGGACGGCTAGCAGTTGAGTATGTACTTAAGGCTCGTGTTTGTACTCGGCATTGCTGCGGACTGACCACCGAGCGAGTTGGAAGGCGTGAACTCAGCTAGAAAGTATCGAGAAGAACCGGCACTGCGAGTTCAAGACTTGGAGGAGACGAGCGCCAGCATGCTCTCTGTTTTGTACGGAGTATTATGCCGCGTACAGGGGGAAGGGCACCGTCGTGTGAAGGTGAAGCACTTGCTGGAACATTGGTGTAGTACAAAGTGCAATTGAACATGGGGCTCGTCTTTAAGTTGTATGTACTCACTGCTGCACTGCAGGCACATTCCCCCATGCAATGCAGAGCAGCGGAAAGAAGCAGGCAGCAAATCACTGTAAGTGTAAGACCCAACCACACATTGCACGTATGTACGGGTCCTTTACGCAGCGCTAGGAAGTTCATTTCGTTATCGACGATTGGGACTCGCGATGCCTCCGGAACAGCGGAAAGAAGCAGGAATACTCCGTTGCGAAAACAGTGTAAGATACCCAGGCCCATTGTATGTATGTACGTGACATTCAACCAGCGCTGGAAACTCGTTGGTTATTGACGGCTCAATGGGACTCGCGAGGTCTCCTGCCTGTACGGAGTACTCCCTACCAAACCGCTGATACTGTATTGTCTGATTCGTGTTCAGGAGACACGGTATTCGTACTCGTGGGAGGCAGAAGGATGTATTTGCCGTGTGTGTGAGTTGTCGATCAATGCTTCCTGAACTGGCACTGCTGTCTTGATCCATTAGCTCTACCCCATCTTCCATCTTCCCACCCCATCCACCATTTCGTGCCGTCTCTCCTGTGCTTCGCTGCGGTGCGCTGCGCTGCGGTGCAGTCCCTCACATTCCGCGGCATTAGCAGCAGTCGGCGAAACATTCGCAGCAATCGGCACAACACTCGCAGCCCTCTTCGCACACGAAACAACAGCACAGTGCGGCAAGACTAGACACAGCCAGCAGGTTAGCTCTGGTATCTCTCACTCGTCATGTCTTTGCGTGTGCGGGGGTGGAATCCAAGTGTGGTGGTGATGTGGGCTGTTCCTTACCAAGCGCCCAAGCATCCGCGATCCTTCGACTGTCGTGGTTGAGGAGGAGGCATCTGTTGTCCGTAGCTCATGTTCGGCGGAGGGCCCTGCTGGTAGTAGCCGCCCTGCGGAGGTGGGTAGCCGCCTTGTTGAGGGTATCCGCCGCCGTACCTAGAGATGAAGACAGACTTAGCATATAGTTCGCATTGTCGGAAATTGTGGGCAGAAGAGTGTTTGCGCGATGCGCAGGCGATCATCGAAGCTGCAGAAAGCTGGTGCGGGTAGATATGTAGCTGTCACGTCGGAAAACTCGTGCCGCAGACTTGAAATCTGGGATCATGCTGGCACTGCACGTCAGGGCTCAGAAGGAGCGAGTGCGACTCACGCTTGCTGGGGGTACTGAGGGCCGCCCTGGTAGTATCCTTGGTTCGACATGGCGACGGTATGGTATGGCTGTGCGGAATGAGTGTGTGGATGTGAGCGGGAATGTCGCAAGTCGATGACGGATTGAGTGAGTGAGTGAGTGAGTGATAAGTGTTAAGGTGCAGGGGAGAAGGTGTCAAGAGAGGGTCCCGTCCAAGTGATTCGGTATGCGGCAGCGACAGCGAGAACGAAGTGCTTGACTAAAGCTTGGCCACTTGGGGGTGCCTGGGTCTGGGCGCCGGGTGCCGGGTGTGCCGCCTGTTGGAAGCCTAGACGAAATTGGGGGGGCTGGAGCCGGTAGGTGGCCGGTTCTGATGGACGATCGATCGGGTGCTGTTACAGAATTGTTTCAAGAATGGATGTTGTTCTGCCCAACTTCTTTAATGCTTTGCATTGACGGCGAAAAAGAGAATATGACCTCTGCCATTCTATTTCGGGCGTGCAACACGGCAATTCCTGTAGCAAGTGACTGTCTCCAGCCAGGCCGTTCGACGCTCGCATGTGTGTCACTCAGCTCGAACTTTGGCAGAGGCGTCTCCAACCGCATGGATCGGGACCCGGCTTGTAACTGCCTATTGCGCAATGTTGGAGGCGCAGCTGAAACTCGACGTTGTTTGCAACTACTCCGTACTGTACGTGGCTTGCGGGCCACGGAGAAGCAATCGCTTGCTTGTCGCTGTCATTGACTCGCCTCTCTCACTGTGTCTAATAACCAATAACCACGCACGAGCAAGAGAGCTGACCTTCCGCCACATTCGTGGCTGAGGAGGATGTCACCTACCATAGGATGCTCCGCTACGGTCGATTGCACTCGGAACATGCTGCGCCTGCGAGCCCGGTGACATGTCCAACTCCAGCAGCTTTTTCCATGGCGCTCTTTGAAGGGGAAGTTCACTTGCTGCGCGCAATAACCACAGGGTGACGCCTCTGATAACAGCGCACGACGGGGTACATTGGTGATGAACACGGCGAGGAGCCGCCAGTATCACAGTCGACGCAGTCGCAGATGGCGAGCCTTCAAGCAGCACAAGTACAGCTACAGGGATATTCCTTGATTTCGAAAGCTGCTCTTGACTACCACACAATACACCCCGATAACATGAGTTGTTACTGCAACTCAAAGCACTTTTATGGTCCGCCTCCAAACGCCTGCAGAGACCAGGTAAGGAACAGAATAAAACCCTGCCTCAAAGCTACCCAAATTTGGCACTCATTGTCCCACCCATCTGTCATGGTACCATCACCAGTGACCACCCGAGAGAAAGAAGATCTGGCATGATACCATCACCAATAGCCACCCCGACCGAAAGAGAAATCTGTCATGGATACATGAATCAAAAGGTGTTGACCGTGTCAAGCTGTGCCTGCTGTGGCACCTCAATCCCGTCTGTCCAAAAAAAAAAACCCAACCAACCTATTGCATCTCGGACATTTGTATACATCTCAGAATAAGCATACCCCAGAGAAATTCCCCCTCTGACCAAGTCTACACAACAAACAAGATACATGAGAATGATATAAGTACCAGATCCATCTTCATCTCTTCGTGATCATGATCGTGATCTCCTAGTAAGTTTTCGTTCATAAACGTCATTCAGTACTGTTGGAAGGCCAGGCCGGCTTCGTTGACATTGACAGGGTAGAACCCAGCAGCTTGGCTGTACATGGCGGCGGTGTGCCGCATCATCACGGCGTGGTCGACGTTGGCATAGTTCTCGGGCATGGGCATCATGTTGTCAAAGTAGAGTTGCTCCTGCGTGAGATCGATCACCGCGGGCAGCATATTGACGTTGACACTGTCGACGAGCTCGAAACTGTCGGTGTCGTTGCCGTTGTCCATATCGTTGGTGGCGTGGGGGTTCGAGGCGCACTTGATGTGTTCGTTGACGACCGCAGGCTGGAAGGTCATGCTGGGGACGTTGATATCCTGGACGATCACGCGCCCGTTGACGTTGAGTTCCAGCTCTTCGTACATCCAGTGCTTCAGGAACTCCATCGGCGGCGAGTTGCCGCCGCCCATGCCGCCGCGGCCTTCACTCTTCTTGCCCCGGCCGCCACGGCGGTTCTTGCACGGGTTGAAGTGGGCGCGTCGCAGGTGGGCCGCGGCGTTGTAGTTGGCCCCGTAGCTCTTGCGGCTGCGGCAGGCCTTGCAGTTGGCGAGGAACTTGCCGTCCGCGGAGGCGTCCTTGCAGATCCACACGCGGCGGACCTGCGAGTGGTGGCGGTCGATGTGCCGGCGCAGCTCGTGGTCGCCGTGGAAGCCCTGCGGTTGATCGTTACAGAACTCACAGAAGGTAGTCTTGCGCGGCAGTTGCTGTCGGACCGTCCGCGTGATCTCGGCCTTGTGCTTCACTGTACCGTCAGCGGCCTGCACGGCGACTAGCTTGGGTGCGGGCATGTCGGCCTGCTGCTGCGACGATGCGACCTCTGCTGCGAGACGCTGCTCCGTCTTGGGAGCCAACAGTCGTGAGACGGTGTTACTGCTACGAGGCACGACTTCCTGCTGATTGGAAAGCCCTCGAGCGGACGACACGAAACACGATTGAGAAGAAACGGAAACAGATGAAGCATTGCTCCCGGAAGAGGGAGAATTCTTCATCTCAAAACTAGAAGGAGACGATGATGAGGGAAGCCCCTCCTCATCCTGAAATGACACAAACTCGTTGCAACCGAAGCCGGTTCCAACCACGGAAGAAGAAAAAGGAAATAGTTGCTGTTGTGGTGGTCGGGCGGCGTCGTGGCCAGCCCTAGCCGCGTTGGCTTTGTGATCCTTCGCCGAACTCTGCGAGTCCATGCGAAACATCCCAAAGCCATCGCAGAGAACATCACTTGTGTTGTTACGAGACATGGGCTCCGACAATACTGTCGAGGGCGCCGTCATGCTCGAATCACTAGTCGTCGTCATCGGAGTGTACACTCCTGGTGACTCTATCGCTGGAGAATACGGTGATGATGTGAGCTGGGAAATCTGGTTGATGTTGAACTCACCACGCTCCACGTGTGTAGGAGGCGTCAACGAGATCGTCGGCATGGCGTAGTCATCCGGAGATCGTGCAAGAAAGTCTGCCGGCGACATATCCTGGACCTCCTCAATGTAGTGGAGGTTGGATCCAGTGTACCGATTGGGATACGACGTGGCTGTCGAGCCTCGTCGTTGTTGGCCGCTGCTGCGACGGGGGATGGGGACGGGTCCGATCGTCGCTGAGGAGTGCGGAAGAGACGACGTCCGTGGTGCGGGTCGGCCTTGTTGGATCCGTGACGACGTCGACTGACCAACTGGTGCTGAGATGTGTCGCTCAAGGAAAGGTGCCGATGGAACCGAGGAAGCCGACGGCGCCTTATGCTCGACCGTCAACCAAAGCAGAGGGGAGGAACAGCAGGAGTACATACATGGCCGGGACGCTTCGGATTGGGTTCCAAGTCACCAAACATTGCACCGGACGCAGTTCGTTTCGAGGGAAGTGAGGTTCCATATTGTTGAGAAGAAGCTGCTGAGCTTCGGATCTCCGAGTTCATTGAATTCCAGGCCCGTGCGACCTGCTCGCGGTCGGCAGGAGAGAGGTGCTGGTATTCCTGCTCGTACGCTGCCCGACAGGACTGCAGCAGCGCAATGACTTGATGAGCACCAGAAGCCATGTCGTCAACTACAGACACTGAAGTGACCAATTGTCGTTGACAGGAGACGAAGAGAATAGGCCGCTCAAGACTGGCTCGAGTGTCAGCCAATGGGGCTTCCACCGTCAGTTGGTCTCTCATACAAGCTCGTTCAATCACTCACGATTGAACTACGAAGGTTTGTAGTAATGTCGAGATCGTGAAACAAGAAGCTTTTCGGGTGAATATTGGTAAGGAACAAAGGCGAAGTGAAGCGGTGACGGTGTGTCAAGAGCGTGGTGAGAAACAGCCTTGAGAAGAAGAGCCCACAGATGGGCTCGGGGGATGTTATAGGACCCTTCCTCTGACGGCAGTCCAGACGGGACAAGGCGATCAGGGAACACGAACCGGGCGTGGGAGTGACCCCCAGATGTTGAGATGGCAGGCAAACTGCCGTTTCGAAAGAACGGGTGGAACGGTCCTTGCGACACCCAGGCCGGGCAACTTGGTGGAAGCTTGCTGATCTTGCTTGGACTCCCGCGGAAGGCCTGTTCGTTCCGTTCTGGCTTCTCATGGGCGCGGAAAGTCCCCCTGTCCACGCCCGTGCGGCAGGCCCTGGTCGGTCGCCTGGGCTTCTAGGCACTCTTTGAGCCTAGAAGCGCCACCTTCCGGGCGTCTCATTCGCCTGTCCAAGGCGCCATACCAGGCCGGTGCTGGTGCAGGCTCGATCCGGTCGAAGCGGCATCACGATCGTCTTCTTGCGAGCAAACCGCAAGCCAATGGTTCACTTTGTAACCTCCTCGAGTCTGTCGATCACCATTGGCCACCTATGAAATTTCCCTGCACGGAGTCGGAGGGGAGACGACGTTTATTGGAGCCATGCAAGAACCTGCACTGTTTCTCGGCCGCCTCACTTTCACGGCCTTCGCTCAGCGAGTCAAATTTTCGTGTGACTCGATTCATGCCCAACATCAACCTAAACGCGGACTTTATGCAGACCGTCTGGCCGTCAGTCACGAGAGCGTACCTCGTAGGTAGGCATTTCGACGGCGCGTCCAACCGAGCCCGATTAGCCTTCGTCACCGCCCAAGTACAGTTACGAGTACCAGCACGCGGTCAAGTTGCACAGAACAATGACCTGCATCGCCCACTTGAGCGTGCTTCCGAACTGGTTCACGCGAAAAGGACATTGCGTTCTCTGTGTAGCGTCACAATGTGTACAACCCCGCGCAGAGACGTCTGTATGTACATAACCGATCCAACCAGGGGAATTGAGTCATCGTTACTAGGTCGCTGGTGCAGGAGTTCATGTGGTCTTCTCAAGTCTGAATGAACCCGATACAGACAGCCCAAGGCCAGGGAGACTCTACCACGGAGAGATGGCACAAACAGAGCCAGATGCCCATTTGCTGGCGCTATGAATACTGCATGCCCAATTGTCTAGTACAATCCTGCGCCAACCTTTGCTCACCGCTGCAGTCTGCTCAGCAGAGTACTTGTACAGAGCCGGAGCCGAGTTTCCACAAGTGCGGCAGGATCGAGATGCCTTTTGATTACATGAAGTAGGAGAAGGCACACGCTCAGTCTCAGTCATGATGCCGGCCCGTGATGGTTCGCAAGAACTCATGTTTTCACCGCAGAGAGAGGTAGGTTCCGAAGCCCCCGTGCCTACACAGTACACAGTACAATTCGGGCTACAGGAATCATCTTTCTCGAGATGATAACCATTGCGAACTCGTCATTTCAGCCACACCCGAGCTGGCACTCAGCTGGGCCGGGACGGTGATTCGCCCGCTGCGGGTGGTGGTGTCGTCTATCATCACGGTTATGAATCCCATTACGAGTACTCCGGACGTGCCCCGCGTCATTGTTGCTCGTGTCGATCCAGTGTGCCCAGTCCTTGTGGCTGCTGATCGAGTGTTGAGTTCGCCATCTAAATCGAGTATCCCTCAAGCGAGTTCGGGATCACCAGAGAAAGTGAGTTCATGACGCGAAGCGAGGGCCTGCAGATCGGGCAATGATGGACAGGCACGACTCGCCCGGATGGGCCGAAGCGAAAGGCAAGCAAGTTTGATGCCACCTGGCACGTGACGAGTAGCTCGTGCCTCGTACGAGGTACGGTAGCCCAAAGAACCAGTTCGCACACGGAAGGTCTGCCGGAGCATGACTCAGCATGTTTACTCGTCTTTCCCAAAGCGGAAGCTTCAACAACTCGACAAGACCAAATCCATCGAAAGCCAGCCACCACCTCGTCCACTGCAGGCGTCTACAATGTCGGTCGGCGAGATATTCTCCAACGCGCAGCAGTCTCTTGTTGGCCACAAGGCTCTCGCGAAACGACTGCGCCGGCTCGAAGACTCGCCGAATTTCGAAGCGCACCTCAAACAATGCGTCTTCCGCCTGCTCGACGTGAGCAAGTCGGAAGCAGCTGGGACTCGTGTCATCAAGTTCCTCACAACCTACCTCGCTTCGGATGATGCCTCGAACCAGATATCCTCCAGCATCTTATTGGCCATCCTTCCCTTCCTCTGTGCCAAAGACAAGACGGTCCGGTATCGCGCGACGCAAATCACCTGCCAAATTCTGGGAGTCTTGCAAGCGATCGACGATGACTTGTACAAGGTCATCAGACATGAGCTCATCAAGAGACTGAGAGACAAAGTACCTGCGATTCGACTGGAGGCGGTCATGGCATTAGGTCGGTTGGTCGAGAGCGAGATGGAAGAGGACGACGATGAGCAGGACTCCGACGGAGACTTTGCGCCTGGCTTGCTTGACAAACTACTGGATGTCCTGCAAAATGACACCAATGCCGAGGTCCGACGAGCACTGTTGGTCAACCTACCTGCGACACCCAAGACTCTGCCCTACCTACTCGAACGTGCCAGGGATCGTGATGGACCTACTAGGAGAGCCCTCTATGCAAAGCTGCTCCCCAAATTAGGCGACTTCCGACACCTATCTCTGTCCATGCGAGAAAAGCTGCTGCGATGGGGGCTGCGGGACCGTGACGAGAGAGTGCGCACCGCCACAGCCCGAGTTTTCCGAGAACATTGGATCGAAAACTGCGCAGCGACTGAGCTAGCGAACTCTGTCGAGGATAGGGGTGAAACGAACGGAGATGAAGAGACAGGCGAGAAGAAGGAGAAGCCGGGGTTCCACGAGCCGAACATCGCTGCCTTGCTCGAACTACTGGAGAGGATTGACACTGTGAATAATGGCAACGAAGATGGAGTTGCGCTCGAGGCAATGAAGGAATTCTGGGCGGGCCGACAAGACTATCTTGACTCAGTCACCTTCGACGATGAATTTTGGGACCACCTGACACCGGAGTCGGCATTCATGGCACGGACGTTCAACGACTATTGCCAGTCAGACCCGAAATACTACGGGTTGATTGAAGAGAAGATGCCCGAAGTCACACGCTTGGGGTTCCACCTTCAGAAGCACATCAATGAGCTTACCAGTAGAGTCCAGACTGCTACGGAGGCGGGCACGGATGAAACTATGGCGCTACAGACGGATCAAGAGTTCATTGTCGAGCAAGTGCTCTACATTGCTCAGTCACTGGACTATACTGACGAGATCGGGCGACGCAAAATGTTCTCGTTGCTTCGGCACGCTCTCTCGATGGCAGATCTGCCCGAGGATTGCACTCGTTTGGCTGTGGAAGCGCTCCGACTGGTCTGCAACCCAGATGCTGCAGGCGAGCGAGAATTCACCGCAGTAGTACTCGAAGCCATTGCAGAAGTGCACGATAACATCACCTCTTCCGACCTCGAAGGCGAAGCAGACGACGATGATGCGGACAGCTTCGTTTCCGCCAGAAGCGAAGTCAGTGGCGACTCGACGCCCAAGCAAAACGAACCCAAGAACAAGAAGACCAAACCACCTCTCACCGAGGAGGAACAAGAGGCCAAAGCCATCAAGGAGATTGTCATCAACATGAAATGTCTACACATTGCGCAATGCATGTTGCAGAACGTGGCCGGCAACTTGCAATCAAACATCGACTTGCGCACCATGTTTGACAACCTGGTGATTCCGGCTGTGCGGTCTCACGAGTCTCTGATACGAGAGCGAGGCGTCCAGTGTCTGGGCCTGTGCTGCTTGCTTGAACCGAAGCTGGCAGACGAGAACATGCTGCTGTTCACGCACTTGTTGAAAAAGGGCCACGAATCTCTACAGGTCATAGCACTGCAGATTCTCTGCGATATTGTTCTTGCCCGAGGCCCGCCTCCAGCGACACCGGGTCCACCAGAGGACGATCCGTCGGCTTCATCTCCCAGCACAAGCAACGAAGGCGAAGAAGCAGTCGCTTCTACCAGCTCTACAAAAGCCCTAACGTCGCTCCTGTCGCCCTTCATCAAAGCCCTCTCCGCCACATTCCCGGACGATGTGCGCCTCATCGCCACCACCTCGCTGTGCAAATTCATGCTCTGCGGCTTCTACACGGGCAACGAAGGTCTCTTTGATCAGATTGTCGAGCGTGCCATCGGCGTGACCGCAAAGGGATGGGAACTGCTGGAGAAGGTGAGGAACGCGGTGCAAGTCGAGGGCAAGACCAAAGATACTACACAGGATAGCAAGGAGGCAGGAGCAAAGACGCCCAGAAAAAGCCAGGCGAGAAGTAGCAATGATGGTGCCGCCATTGGGAACCCGACCGAAAGACCGAGCGGCGAGGGAATGGAGCTGTGATGATTGCCAATGACGCCAAATACCAGATGCGCTGGATAATGACGGGATGATGGATTTGGACGTGTGTATGCTCTTTGGCGGGCTTTTCTGTTTTTCGCTTTTGTGGCATGCATGTCTGGATATGAGTACTATGCCTTGATGGTCACGGGTACATAGGTACAGTACATACTGTATCTTTGTAGCACAATCGAAGTTCTGGGTATCATCCATCATGACACGACGGTTCAGCACACATCTTTTCCCCCATCTGATGTATGCGCCGCGCCCATCCCTAGCAGTGATCCGCTCAAAGAGCGCTCTGTTTCAGCCGCGATCCCTCGCTACGGGGCGAGAGTCCATAGCATGGCAGACTCTCCATGCATGCACACATGCACTGCAATGGCAGAGGCGCCCTCACAGAATGCCCTGCTTCTGCAAATCCAGATAAATCCTTTCGGGCATGACGTTCCCCTCGCCATCCTCCATCTGCACGACCTGATCGTCCTTGACCTCGCGCTCGCGCTTCTCCTTCTTGATCTTCTCCCACAGCCTCAGCGCGTCCTCGATCCCCGTGATTTCGCGGAACAGGCTTAATCCGCCTCCGCCACCACCGGCGCCACCACCGCCACCACCACCCGACACGCCCGACAAGGCCGACCCGGTGATCCCCAGACACTTCAAGCCGTAGATATGCCGCGCCTCGCTGAAGTGCTTGTCAAAGGCCCGCCGGCCCATGTACACAAAGTTGCCGCAGATTTCGCAGCTGAACTCGACGCCCAGACCGTGCAGCTTGTACAGCCAGTAGGGGATCGGCTTGCCGTCCCACGCGAGCGGCAGTTTCAGGGGGTTGTAGATTTTCTCGTCGCCTTCGTCTTCCGAGCCGGAGTCGTCACCGCCTGTCTTTCTATTTGCGGCGCGGCGGTCGCTCGCCAGCACGGCGGCGTCGTCTTCCGCGAAGAGGGCGTCCAGTTCGGCTTGGCGTTCCCGCTCCGTCATGCCTTGCTTGCGCTCGACGTTGACACGCGTGTTGGAGCGTTCGTTGGAGAGGATGTCGGCGAGCGCGCGAATGCGGTGTTCGTGCGAGGCAACGGCCCGCTCCTTGAGTGCCGTCCCAGAAATGGGTAGGGATGAGGGTCTGGATGATGTGCCGTCGATCGCATTGGCCGGGTCGGGTTTCTTCGCCGCCGCATTTTTAATGTGTTTCTTGCCTGTCAGGTGCGAATTGTAGACGTTCTGGTTTGTGAACTCCTTTTCGCACGCAGCACACCATATTCCCGTGCCGCTGCCTTCTGTTCGAGGGCCCGCGGATGTGTCTTGCTGCTCTTTTGTCTCTTTCGTCCAGCCTGGCACTTCGCCCTTCTCCCACGCTGTGTCGAATTCGCGTTGATGCCTGAGGAACAGCTTCGGCAGGTCGTCCAGTGGTCGCGTCCGTCGCACAAATCCTTCCAGGTACCTGTCGAGCCCGGCGACGTATTGCAAGTACTGGTCTGTGATCTTGTTCTGACGTCTGATGGGTAATCGCGGCGCTTCGAAGGCGTCGAAGCTGTCGAGGTATTGTAGGTACGTCAGTCGCTTGACACCCGGGAGGTTCAGGTACTCTTCATGGAGTTGCGTCAGATCCAGGAACCGGCCGTTGGACTCTTCGCCGCTGAACATGTTGTCCACCTCTGAGGGGATATATTCGCCCTCCTCGGGCCGTCGGCGCTTGTAAGCGCGTTCGAGATTCTCGACGGGCTCATTGGGGTATCGGCGATGGAAGTCCTTGACCTCCTCGAGCTGCTTGTAGAATTCATCGAACGGTTCGCCTGTGGAAAGAGACTGCACTTCTTTCGACCGCAATCCTTCAGCGTCCTTGTAAATGTCTAATAATCGCTTCGATTGTTCTTGTATGCGGGTCAAGAAGCCATTGATTTGGTGGTCACGGATTAGTCGGTCTTTGATCTGTCAACGGGCGTTTCAGCGTCCAAGACTCTAGCCGGCGGAGGAGGAATCGCACTTACGTTCTTCGGATCTTCTGCCACGCGGTCGGTGATGGCTTGCTCCAGCCGCTCCAGGTCCTCGTGGAGGAATCTCTGGTCTTCCAATAACATCGTGAGCTGCTGCGATGCCGGTGCATGTAGGTACGAGGGTCACCACGTCGAGAGGGTCAAAAAGTCAGGATTTGGGGAACTCGATGTACGGTGGCGCGTAGGTGCAGAAGGTGGCAAATCACAGTTTCTCAGCCTCGTCACTTCTTGCCAGGCTGTGCCGGCAGCCTTGTCGCTTGATGCGAGGCTGCGTCCTTGCGCCAAAGACAGGAGTTCGAGACAACCGGGCCAGCATTGAACGCCTGGAAAGGATGTCATAAGTGTACAAAATGATTTACAAGTGCTGCCTACGTAACCAGCCTCCCTAGCTCACCCTATACATCCATATGTCCACACTTCGCCAGAAAACTCCAAACTTCCACCAGAGCGAGCTTCTCAAAGCAGCCGTGTAGCCTGGAAAGACCATCGCATTTTCCTGCAGTGCACAGAACTGCCCTTTCCCGTCATATCGACAAATGATCTCTGTCCAAGAACAAACCGTGTAGAAAATATACCAGTAAGCCCCTCGATCCAGATCAAATGAGGTGGAGGCTCCAGAAGGTGAAGTCTTTACAAGGAATCACCACTGCAAGAAAGTGGCCACCCTTCATGGCTTGTATCTTGGCAGTTGTTGGTCCGTGTCTGTTACAGTGATAACCGCCGGTTCGTCCGAAGCAGCATCTCCCCTCGGTGTATCCTCTGCTGCGTCGTCGGCTCGGAGGTTGCGGGAGTCTTGGTGGCGTCTCTGATACGTCGATTCAATCTCGCCCAGGCGTGCAAGAGCCCGCTCTTCAGCAGCTTCTTGCGCCTTCGACTTCCCCTTGCTGTCGAGATCGAATGCACCAACTTCGGCCCCAACATTTGATGTGACGGGGCTGCCTATGCCAGACTTCTCCTTGCTCGATTCTTTTCCTTCGTGACTGCGACGATGCCAGAATCCGGAGCTTGACCCAGAGCCTAGACTTTCGGCAGACGTTCCGGTCATGGCCTGGGATAGATCCGCTCCCAGCAGCATATTGTTGTCCGATATGCTGTCCATTCGAACGGTAGCTGGGGGAAGAATGACCGTGCATTCCGGCCCATTCTTGACGGACGAGAACTTCTCCGTCTTATCCGCGCACTCAATCTCCAGCTCCCATAGCAGTTGGTACGACCGCGAGACATTGTACGTGGTGAAGTTGGGGGTTAGAGGTGCCTCCAGTCGGGATCCCAATTTCGCATTGGCCAGACGTAGGTCAACCAGCTGCCCAAGGTTCAGCGTCGCCTCCGCGGCTGTCGTCATGCCACGGACCATTGTCAGCGGCTGATTCAAGGCCTTGTACGACAGCATGGGGATTTCGTATGTTTTGCTGTCGGAAAACGTGCCAGCCGCGCGGCAGCGAATGTACGTCTTCAACTCGATCTTGGCCGCCTTGAGGGTTACGGCGGGTAGCGGCGTGGAACTGTCGATGGTGGTGAGCCCGGGGGACAAATCTGGTGTCGCTGTTATCAGGAACGGTATTGGATCCGGGTGCATCAGCTGGATGATACTCGGCGCCTGAACGGTGAGGCTGAAGGAGAATTTGGGGAGCGAATCGCGCTGAAAGATCGAGCGAGCGCGATCCCGGAGTCCAAGACTGGTCCCGGCATGCTCTGGTAGGAGTTTCAGTGTCGAGATTGTGAGAAGTCGTTGGTCGGTGACAAAGTTGTAGTTCTGGATAGGTTCGGGGGTCGACAAAGGGTGAAAGATAATCGGTCGGGCCGAAACCTTGCTTTGAGGCCCGCGGATGTGATGGAGACCGTCTGGCTCGGTCAAGGTCACGTCAAGGACGTACTCAATAAAACACTCGGCATGACGGCCGAACATGTGTCTCGAATGATAGCATGACGCCGGAAGCGTGAGTTCGAGACTGTTCACATCTGCAGTCCCTCGGAAGTGATCCTTGGGCTTCCATTTCTCTCCTGCTAGAATGCTTGCTGGGTCCGCTTGTTCGGGCACGAGGAACTCAAACGACCAGCTGAACGTGCCGGCTTTGTGGGTATATTGCCCTTCATAGAGAACAAGCTCTTGTTTGAAGAACTGTGTGCGCCCACGATGATATGTGACCGCTTGGCCGTGTTGCTGGATGATTCGTGATTTCGCCCGACCCCAGAATAAAACGACGACTTTCCCAATCCCGACCTCGTCCGCGGTATTGAGGATCACTCTGCCGCTGATGGTGTCACCGGGAGAATAGTGAGCCTGGTGAGTGTCGAGTTCCAGAGAAAGTCCCGGGGAGTCTTCGGCTTTGGTGAGGCCCATCTTGGCTCAGGGGAGGAGTGTGCTGAGAGCTAGTCGCTTGAGTGTTGCTCGCTCGTTGCTTCATCCTGTGTCTTTCTTTGGTTATTAAAGCCTTTGTCGAGTTGTATATAGGTGCTCCATCGACGTGAAGGGGTCACCCGTTGATAGCATATGCCCAGGCTGGCCAAAATCCGAGTACGGTACACTGCCACAATGGGGGGACTGTTGTGCTTACTCGTTATTGGCCGTTGTAGGCGTGGGAAAGCCTGGTAAGGCGTTCTGAGGGTTCCACTGGAGGCGATCGCAGGGCTGAACTCGGGTGATCGGCTTGCCTAGCCAGTCCCTGCCAGGCACAGAGTTTCTCGGTTTTCGGTTGGAGGATGCGGAGTATGAAGCTGAAGGTCGTGTTGAAACGGGCTTTCACAAGCCGCAGACATTCTTACCAACAAAACGTGGTAGCCTGCGGTCCTGAATTTCGTCTGTTGCCTAAGGTGGCTCTGCTTCCTCTGTTCCTTTCAAGTCCGACTGATATGGGCAGCTTCAATAAAACGGGATCACCAATGTACCGCCTGAGTTTGCTGTGATCTTGTCGATGTTCACATTCAGCAATTATGGAGGCTGGGATCCTGACCATACGACGTAAGGTGACCTGATATCCTTTGATACCGTTCCATCACCGAGGTCACAATGATGCTGGCCAACGCCTGCCAAGGTGTGTCTACTTGGACGATGCTACGACCCGGCCAAAGCCAAAATTGGTACGTAGAGTACCGGAAAGTCTGGCAAAAGCTTATAATCATTGTCCTGTGCTCACCCCAATCCCAAGTACGGCTTGAAGGTGACTGTGATGAGCATGGCGCAGCATCCTGTTTGGATGTCAACTCGGGGTCTTGTGGTTGGCGGGCCATCTCCCTTATGAGTACTCTGTACAGCCTAGGTCCGAGTACACGAAACCATGCAGCGTCATATATGAGTTTTGATCGGAGAATGGATGGTGAATGATCCTTCTAGTCTATTGCCGCCTCTAAAGTGACTGCCATACTCCAATAATCTAGCCTCTAGCTCTGATCGAAGTTGTTGCCAGTCTATGTCGTGGCTCAAGCCTCTCAAAGCTTGGAAGGATTTGGTCTATATCTTGGCCTTCGTCTTCTTCGCCGCAAAGCCCTTGCCTCCGGGCTTCAATGCGACAAAAAGACCGACGCCTTCGGTCAAGATCTGACGATCCTCAGCCTCGACCGTTGCCCTCACGAAGATCTTTCGCCCCTCAACTTTTTCGATCCAAGTGCGCACCAGCAGCGGCACTCCTGTCGGGACTGGTTTTCGATATTTCGTCGTCAGCTCTGCTGTCATGATCGATATACCCGGCACCGTCATGGGTATAGCTTGCTGGTGAGCATGGGCCGGACTGACTGATCGGTCAGGTGGGATACCAGCTGTCTCTGTCATGGCGCTGTTGCTGTTGATCAAGAAGCCCATAATCTCGTCGATTATCGCGGCGACAAATCCACCGTGGGCGATGCCGGGATGCCCATTGACTCCCGGGCCTGTGGACAAGAATGCACGGACTTCCGATACAGTCGGCTGGGCTACTGATGCTGTGGGCGCGGTCTCAATCGAAGCGTTCTGATGGCCATTGTCGTTCCGCTTGGCCCTGCGCGTTTGACATACGCAGGCGGTGATCGTGGTTTCTGTAGCCAGAGTTTTGGTGAAGAACTCGCCTCTCCCATCCTTCATGGGCCGACCGAACCGAGAGGGAACCACGATGTAATCTGGATCAGACAGTAGAGTGGCACACCAGGGCACAGCTCTGAAGTACGCAGGCTCCGTCGTCGGCATCCTTGCACCTCGGTATGTCATACCACGTCGATGTTCGTGCTCGGACTCTTGGACGGGGGTGGTGATTTATACAATGAGCACGTGACCAATTTCCACTCCAGCCTACACTTTGACGAGACCTACGGACGAGAGGCGGCTGCAACCCATCCTTTTCACCGCTATCAAGGCTTGAGGTATATTGAAATCGAAGACTCCTTGTGGCTGCAGGACGTCAACTGTCATTTAGGGTGGAGGACAAAACCTTATCGGAGGCTGCAGTCAAATTCATTAACGCTCCGATTAGGAGATGAACCGAGCGTGACCGAGGCAGTCGCGTGGGTGGAGTCATGGCCGAGTGATTGGCCGCTCTTTCACCATCAACTCAACTGTTGCTCACTTGAGCCTCATTCACTCTCGATGTGTAGAGTATGATATAAACAGGAATACGCGAACCCTGAATCGACAATCGACAACCACTCAGCAAGTCACGTCCATTCACTCTGATGTAGGTATCGGATACTCGTGCTCACGACTACTTTGCCTTCTTCTCGTTCGGATGGCCTCCACGTTGCATGATGGGCGAATTGGCCATCCTCTCCCAGTCATGGATCATGTGGGTGTTCTCTATGGACAATCGAACTTCCTCCCCTGCTCGATCAACAAGGTCATCCCGATAAGCGTCGGCAGCTTCTTCGAGAGTCATCTTGCCGTCAAGGACATCCCTGTATTTGAGAACGATGCTCCTCGCATCCGCGATACCATGGTTTAACCCCTGACCTCGGTGGAATGTCATGGGGTGAGCAGCATCACCTGCCAGTAAAACCCTGCCTTTCCGGGTATCCCAAGGGACCGGCACCCAGTACGAGATATTGTTCACATGAACCTTGGTGTCCTCAGGGAGCCAGAGATTCGCCGATCGAAAGGGTTCACCAAAGGTCTCAGCCTTGGCTTTCAGGTTTGCTAATGAGCCGACTTCCTCGCCCTCTCTCTTCTTCCAAGTGGTCTGCAGTTGGAACACCCAGGTCGCTGGGTCATTGGGGTCTGGTACCTCTTGGACTTTGGATACTCAGCACGACTGTCATCAACACAGACATCAAACTCACTCGAAATCCATAGCCAGTAACCATCAGGGTGGATCGCGTGTGTCACTGAGATGAACATCCTTTGGTCAGCAACACTGCTCGTCCCAGGCATATGGAGTAGACTAACTTATAGGGTGTGCTTGGCGAACGAACAGGGCCTTCTCCGCATCGTTATAGCAAACATGCAGATTGACAGCCGAGTAGGGCACTGGGGACGGCCGTCCCTTCTCCCCCAAGATAGACAATCTCACACGTGATTGCGCGCCATCGGCTCCGATGAGTAAGGTGCCTGTGGCTTTCGTGCCATTCTCAAATACGGCGGTGACGGTGGAGTTTTCGTCGTCGTATTCGACGGACTCGAGCACCTTGCCATACTACACCCGTCACTCGTTAGCTGTCGCAACATCACCGTCCGAATGGCGTCGAGACCTCACCTGGACATTAAGGCCTTGGGCGCAGTAAGCTCGGAACCCTCGCCTGGGGACCCGGTACATGTGCAGCAGTGGAATGTTCTTCATCAATTCCCCGGTTGCGCCATTGAAGGTAGGCAGGATGCCAGGATCCGGGGGGTCGAAATTCGGATCCACCGAAGCGGTCTGGATCCCGTCGAAGAGCTCTTCGGGCAAGCAGTCCTTGAGCATGGGAAGACCCCATTGTATTGACATGCCCCATTCGCGCGGACGGTAGGTGCTTGCTGAAGGTTCGGACTCAAAGATCTCACAGGATATGCCTTCCTAGATGTCATGGTCACCCGAGCGCACTTGCCAGAGGCCGGGTAGGAAACTTACTTTCTTGAGGCCCTGTGCGATAAGCAACCCAATGATTCCTGCGCCAAGATCCGTCAATTGGGCAGTCCTCAAGCCGCAGAACGACCGTTGTCAGCAATGTACACACCTGAGCCAACGATGAGAACGTGCGGTGATTGGGTCGCCATTGCGGCGTCGGTCGTCTTCTCAGTTAGCAACTCGGTCAATCGAGTAGCAGACAAGGAGCTGCAATGTTCTACGGTCAGCAGCCAAGAGGGTCTTGAGTCACGTCAAATGCTGGTCAGCTGGTAGACCATTCAAGGTACGTAACTGTGATGACGCCGGATTCTGAGCACATCCGTTCGACCAGCAGGACAAGAAGGTATGCATTGGGGGTTGCGAAGATATGGCGTGAGATCGCAGCGGATGTGGGAGGTGGGAGCAAGTGGGCTTCGTGCATGAAACCACAAGTACCGTGGTCACCCAGGTGGTGCTATGTGCTTCGTGCTAAGTACACGGGCACACATCCTTCTTCCACAATTGCGATGGACAAAGGTCCTCCGGGGCGCTTTGATTGTAGAATCATTGGGGTGACTCTTGGGAGATACATACATTAGCTCGGGCGTCGCTCCACGCGAAGGACCGGTGAGTTCCATCGCAAGAGCCAATTGGCCACGCGGTACAAAACCTTCAGCAAAGGTGAACTAGGACCGGGCCATTTCGGGTCGGATGCAGCTCGACGATTCCAGTCTGCATTTTGGTTCCTTGGCTGGCGGTCGAAGGAGCCCAAAAGCGCGAACTTGAACGCGCGCTGAACCTGAGATCGCCCCGCCTCACTGTTGAAAGATGATTAGAGCCGGAATCCACGACAGCGACTCCGACGCACCGTCGTTCCGCCCCGGTTGGTTAGTGGACGGTCGGTTCGAGCTCCTGGCCAACGCCGTTGCGAGCTCCATGACTGTCCCGCGAATGACACGACGGTACCCCCTGTACCGTTTGCTGTCTAGCGCCCATCTGATACTTTGATAGATCCACGGGAAGCTGCATGGGGTTTTCACGCGAATTCGTTCCCACTCGAACATCAAGTGTTTGGCAAGGGTATTGTTTCCGCTTGCCATCCACATTGTACATTGTACTCGCAAGACAAGCGTAACCCACAGAGGAAGTTGCGTTCCCTCGCCGATCAAGCACAGAGAAGAAATTCAATCGACAGTCCAGTCCGGCTTCCGTCCGAAGGGCCGGCCCACCGGGGCATCGAGGCATGCAGGGATCGACCTTGTCCTCCAGTATTTCTTCTGAAGAAAGTTGCATGCAGCCGCCGGGCCATACACACTCATACCCCCGGACGTCGAGTCGACTCCACCGAGCCATCTAAAGTACATACAGTACTCGTATCACGAGTCGAGTCGACTCCATCCGGCCGTTTCCATTTCTTGACTATCAAATTCTCGAAGATTAGATGCAGCCAGACCAAGGGTGATATGTGCAAGGTATGGCATCAGCTTCTCGGCCCAGGAATCCTCAAGAGCACCAGTCATCTACACCACCTTTAAGGGAAGACACGACGGAGCAGGTGCCCTTCCTACCGCCGATAGAGCAGTCGGAGGAAGGAATAGAGGTCGATGTATGTACCCAGTCCATCGGGAGACACTGACTCACATGTTGACCTCTACTTCTGCAGCCCGGGGACGTTGATTCTGCCTATGGCGACTCTGTGTGCGTGTCGTGCCCCCGAGATCTCCCGCCCGAGTTTGTTTCTGACGATATCAGGGCAAGCGAACTGACATCCCTCACGTCCAGCATCACGCGAGGGATCTGGGAGAACGGGCGACGATATCATTCGTATGGACGGTCACGTACAATGTCTCTCTCTGCCGCACTTCGCGACTCGAGCACCTGACGATGTGGCTAGAATATGCATTCCCCAACGACGAGGCCGAGGCCGAAAGGCTCGACATGCAACACGCCATGCAGTCCCATCTTCTGGGCGACCGATTATTCTGGGCGCCCATAACTGAGACTCCCCAGCGGGTGCTGGATCTGGGCACCGGCACGGGCATCTGGGCGATTGACTTCGCCGACACGTTCCCCTCGGCCGACGTCGTGGGGACGGACCTTAGCAGCATCCAGCCCACGTGGGTGCCGCCGAACTGCCGGTTCGAGATCGACGACGCAGAGGCCGACTGGACGTGGCCCGAAGACCACTTTGACTACATTCACAACCGCAACTTTGTGTGCGCCATTCGGGACTGGCCGGCCCTGATCCAAAAGACTTACCAGTATGAAGTGTCACCTGATTTCGTTGGTTGAGACCTGAAGTGTTGCTGAACATTCCCACACAGGCATCTCGTCCCCGGCGGCTGGGTCGAGTGGCACGAGAAGCACCCGGAATTTTCCAGCGACGACAACTCCCTCCCACCAGACTCGGCGCTTGTCGAATGGAGCAGGAAGTTCTTCGAGGCCAGTAAGTGACACACGCGCATATCCGCACATTCCCCCCTCTGTCAGACTCTCATGCCGCGCGTCCGTATAGGCGTGACTTTCGGCGCCGACGTCGATTCACCCCGCCACCTGAAGAGAATCATGGAAGAAACCGGCTTCGTCGACGTCGAGGAACATATCCTCAAACTCCCCGTGGGATCATGGCCGCGCGAACCCCGGCTGAAGAGATGTGGCCTGTTCGAGATGGTGAATATGACGCAGGGAATCCAGGCGCTGACGGTCATGCTCTTCACGCGCTGCCTGAACATGACGCCCGAGGAGGTCGAGCTGTTCCTCATGTCCGTGCGCAAGGACGTCAAGAACAAGAGCATCCACAGCTACTATAACTTTTATGTCGTCTTTGGGCGGAAACCTCCCCTACCGAGCTGAGAGCGGGAGTCTGAGGGTCTAGCATGAGCATATCGAGTGAAGGTGAATGGGGTTGTCGATGCCGATGGCTGGTCTGGGCTCGGCGTGGGCGGTTACTGTCGACAAGTTTTGCAGCTTCGAGTCGCCGTTCTTGTCGCCTTCGAAAAGAGAACGGCACCGTGCAGCGACAATGGCACGGCACGGCACGGCACAAGGCTCATCCATGGGCAGGGCCCAATCTTCCTCACTGTCCAGGATTGAGATCAGTCCTCGCGCTCCTAGAAGGACAACCTGATCAACTCAGCTGGTTGATTTGTGATGATACCGAACCATGCAAATCGACAGAAAGTCAAGAGATTGTGCCTTTCAAGGAGACGGCACAGCCATTTCGTACGGAAAAGAAAGGAAGCGGTACACTGGAGGAATTAATTCATGAGCAAACAAAGTCGCATGACAACTTTACTGTAGCTTGTTGTGGGCTGTTACGGACATTACATTGACCAGCGGATATACTGTCGTCACGATTTCTTTGCTCGTTGCACTATGGAACGAGGTTTGTATCATCGCTTGACGACTTTCTCCCACCGACCAGAACTGGGCTAAGGCTGCGCGGTACAGCCCAAACCACATGGGAAATGGGCGATTGGAGACGAAGTGTGCCGTGAGCCCAATGCTGGGCGATCACGGCCGACAGCTATTCTAGCTAGTAATACACACATCTACCCTTCTTTTGCAGACTGTCCGACGTCAACGTACATCGGTGGTATAAACAATGCTGGCCGATATTGTACACATATGTACGTCGTGTGAATGCTCATGTTTGCACCGTGCTGTCCTGCGCAACCACTTCTTTGGGCATGCACTCAGCCACGGCATTGCCTGCATCGCTCAAGCCCTTCCTCGTCCTCTGCCTCTACCACCCCCACGACCTCGACCACCGCCACCTCGCTTCTTTTTCGGCTCCTCTTCGCTCTCAGCTTCCGACTCGTCGTTGTCCCCAGCCTTCTTCCTCTTTCCCTTGCCCTTCGCTTCCGCGCCACCAGCAGAAGCACGTGCAGGCTTCTTCTTTGCCGGCTTGATATATTTGTCTTTCTTCAGATCCAACTCGTCCTCCTCGTCGACAACTTCAGCGTCGGCCAGGACCTCTTCGCCCTCGGATTCGTCCACGGCTTCTTCCAAGTCGGGCTTCTCTCGTTTGGCGCCGCCTGCTTTGGCCATGCCCAAGATGTTGCTCGCTTTGACAAATGGCATAGGGTGGTTCTGCCCATTATAGAGTCTGGTAAACTGTGCCTTTGTAGCAGATTCGATTTTGATCTTCTCCATGTCGAACTCTCCGACACCCAGCTCCATGACGGCATCAAAGTCGTCTTTCGTCAGGTAGTATGAGTCCATGAAGTCGATCACATCCTGCACAGCATCTCTGCCTTCGTCTTTCAGCATCCCAACAGTCTTGCTCCACAGAGCAGGAAGGTACTGCTGGCGTATCTCATGGCGGTCCGCAGAGGTGCGCAGGCGCATATGTCCCTGGACCTCCTTGACGAAGCGAGACAGTTTTGCTGCCGAGAGGTTAGTACAGGAATCAGGAAATTGGCGTAGCTCACTTACATTGTTTGCTGTTCTGGCCAAACCAGGTAGGGAAGCCAGCTCCTCCTTGGTTGAGGTTGCCATAGACATAGCTGGCGGGCCGAACGAAGCTGAAGATGGCATGAGTGGGCATCAAACTCCACTGTTGTTGGGAACCGTGGATCATTCTATCAACCAGGTCACCGTCGGAGATGCTTGAGGCAGCGTTGTCCACTAGCTCCAGCAACTTCATGTCTCTCTCTTTGCCCTTGTAGTTGGCTGCAAGGCTGGGTTGTGTTTTTAGGTAGTTCTCCTGAAGCATCAGATAGCTCATCTCGTGATCATTGAAGTACAACTCGGTTTTATCGTTCAGTGTCGAGGTGGAGCTGGCAGAGAACATCTGAGGCCGCAGAATCTTGTTCACGATGTCCCAGGGCTTCAGAATCACGTGCTTTTCCCATGCCTTTGTTAAGGCTTTGCTGTCGCTGAAGTCGAGGTCTTTGTTGTCAAGTTTGACAGTCGAGATCATGTTGATGATTTGACGGATGTCGCCATTACACCCTTCGATCAAGGCATTGATGATTGGCATCGGCAATTTCATTCCTTCGCGATAGAGGATGGTAGCAATCCGCCCTCGTATCATATCCGTGGTCGGCCTGATAAACTTGAACTCTGCCGTAACGTGTACCAGAGGTTTCATCTTCTGACTACCCCGGTCGTTGCAGATCATGATTATCGGGACATGAGTCTTCTTGGCCACAGAAGCCAGAGCACCGACGCCGCCACGATCACCGGCTGACATGCCATCGACCTCGTCCATGATAAAGAGGAGCTTGCGCTTTGCGGCGTCGACCTTCTTGCCGTCGCCAGCAAAGTATCCGAGGAGAGACGTGGTATCCAGAACGCCAGCCAAACTGGTTTCCAGTAGCTTTTTATTTCTGGTCTCGCTTGCATTGCTCTCGACCACGTCATAACCTTCGAGTTTGGCGATGAGGTGAGCTGCTGTGGTTTTGCCAACGCCGGGAGGACCATGAAGCAGAGCCGCGCGGAAAATGCCCCTGCCGTCAGGGCCGGCATGCTTGAAGTTGGACTTGGCGGCCTTGGGCCAGTTTCGAAGCCATCGTTGAAGACCCTCTACCTGGCTCTTGTTTCCACAAACAGAGCTTATGGCATCCGGGGCATATCTGTCCACCCATAGTTTGTCTTGCATTCTTGGTACCTTTTTGGCTGTTGCAGCTGGGGTGCTAGTCCCAGCCGAAGCAGCTTTGGCAAGTTTGGCAGCCTGCTTTTGTCTCTCGCGCTCACGTTCTGCTTCTTCTTCCGCTTGCAATCGGATCTTCTCTTCCTCCTTGGCCTGTTTCTGGGCATAGGCTTCACCGGCCTTGCCGTCTCCGCCGTTGGCTGGGAGCTGTCGAATGAGAGCAAAAAGACCATCTTCGTTGATTGTCTTGATACCGAGTTTTCGAATGGTTTCAAGTTTCTTGGGGCCAGCATCAGAGCCAAGGACAACATAACTCGTCTTCGTGGAGGGAGCAGTTGTCACTTTGCCGCCATACTGTTTCACAAGGTTCTGGCCCTCATCGCGACCTAGAGTGTTCAGGACCCCTGTAAAGACAAATGTCAACCCGGCAAGACAGTTTTCAGCACCAACTGGTATCTCAGCGGTGCCGGCCGCTGGTGGCGCAACACTGGCATTGCCACCACCGTACGTGAACTTCTTCGTGTCATCTCTTGGCGGCGGAGTCGGGGCTCGAACTGTGGGAATGCTGGCATAAATGTCTTGTAGCTCTTTGGTTTCTTCCTTTTCCTCCTTGGCTGAGCGTCGTGGCTTGCTAGCAGTTGTCGAAGCAGCTTTCCTCGACTTCTTCTTGGGAGTAGCATCATCGTCCTCGTCCATGTAGTCATGCTCGTCATTATCAGCGAGGTCCTTCGACTTCCTCTTACGACTGGAGGCGGCTGTGGCAGTTGTCTTCTTCCTCCTGTTATCACCAGGCCCGTCGTATGCAGGGATATGAGCCACTTCCAGATCTTCTTCATCGTCTGACTTCGACTTCTTGACGCGGCCAGCGGCAGCTTTGGTGGCTCTCTTCCGTGGCGTCGCGACATCTTCATCTGTGCCTTCATCGTAGTCCTCGTCGACCTTCCTGCTTTTCATGTCATTGAAGATATCATCATTGCCTTCATGATCATCTTTGACCACGACCACCGGCTCATCGCCGTCATCTTCTTTATGAGATTTCGTAGCCGTTCGCCTAGAGGATCGGCGATCACTAGAGGGGGTTGTTGTTTTGCCAGTGCCGTTCGTAGCAGTAGACTTGGTGCGGATTGGAGTGGATTTCGCTGGCTTTGCCTTTGTCGAGGCAAAATAGGCTGAGCTACTTGTCTCCTCTTCAACTGCTTCTTTGGCAGTTTTTTTCGGTTTCGGTGTCGAAGGCTTCTTCTGTTTGGCCTCGACTACTTCATCGTCATCGTCAGAAACAACTTTGCGAGGACGACCCCGCTGCTTTGTAGCTGCCTTGGTGCCATTCTATCATGCTGTCAGTCTCACTGGTTGGTGTGCTCTGGGTAATGTCCGTACGGTGTCCTTTTCACCAGTCTTTGGTGTACTAGGCTTCGCTGCCGGCTTTGGTCCTCCACCTCCAAAGAAACTTCTGATATCTGATGGCATGGTGCGGGTAAGGGGAGGATCGAGCGGGTGTTAATTACAAGTGAGGAGTGATTGACATTGGGACAGACACATTGACATATGGAGTTGACCTAGGGTGGACGTGACTCTAGTAATCACGGTGTACTGAGATCTGCGGGGAGACCTGACTTTCAATTCACCTGAAGCGGCAGACCTGACTTTCAATTCATTGACGCGAAGACCGGACTTTTGATTTAATGACGCGACGCGTGGAAAATCACCTTGGGAGGAGCCGCCACTTTACGGCGGATCAGACATCGTTGGCGCGCACTTTCCTTGTTTGACTTGCAGTCACGACTTGGTAGCATTGATCGCTTCGTGATCTTTCTACATACTCCGTACTGATATCACTCTGCCATCATGTATGTGATTGTCTCAAGACTTCGGCAGCAAAGCTCAACTGTTGAACTGCATGCTAATATCGTCACCCTGCCACATGCCGAGTTGGTCTAGGTCGTCTATCATGAAAGCATCCTGAAATGAATTGTCCTCGATTGACCACGAGAGAGGATTCCACTGCCAGTTAGCCTGCTCCTGCATAGTCGAAGGCGCAGCATGTATTTGGTTCAGAGTTGCTCCATCAAATAACTGGGAGGCCGGGTGTTGACTTGGATCCCAAAGTCCGGTACCTGGCATGACGTGCGCCGGTTGCTGATTCCCTGTCGTTGCCGCCTGAGGAGGATTCGTGTTGCGGCGGATGTTGATGTTTCCTAGCAGCGGAACCTTTAGACTCAACTGACTCGAACCAGCCGCACCTTCACTCTTTTGAAGAAGCGCGCTCAGAGACCGAATGGCAATGGCACCTTGTCGAGCAAAACTGGATCCCGCTGCGTCGCCAGACTTTTCCTCCATGAGTCTCAAAACCTGCGTTGCTGTGTCCTGCACTCGAGCCTTGTTGGCCTGGAGCTCGATCCGATCGTTGACTGCTCCACTGTGGGATGCGAGGAGTAAGACGACCGTAGCTGTCAGGGCCTGCAAGTCCATTATCGGCGACAGAAAGATCCCGGAGGGCAGCATCCCACGCAACCTTTGGTAGCGCTGGGCGACTTCTTCGCAAGCATCCAAACATGTTAGGCGACTGTACGCATTGGCTTCTCCAAGACCTTGTCGTACGGTAAATGGTAAGTGTACTCGCATTACAAAGTAGTAATGCAACATCTGACACAAATTTGCAGCTTTGATCGCGTTCGTGTCTCGCTCCCACCACGGCTTTGGAGTTTCCGACGCGAGGATCCTCAACTCTCGGTCGAGTTCAAGCGCAGATGCATATGCTTGAGCACTTGCTCCACGTGTGACCACCGGATCATCCAATGTATGGAATTTCGCCGTGATGTCTGTCAATCTCTTCAGGTAAACTTGGGTCTGGACGATGCCGTTCACAGTCAACGGTTGTGTGCTCGGGTCTTCTAAGCGCCGCGAGATGGGTGGCCGGTTGACGAGCATTCCCGCCAACCTCTCCGCAGAGCACATGAACTCCCAGAGCTGTATTCTTTGATACTGCAATCCTTCCTCTTGGGTTCGTCCAATGTCGTTATGTTGCGAGTTCTGCGGTAGACGCGAGAGGCCAAGCAGCTCGGCGAGCGATATGCAATGTCGCACACGAATCCAGGCTTTGTGGAAATTTCCCTGGCTGATTTGACTGTGATCTCTGTTAGCTCTTCTCTGGCCGGGCGTGATGACTGTAGCGCTTACAGGCGAAGGAAGTGCATTGCCATGCCTAGACCCTGGACTGTTCCCAGTAGCCGATCGTGGTTGAAGAGCGCACTCTCCACGGTATCAGATACTGCTCGAGAGAAATTCGAAACCTTGTGGAACCTGTTGAGGGACGTGGCAGGACTGTTGTAGACCCTTGGTTCTTGCTGAGCTGTGAGTGCGAGGTCGAGCAACCAGGCGGCCAGTGATATGGCATCCACGTCAGGTTTGAGCATGTTGTCATAACTGTCGAGCAGCTCTTGTTGCGAATTCAGTCCGAACGGCTGTGGGAGGACCGAGTTGACTAGATCCAGCCACTTCGACGCGGTTCTAGCCATGTTCACAACATCTTCTTTGGCGGGGACCAGCCTTTGCAATCTCTCTCTGGCAGAGTCCAAGAGATGAGCAGAGGCCTTGGCTCTACGGTCTTGCGACTGCTCATCCTGACCGCCAATATCGGCACTCAACCAATCATTCTGGAAGAGCGAACGCAAATGCGACGGCTGCTCGGTGGCAATAACATCTGAAGTGTTAGAGTCGTCATCAGATTCGTCTTCTCCGGGGCTAAAGGCCGTTTGCGCAGAGGTTGGCTCTATGTCGATTGTCTGATAGCCCAACTTTGACTGAATATTGTGGACGGCCTTCCGCAGACTGGCGACCTCTGACTCCAGTTGCGCAATGCGATGCCGAGATGGTAGTCGTGGTGGCCGAAGTGGTCTAGAGCTGAATACTTGAGCAACACAATGCAAGCCTCGATCTTCACAGCCGCGGCAGGTCTCTGCGTCTTCGGGAATGCGAATGCAGCGGACCTTCCGGCGTCTACCTGCACAGTATCAGCGAAATAGCCCTGGTGTGATAACCCAGGCCAATCCGAAGAAAGTGGCAAGACCCGACAGCACGGGCGGGCCACAAGGCTGAAAGTTTACAGCCTTGAATGGAAAGACCTTCATCTGCGTGCGAGTGTCAGGAGCGGCATTGTGAGTCGCTGTGCACCACTCAGGCATCCAGTTCCATGTGAAGAGTCCGACGTTCATACGTGCCGGAGCCTCTTTCATACCGGGTTTGCACCTTTCTTCGAAGCGCTTAGTAAATGGACTTACACTCGGTACAGCTTTTCGTTCCCTTCCGGGCTTGCTTCAGCAATTCAATGTCAGACATGGCTGCTAATCTGCAGCATCTGGAAGTTCGAACGAAAAGATCATCTATCCACGGCCGAAGCGGAGGGAGCGGACACGCGAGGCCGAGTCGAAGAGCGTCTTACCTCGCGATTCCGGGCCAGCTCCCTGTAAGGGTATGGTGTAAACTTTCGGTTCGTCGTGATGCTTGATGCGAACAGCCTACTGGTGTTGAAAGTAAGAGAGCATCACCTTGTCTGACACGCTATTTCCTACGTGACACCCAAAGAGCACCATCGGCGTCATGGTGTCACGGAGTCCTCACAATGTAAAGGTGACGGAGCTTCTTTGCTCCGGTTCGGCCCCGATAACTCAACAGTCAGACGATTCTCTTTCAAGCCGGCCTCGGTGTTCTGACTTGGTGCGTGGAGTTGTTTTTCGTCCGGCCCGCCTTGGAATGCTGCCGTCGGCGCATCTTCATTGGCTTTGCTTCTTGCCTGCTTCCATATTATCACTCCGGTCGGGTCTCCAGCATTCACCAGGACCGACAAAGGGACTGTCTGTACGCCGATGTAGGTTGTCGAAGGCGAAACCCCCTCCCTGTTGCGTGTGACTTCAGACCCACCGCAACGCATTCGTCATGGCAGGGAAACCGCTACAACTATATAGAATGGCGCCTGTTCTAGTGACTGTTGACCATCACCTAACAGAACAGCAAGCGTTCGCGTACCATCTCAGAAGACCCATCATCGACGACCCCAATTATCACTCTCACTGCTACATCCGACGATCGGAATCAGAATGGGAGGCCCATACCCTTCGAAGACCGCCGCTATAGGTGGACTACCAACAGTGTCCACCGATGTGCCGATCGACGCAGTCTTCATCTTCCTTTATGTCTGCTTCGCAGCGACAAACATGACCATCTTCCAACTTAATCGACGGAAAGGGCACAAGTTCCTCCCTTCCGCAGCTTTGTTCGGTTTCTGTATGGCCAGGATAGCCACGCTGTCTCTCCGGATTGCATGGGCAACGACACCGCACAACGTACGATTGGCAATTGCAGCATCAATCTTTGTGAATGCCGGTATCCTGATAATTTATGTCATCAATCTGATCCTGGCACAACGCATATTGCGAGCCACTCACCCAGAATTGGGATGGAATCCGACTTTGCGGGCAGCATACAAGGTGCTTTACGCCTGTATCGCTGGAGCGCTTATCATGGTGATCACATCTGTAGTGCTCTCATCATACACGCTCAACACTCACACCAAGCAAGCTTGCCGAGACATTCAGCTGGCGGCCATCACTTACCTGCTCGTATTCACGTGTCTTCCAGCAATACACGTGGCTTTGGCCATCTTCCTCCCGAGATCGCCACATACCGAGAACTTCGGGAAAGGGAGCATGAAAAGCAAGTTGATCATCGTCACCTCGACGGCGCTGCTTTGCATGCTGATCGCTGGATTCAAAACTGGCATCGCCTGGATGCCACCACGATCTGTCACCAGTCCACCATGGTATACCTCCAAAGCGTGCTTCTACATCTTCAATTTCTCGCTCGAGATTCTCCTCCTTTGCATCTTGACCTTTACCCGGATCGACAAGCGTTTCTTTGTTCCCGACGGATCGAAGCAGGCTGGCGATCATACGCGTCTTGCTGAGCAGGGCCAAGACAAGACAGAGCGTCACTCGTGGTATACGGCTTCACAGGGTAGTGAAAGCGGCCTCCAACGTAAGGAGAAGCCTGATGCCGAATGCTGACAGGGGGGTCACGCGTCCGGTTTTAACATCTGGTATAGTTTGTGAACCGAGGACAAATGGCGCTGGCCTTGTGTTTGAGCAACTCCTCCCGTCAAGACAAGTGTTCAGATTAGTCCCTCAGATGGCGCATTTTCCCACAGAAAAGTACTTCTTTAGACAACTAATTATCACTAATTTTCCGACTTTCTCTGCCCGGTTGAGCATGGGATGCTATTTTCGTAAGCTGGGTGGCTTGATTGTTGACACGGCGGCATTCGTTTCAAAGCTCTCGAATAGAGAGACTGCAGTTAGATGACCAAAGTTCGGTTGTTTACTTGGAAAAGAGCAAGACACTCTCTGCCGGCAACAACTAGCAGTACGAAGATTCAGGAGTGCGGCTGACGCATATTTGCTTCGCCGGATCGACATCGGTTCCGTATATGCTCCAGCGCGACGCATGTGCGTAGCTGCGCAAAGCTCTACCATTTCAACGTAACTGCGCATTTCAACGGAAGACCGGTCGCAGTTTGCGAAGAGTAGCAGGACAGGAGATCTTCATTCTGCGCTTGTCTCACGGAACGTCTAGTCTGCATTGTGTTAGCGGACCCCGAGAGTGGGAAGCCCAACTACAGCTCGAGAGATATTGCTAGAATGGCTGGCCCATCAAGAGGTCCCTCCGGTACAAGATGCCTCCCGCCTGCTTGCTTGCGTCTGTTACAGTATCTAACACACCTTCCAGTGGCCTGCTTAAGATACCTCCGGACCAAGACGATCTTCCCCAGCACTTCCACCTCATCATTTGCGCGACCGAGCCCCATTCAGTATCCCCCCTTCAATCCTCTCTCTGTCAACGGTGCATCCAAATGTGTCCGCTCATTCTCGACGACGACACCACGTCAAGACTGGCTGACCCCGAAGCGGCCCGAGGTGCGAAAGTCGCACGTAGGGCGCCCGCGCATGCCTACTGGCGGATCGATGCGAGGAACGACCGTCGTCTGGGGTGACTACGGGCTGCGCATGAAAGACCACGATCGAAGAGTATCTGCCAAGCAGCTGAAGAACGCCGAAGAAACCATCAACAGAAGACTACGCGGTGAACGCTTCAGACTGTACAAACGGGTGAGCGCCAACATCGGCGTCTACACCAAAGGCAGCGACGTGCGGATGGGTAAAGGGAAGGGCAAATTCGACTACTGGGCCGCACGTATCCCCGTCAGCCGCGTCGTCTTTGAGATCAAGAGCAACCTGCACGAGCAGGTGGTGAGGGACGCCTTCAGACTGGCTGGGAACAAATTACCTGGATTGTGGGAGTTTGTCAAAAAGGGCGATCCCCCGATGGTGGGCATCACCAAGTTGAGCCCCGGCGTGACGTTGCAGAGCTTAAAGGAGGCGAGAAGAGAGGTCGAGGCCAAGGACAAGAGTGAGAGTGAACCACAAACACAACCGATCGTTCCTCCAACAGTCAAGGTCCCTCCGCATACAATTTCGACGGGGCTAGACCCGCCTGCGACAACGGTACATGTAGCACCCTGAAGGGATTGCAATAGGAATTGCTGTTATGTTATACACACTTTGGAAATCGAACCGACCGGCTCATGCCTCATGCTCCAATGCCAGTTCCCTCGCCATACCTCTGCTCCGTCCGGGTGTCCTTTTGGTTGTCGGACTTATCTGGCGCACCTCCATATCCAGCCTGCGGCCCAGCTTCGCCGGTCTGTGAAGTCGTCTTGCCACCCATCCCGGACTCTGAAATGTTCTGCCCGTACCTTATATTCTCCGCGGTCTTCTGGCCCCGTTCTTGGTCCGCTGGAACCCCCTCGGACGTGTTGGGCCCGCCTGCAAAAAGTGTCAGATTCCGTGTGCACGGGGAAGCTCGGCATCGGAAGGGCGGAAGGGCGCATACGTACCACCCAGTTGGCCTCGTTGTTTCGAGGCAGGCACAGTCTCGGTCTTGATCGACTCATACCTGCAGCCACTCCGTTAAGATATATCCTGATAAATACCCGTGCGTGGGGCATATACATACTGAGGAGTCTCTCCTCCCGGCGCCGTGTCCATTGTCTTGTCTTGATTCTGGTTGCTGCCGTCCATCTTCTTGAATCCCTTGAACGAGTCGAAGTAGTCGCAGGTCAAAACGTTGCCGATGGATTGAGTGACGGCATGAAACAATTCCATGTACTTTACACAGTAGGTAGGTTTTCGAGAATGAAATCACATGCTATTGCACTGCATAGCCCACTTCTTCCGTCGGCTTTGTTGAGCGCAAGATGAGGTCTGTTGGGCTGTTGGGTCCATCATCATTGCGCTCCACTTTGGTCGGAGCACGAGAGCGGCTTTTGACGTCATGCCTCTCGACCGCTGTGATATCACCTCAGCCGCTCTTCACACCTGCAGGTCGTACCAGTTACACGTCGTATTGGTTATGTACAAGCAATCTATCCGCTCTGATCATTGATGATGCATAGATCTTCAGCAGTTCTCTGCTTTCTGTCCTCGGTGACTCCGTGTTCGAGAGTGTGTGTCCGACCAACATCACGGCAGGCAATAGATCCAGTGATGAACGACACGAGCCAGAATGCTGATTGAGTGTACTCGGACTGAAGCGCTCAACAACCGCATTGCTCAAGGCCTCTCCTAGCTGACGTGGTCTTAGTCGTAGGCGCAAGAGAGAGGGTCAAAGTATCTTTATATTCCCACCTGCCCAGGAACCGACCGGGAGGAGGCAGAAAGGAGAGGAGAACTCTTCTCATCAATCCTAAGTAGTCTTCGCTCTCATCCACCTGCACCCTTCACTACCTTACCTAGTAGACTAGACTAGCCAAACAACGACATAGATAACAAAGAAAAGCACAAACCTATCCGCAAATCGGCCCCAGTACGTACGTACATATCTGGTCAACCATCTCTGAGACATTATCATTATCGTTCATGGAGTGCATTCAGTTATGGGATTCTGCCCGGTGACTGTTGACCACGGGGGCACGGTGTCTACTGTGTCTTGCGGATCTGGCACTGTGACAGGGGAATTGCTGATTAGTTACCTTATGTATATTCGAGGGTAAAAAAGGGGTGCTTATCTGAATCTCAGGTGATCATTCTGAGTTGTGCTTTCATTCTGTTGGCACCTAAGGACGTGGGCATGGGATGGGATGGGATGGGATGGGATGGATGTATGATGAGGCTCTGGTGTGCGCGGGCACGGCTTTCCTGGTTGGAACTTTTTGATACGGGTGACGCTGGTACAGTGCTAGGATCGTTAGGGCTTAAAATCAAAATCAAAATCAAAATCAGCGTGTGAAACTACATGTCCTGGAGAGTAACCTGAGCTTCGTGCGCGTGACCGGTTACATGCATCACAGCTGGCTACAATTAGAGTTGTGGAAATCGGTAGAGGACTGCGAGACCTGGGCCAAGCTACTGTATAATTTGGGGTAGATATATGTCTCTGTCTTGCTCCGCGTAATCTCGGACATTGGGGACATATCGTATCTCGGACGCTACAACGACTCGCTGTGACAGGGAGATCGTCAGTAGTAAGGTGATTACCTTTCCGCCCTTCTGTTGCGCGACGATACCCTCAGGATTGACAACCAACTCTCAGATTGTACTCGTTGGTCGGGTGCCATTCGTGACCGAAGATACATTGTGAATAGGTGATTCTCCATGTTCCAGAACCATGTCCCAGAACGAGGGTTTCCTGATCTCTTGTGGATACCCCAGCACTTGCTCATCCTCTCACTTGCTGTCCGAGCCGGAAGGTGGCTGTGGCATTCAGTCGACGTTGAGCCCTTCACAGCCTGGCCGTCCATTTTCCGTTTCAACGGCAGATATGGGCGGGAAAGGTCTTCGAGAATGCCAAATATCTCACCCGTCTGATCGGCAGGACGGATGCCAATGGCAACATTGCGCGTACATTCAGGAGGGCTGTTTAGACCAATCCTTGCACAATCCAAAGAAGCTGCGGCAGAATTTCCCAAATTCCACTTTGGGATCGAAGGAGCGCCACGAGCCTTGTGCTCGATGCCAGACACGCGCAGACGGATCTGTGACGGGTTTAGATCCCATATTACCGTATCTTCTCCGCCCGGGACTGTTGTGGGATTAACACGTCTTCTATTGGCAACGAAACCAAAGGACTTATGACGTACCTGAAGCCTGTGATGGGCAGTATCAAGACATCGTCGACTAGCTTACTCTGCCCGCCATCTAACAGTCCGGTTAGAGTGTTCCATCTCAAGCCGACTTGTTCTTCAAGCCAGGTCATGGCTGCAACAGTAATAGCAACAGGTCCGGTAAGTGAAAGAGGACCAATTTGTCGCAATTCCTTGGTCGCCTCCATATCACTGAGGTCCCCCCAATGTCGGTTAGCCACGTGCTTTAGCCTCCGCTGGAGGGTGTCCATGAAACGAAGAAGAATTGGATGCCCGGGACCAGATGCCAATGCCCACTGTGTGAGCTGGACAGGGTAGGAATACCCCATTCGCCAATAGTCGTCCTTGTCGGGAGGACAGTCCGCTTCGATGCCAAGAACGATGCTGACTGGATTGTCGGAAGAGAATCTCGAATTTGTGTCTGGGTCGGTCCAGGGGCCAAGGTCTAATGGCGATATCCAGGAAGAAGGTCTGCGCAGCGGTTGGGTATCGACGTCTGCGTACTATGCGCGACCAGTCAGCATGTAGAATTTGCATGACTTTAGAAGGGGCACTGAGTTCTTACAATACCGCCAAACCATTTCAGCACTAGAATCCGAAACACGTCCGCTCGTTCCACATTGGATGGCAATGAACGGAACTGTTCCACGAAATCGGGCTCAAATTCGTCCAACATCTGTAAGACACCGTCGTCCTCCCAGAAGAAGTACGCCATGTCGTCGGAGACTACGTAATGAAGCCATTTTTCGACACTGAGACGGAGGAGGTCTGACCACGTGTCGATACGTCGATTCTTCCATGTCTGGTGAAGTAAAAGTGGAATCGACGAATGTTCGATATGTCGACGTCTATTGGCAGTGGCCGCTTGTGAGGCTAGCAAAGCGGCATCGACAATGTTCTCCGGCTGAACACCGGCAGAAGACAACCAAGTTGGCGGGATATACCACGCTAGATGTTATTAGCATAGCCTCAATCAAAAGGACAATCAGCGTCGGGCTTCTTCCGATTCCTCTATTGTCTTGCAAAGCCTGAAGCGGGGCAGGGTTTTGCCTACCTCCTCCGGACCCATTGAATTCATGTACATGCCGCCAAAGGAGAGGGTAGCGCTCTTCTAAATCGATCGTCTTTAGTTCATGCTTGCGACTCGGCACTAAACACCAGAATGTGAACGCGCAGAGAACTGAGGAGATGAGGAGGCGACGCTGAACCTGGCGTGACGACAGCCAAGCCAGCCTCATACTGAGGCTTTGGAGCCTCAGCGCGGTGACAAACGAAGGAGTGTTCGACACAGAAGTAAGTGACACCAGCGACAACGGAGGACGAAGTGAGGAGACGCTCAAAGAAGGTTTGGGCCGCTCAGGCACATGAAGAGGGTTCGGTCTAGAATTTGCTTGTGATCAAGTTTTAGCGCACTGGCATTTTCAGCTTCCAAGCAGGGACTGAGATTGAAATTGGCGACACTGGCACGAGCCCAAGATTCGCCGTCACATTCATGCTTCTGGAATAGGGGTACCCTAAGTCCTCGAAGGTGAAGAGGTGAATGGATCCGTCGATGGATTGAGGCAGCGAACAACAAAAGCATCTCGTATAGCGCTGGCGGGTTGCGAGCTTGTACTCCTTTGTCCTCGACAATGCTGATGGAGGACGCCAGTGGTTTCCCCAACGTGCTACACAACGGCTGATGTGATTGGTATGCCACTGGTGCAGCTTGGAGCTCGGCTCGGATACCCACTATTTGTCGCGGAGTAATGCAGAAACGCGGGCCGCCGCCAGCTCGTCGTATTTGGACAGGAATGAGCAAGGATTCGCCCATTTCGTGATTGCGTTGTGAGCGAGGTCGAATGAAGACGCAAGGTGCGTTGAGGTTGAGGTGTTGCAAGAAACAAGCAGCTGTTTATGTAAGGGAGGGGCGCCTGAAACAACACGTAAGCGATCTATGGAGTTCACATAGTCCACTCAACTGCCTACGAGTACAGCCTGATCGCTTTTATGGCTTATGGCACGACTCACCTGGAGGAACAATCCCCATGCCTCTGCTAGCCCTGTGCTTGTGTTGGTGCTGGGAACCTTACGATCGTCAAAAAGAGGTCTCTTCAAGCTTGACGGGACAGCCGATGGTACGGCGTCGAAGCAGCCAGATCCCTGGTTCTCAACACAAACCTTTTCCTCGTCGCCCTGTCAAGATCACTCCTTACATTGTCCCACGGCGAGCTCAATAGACAGTTTAGGCCGTACTATTGTGCCGTCAGTCAGACCCATGTCTGCTCTCAAGACCTGGACCTATCATTCCCCTGGTGGAAACATCCACCTTTGCAGTTTCCAACAGCGAGCTATATCAATGAGCCCCAGTCTCTCCCTGTTGTCTCTTACTGGTCCGCTTCTCTCCCTACATCATTCGCAGCGCCCCAAGCCCTGCAGCTCTTTTTAAGTTCCGTTTACGGAGTACTCCGTACGTACCGACTCTCTGGTGGAGTCATCCCTTCATAATCTGCGCTTATGCTCTGCAGTATCCGGCGCATCATCCGTGCATATCATGTACCTTTCTATTTCTTACCCTCTCAGACCACCACGGTCGTTTTCGAATTCTCGAGCGACCACCATGTTGTCTGTGTGTGCCGCCTGCAGGCGTGCTCTGTCAAATTCTTCCATATCTTCAGGAATCCTCCGAAATCGCGCAGTACCTTCCCGACTTCCCAAGTCAAAGGCCCAGCGTCGGTCACTTTCCCAATCCACCCCGAAATCTCGATATGCGACGGCCTTTGAAGCCGCCAGGGCTGAGGCCCGGCAGAAAAACATGACCGTGATGTGGGTGCCGCGAGAACAGGGAATCACTATCTCGATCTGACCATGTGCGCAGGTACTACGGACTGAGCGCAGGAATAGCTCTACTCGCCCTCTCATATGCCTCTGTTCCACTCTACAAAATGGTGAGCATTTGGCTGTTTTACACGACGAAAGCTCCTTACTCATGCTTCACTAGATATGCCAGCAGACCGGCTGGTCCGGTCAACCTGTGAAAACACATGATTCCAGCGGCGATCCTGCTGTACGCTTAAAACCCGTCGAGGACCACCGCCGTCTACGCATCACCTTCAACGGCTCCGTTTCGGATATCCTCCCTTGGAAGTTTACGCCGCAGCAACGAGAAGTCCGCGTGCTGCCAGGCGAGACGGCGTTAGCATTCTACACGGCCACGAACAAGAGCGATGCAGACATCATTGGGGTGGCTACCTACTCCGTAACGCCTGCGCAGGTGGCGCCATATTTCAGCAAAATCCAGTGTTTCTGCTTCGAGGAGCAGAGACTAAATGCCGGCGAGACGGTCGATATGCCCGTGTTCTTCTTCATCGATCCGGAGTTTGTGAAGGATCCGCAGATGAGGGGTATCGATACCATCACGCTCAGCTATACGTTCTTCAAGGCGAGGTACGACAAAAATGGAGTTTTGACTACGATACCCATGGGAATGGCGCCTATGTAGACCGAAGGAGGGGAAACAACAAGCGCGACGGACTTCAGCCACAGAGGTGAGCTCTCTGCTTGTCGAGACTCGTTATCAAAAATGACAAAGACCACTTACGGCAAACTCTGCTCTTCTTTCAACCACTCGATCAAATCATCGACGCCTCGATCCGGTGGGAAAACCGGGTACCACCACTTGACGACCTTCCCGTCTCGCAAGGCGATCATCGATCTCCTGAGGACTTTCCCTCCCTCCCATTCAAATGTCGGCAACTTCAACCCCCACTGAAAGTGCAAATTCTCGTCACTCAGAAGATCATACGGCAGATGTAAGCGTTCTCGCACTTCCGCCTGGTACGAGGGCGATTGCGTTGATATGCCGTAAATGTGCGACACACCCAGTGAGCGAAGATGAGGCAGATTGTCTCGGAAGGAACATGCTTGCGGGGTGCAGCCGCGAGCACCGGGGATGGCGTTCCAGGAATCCGGCACAATCTCATTGGGTGCGCCTAGGCGGTCGGTCAGTCAAGAGTCGTCGAGATTTGACTCTCCAGATGAGTGATGCTCAAAGTCAAAGGCAATGCTTCGGCAAATTCAGCTGCATAGGAGGGAGGATGGCAACCATACCTGTTCGTGGGTAGCAAAACAATACAGTCAAACCCTCCAGCTCGGCGAGTCCGACTTGCTGCTGTGGCTTGTGTGCGACAGGGAGGCTGATATCAGTTGGAACAGTGGAGTCGGTCAGATGGTCATACGCCCCGTCGTCCTTGGGCACGGGAAGGTCGCTTGGGAAAGTGGTATCTATGAAGGGACCAAGATGTCAGTACTGTACAAATCTGGCAGCGACCTTATCCGGCATAGAGGAGAACAAGGTCGGGACGAGAGGCACGGCCGTTGCGCATAATCACCAACGCAATGGTGCTACTCGTATTCCTTATACTGTGTAGCCAAATCGCACCATGTCATACATATATGTAATTAGCAAGGGCGGACATACGAGCCATGATTCCACCCTCCCCCTCGCTTGCACCCACACACTGTCTACTTTCGGAGACGGGCTCTCACTCGGCTCGGGTTTTGCAATGGTTGGAGTCGCTGTGAGACAGATCCTGACACTGTATCTAATGTCTGAACAGCACGTCAAACAAGGTGCGTAAGTCAGGTCCTGTAGGTATTGTAGGTAGGCGCCAGACACGAGGCCCTCGGAAAGCAGGGCAGGATCTGATCAGACGTGGATTGCGCGCACAGTGACTCACCTGAGAGGGAACTGTGCCCTAGATACTGTAATTGCTGTAGTCACTCTTCCGAGAATCGTCGAAGAAGCAGAGACACGCGGGAGGAAACGAATTGATTCGTCATGACTGGCGAATAATCGCACAGCGGGCGGGCATCGCCGTGGGGAGACAGGATGTACATGAGGTACTCCGTACTCCGTATGGTGTGGTGGACCTTGGATGTTTTCAAATGGACATTCCAAGGACAAGTTTGCATACTGTAGCAGCGTGGTAACGCTTTATGTTCACAAGTAAGTGCCTGTCTTATTTGGGTGCTATTCATTAGGTACCTTGGTCTTCAGGATCTGACTGATTAATTCACTGATCAATAGAGTCGGTAAGGACAATGGCCTTCTGTCCACCGAAACTGGTGTCCTGATCGCTTTGACCTGTGCCACTACGTTCTCCGTACATAGCTATGTAGCTGGGTACCTAGGTAGCCAGCTGTACCATCCTAAGTCGCATCAATTCGACTCACTGACTCCCAGTCTGCTCGTGTGTAATCTGGGTTTGAGATTAATCGCTTCAGCTTTATTTCTGTCGGCGAGGTCTCCTAGCACAATTTCCGTGTGTCTATTGCGCCATATCTCAGGATGTCGCATGAGCAAGTCTTGTTTCCGTCACCGTTCTTCTCACTTAGTGAGGACGTCGTAACACCAGATACTGGTAGCCATTCGCACGGTTTCATCTGAGACGAGCCACATTCATCACCATGATCTCGCCACAAGATCTGGTGCGCACCCGGCACGAAGTACCGTGTCATTTCGTCAAATGCCAACCAACTGTATCAACCGCCTCAAGATCCTCCAATACCGAGCACACCCAGAATCTTCTCAAAGTCCGGTGTGCCAAAACCACTTGCGGCATCCCATCCCTCGGCAGCACCAAACCCGGCTCCTTTGCAGCCGATGCTGCTGCCGTTGACGACATCTGTGAACGCTTGGAAGCCTTTTTGGTAGAGCCAGGGGTTCAGCCATCCCATGGGCGATTTGCCCTTGGCCACGAGCGCGTCGTTGACGAGAGAAAAAATGCTTGCAACGGTCGGCGCCGAACAGCTCGTACCGTCAACACTGTGAATGGTCCCATTCAGCCAGACGAGATACCTGTATCCCTGTGCTGCGAGGTCCGGGTACGCGCGGCCAGAAGCATTGAACAAGCCTTTGAACTTTGACCCGACGGTATCAAGGTATTCTTCCACCGCGGTGCTCTGCCACTGCGGTCGCGGGAAATAGTTGCTGAACCCTGAGCCAGAGGCAAATCCATTGCGAGAATCGTACGCCACGACCTCGGGGTAGTTCATAGTTCCACCGACGGTGGTGACGTACGGGCAGGAAGCGGGAAAGACTGGCATAAAGGCGGTCCGATTGGTGCCGTCATTTGTGATGCAGCTCGAGTTGTCGCCAACGCCAGCATCGCCCGAGCTGAAGAACAAGGAGATGCCCTGAGCGCCGAGAGCCGCAAACTGATTGCATACGGTTTTGGCGTAACTCCTCGGCACGGTCTGTTCATGGTCGCCATACGACGTAGAAATGACCTTTGGAATGGTAGTAATGTTTTGGTCCCGCAAAAAGAGGAGCCATGTGAGGTACGGTTCGTTCGTATTTGTCGGCGTGAATCTGTCCGGTTGATAAGGAGGCATACCGCCTGTAGAGTATAAAGTCACTGGAGTCGGATAGACAAGGCCGAGGATTGTTTCGAGGTCGAGGTTACCTTCGATGCCTGCACCAGCAGTGCCGTTGTCGACAGCTCCGCCGTTCACAGATATTTGAGTAATAGCATTGGCCGAGTCGACCGCATCCGGCCGGAAGTTCTGCAAGAAAACTCGGGCGTCAGATCGATTGGACACCTGGCCAAGGAAATTGTTGAAGGCAATCGAATTATTGTGCGGAGCTTGGGGTTTGTAGTTGATGGTGTTGTAGAGCGTGCGCAAGCACTTCGTGGTCATGCCCCCGAAATTGCAGGCACCTCTGATGGTGGTCGTATTGGCAGCGTCAGCGGCTGCAGTGGTTTTGATCGAGGCGATATCCAATGGGACATCGATGACTGTGTTTCCCTTCGGGCTGGCGCGGAGGAAGGCGGTGGTGGGTTGGATTGTGGTAATATGATCATGGAGTGGTTGTGGTAGAGACCAACTCGTGGTACGGACGAGTCTGGTGCCGTCTTCATGTTGATAGACAGAATACTTAGTGTCGAGAAGCTGTTCGACTTTTGCAACAGGAAGAGTGACAGTTATCCAGTCCCTGGCGGAGCTGATTTCACAGCGAGACGTGTCAATATTATTGCTGGTGAGCCACTCTTGAACGAGATCCAGGGTTTCGTCCGCGGGTTTCAAAAGATCTTGGACTTCTTGCTGGGATAAATGTTGGCCATAACGATGGTGTAATGGGTCGGAGACTAAACTGGTTAGGCAGGTCTGAACGAAACCCTCTCTTCAGATGGGTACGGACTGAAGCTCACCTTGATGGAGGTGCGCTTCAAGCGAGCCGAAATTGCTCGGTTCGAGGCCGATGTTAAGAGTCAAGAGATGCAGTGGGTGAGGGTCGCCAATATTCGACCATCGTTGGGGAACATTATTAGATTCCTTGATGTCGTAATCGACGCGGGCATGTAGTGGTGAAGCGGAGACTGAAAGTGCGACAGCCACAACGCTTAGAACGAGAGACAGGAGGTACATAACGAGTGGCAGGAAGACGGAAAGCGAAAGAATGAAGATATGGAAGAGAGCGACGAAAAGGTCAAGAATCAAAGGTTGTAAGTGGCAAGCAAGTCGGAAGTGGTCAAGCTACAATGAACCCAGATCGACGGTTGCTCCGTCCACATTACATAGTTGCAAGCTGAGCTTGGTTAGTGACATCGCTCTGAAGAGACTCTCAGGGCAGCCTCAGTTAAAACGTAGGCATCGAACTCGCGTGGGCATTTGACAGTACTCCATACAACTTCGTCGAATTTCACTATTGCTGGTCGATCCGTTCCCAATCACTTTGACAATTTTCTAGAACAAGAGCAGCCTGACAGCGGATGCATGCAATCGGATGACTTGATGTCGTGCAGCAACTGCATGTCCTGATTCTTGATTGGCTTCAGCTCCGCCTTCATCTCCGACATTTGTTACAGAGACGAACCACTGGATGCGATTTGATGGGGCCCCGATATTTGCACGGCATTTGTGGCTCGGTACTGGGTGCTTGTCATCAACATGTAACGTGATCTTCAAGGCGAGCACAATGTTACCTCGTAGCAGGTTACATAGCTTGCTGGACTTGAAACCCGGGGGACAGCAGCTCTGGTCTGACAGCGGAGCCACGTGATACAGCTTTATTCATGTCAGACACCAGTGACGCTCTGCAGTCTAAACTTCTTCACCGATCTTGAGGGGAAGCGGGTGATGTTGTCTCGGAGTTACGAGCGCAAGCAAATCCAGGCTGTGGAGTTCTCCTGAGTGAATCTGGTGAGGAGAACTTGTCGACGCTTTTTGCTTCTTTCGCAATGTGCTCAACTACGATCCTGCCATGCGTGGATCCACGGATGCATGCCATTCACAGTACTGGAAAGGTACCGTGGGCATTACTCCAGCCATCGGCTATGTTCCTTCTTCACTAATCTACGTGAGACCTTATGGCCCAAGGTGAATGATGTTCCAGTCACGGAGGTTCACTGCCTCCGGAGAAGGTGAGTCTTGGTCACAACAGCTTCCCGTCGCTCCGACTGCAAATGGAACTTCATCGTGGATGTTTTGTCTTCGATGACAGGTCATCTCCATTCTTTTAGCTGTCCGCATTACTCCACATGGCAGCCCCTGTAACGCACGGTACCCTGTCATACGAGCAACAGGAAGTGGTTGTCTTCGCTGAAAGAGAGAGACGTGCAAATACTCGACCCTCGTGGAGCTACCTGGCCAAGTCGGCCCTCCCAGAAGTGTACCGCCAAGCACAGCGACTCTTGCAAGAGCAATACCGGCACGAGGCGAAGGCAGAGGAGAGGACTACGATAAACGAGAAATGGGCAGTTGTCGAAGCCCAAATCCGCGAAACGATGATCGAGGAGATGGCGACCCTAGATGCATTAGGAGAACACGTCCGATGCTGGACCGTCTGTGACCCAGCCGCCATTGAAAAATCCCTCGAAGACGCCACCACAGAACAGGAACGTCTCGATGTCGTACTAGGGTCACGCATCCAACTGCTCCTCAAGGGCACCCAAGGCACGTTTTCCATGTCGAAACAGATGGAGATTTCTGACGCTCACTTGCAGACAAGGCAGCTCGATGTTCGGACGATTCGGGGTACGACACGGATGAAAGTGTGACCTTCATATTGGAGCCACCAGAAAACACCGGAAGAAGCAAGAGTGCGCGCAAGAGACGACGTAAGAAAGAGAACCGAAGATCACATGATGCAAACCAAACCAATCAAGAAGAACAGGGACTTGCGGGAGCTGGCGCGAAGACATGCAACCGCTAGACTCGGGCGTTTAGCGAAGCCAGAATCGATCTGAGCTCGAGGGATACACATGCTCGAGGGATACACATGCTCGAGGGATACACATGCTCGGGGGATACACATGCTCGAGTGAGCTCTAAGTGCGTCATGGTGGTAAAGTTATGTCCGGGCACCACAGGAGTGTGACCCTCCTCAATTAGCTGCGAGTGAGAGAACACGTCCACAAGGATCCTGACCATGTTCAGGGAACGCTAGACTTCGAGCAGACTCTGGCAAGGAATTTAGTAAGTACTGTGTACTCCGTATACATAGTGCCTTCGCCCTAGAAAATGAGCCGAGGTCCTGTCAAGAAGCACATGCCAACATCAACACGTTCACGCTTCATCGCTGTCTAAGGTTCCATGTTCCACTGCAGTGATCGTACAGGATTACATCCGACCAAGAATTAGTCGTGATATCTTTCTTGGAGATACTTCTGTGCCACACCAGCTGGCGGAAATGAGGATGTCTATTGGAAGACGCGCACGACGCGTCGACCTCACCCCTGTCACACCAGTGCTGCGCGCTTACGGACTGGCATACCTCTTCACCACGGCACCAAGAATCTTCGCTTTCCTCAGGAGGGTCCGACGTTCACATCTGAAGCTGGAAGAGCAGCTAGTGGTACTCCGCAACGTTCTCTTCACATCTCTGCAGCTGAACCGCTTTCCCACAGCAGCGGCTGTGTTGATAGGCGGTGCAACCACGTTTCCGCGCCTCGTCTCTGCGATCCTTCGATGGACGATATCAATTTTCACACGGCAAAAGCCTTTACATCTCGACAAGAACGTCTATCTCTGTCTTCGGGCTGCTTGTTCTTTCCTATCTGCCTGGCTTGCTTTCGGCCTCCTCAACCGTGATGAGGATTGGACCCGAAAGCGGGCTGAGTCCCGTGCAGCTGCTGTGGTCGACGACAGCACTGTCTACGTTCCAAAACGACAAGACTTGCTGTCGCCGTCGCACAGTCCCTCATACGCCGGCAAAACCATTGATTTCACCTCATTTGCTTTCTGCCGAGCTCTGGACGTCGTCATCATAAGTGCTTGGAGCCGGACTCGAACCAGATCCTGGCATCCGGAACGGCGAACTCCACGGCTAGCCAGTTTCCTGCGCGAGACCGCCGATCCCTCGATTTTCGCAATGTCTGCAGCAGTCATCATGTGGTCGTGGTTCTATGCGCCGGAGCGACTTCCGCGAGAATACAACCACTGGGTGTCCAAAGCAGCCGACATCGATCCTCGCCTCATCCAAGCCCTGAGGTTGGCGCGACAAGGAAACTTCGTGTATGGGGAGGACACAGGCCAAGCACCTCTCCTAGCGAGTCTGTGTCGAGAACTGGGTCTGCCTGAAGATTACGGTGATCCTGCTAAAACCAACCCGATACCTTGTGAATTGTATCATTGTGGAAGCGGCAAAAGCTGTGAGTTCCACGCGCTCTCCCGATTCTGGAGGAGTTGGGAATTCGCCATGGAAATCTACGTACCTCTGCAAGTGTTGGCACTCCTTCGTGCGCCGAGCTCGGAATCTATTCTGGACGGTCTTCGAAATGCAGCAATCTCGTCATCATTTCTGGCGACTTTTGTGGCCTCGTTTTACTATGCGGTGTGCTTGGCCAGGACTCGGCTTGGACCAAAGATTGTGCCGTACAAGACGATCACGCCGCAAATGTGGGACTCTGGCCTATGCGTATTGGCCGGCTGCCTTGCGTGCGGTTGGTCTATCTTCCTGGAGAAACCGAAAAGGCGACAGGAGATCGCCTTCTTTGTAGCACCGCGAGCTCTGGCGACACTGATACCCCGTGTCTACGATAAAAGGTATCAGAGGAGAGAACAAGTTGTTTTTGCCGCAAGTATTGCAGTCGTGCTCACTACCCTCAAGTCGAACCAGAACCGGAACGTTCGAGGAGTGCTGGGGAGATTGCTGTGTGGGATCTTGAATGATTAATGCATTGCGCATCTACCAGGGTGTGCGAACGTGGCAGAATCCCGTTGGCGGCCTACATGCGCCTACTGATGGATGCACCACTGAACGTACCGGCGGAGAGGCGGGAGGAGGAATTATCAAGGTAGTGGCTTACACATCTAGACACCTCCAGGTCAGTAAGACGATCTTATCATCTCAGGAAATTGACGCTTCAATGTTGGCTCGCAGCATACAAATCTCAGTCCCAGTAGTTGCCGTGATACGGTGGGCAGAAACACTGGCGTCTGAGGAGAGTCACAACGTTCTACGTGCCCGCAGTCAGGTCGTCGATATCAGGTCCGTGTAGGCCGCGCCGCTGCGATGCTGCCAGGAACCGAACCGGTCGAGCAGCAAAGCCGCTCTTTTCCTCGAGCACACGCCGAAACTTGTCACTCTCGAGTAAGAGCTCTGTCTCTTGATAAAGACCCAAGCAATGGCCAGGAAGTTCCTTCGTTTTGTGATTGGCTGGCGGTTGAACGCGTTCACAGCCAGTCAGGAGCCACCTGTAAAGCATTGTCTGGAATCTGGACCGAGGAGCGGAGTATTAGGCGACTTCAGCCGCTTTCCTGGCCAGCCTCACCTGCGCTTGCCAGCTCATCCAAGACAACCCCTCTCTTGAAATCGGCCGATACAGAGTCTCTCTTCGTGACGGCGCCGGCATTGTTCTTCAGCTGCATCATAGTTGAAAGGATGTGGGCAACAACTGGATTCCTCACCCAGGCGTAAGAACGCTTTGGTCCGGCTCTGATACCTATCAAGAACGTTCGTGACGACTGTGCCCACCCTCAGCCTTTCGAGCCGAGTCAATTGACAAGCACTTGTCAGTGTCCACTTGGACATGGACCCTCTCAGCTTGACTGCGAGCGTGGTTGCTATCGTCCAAATCACAGGGGAATGCATGAAGCTCGCCAAGATTGGTCCGTCAAAATATCATCTTGCAAGGCTGAAGCAGATTAACACAGACTTATATGGATTCTATGGCACTATCAACAACTTACAACTGCATTTGAAGATCTGCGAAGAAGACCAAGCCAGACTCAGCGCCCTTGATCATCTTCAGGAGCCGTTGTCGCGGTGCTTGGAAGCCCTGAAACTGCTCAAGACTCGATTTGAACACGATGGCGTCTTCACGCAATATGTCATGGGATTACGGTTTGACAAGAAGCTCGAGGACTGTCTGCGGGTCATCGCTGACGCAAAATCACTCTTGGAGCTGGCTCTACTGTGTGATCAAAGGTTCGCCACAAGCGCCGTTGCTGAGAATGTCATGCTAACAAGATACAGAGTAATAATCAACGCTGTGGAGACATATGTCCGCAACACCGCCGAAGAGACTCGAAATATTCAGAATGCGATTGCAAGTACAGAACGAGTTCTTGCAGGAATCCAATCGCAGGTGAAACAGTCGTCCGAACTGACCATGACTCTCAGGGAAGCGCAAAGTCAGGGTCTGGCAAAAGTCCATGGCGCTGTTGGAAATTTGACCTTGGAGATAAAAGCACAAGAGACGAAAGCACTTCTGCAGAAACAAGGTATGGCTCTCCCGGTCCAAGTTTGCCCATGTAATGGTGCTGACCTGTTGAACAGTTGCACGCCGTTCTGCCGCCCTTGGTTGGCTTTCGAGCATGGATATTCGCTCTAATTACCTCGATGTTCTTCGGGCAAGGGAACCTGGCACCGGGAAATGGCTCATAAGTCATCCTCTGTTCCAGTTTTTGATAAATGGAGAGCTCCAGGCTCTGTGGCTGCATGGGATGCGTAAGCGTGTCCTTGTTGTTAAGATGTCCCGAACCCAGACGGACGTATGTGCTGACTTTGACAGCGGGAGCTGGCAAAACCTTCTTGTCGTAAGCTCGCATAGTCTCATGGTTGCGCTGCTCGTTGATTTACTGAAAGCTCTTCGGCAGGGCAGCCGCGATTGATCATTTGGAGCGATCATCCACTTCCACCATTGCTTACTTTTTCTTCGACTTCAAAGACTCCGAGAAACAGCTTACAGAGGCAATGATTAGGTCGGTTGCAGCTCAGCTGGAGAATGAAGCGTCACCGCACTGTCTCTCTCCGGAGCTGGAATGCTTGTATTCGAAATGTTGTGGATCTGGCAAAAACCGCGAGCCGACACTGGACGAAGCCGTCAACCTTCTCATATCCTATTCGGTTGGGGAATCCAGCACATATCTCGTCTTAGATGCACTGGATGAATGCAGGGACAGGGTTAACCTGATATCTGTGTTGCGGAAATTGAGGGAAATCGCCCCTAACATCAAATTATTCGTTACCAGCAGACGAGAGACTGACCTTGTAGATGGTCTAACAGAAGACCGGTTTCAGGGGTCGCCTATCGAGGGGGATGCTCTAATGGACAATATACGACTCTACATCAGGTCTACCTTGGCTAATGATCGACTGCTCCAAAAACTGCCTGAAGACCTCAAAGACCATATCCAGCGTACCCTCGTGGAAGGGTCGCAGTCCATGCAAGTCTGGTTCCTTGCATCTTCCTGTGTGTGACTAACTGAGGTCAGGTTCCGCTGGGTCAGGTGCCAGATCGACGTGATTCGGTCTTTGAAACGGCCTAAAGCCATCAAAGAGGCCCTAAGGAAACTGCCTAAGACGTTGGATGAAACCTATGAGAGGATCCTCCTTCAGCTCAGTGAGACAGGCTCAGAGGACAGTACCGACTTGCTCCGAAAGATATTCATCTTCCTTGCTTTTGGCAAACGCCCAATGACCTTGCCAGAGCTTGCCCAGGCAATCATCATTGACGTCGGTGGCCGCGAATTCGACGATGACAACGCATTCCACAATCCCGAGGACCTCCTGACACTATGTCAACCCTTAGTCGCCCTGTCCTCAACGACCGGCTACCTAGGCTTTGTTCACTATTCCGTTCAAGAGTTTCTGCTCTCGGACAGGTTAGCGAAAGCAGGAAGCGAGATCAGCATGTATGCGCTTGATCCCAAGACCTCGCATACAGAAATTGCTCGGATCTGTCTCAGCTTCTTGAATTATGACGACTTTGCCTCTGGTCCCTGCACCTCATATGAGGACTTCCAAAGTCGAACGGCAAAATTTCCGTTCTTGGCGTATGCTGCCTCCGAATGGCCAGATCACGCCACGGAACAAGATGTCGAAACAGAATTGACCAGCTCAATTTCACAACTTCTGATCCCGCAGAAGAATCCCAAGCTTGCCTCAATGTTCCAGAACTCATGGGAATTTGGTGAAGCTAGAGGGGATGATGTAACGCTTTTTTGCACGTACCTAGCGGAAGATGGGACGGAAAGGATGTACGAAAGTAGCTATATGGTGAACAGTCTGACGTTTGCAGCGGTTGTGGGTTTGGACAGCGTCTTGGCAAGAATAGATGAAAGTGGAGCTGACATCAACCTCCCAGGAGGACATGCCGGCAATGCGCTTCAGTGCGCCGCTTGTTATGGCCGCCTTACCACGGCAAAAATCCTCCTAGATCTTGGAGCGGATGCCAGCTTTGACAAGGGCGACTATGGTCGGGGTACCCCTTTGAAGATAGCTATAATTTCGGGCCAACGACAGATGATCGACTTCTTCCTGGATTGGGGAGTGGATGTGAATGTAGGCGGTGAGGAGTACCACAAGCTGCTCAAGGTTGCTGCGGGTGAGAACGACGTACCAACCATGCAACGCTTGATCGAAGCCGGTGCTGATATCCATCATGGGGAAGACCAAGACGCGCCTTGGAAGGATCCCTACGACGGTGTCACGGCTCTTGAAACAGCTGTGTCTCGCGGAAACATTGAAGCAGCATTATTTCTTATCGAACAGGGAGCTTCACTTGGTGATTTCTCTATTACTGCTATGGCGGATTGCCTGTGCAACGTGTGGCGCGGGGAGGGTATGCCAATAAAGAGAGTTGAGACTCTTATGAAGGGTCTAGCCGCTCTTGGCCATCATGTCGAGGTTGATGATGAGGTTGAGGAGGGCAAGGTGGAGGAAGCGGAGGAGGCATTCTGCTATGAAAAGGCAGGTTTAAATCAGCGATCTCGACCAGTGAAGTTCCGGCTGAAAATTGACCGGGCTTCCAGCGACATGGATCGTTGCGGAGCTTGACAAGCAATTACGAAAAGATATTGATCTGAAAGTAGGTGCTCGGGTACTTTGCACTGTATAAAACAGCACAGGCCATGATCCTGCTTCGGGTGTAACATGGATATCTCAACATGATAATCCCTTTGCTTGAGGGGTGCGCGATATGGCAGAAGTTGCAAGACATTTGTACTAACTATGATAGACTCGTCATCCAGCCGCGAGGGAAGCTCGGGCTGTCCTTGACACCATAGGAGTGAATACACACTGTGTGCCTGGTACCTAGGTAGTCTTGACAGTATCGAGTACACTTTTCCCTCGCATCCGCCCTTTGATCCGCCGCATCAGCCAGACACTCTGCTACTCTGGACCACAGGTGCAAATCCCGTCGTGTGCGCTCGTACCCCGTATGACTTCCTGTTTCGGGCCCAAGGATTTCCGCGATCGGAGAAGACACGTCGACTTCGAAGCAACTCTTCGGGACCCAGCATTTCAGTGTCACTACGGAGTACCTCGTACTCCTATACAAGCCCAATCTGCTACAGCAGAACTGCATTGCTCATACTAAAAATCCACCATATCTCATTAGGAACAGGATCTCTGTTGGCACACAGAATCACCATGGCTGCGACCGATGACTCCCTCGAAACGTACACACACCTACCCCTTCATATCGACCCGCAGACGAAACAAATCTCGATTCTTTCCTCGAACAAGGACCTACAACAGGCTGTCGCCAACATAAACAGTCTGCATAACTCATTCAAGTCTCTCGAGACTCCCAATAACATCCCCCCACCCCCTCTTCCTGTCAACCCGAAACGGTCCGGCCAAATCCAGAAACTGCGCGAATCGGCCGTGGCCTCTGCCCGTAAAGGCCAGCATCAAGACGCGATCCGACTCCTGGGCGTCGGCATAGACATGGCCGCTGCACGACCCGGCTGGGAACCTATGGGCTTGGCAAGAGAGGAGCTGGCTCTCATGTACCTCTCGCGGGCGGGCGCACATGTCGATATCCAGAACTGGCCCGAGGCTCTGACCGACGCGATGTGCAGCATCGAGTGCAAGCGAGGACCGGGCCAGGGTCCAAACGGAGAGAAAGTGCCCGGGAATGCAAAAGCATATATCGTGGGAGGAAGATGTTTGATGGAAATGGGTCGCTGGCAAGATGCTGTGGAGTGGCTCGAGAAGGCTATTGATATCGAAGGCAAAGATGGTGACGATGGTCGCGAACTCGTGCGGCGGTTGATGGAGGCAAAAAAACGGACTGAACCAAAAGACTGAGACGATGGACGACCTACTGGCACCAAAAAAAGTGCCGTGACAGGTTCATCTTCAGGTTGCGGCTCCTCGGAAATGAAACAACATCCTCTTTGTTGGCACCAGGTTGCTGTCGACTTGCGAATCATAAGGGCTGACCAAGCAAATGGCTTTTAGGGGGTGGCTAACCCCCAAGACTGCACCATACTGGTGCCCCAGATCAGACTCCCGGACCTGATCTTGTACGCGTAAAGAGTATCATCATTAGCTCCAGATTTCCGCAGCTCGACTTGACGAGGTCTCCCATCAGCCTACACGACTCACGTCCTACGTTGGAGAACCCATACATCAGCGCGTTATGACCTGGATCAACATAAAAGCTCTCTCTGGGCAGCTCCTCATTACCCAGATCCAAGCTGAACAGTGTCCATCTGCGAAGAAGCCATATACTGTGGAGAATAAGCTCGCCACGGGATGGAGGTGCCCGATCAGGAACGGTAGCTAAGCTCCGACAGCGACAGAAAGAAGGATCCAGCTCCGGAATCTTCCTCCTCAACATCTATTCATCGGATACACTGTGCTCGGCTGAAGAAGCAGCACAATGGTGGACTCCTTCAGAAGGCACCTGGAGTTGAATACCTGTCTGCTCCAATGACAAGAGAAACTCTCCACGGAGACCGATATTTTCGATAAGAGCTGCATGTCTCTGAAGATTGGGATGTCAACCTGTGAGGAGCTTGAACAAAGCGACAGCCGAGCACCTCATGGATTCTTGTGCGATTGCAGCTGGAGGCGGAGGCGTCCGGTCACCACCTCACCTACCTTTAGTATTGCTTCAGCGATGTTGTCAACATGAACCTCTTAAGAAGGGAAGTGGTGTGTCCTTTGAACACGCCGCACGGGGCAAGGGAAGCGTAGAATGTACAGACGAGAGCCTTCTTCGTACTTCGAGCCAGTGTTTGTACGTGCGGACAGAGGGCGAAAAGGCCTCAATCCGTCAAGTTGGAGATCCATTTCCCATGGTCCGTAGAAAGAAAACCTGCCAGAGAGCTATCGGCTCCTTTACGTAGCGCCATAATGACAGTCTTTGGTGGACATTTCCCTGATACTAAACTTGATCAGCATTTTCAGAATTTTGAAACTTTTACTGCTGTGGCCGTTTCGTATTCGTCCTCTGCCGTTAAGACGTGTAAAATGAACCGTTCACTTGCATGCTGGTCGCACTTGTAACCAATATCGACAAATTATCGCACGTCAATCCCCATTATCACCATACAGACGTCGACTGGAAATGCGCCTCGCTTTTCGAAGGCCGAGAGAAGCGCGCGATGATATCAGGATCTGACACGAAAGTTCATGGGTGGTGAAGAAAGGAGAGGCAGTTCCCTGAAAGTCGCCTTTTCGTCGGTCCAGCTCGTCGAGAGTACATTTACACCTCTGAAGCTGGCAGGAAGCCTTGGTGACCTAGGAGATCGAGGCACCTCTGGCACCACGGGATCTATGGTCGACTTCAAGGCCGTCTAGCTTAGTAGGTCTACTGTGATCTGCTGCTGCGCAGACCTGTCCTCGCGCAGAAGCCACTTTCACACCAGCAGCGCCACACGAACTGGAAGCGATCCAGCCCGACACTACTGCGAATTGTCATTCATATTCCAGGCGAACCAATTCCCAAAACGACAATGCCGAATACATATCACCACAAACAGTCCGTCAAATCCTCTGGAAGTGAGCATCTGGAAGCCACGCGCGAGAATGGTCCGGCAACACATCGTTACAATGAACTCGATCCTCCCCCAATCCGGAGTACCCGAGCCAGTGTTCGCGAGCACAGCACTGCGAGTCTCCTCGACCAGTATCGCGAACTGCTTCGACACCAAATGCGCCATGGGACCCTCGTGGCGTTGAGGGATGAATTGGCGCGGATGAAATTCTCGTCTGGTCGCACGGCGGTTGATCTCAGGACTAATATAACCCACGAACTCCCGACGCAGACGCAAACGCACCCGTTGCCACACCAGCTGGAGACACTGACCGTCTCGATCAACAGAGCCATCCAGGATCTAGAACTCGCTGTGGTACAAGCACACCGGGAAGCTAAAAGAGAAAAAGCCGTGCTGGAGCGTGCTAAGGCTTCGACGCTGGATATGAATCAACGGACCCCAGATTGCCGGCGACATGCTATCTCTGCAGTGCGCAGGGAGCTGACGACGTGGCTCGAGCAGAGCTTGGACAAGTGCCAGGAAAGTCACAATCACGTGGCAGTCGAGTTAGATGGAGGAGTTGAATCCGAAGACAACGATGTTGCAGAACCGTGGGAAGCGAAGATTGACGGGCAGTACGAGCGGTACTTGGAGGCCCGAAGACACCTGATCGATATCGTCGCTTGCTTGAGGACTCCCCTTCCAACTCCAACTCCGCCGCAAGAGCGCAAGGCCAAAGGTATCGTCAGCGTCAGCGCCACACAGGCTCTAGAGAAATCCACCGCGCAGCAAGTTCCTCACACTCTGGCCGCCGAGACCGGTGTAGGTGCAGAAAACGCGCTCGAAACCCGGCTTCTACCATCCATGCAACAGCATAATACGGCGCACGCACATCTCACGTCCCTAGATGAGCAGCTAGGGAAGGAAACCACCGCCACGATCAACATGCTCGACCGACTCGGCGAGGAGAGTCAGCTTCTGCAGGCGTTTCCCCTGCTGGCACATTCGGGGCGATTCGAACACGCTGCGTCTGCGTTTGGGAATGTTAAGAAACAAGACAGAGACACTTCGACTTCGGACACGGAAGGGCAGGATATGCAGGACACGATTTCGAAACGGCTGAAACCGTGGTTGTTTGCTGCTCAGGCCGCGGATGTGGCTTCAATGAGCAGCGTCGACGCCTATCTACAAAAAGGAGATCAAGCGGTGCATGCCGCCTCGAGGAGTCTGGATGCATTAAGGGTCGTAAGAGAGGCTGGCATATGACGAGACTGGATACATTAGGGGTCGTTAAAGCGGCTGCCGGCGTATGACGATGACGAGAGTGCTTGGTCAAAAACCACTCGGGTCTACCATTCATTGCTTTTCGTTCTGCGCGAAGAAAAAGTTGGCGCCCACCACAGTCAAGCCGTTCTCCTTGGCCCAGTCTCGCACACCGTGGCGAGGCTTGCCGTAGCCCCAATGCGGCCTTTCTGCAGGAGGGTTCAGGTTGGCTGTATCGCCTTCCAGCAACACAAACACGTATCGGTGGGCGCCTGTCTTCGGTGGCGGGCCAGGTGGGAGGTATTCCTCGATTTCGCCGGGTTTGGCTTTCAGAGGCTCCTGCAGGTCGTACGGCAGTTCGATCGGAGTCGTCAGGTTGGTAAGGATCCAGTGACACATTTCGGACATTTCTGGAACTGTGTCAATTCCTGCGTCGTTCAAGCAGAACTAGGGCAAAGAAAACTTGGAACGAGACTCATGTCTCGTTGACCAGACGACCTGCCTCGTCGACACAGCCTTGGGGGAAGGAGGACAACTTACTGGGGTTGTCGCGTGACTTTGCATCCGGGTCAGTAAGGATGAGCGTGAATGTGGACTTTTTGCGTTCTGTCCGAGTGGTGCAAGGGTCGGACTTTTTGGATCTTCGTCGAGTTGGATAGAATGAGTTGTCTATCGAATGGAAAGTGAAGACCGGCCTGCTCGAGACGGCATCGACCGGAAGGTCATTTCCGAGAAGGACCGTCTCATGGGACTTTGGGTAGTTGATGTCGAGATAGTAGGATGGCTCAAAGTCGTCGAGTACATCGTCAATAATGTCATGTTCCACTAGGACATCTCGGATGGTTGACTGAACAGAGTAATGCGCATAGGGCATTGGTCTCTCGAGAGCTTCATCAGGCAAAGAAAGAGGTCTCTGCTCCTCACCGACTGGGAGCGATGCCGCACTGTCAAGCAGTGCGAGGGCAATGCCGATGCTGGTCGTGAGCCGCATGTTGGTGGTGCAAGCCCGGTCGATACCTTCAGAGAACGATCACCTCAACGAATTGAGAACCTGGAAGCTTTGAGAGCTCTCTGGGCGGTATCTCCCCGTCGAGGCTGTGTCCATGTCGTAATAGCTCGACCCCGCGTCGTGTGCGCTTGAGTCCTGCATGGCGATGCTTCTGGATCGAGATAGCGGCCCTCACCCAGCACTGAGTGGGCAAGGCGGCTGCCAGGAACGACGTCAGGCAGAGGCATGTTGGCCAATGGTTAAACACGTCTGTCAGGCTGGCCTTGGCCGTGGTGTCTGCGGACTCTACTGTGGTAGACCTCGTCATTTGATTCCCATTTTGAGATTCGTGAGCTGTGCGTAACTCGTACTCCGGAGGTGCCTCGCTCGCATCTGCAACCCGCGTTCTGCCCCAAGTGCTACATTGCAGCACACTTACTCCGTACACCTCAACCATACAGTACTGTCAACATGTGCCTGCTCGTGGCGACCTAAGCTCCATTTTCACAGCAGGCTCGCTTTATCACTCAATCTATTCCTCAGGCATCCTGCAGTGACACCACTCCTGCCGTCCTCACATAGTCGCGACCAACCTCTTCTCAAGCTGCCAACTTTTCACCTTTGACACAGTTCTCCCTCTGGCTGGTTGCGACTATTCCTGTCGACAATGACCACCCTCGGCGATGACCTCCTGCGCACGGTCAACAAACTCCAGGACCTCGTCTTCAACACCATCGGCAATGATTCCCTCGATCTGCCCCAGATAGTCGTCGTCGGCTCGCAGTCTTCGGGAAAATCCTCCGTCCTCGAGAACATTGTAGGCAGGGACTTTCTTCCACGCGGCAGTGGCATCGTGACTCGCCGACCGCTGATACTCCAACTCATCAACATCCCTCCCGATGAGGACGAGACTACCAATGGCAACGGCGATGCCCATGCTCCTCATTCCTATCGAAGCGTTGAAGAGCATGGGGAATGGGCCGAGTTCCTTCACATCCCGGGTCGCAAATTCACCGACTTCAACCAGGTCCGAGCCGAGATCGAGAATGAGACGGCGAGAATAGCAGGAAACAACAAAGGCATCAACAGGCAGCCCATCAACCTCAAAATCTTCTCCCCTCACGTGCTCAACCTGACCTTGGTTGATCTGCCTGGCTTGACAAAGGTGCCTATTGGCGATCAACCCGCGGACATCGAGAAACAGACCAGAACCCTCATCTCCGAATACATCGCGAAACCGAACAGTATCATCTTGGCCGTCTCGCCTGCAAACGTCGATCTCGTGAATTCCGAAGCGCTCAAGCTTGCCCGTCATGTGGATCCCATGGGAAGAAGGACAATCGGAGTCCTCACAAAATTGGACTTGATGGATCATGGCACAAATGCGCTCGACATTCTGTCCGGTCGCGTCTATCCATTGAAGCTTGGATTCATCGGCGTGGTGAATCGGTCACAGCAAGACATCCAAACAAGCAAACCGATGTCTGAGGCTCTCAAATCCGAAGCGGAGTTTTTCAGGCATCATCCGGCATATCGGAACATGGCAACAAGATGCGGGACTCAATACTTGGCTAAAACCCTGAACACGACTCTCATGGCTCATATCCGTGACAGGCTGCCGGATATCAAGGCGCGGTTGAATACACTGATGGGACAGACCCAACAAGAGCTGGCAAGTTATGGCAGCAAGCAGTTCAGCGGCAAGGAGCACCGTGGCTCGCTGATCCTTCAACTGATGACCCGATTTGCGACATCCTTCATCTCGTCCATCGACGGTACATCCTCCGAGATCTCGACTAAAGAACTCTGTGGTGGCGCAAGGATATACTACATCTTCAACTCGGTGTTTGGCAACTCCCTCGAAACCATCGATCCTACCCACAATCTTTCCGTCCTTGACATCCGAACAGCCATAAGAAACTCTACCGGTCCGCGTCCCAGTCTTTTCGTCCCCGAACTTGCGTTCGATCTGCTGGTGAAGCCGCAGATCAAGCTTCTAGAAATCCCTAGCCAGCGATGCGTGGAGCTGGTCTATGAAGAGTTGATTAAGATATGTCATACATGCGGATCAACGGAACTGTCACGATTCCCACGACTACAGGCCAAGCTCATCGAAGTCGTGTCAGACTTGCTGAGAGAGCGACTCGGCCCGTGCTCAGGTTATGTCGAGTCTCTGATTGCCATTCAGCGCGCTTACATCAACACAAATCATCCCAACTTCCTCGGCGCGGCCGCGGCAATGTCGTCTGTCATCGCCAGCAAGAATGAAAAGGACAAGAAAGCAGCTCAGGAGCAAGAGAGGCGGAAACGAGAGCAGCAACGGAGAAAGCAACTGGGCGTCAACGGTGCGGCCACGCCAGACGAAGAGGAGGCCGAGCAGGAAGACAAGCCCACCACCTTACCGACCAGGAAACATCCGACTATCAGCAGAAGTATGTCGCCCGCTGTGGCCCGCGAACGAGAAAATGGCTCGGCCGGTGCAGCGAGAGATTCCTTCCTCAACTACTTCTTCGGCAAGGAGAACGGATTACCAGGTACAGCATTACCCGGAAGCCCAGCTATCGTCCCATCGTCTGCCTCAGTGGCACACAGACACGTCAGCCACAGCACGGACCCGAGCTTTTCGCAGAGCATACGGCGGATGGATCGTGGCAGTTTTACAGATCGGTCGCCTGTCTACCCGCCAGCCATGAACGATGACTATGCGCCTGCCTCAGAGTATGGTGATGCGACGGCGTTATTTGTAAGTGTATTCTGAGTTGTCATTGGCCTCGCTGACCGTGCCACTTTCCAGCCTGAGCAGTCCGCCGAGCCTGCATTGACAGAGCGCGAAGCCCTGGAGACAGAACTCATCCGCCGGCTCATCTCGTCTTACTTCAACATCGTCCGCGAGACCATCGCCGATCAAGTCCCGAAAGCCATTATGCACTTACTCGTCAACCATAGCAGGGATGAGGTGCAGAACCGTCTTGTCAGCGAGCTATACAAAGAAGACCTGTTTGGCGAACTGCTGTACGAGGATGACGGAATCAAGAAGGAGCGGGAAAAGTGCGAGAAGTTGTTGAGTACGTACAAGGAGGCTGCCAAGATCGTGGGCGAGGTGTTGTAGGGACGCTCTGTGGTTTCGGAGGTTGTGGGTGCGTGGTGCGCAACTGGTTGTTGTTGCTGGCGGACCCTCGTTGCACAAAGGAGAGTCTCTTCTCGCTTCTCAATGTCATAGAACCCCGACATGATCGTACAGTATGATGGCATGTATGTATCTACCACCACCGTTGGCTTATATTGCGAACCCTGGCGTCTCCATCCGCCACCAGAGAAAGGGGAAGGTGGAGTGGTCTGTAAGATTGTATCACTGCCACTTGTCATGATTATGTTTTGTCTAAAGGAGATGGATCGTGGTCTATAAAGTTGGATCACTCCCGCTTGTCATGAATACCATGTGTTGTTCAGAAGAAAATCGAGAGTGTCTGGAAATGACGCCTAGACAGGGCTTTATATGTACTGTATCACAAACCCTGCGCAAGAGACCACGAGTCTAGGTAGATAGCAATGCATAGTACCTGATATCCACGCCACAACAATGAGGGTTTCGAAGCCACATTAAGTAGTATGTACAGTGTCAGTCTGTTCCGGAGGGTATATTCTGGAGTAGTCCCGATTTGTCCCGTTTCGTCCCGCCGCTCAAGCGGTTCCAGAACATACCGTACCGGGTATACTTTATTTACGTCCGTACGAGCGTGCTCCAGCCTGCTTGTAGGGTCCTGTAGTGTGCACAGTAAAGGTCTACTTCTGCGCTGGTAGAGCACCGACGTCTCAACTGGTGACTGGGCCTTGGTTTCGAGGAGAACATTGTGTAGTTCCCCGTCCCCGTCTTTGAAGACATCGTAGCAAGTGGGGAGGAATTCGAGGGTATCACAACCGTGCTGGAAAATCCTTGAAGCAATCAAGCTTGAACCTGGACTCGATGGTGGAGCGGTTGCATTGGCGGCACATTTCAACCACGCCTCTCCTTCGGTGCGTGGGCTTGCCCAAACGCAGGACGAAATAGGGTTCTCGTTCTCGTCCGTTGGTTCGTTGATCGGTCGGTCCGCACGCACGTCAGGGAGAAGAAGTGGCGCGTGACGTTGATCCTGGCTCTGACCGCCGACGCCGACGCTGACGGGGAAGATCCAAGAAGGGGGGGGGGGGCGTTCTGTGGTGACCATGCTATTCGACGCGATGCGGCGGCCGCGCAGATAAGCAGGCAGGCAGGCGGGTAGTTACGTCCCTTTTCGTCCGCTTTCCTTCCTTTCTTCCTCCCAACCAACCAACTGCGAGATCAAGAGTGACGAGCAGATTGGACCCTTCATTTCATAAGGTAGGCGGCAGAGAAGGCCGACGGAGCTGGTAGAGACGACAAGAACACCGTGACGATGACGGGGAAAGTCGCGTCCGCAGTCGTACTCGGAGTCTCTGCAGTCGGCACTGCGGGTGGCGGTATAGACCCATCGACTGGAGATGGACAACCGGGACGAGGACTTCGACCGCCACTGACGGTAGGAGCAGCTGAGCCTACTGGGCTCGGGTATATTGAAAACGGGAACGATGTTGATACCGATTGAGACTCTGACTCGATATTCGGAGGGGGCTCTGGGAAGGGTGCCGGTGCGGGTAATGTCGATATCGCGGTCGTGGGAGGAAAGGTCGTTATGCCCGCCAACGCAGGTGGCGGCGCTAGTGGCGAAGAAGACGACTGCGGAGAAGGGATCATCGTGTCTGTTATGAGAACTCCGGGGGTTGAGGATGCCAGTATCGATGTCGTTGGCGTCTGTATCTGTGTCTGTGTCTGTGTCTGTGTCTGCGCCTGTCGTTGTTCGATTCCCACGGCGGTAGACCTGGACCGATCGCTAATCAGTGATAAGTGAGACGTACGATGGGAATAGAACGGCAAAGGGTAGGTTGTTGACGGGACGTAGCACCGGTACGAGTCCACATACTGGTCGTGCCCCATATCTCCCGATCAAGCATGGGACATAGTCTCGACGTCTACGTGCGATGTGTATGTGATTGATGTGATGTGATAGCCCTCACCTGAAAGGTTGCAATAGTCGCTTGCCATGTGTTCCATCACCCGGCACCAAACTCGTGTCCATGCCTGGTCCTGGAGGCACGGCGGTTCTGGTCTCCGCCACCGACAACGGCGATCCATGTCGTATTGTAATCTTTGGGAGTATCGGCAATGACAACGGCAGTGATGACAGTACGGGAAAGGCTGATGTTCGTGCTGTTTGCAACAGGAGCGTCACGCTCACGACCAACACAGCTCGTAAAGCTCTCGTCCTCAGGATCATGGCGGGGGCCGTGTCGTTGATGTTCTGCTCGGTTCGGTGTCGAGGGGAAGACAGAATGGCAGCAATCGAATGAGCGCGTCCGATACATAACGGAGGCCACGAAGATATATATCAATCACATAAGGGAGGGGACAGGTACTGTACCACATCCTTTACTCCCCTTGCATTGCTCGTCAAGATGTTTCCAACTCACTGTACCATGCGGGGGGTACTCGTGGTGCTACATCGACGTCACCGACAAGGAGGGCGTTAAAAGGCCAAGCGCGCACGGCCAGTGGTCACGATTGTGACACGCCGTTCATCCTACCTACCTGCCAGACGGAACAGGTACAAGGCCAAAGGAGGTCCTCCGTAAGGCTGGATTGGGCCCGTGGAACCATGCCAGCCATGACGATGGTGTGGACAAATGTAGTGGCCGAGGGCAGTTCACATCACGTCACCATCACACCCTTCCGCAGGAACCCTCGCGGATGGTGCGCGCTTGGGTGGTCGACAACGAAGGTCATGCACCGAACGATGATATGCATCGGCATGCCAACGTCTGACGGTGATCTCGACGACGTGATGAACATTGAGTTTGGTGGGGGGATGATTGGTGGGTGGTCGAGTCTTTGGCATGCTTGAAACAATGTCGAAACATCCAGGATCCAGGGGGTATGGGGCATGGGGGTACACGAGGGGCACCACCGTAGGGTGTTTAGGTGGGGATCGTACACCGTATGTGGGGATCCATTCAGTCAGCAGAGTACGACTTACCTCCCGCGTCGTGTCCGTCCGTGTTCCGAGTCCCTACTGTGTTCTCAGTGTTAGATGTAGAACAGAACAACCAAACACGCTCTGGGAGGTGAGATGCAAAAATGTACTGGGTGTCAGCGTGTGTACTATTGCTTCGTAAGGAGCATCCCCCTACAAGTACACAGGTACATGTTCGTCAGGAGCATCGAGCCTGCGGCCGTCTGACAACCACTGCCATCTCCAGGAGACAGCTATCAGGACCTTCTGAGTTTCGTGATACCAGCGCTCCTTCAATAGTAACTTGTGGCCTTGTCACCATAATCTCGATGAGTCCCAGGAAACGCGCCTACAGGTTCCTTCGCCATATCTGCCTCGTCATCCGAACTGTTTGCAGCAGCGGCAAGGTCATCCTCATCCGGAGGAGCCCTCATGGACGCCAACTCGTCCTCGTCCAACAATGCCGGCTTCCACCTCTCATCGATCGGCATATTCATCCCGCTCGGCAGGGTCGCCAGCAAGGGCTTCCACTCAGGTACCAACTGGTTGCTGATGGTGTCGTTCTCCTTGTTGAACTTCTTGGCCAGGTGTTCCACGATGCGGGCCTCTTCAAGCTTTCCACCGTCCAGGCCCCAATTCGTGCTGCCCTTCTCAATGCGCTTGTCTTCCCTCCGCTCGAGCCATGAATTCTTCAGCTTCCCAAGACCAGATGACTTGGGCCCTTCCTTGCCCACGTCAAGGCCAAGCTCGTCCATAGCTGCCCGGATCCAGGCGATCGCTTTTCCTATCTGTCCGGCCCCGTCTTCATCTAATGCCTGAAATCGGCATGCTTTTGCCCGGGACGATCGTTGGATGCCGTCACAGTACTCTAGCAGATCCTTGGACACTCGCGTGCTTTCCATCTTGAGCGCTGCCAGCGCGGCTGACGCGTGCGAGGATGCTCCAATGCATAGTCGTGTCAGCACTTGAGCACGTACCTTGGGTATTTGCGGCGCTCGGATCATCCACTCCTTGTCGTCTTTGTTCCTGGACTGGATCAGGAGTGCTGGGTATGGGTCATCCTTCAGCACGCATAAGAGATTGAACTCTGCGTGCGTCAAGTGCTGGAGACCAGACTGTACGGCGGTGGACACGTCAACTGCTGCTGCAGGGAACGAAGGAGGTCCATCCGTCGATGAGTTGGCTCTTAGCAGTAAATACGAGTGCAGAGAGTAGGCTATTTTCAAGAATTTGGTCGCGTTCTGAACCAATGCTGTCCGTTCTTCAGGGATCGGATTGACTGCGGCGTACAGGCCCAATAAAGACTGCCTGGCCAGTAGATTTTGGATCAGCGCCAGGGTGTGGTGAATGAAGAAAATCTCATAGTCAAGGCCTTTGCCCTTGACGCGTTCATTGTCACGACCAGGAATCGTGGTGGAGCTGAGCGTGGGACGCCATTGGATCTCGGGTTCTTTCGCGAGGGCAATATCAACGTCCTCTCCAGCCACCGCCTTACCAGATAGTGCGAGATCTAAGCTGATGAGGTAGCGTAGGTAGGTTTGGATCGTGGATGAAAGTGACAGCAGATTATTTGCCTGCTGGGAAGGGGATAATCTCTTGTGGGCCTTCAACGCCGCCCGGACAATGGCGCGCTGGGATGTAGCCGCTGAGGGGAGGGATGGATGGGTGGATGAGGTAAGGCTGGCTTGGAATGAGATATGGGATGTTGTGGAAAGCACAAACGGAAACGGCATTCTTCTGTTTTGCTCTCTTATCAGGGATGATTTCCTCGACAACGAATGCCAGGGCCAGTCTCAGGGCCACGTTTTCGAGAGTGAAGCTGGTTGTTCTTGTCCTTGGTTCCAAGGCTTGGTGGCGGTTAATCGACTTGTGCTTCTTCGTACAAACGCTACGGAGGAGCCGGACGCTGCCCGCGCAAATGTGGCTGCCCAGCCACGTGATTTTCCTAACTCCGAACTGGAGTTCGATCTCATGTTCCTCACATCTCCTCCGCAATCACCCGGGATATCCTATATACGTCGATACCTTGGTCGCTTTCAGCATACGTTTCCTGCGGACAGCAAGGCCCGGGAAGGAGTCTTATCTTGATCTCCTCTGCGCAAGCTCCACCTCCTCCTCGCTCGCGAGTCTGACATGATATGTCGCCATTTGCGAGAATACATCGGCCCCCTACAACTGCCGACCGACAGGGGGACAAGAATACTGCGGTCATGCCCCATCCGAATGGCTGAGAGGGGGCCACCCCGTCGTGAATCGGACTTGCGGATTCATCATTCGAGGGGATTCGGATTCTATCTCCTCAATCTGGCATTGATGAGCGACTGGCCAGAGTTGCGTCTACCCCTCATACCACCATGCATGGCAGCCCGAGAAAAGGGCCCCGTTTGTGTACGGGTGAGAGCACGGTAGACTGCCGATGCGCTGCTGATGATTCATATAAAAGGTCGAGGTAGGTGCTGTTGGAGCCCGTCGTAATTGTCCTCTACTAGACACATATATACCACCCACCGTTCAAGCAAAAGTCGAAACGAAGAGTATTCAACGCACCATGGCACCGTCACTTCATCCCTTGATCGACAACGGCCTCACCAAAGGCGAATCCGACTTCAATGGCGGCACTCTGCGCTGCCACTGCAAATCCAACCCAGTCGAGGTCGAGCTCAAGGGCAACGTCCTGCACAATCATGTGTGCGGATGTTCCCAATGCTGGAAACCAGAGGGCGCCCTCTTTTCTGTTGTTGCCGTCACCCCCGACGAGAACGTCAAGGTCACCAAGAACGGCGACAAGCTCGCCGTGCTGAACCCGGAGGCCACGATCCTCCGCAAGGCGTGCAAGGAATGCGGCGTGCACATGTACGGGCCGATCGAGAAGGATCACGCCTTCAAGGGCCTCAGCTTTGTGCATGTCGAGTTGAGCGATGACAAGGGGTGGCAGGAGCCGCAGTTTGCCGCGTTCGTGTCGAGTTTGATCGAGCAAGGGTATCCGCCGGAGAAGATGGGCGAAGTCAGGCAAAAGTTGAAGGATGTCGGGCTCGAGCCGTATGACGCGCTGAGCCCGCCGCTGATGGACGCTCTGGCGACATATGCGGCGGAAAAGTCGGGTAAGAAGAGCAAGCTGTGAAGGTAGAGCGATGAGATTTGTGAGCACAGCGATCTCAATGGCATCAAGCCAGCTCGAGAATGGCACATCCCCACAAGCGAAGGTCAGGATGCACAGCATTATGCTATCCTCCCTCCCATAATCTAGGAAATCCGGAATCAAAAGTTACCTCATGTGCATATCACTCCCACAAAGGAAGTCTTACTCGCGATGTGTCAAAGCAGGTGTAGATGTGGGAGGTAGCCGGCGCGCCCCAGCTTGAGAGCACTCCGTGCTACGTACCCGCTTCAACGTCGTGGTATGCTGTTGGGTTAAATCCAGAACATGTCTCGGTCATAATTCTTAGAAAACAAAACCTAAAGAAGCACATTGAATTTTGAGCCTGCAGTAGCTTGATGGCGTCCTGGTTGCTCAGACTTCTGGAAGTACCATCTTTTACCATTACTCAATGCGAGCCGGCCGTCGACTCCTCCTTTGGAAGGGTTCCATGGCCCGTGGTATGTACAATATCCCCGCTTGTCGTGGGAGATATGGTGCTTGGTGTGCACAATCCTTTTTATGATTGACATCTTCTAGTACAGCGTCGCGCCACCCTTGCCGGTTGTGTTCCCAGGTCTTGTATCTGACCCTCTCGAACCCTTCGCTTCCTGCGCACTGGGATAATTTGTCAGAACCTCTGGACCGCCAGCGGGGCCATCAACGCCGGGGATATAATTCTGCTGCCGGCCTCGGAAACCAAATTCGCGGGTGGATTTGAGGAGTTGCAGGTAGCGGTCTGGTTTAGTTCCATTAGCTGCAGAAGACAAAGAGACACCTGAAGGACACGTCGGTTGGAGGTAGAGTATCAATGGGGATTTTACCTCGGTATTTCCCACATTTCTCGAGGTGGTTGACTCCTTCGCGGGCGTAGCATTTTCCTGAGCGGCGTTCATGTCAGAAAATGGCCTGAATAGTAGTACCGCTAAACAGAGATGCTCTTCCTGACGGCTTGCCAGCTTCGTCCCAATGCCCCGCAGCTTCACTATCCGCGCCGGACCCCGTCTCATGCCACTTCACACCTGGCACCACCTGTAGGAAGAGGGCGAACATACCCATCTCTTCGCCAACTAGCCTCTTCATCATCTTCTGTACCCACTGCTCCCGGATGATGGCATCTCTGGCGTCGGCGACCGCTTCATTGTCTTGGAAATCAACACACTCGAAGGTGGGCGGGACTTTGGGCTTCTGTCGCAAAAAGCCCTCGGATTCGGGAGTGGGCATGGTGACTGTGGTAGGAGACTGTTCGGGGCGCGGGAGAGGTGGGGTCTGAATCTACGGAGAGGCAACGAGCGCAGGGAAAAGAAGCGCTCGTCCCTCTGGCCAGATGTGGCTTACGACGGAGCGGTGTCGAGAGGAGGAGCGATTGAAAGAAGCTCGCGACTGACTGTAGTGGTGTGGATGAGCGTGCCAGAGCTACAATGTACTCAGAACATCCACGCGAGCTAGTTAATAAGAGCGGCGTCAGTCGACCACTGCGATTGGCCCACTTTTGGTATGCAGCTGCCGCCGCCCTTGTTCCGGGTGCCACCATCCAGAGTCCAGCAGTACGTGGCTGGTCATTAATCTGGATGGTTATATATTTCAATAGTTATGCATTAACACGAAACTCGTTCCGCAGTCGTGCTGCTTCGCAGACACGAAATATTCGAGCTTCTAACTAATTCGCTTCCACGTGCCTTCGCAGCTGTGGTGAGTACTGTGCACCTCATTGTCAATCCTCGGCAACATGCAGCGCAGTCGCCGCAACTAAAATCTGTCGACCTTCGATGCAGTCATGCTGGCTTTCGAGTCCGACCACTCCCTGCTCTCATCAACTCACAAACCGAGGGTGCATTGTTTCCCTTCTGAAGCAGCTCCAAATGCTGCGAATGATAACTTCCCGGCTAGGGATAGAGGCGAACCCTGTACCGCTACAGACAGGTCACCCGTACTCTGTTCCTGTCCCTTCTTGGTCGGCGAGATCTCCCATTGATTCCATCCGACCCGGCGACGAAATCCATCCATCATTTTTCCCATGCTGTCTGATGCTGGCGATGATCTTTGCGTGTCGGCCTGGCTTTGACACTCCCACGCTTCTTCCGGTTGTTCCCTCTTCGCTGTGATAGGCGCCTCCATTATCATGGCCAATGTGGTTGAAGCGCGGAACAACCTCCTCCTCCCCACCTCGGTGCCCCGTTCGTTCCACTCTGCCGACCGGGCCAGAATCCGCCGCTCGAGGTCCTCCCGCATCTGGTTCTCAAATGCCTCGATACGGGCATCGCGCTCCTCCTGGCACTCTGGGCAAAGGGACTTGACTCGGAATGTGTGCAGTGGATGAATAGACGTCCGCTGGCAATCCGTGATGGGAGGCGGTGTTGCAGGAGGACTGGGGAGTGATGCGTGCCCCTCCTGGGACTTCTTGGGTTGGTGGTAGCCCCCGACATTCTTTGCCCCTTCCTTGTGATCTGGATGAATGGCCTGTGCGTCTCGGTGCGGGCAACGACAGTCCGCGATCGGAACGTCGGACAGTTCAAGATGCCCGCACACGAGGAACAGGGAAGCGTTGTAGTAACACATCTTGCGCGTTCTTCTCTGGTTGATATTTGGGAGTTGGTAATGGTTTGTCTCTGGCTGTACGAGGTATCTGGTGTTCAAGTGTAAAATGAGGGGCAGCAAAAGAAGTCAAGGACAGTCCACATATCGAGAGAAAGTCAACGAGCCCCCAAACGACGATGAATATCAGCGACGGATTGCCACAGGCCAGCTGCGTCTGCCTCGAGTAGTGATATGCTCGTTTGTTCCTTTGTGCTCGTGGTCGAGGACAATGGCTTTGTGCCGAAAAGCGATTCGGTACTTACTTATTGTTGCCATCGCTGCCTCCTGTGCACGTGGTGGTCGTGTCCCAGCAACCTCTTACTGTTACACGGTGCTTCTGACAGAAGTGTAAAGGCTGAGGATGAGTGGGCATTACTGCTTCAAAGTCGCGATCAGCGCGTTGACCCCCAGCCCCCTATCGATAACGAGCGTGAACGAGGCTCCAAACTTTGTCCCTCGCCGCCTTGCAAATTTCCGGCCAAGGTTTAATTTTACTAGTTCTGCGAGGCCACTTGGGTGACATCTCTAGGCAATGACGCTTGGCACGTGACATTCCTGCCGCCAGCCACTTTTTCGTGTTCGACATCCGGTTTCTGTAGTTTCTTGAGTCTTGGGCATCACTCGATCGCGTCCAGCACGCGACATATTGAGATTGAGTAAAGGCTTCATTCAAACGAGCGAACTTCGTTGGCTCCAGCTCTGCCACTCAGGTATGGTTGTAGTGCTTCCAGGTAGTAGGACTGGTCACGAGCTGGTGAGAATCGAGATTTACTGCTCCGAAGTCGCACAACGGGAAGACGCACCAAAACCTTGCCGGACGTGACAGACGACGACCAGTCAACGATTTCTATGATGGCTCCGCTAGGTGGGCAAGAGGGGAAAAACGGAGAAATAGGACCCAGAAGCATTCGCGTCCCGTAGCATCAGAACATTCCTACTGACCAAAGTCATCACGCGATGCTCGACCGTATCTCCTCACCATCAACCAGCTCCTGTGCTAGACCTTTGGGGTATCTCGACGTCGCTAAGCACATGCTCTGTTGCTCTGCTTACTCCTCTGCCGCCAACACCATCGCCGGCCTGTTTGCTTCATCGCGGCCCTCTCTACCCTCGTGCAGCGCACTTGCAATATCGGCCTTCTTCCCCGTCCAGTCTTCCTTCTCTTCCTCCTCGATCTCCTTCCCCGTCCGCTCCCCTCTCTTATGCAGCTCCGCCTCATGCTCCGCGACCTTCTTGTCAAGATTCTGCGTCAGGCTCTGTTCCTCTCCATGCCCGCCCCCGCCACCTGATCTCACAGCGTCCGCGACGTCGCCTTCGCCGGGCATGCGCATCTGCTCGCCCTCTAAATTGCTGTCGCCCTGGGCGTAATTCTGCGCGTCGGAGCCAGGAAGTGACTTCTCCGTTAATGGCCCCCGTTCGCCTGCAGCCATGGAGCCAAAGTTCGCTTCGTCGCCATGTTTCTGAGGTACATCGTGAGGCTGACGGTGGTCGATGGTCTTGGATTCGACGGAAGAGGCATCTTTTGACGTAGACTGTTCTTCTGAGGTTTTCGAGGCGGGGTTTTGACCTTGGTTCAAGCCTGTTTGTTGGCTTGGCTGCGAGGGTTCCTCCGGGTCAAGGGCAGACATTCTGGCGCTTGAGTCGAGCTTGATAGGGTGAATTATTTGAGGTGAGCACGATATAACACCAGAAGGGTCTGAGTGAGTATTAAGCGGACCGTGAGCGCAGCACAGGGCGTAAATCAAACAGTGCGGGGATTGAAAAGATCGCCAGATTTTGGGCAGTGACGTCAAGGAAAGGAAAGCTAGGGCTCTGACAACGATTGAGAAACGCGATTAATCGAGCTATGCACAGGAGTCACAAGAAGAACAATTTGTGTAAGAGCTGGAGATAAGACTATCAATACTGCGTAGTCACTAACAGTGTAAAGGTCACAGACTCTGGTTGCTTTGACGTGCAGTGATTGATGTCCGTGTGATGTCATCGCGGCTGCAGGCTCGGTGCGTTGTGGCTTGTGGCGTAAGGAGTAACCCAAGCGGGCTTGGCTGCGTTGCGGAATAATCGTTCTTCCGAAACGCGCATACGCGCCATGTTTCTTCGCCCACCACGTACTCCGTACATCTCCCCTACATACATCCATCGCTGCCGCAACGCAGTTGGACTTCCTCAATTGTCAACAACCCATCTTGGTTGATATCGTGTGCACGGAATTTCGCTTCCACATCCTTCGCGTAGTCGGAATCTTTGCGCTTGGTGGTGACGTTGAAGTAGCCAAAGTAGTCGTCCAGATCAATCACATGGACACCATTGTGCTTCCTTCCGCGACAGACGTGATTGAACGTGCTTTGCAAGTGGGCGAGCATCTCAGGGTCGTATGGCGGACGAGTGAACGAGGTAGAGGTTGCAGTCTGGACCATTTGCGTGACAGTCGCAACCAAGCCGCCGTCATCACGCAGGACCATTGTGGCTGGGACGTCGCGTTTATGAGTGCCGCTGCTGACGTCGGTTGCTGGAGGAGGGTACCATGTGGTGATGTGGCTCGCGCGACAAGTCCAGGTGGTGCCGGCAGGGGCGGTGATGACAGAGGTCCATGTATGCTTGTCAGTCTCGATGACTTCGCGGATCACTTGGACTGCGGGAGAAAAGTCAGTAAGAAAACGAAGCAAAAGTCCAGATGACGAGGGACTTACCGCCCTTGCAAGCACAGCAGAATCCGTTGCAGGGCTTGTACCCGCAGCAGGGGGTTCCGGCGGAGTTGTCGCCGCAGTCGCCTCCTGCATCGCTAAGGCAGCACTTGGCATACACACCGGAGAAGGTGGCCTGGAAGAGGAAGACTAAGACCGGGAGAATGGTTGAATAGAGCATAGCGAAAAAGCTCGAATGTGGGTGGAAGCTGTGTATTTTCTCGAATCTGCTTCGGCATGCAACAACGAGGCTAGCACGGCTGGTAAAACTTCGCGAAGCAGGGACGACTTATATAGACATAGAAAGTGCGCTTCAGTTCGCCAGGCGGATTTGTCTTCACTTTTACAGTATCAGTCATGAGTCAGGCTGCAACAAGTGAAAGTACCGTCACGCGGATGGGCACGGTGATAGTCAGTGATAACAATTGCTTGTAACGCACTGCGCTGTGTAACTAGCAGTCCACTCAGAGCTGATAGATATTCACAAAGATCATTCACCAGGCACATGACAAGAGTGTCTATACCGTGTCAAATTGCCTCCCATTCACCCCTGGCACCTCTCGCTGACATGGCAGAAGCACGTGCACTACCCGAGTGCTCTCAATATAGCGGTACTGTTACCCAGGAATCCTAAAGAGCTGTCAGCTTTGTTTCTGCCATTTCACTTGAGGAAACTCACCATATCCCTGAGCGTTGTATCTTGTCATATTCACGGCGTACGAGGGGCTGGTTGTCTGCGAGATGTCGTCGACGTACACCACGTCATAACCTAAGAAAAGCTGTTAGCATCCGACTTCGGGTCATGTGACGAGATCGTGACCGCTTACCCTTGAAGTAGGCGTCGACGAGCGTCGACCAAACGCACTGATCAGCGTTGACACCACCGAAGAAGAGAGTCGACACCTCGTTCTCCTGCAGCCACAGCCCCAAGGGAGTCTGTGGGCCCCACAGCCCGGACAGGCGGTTCTTGTCGAACCACAGATCGGTGCCTGCCTTGATGCCCTCGTCCTTCATCGTGCCCAGAACGCCATATGGTTCGGCATTCCAGGAACCTCGCATCAACATCCTGCCGACTTCGATCGTGGTACCGTTCTCCTTGAGAGTGCCCATGTCGCTCCCGAAGGTCTCATTGGCCAGGTTACTGCCGCCGCTGAAGCCGGCTTTGAAAGCAGGAGGGATCGTCAAGAGGTCATACTCGGTCAGACCCCAGTTGACCCAGAGGACCTTCATGCCGTGCTTGCGGAATCCCTCGATCATCCTAACGGTCGGCGCGACGGCACCACGACCATCAACAGCTCCTGGAGAGAGTTCCGGGTGCAGGAAGAAGTTTTGCATGTCGATGATGACCAGAGCGGTGCGGTTCGGCTCGATCTTGATGGCCTTACGGTCGCCCATCATCGGAAGGGTCTTGGGGCTTGTGGTTGGGGCCCGCTGGCTTCGAGTCAAGTCATAAGTGCCGTTGGTGATGGACCAGTAGTTGTAGTAGCTGCCCAGAGTCATAGTCGCTTCCTCAAAGCCATCTCCGATCTGTATAGAAAGTCAAGGCGGAGTTCCAGGTAAATGAGACTGTACTGACCATTGCGTATGCTTGACGCTCCTCCAGTTTCACAGGGGTAGCAGCGCATAACTGAGACAGTAAAAGAGCTGAACTGAGCAGCTTCAGTGCGGCGAGGACTGTTGAGCCGGCCATGGTGGTCTTCGACAAGGCTGAGGGGAATAGGAGACACAGCACAGAGCAACACAGAACAAAGATGAATACCAGGACTGACACCCGATCAACAACACCCTTTCACCTCCTTCTTTATACCTTCACATTGCCCTCTTGACCACCGCTCACTCCGCGGGCAACAACGGAGATGTGCTTCTTCAAAGCCTTGTCTGCTGAGGCGACTGAATACCAAGAGATGTTCTATAGCCGAAACCGGAAGGTCAGGGCTTGTCGCGTGAAGGCTGATAAGGACCGGCTCTCCACCGGATAATACCCGCATCGCTCGGCGACTTTTTCACATACTCCAACAGCCTCGGTTATACGGCGCCTTATCTTCAACATTTTACTTGAAAGCTTTGCCCTCGAATAACTGAGCTGGCATTCAACAATTATCCTCGGACGCATGTCCTAAAAGCTCAGACAGGAAGGAAAGATATTGAACGGTGCGGATCTCCGCCGAGACCTGGAATTTTCTTGTGGGGTATCGACCGCCGTGCCTGCCGATGAGATACGGACACTTGACTCGGAACGCATGACCACCGGAAGATGCAGAGATATTGGCGAGCTTGCAGCATGTCGACATGAGGTGAGCACGAAACTGCCATTGGCGTCCCGTGGGTGGCGCCAGCTTCGTCAACTAGTATCCATCTTGACATGAAAAGGTTATCGGATTCGCAGATGAATAGGTATCTCGCGCCAAAAGTGGCCCGTTCGAGACATATCTCGTGGCAGCCATGTGGCCCTCCTGCCATTCGAAACTGAGCAGGTACAATTGAACGCCCGTATGTTGCCTAGGCCCTGATCACGGTTTCTGCACCCGATCATTACCCGGTTCGACCACACCTCGTGCCTCCAACGCCACGTTCACACGTCGCTGACTCATATCGCTGGAATGCATATGCGACCTATTTCGGCGCCTCCGTCGTGACACATGTCCAGATGTCATCCTTTCTTTTATCTGGTTCAGGCCGATATTTGTTTGCTCAGTCGATGCGCTCAGAAGTCCATACCCACCAGATAGCCTTCGAAAATCCTCATAAACTTGGCCACGAAGGCCTCGAGGTGGAAGATGACTTTGCTCCCCATCCTAACCCGATGCTCGTAGACACTCGCCCATTTGACAATCTCTGCCTTGAGGGCATCATCCACTTCTGGCTGCGCGACAAGTTTCCATGTCAGAGTTTTGAGAATCATCGTCGCGGGGATACAGTGTGTAAGCAGGTCGTATAGTTTGGCTCTTGTCGCGAGAATCATAGCTGGTGACCGCTCCCGAATGATGTCTCGTGCAATTTGCTCGACGAGAAGCTCCCAATCTGGCGGCGGGATAGGTGTCCTCTCGCTTGGTTCTGGATGTTGCGCGTACACAGCTTCGAACATCAGCAGTGCTTTTCTCAGGTTGCGCCCCGACTCCTTGGCGATCCGATCATTGAGCGCCGGTATGATTTTCCAGTTCTCCTTCTTTCCAGCTTTCACCAGCGCGTCGCAGATTTCCGATTCTGTGGGTGCAGCCACTCGGATGAGGAGCGTTCGAGAGCGAATGGGTGCAATTATACCTGCTGTGCTGTTTGCCACAAGGATGAGTCGGACGTTTGCTGAGTACTTCTCCATAGTACGGCGTAGTGCGGCTTGCGCGTCGCGGGAAAGACTGTCTGCTTCATTGATCACCACGACTTTAAAGCGTTGTTTTGCCGTCAGATCAACCTGCTGTGTCTGCGCTACCTCTTTTAACAGATCTTGGATGACAACCCGATCATAGTTTCCAACGTCGCTAGGCGTGATTTCTAAGTGGTATACGGAGGAGACGATATTGAATTCCAGTTTCCTGTTCGTCGATGTCGTGAACATACGGGCGTCGATCTTGATCTTCTCGGCTCCAGGGCCATAGAGGGCGCGTAAGGTTGCGAGAATTCGTGTCTTTTTGCCTGCACCTGATGGACCGTAGAAGAGGAGATGGGGGAAGTCGGCGGAAGAGGCCTGGCATTGAGTTAGCGTGGAGCTCAAACTGATGTAAGCATCTTACCAGTGCTGCTAGACGATCGGAGAGATCCCTGTGGTATGTCAGAGCGTCTAAAGAGCGAGGCCGCAGTTTATCAACCAACAGCGCCATGGTTGCAAGATGATTGTGAGAAGTTTCTTGGGGTCAGCGGTGTTCTCAAAACGTCCTCATCAAGACGCGTCGAAAGCGCGTAAAGTGACTTTACTGTATAATGACGTCATCGCTAATCCCACCGACCAAAGCAAGACAAGCCTCTACAGTAAATATTTAGGGCGACATCGATCCAACGTCCGACGACGTGTATGTACCCAACAATGGCCGCACGTATTGCACAGCTCAGCTATCGCGCCAGCGAAGAGCTAGTAACGGGCACCGCTTTGGAAAGGAGATGTGCCTGCTATGCATTCTTGAATCAGCTGTCATGGAGGTTTCATTAACCTTTGGGTTGCGCTGCATAACAAGACATTTGACAGTCATTAAATTGGTTCACTAGACGCGCCCTCCTTCCCTTTCCGCTTGCGCGGAGGACGCGCCCCGAATGTCCAGAATGCGACCTATACAGTGTGCTCCCGCCTGTATCTCGATCTCGTTCTGCGTGGAATTGGCGCACGGCGACGACTAGTGCTCAAGTTCAGCTCTTGTATCGTTCTTTCATCTGCTGGCTGCATTCCTGGTGCCTCCGGGCTTCCGATCGCTGCCTCCGCCATAGCCTTGACAAACTCAGCTTCGGCTATCTCTCGCAGTGTCTCTGGACTCGCTCTGATCTTCCTCATGACTGGGTGCATGTGATTTTCTCTGAGATCCCTCATTCCTTTCATCCACATATTGTAGTTGTGAAGAAGAGACATCAACACATCATAGAGGTCATTCACCCCGTCCTGGACGTCAGTATCCACCTTTTCCAGCGCCAGCAGCTCAAGAAATGAGTTGTAGACATAAGCATCGAAAAGGTGTGTAAGCTCCTCCAGGATGGTCTTCTCCGTCCGACAAGGTAAGGAAATGTATCTAGTGGACAATCAGCTTTCTCCGACCACAGGCAACATTGCTACTCACTGCGCGATCAGCTTTGCTCTTTGTCGATAATTGCACCACAGATCTTGCCTCTCGGGTACAATGCTGAATGGTGCACGGGCTTTGACAAATCCAATGTTGTCGATCTCGTCGGACACCTTGTTATTGGCTCGTCGAACCTGCGTCAAAACTGACCTAATCCTGCTTAATATCTCTGGCTGGTTCGAGGCGACGTAGCCCTCGCAGTAATTGCCATTCCCAGGAAACAACAGCGATCCGAGCATCGTCATTTCTCTTGCCAGGTTCTCAAATCCCTCTTTGGAACTTAGTGGAAGCTCGGCATTCTGAATTCCTTCGAGAAACAGCTCCAAGGCTGGTAGAACTGACTCTTCACCGCAACCAGGGCTTGGCCGAAGTGGAGTGGTATGAGCCGTAGAGTTTGCATTCTTCGAAGTCGGCGTCTCTTGGTAGTTTGTGGCACTTGAGCACGGCGAAGAGATGTGTTCGTTGATTTCGTATGCGGATATGAATGCCTCTGCTGCATCAAATTTGATGTCGGGATAACGATCGAAGAGGTCAGAGAGGTCAGAGAGGTCAGAGAGGTCAGAGAGGTCAGAGAGGTCAGAGAGGTCAGGAGCTGTTAGGTCGAGCGGGCCGGTCATCCTTCAAGCCTTATCGATCACGGTGCTGCGATTGAAAGTCAAAGATTCGGGACACAAACATGAGAAAGCCCGCACAAGAGATCATCTGGAACAGCTAGAGGCAGAATCAAGTCAAAGAGTTTGAAAGTATAAGGACATGCAGACGAGGCAATTGCATTGAACGTTCGACTGCAATTGCCTTGCCTCAACCATGGCAGGCATCACTGGGGAGGGAGAAAAGAAAGTCACTCATCGAAATTTCATTACACGCAACTTGGCACATGAATTTGCCAACTGTATTCCAGCACAGGCCATGGACTGCTGACCTGCTGACCAGGAAATCATTTGGCTCTGCAAACTACCTTGATGAGAATCAATGACATAACGTCAAATATCCCCCAAAGTAGAGTGCTATTGCTCTTCGCGCACTGACTGATTGGCACTTCACTGAGACAGATGTGACAACTCAAAGTTGGGCGATCATGTACAACAAGCTGGATAGGTTTGAACGTACAGAATAGGGATGACAGATTGTGTATAAAGCTCAACTCTGCACCATTAGAGTCCTCTGAAAGACCAGTCCTGGGATTGGACATCGTCCAGGGCAGAGCTGTAAGCAGTAGAGCCCCAAGTTCCTGGCATGGTGCCTTGTCCGACCGTATCAGACTCTTGCTCCTTCTCTTTGGCTGCGTTGTCGACTGTTTGCGCATTCTCATCACGTTGAACATTGGCTCCAGCGTTGTCAGCGTTAGGATAAGTGTCCTCGTATTTCCATCCCCGAGGCGGCTTGAGATCCTCATCGTCACCGGGTAGCTGGGTATCAACAATATTGTTCCCGATTTGTGAGAGAGATTTGCTAATGATCGTCTGCACCCACTTATAGAAGAAGTATGATGCCGACAGAATCCCCATAGCCACCGCTATCCAGCTGACATTGATGGCCCGGTCTCGTCCTGTTGTGGATCTGCCTGAAATCCTGCTGCTAACGAAACCGGTGTTCCTCAGATTCCACCATTGGAAGGGATTCAATATCATTGTCCTCACGAAACTCAGCAACCCCATTGAAACCATCCCTTTGGTGAAATGTTGAGCCCACCCCGATGCCCCTCCCCGGGGATCGTTGACCCTAACGGGTTGCCACACATCCTCGTGGCCAACGATTGTCTCATAAGGATCGGCGTATAAATTGAGTATGGGATCCGCCACAAACCCAAGGAAGAACATCACCACCAGCATGACCAAAATGGTGAGAACCCCGGAGGATATCTTGCTGTCGAGATATTTCTGCACGGTGAGTCTGTTGAAGTTGAATTTGTAGCCACACTGGTGGCACTTCCAGAGCGAGCCTGGCCGCACGCTCTCAGTTCTTAAGCGGCGCAGACACAACTCGTGGATGTACCGCATCCCACCTCTGCAGTGACATGGCTTGACCAATCGGCCGTACTCATCTTCATTCTTGTACTCGACGACGGGACGTTGGAAGGCAGGAGGGAGACCCGGAGGGTACAGAGTAACCGTGGCAGGGACTTCTTCGAGGCACACCCGGCAAGTTCGTGTGGGATGTGTCCAAGATGGTTGTCTCCCCGGTCCTGCACCGTTGGACGGAGATGGGTTCTGAGTATCTTCGGAGGAAGCCATCTGAAAGGTCTTCACCTTGTGGTCATCCGACGTCAGCCTGGTGAACTTCAAAACTCCTCACTCGGATTGAACACATCATCTAAGAACGCAGTTCAGCTTGCACAAATGTGATATGGCGGACTAAGTCAGATGAAGCCTCGGTTCCATCTCAAATGGGACGCCGAGCAACAGAACACCGTTGCCTGTTCGGAAGCGGGAAGCTATCGCACGACAGGGCAGAATCAGAAGGATGGAGAAGAGAAAGGAATATGAATTCGTCCGTTCGTGGCCCACTTTAACGTTGGTCTTGGCAGTATTCAGCACGTCTCCAAAATGCCTACCGTAGGTACCTAGGTAAATCTGTCTCACTACTGATATTCGTGGTCCAGAGATGCAGATTTGAGGTTTGCTCTTAGGGCTACATATCATCTTCAGTCCATCAGTACCTCCTGGGAGACCTCCAAGCTGACGAGTCCAGGCCCTAGCCGCTCGCTGCGCGCCAGCTCCTCTGCATGATATCGCCTGCGATTTATCAAAGACTTTCACCGCTTCCGATATCAGAGTTGGCTCAACCCTCGTACTTAGGTAAACCATGAGGATCGGACTGCGAAATTTGTGGCAAGGTCGAGCTGGTTGATGATGAGGTGTTGGATGAGAGGAAATGGTCGTCGTCTTCAATATTTGCGTCCTCCGTGCCTGCACTTATGACACATCCGGCGTGGCCACCTCCATCGGGCGTACGAGTGTCTGGGGAGTTCAACTGGCCATCGTCAGTATCGGCGATCGTGTCTCCTCCTGCCGGACCGGGGTAAGTACGGACTGATCGCGGTCGTTTCGAGCGAAGTGTTCGAGGCGTCCTTCCACTCGATCGAGGATGTAGCCCAGTCTCAGCGCCTTGTCGAGGTTGATAAGCCGGCGGGAGTGAGCGAATGATTTGATTTTCGCAGGTATACCCCTCCGGCGCAACCCTGATGGCGTTGCCATCGCGGCTAAGATCGTTGCGACGAACATGTCGCTCATGCTTCCTCTTCAACCAGATGAGTAGGCAAACGATGGCAATAATGACGACGAACGAAATAAGGTTCCGAAGGACTCTATCCTCCGTACCTGTCGACATACCCCCACTGTCGTTGACGTTTACCGAAGCTTGGGGAAAGTTTGCGTGGTGTAGGAGTGCAAGCTTCCATTCGGTAGCTTGCACTTGAAGTCAAATGGGTTGGACTCTCGAAGCCGACATCTTCCTAGAGACGATAATATGCCAGAACAAGTCGACGACAAGGTGGGTGGTCATCGTCTCTTAAACTTGCAACAAGAACGGAAAGGCCTGCGAGACTCAGGCCATCTCCAAGCCACGAACCATAGAATAATCAACCATAATTGTGCACATAAAATTTCACTTACCACTTATTATTCGAGAACCGTTTCAAAATTCTACAGAAGTGGTCAGAGCGTCCACATTTCAAAAGGGTCCTCCATGACGGCTTTGGATCAGTGATGAGTCTCCTGCTGCAGGCTTCGCGCAGAACCAAAGGCAGACCTGGTTGAGACAACAGTCATGCGGGGCATGGCTAACAGGACATAATCCTGTGGCACGATAGGGTACTTGTACTCCTTGAAAGGAAGGCACGCAGGTGCCTCGTTTGCAACTGATCCGTGTGCCTTGCTTGGTGAAAAATCGAGTATTCCTCTTTCCCGATGTCGACCAAGACCCTCACAACGACCATACCTGCACGCCTTCTCATCCTCTACCAACTTGCGAGAGGGGCTGCGAATAGCTGGGTAGGGAAGGCTACATTGAACAGGGGCACATCCAGCAAAACAGCTCCAAAAGATAGACCTCAAGCACCATGTAGATATCGCGCTGCCCAGAGGGTGAGTGAGCTCCTTCTTGCTTCGGCATTCTCTATCGTCAATGTAGTAGCTGCATAGTATATACCGTATTACTAAGAGAGTTGCACGGGACCTTCATCCTGAATAGCGGCTACATACGGAGACGTCGAAGATTTCTATCACAAGGACGTTGGGAGGGCGGTGCAGAGCGGCGATACCCGTCAGGCCGACCCGCCCTCGAGCCACACTGCGCAATGATTTTAGGTCAAGTGGCCAGATCACCAGCCACACGCACAGCCACCTTGTCGCTTCCACCGAGCCAAGGCCCAGTCATCTACCAATGACAACCACGGATTTTACGAAATCGAAGCATTGGTGGTGACAGACTGAGGTCCGTCTCGAAGAGAGCTGTCATGAGTACGGACTGATGCCGATGCAAGCTGAGGCATTGCGAGGCAAGCGTGGAATTCGTATTGACTTTGTCCCTACGCTGGAAAGCATTTGTTGGTTGCTTCGCCTGGGCCTGTACGGCCAATGGGTGCTAGACATGGAGAACAAGTCGAGCCTCATCCACCAAGCATATTCGCAAATGAGGCTGATAGCTTCATGCCGCATAACATTTTTTTGCCCGTTGTGCCTGAAAATTAAGTCAACCAAGTCACCGCGGCTGCCTCGCAAGTCCTCCTCAGTCTGCATACGTGGATTGCACTGTTCCTCTCAGTATCTTCATACCCAACGCACTTCGTAGCTGCGTGTTGAGTTTTGTATCTGCCTTTTCATGCCGGGCAAGTCCTAGTCCTGACGGCCGCCATTTGCAGCCATTATTTTGTCAGAGGAGGCTTCTGTTGCTTATGCACATTTCCGGTGTCCTTTCCTTCACCCGAATTTCCATCAGGACCTTCGGTCTCAAATCCTGTTGACCTCTCCGGGGCCTTCTGCGGATCAGGCTGTTTCGCCGGATGGTCTCTGCCCTCGGCGGAAGTGGCCTTGTTGCCAGCTTTGACGTGCTCGTCCTTCTTTTCTTGATTGGCGTCGTTGTTTTTCTTGGTTTGGTCGACGACCGCTTTGCTCAGTGGCGACGAATGGAAGGACTTTTTGCCTCGTGCTGGATTGGATGGAGCAGACATGGAGTGTCGTTGAGAGACATCGCTGACTGCGAACACTCCTGGAACGCAATGACGTGCGGTGGCGTTGATGGGAGTCCGTGATGCGAATATTGCTCTGGAATACATGCTCATGTTAGCAGTTTGTGTACAGATCGAAGTTGTTGTAGCTCTAATGGATTTGTAGCTTAACAAAATGGTCGACTTCTGTTCATGCAGTCTTCAAAGCAGCCCTCAAAGTGAATTCCGTACATGAGGTCGAGGATATCATCATCGAATCGGAAGATAAGTCCGCTAGCAATACAAACCTAGCTCTTCCGGTCGAGATCGCGAACAATCATTGGCATGACATAAGTGATGATGAGAATCGAAGCTCATAGCACAATTGTTTGAGTCCAGCGCATTCTGCAAGATCATACTAGTAGAAGAGCATCATCCGTTCTACTTTTTTCTGGTGGAACGTCCAAGATGCGGAAAACTGCGGATGTCATCTGGACCGCGCATCTGCTACCTGTAGCATACTGCTACTGCATACTCCGTACTGTGCAATTAGAGCACTGACATGTACAAGTAGACGCAGATTTGAAGGCTATGCAATGAGAACAAATCTTCTCATCCATTCTTTAGGTTCCATGGTGACAGTCCTGCTGGCTCACCCGGATATGGTTGGCCGAGGTGCTACCATTTGAAGCACGAAATCAAGGTCACACAGAAAACGGCCAGTCCCGGGAGACGGTCGTGCCGGTGGTGGCTGTGCCATTGTGATCCGCGGCAGGTATGGTGGCAGCCAGGAGACGAAAACCAGCCGTGGTTGGGAATCCTGAGACTGTCAGGAGGCCGAAGCATGTGGCATTATTCGGAAGCTGGACAAAGGAACCTGAGACAGCATGAGACCGGGCATGAATGGCCGCAGGCAGTCTGGCTGAACAGGGAGGAAAATCGCGTGGGTTGAGGCGAGCACATCTTGAGAAGGAGAGGGATGTTTCACCAGTCAGCAGACGAGCCAAAGGGAAAACGACTTGGAGGACTGATGTGCGTCAAGCGAGTGGCCAGTGGCATTCCGAGAGGAGGCCCCCTGAAGCGCGACGCGACGATGCCTTTAGTGCAGCCCAACCAGACGCGAACACCTATCGCGTGAGCCTAAGTTCTCAGACGTGTCAGGCGTTTGTCTCGGGCTCTCATCCAATCGACGAGTGGGTGCCCGAGCATTTGGCCGCAAGGTGTGTCAAGTGCCCTTTGTCGGCGAAATCGTGGAGTCGAGAGAAGGAGAGACTGAACGAAGCAACCAGTCGGGCAGGACGATACACAGTTTGGTCACTCCAGCAGCAAAACCAGAACAATATTGAATAGCATTTGTAAGTTGGTTGCCACGGTAGGAGTGCTCGTAGGTGGCTGATCTCTTCGTAATGGGGCAAAAGTAGGCGACAGCTGCAAGGACAGCGCAGAATTGACAGATGGCAGATACCAGCTGGGCGGCGTAAAGGTACTCTAGGCAGCTGGATGGCAACACCGAATGCCCATACAGACGGAAGGTTAGGGTTCGTACCTGCTGCGGCTTGTGGCCACCTCCAGTGCGGCGCAGGATGCCGATCCGTCTCTGGATTGCATCCCTTTTCCCCTCTCCCTGCTTCTACGGGCGTGCTAACGATGCAGCGAGTCAAGTGAGTAGGTCACGGACGAACCACTGGTGGGCAATGGTCATCAGGACTGCAGCAAGGAGCCAGACGCGCACGACACGCTGAACAGAACATAGTCGGGCTCAAGCTCAAGCTATGTCCATACAGACCATCTAGAATACAAGACGGCTGCACATCCCCATCGAGGGCGTGCACACGCTCAGATTCAATCGTGCAGCCGCCGCCCAATCCGCGCGTTTTGTTTGCCAGCCGCCAGCGCAGGGCGAAACACGATCCATCTCGCCGTCTTCCGTCGATTCTGGCCAACAGGTCTACACATCTGGCCGCACCCTGCATCGGTTGCCATTCATATCCTGTGGAAGCGCCCAATCAATCTATAACAGGTGCGACAGCGTTTCTGATTCATGCCTCACTCATATTCATAAACCAGCTTCTCACCGTTGCCTCGACCTCACCTTTTTCTCTCCTCTCCATCTGGCATCGTCCCTTTCTTCCGAGTCGAAGGGTTGAGTTGAACTCACCACCCCTGTCTCCCGCCGTCGTAAAAAGACGCACCCTGACACTTTTCTGGGGCAGGACTCCCCACCTCCCTCAAGCCTTTTCGAGCTCTCACCTTCCCTAAAGGCGATCCCAGCCGTGGTCAAACACAGACAAGCCTAGGAACGAAGACAAGCGCCGGCTGCTCCAGGTTCCAGCCCCTGACACCCGACAAATCCTTGCCTGCGCCAACCCGGAAACCCTATCACCCTAGCGGCGAAGCGTCCAAGCCATCTGCATATCTTGTACCTGGAAGTTTATCATCGCCTATCCACTAGCTGCAGACTCCAAACCCACACCCCTGCAGTTGCGACATCACGCCTGGCGCACAGTTCAGGAGAATACTTCGCTTGGACACGACGAGACTCTCTCTCAAACATCAGGAGCTACATCCTAGGCCGTGCCTGGGGATATTATACTTTGATATATCCGAACGCGTTCACGTCTCTGTCTTCTGCGAGTTCCTCATCTGCTGGCCAGGTGAAAGTTAACTGACGATCGGCTCCGACTAATATCTTCAACACCAACCTCCCCGCTTGTGTCAGAGGCCTGTCACATTCACTTCATCCGCTCGCTTCACGAACCTTGAAACCCCTCACAGGTTCTCAAGACACCATATACTCCTGGAACTGCCTCACTTCGGGCTGTTCATTTCGTCCTCTGTCCCCTCAACATCGAAGCCCGACAGCAAATCATCATGAACTCCTACACTTTCGCCCAAAACAGGGCAGCACTGGAGGACTTTGTCCGACAACCAGTCCGAACATACATGATCCAGCATCTGGCGAAGCAGGCATCGCAGGTCATCCGTTGTGACCAAGAGTCCCAATCCTCAGCAGCAGACTCACTACCTACTCCGCCCTCGACGCCGCCTCAGACCTCCTCGTCAGAACCAGCATCGCCTCCCTTGCCGAGTCTTGAGCAGTTCATCACCTCCCTCGTGCATCGATCTTCGGTGCAAGTACCAACTCTGATGACCTCTCTTGTCTACTTAGCTCGCCTCCGTTCAAGACTCCCACCAGTGGCCAAGGGCATGAGATGCACCGTCCATCGCATCTTCCTTGCGTCTCTGATCCTAGCGGCGAAGAATTTGAACGACTCGAGCCCGAAGAACAAGCACTGGGCAAGATACACCTCTGTTAAGGGCTTCGAGGGATTTGGTTTTGGCCTGGCCGAGGTCAACTTGATGGAGAGACAAATGTTGTACCTGCTTGACTTCGACACTCGTGTGACTGAGCAAGACCTATTTAACCACTTCGAGCCCTTCCTTGCACCCATCCGGTTTCAACTGGAACTTCAGCAAGAAGAGGCAGAGCTTACCAGCACCCACCGGTACTGGCACTCTCACCAGCCCTCTAACGAGTCGACCATCTCGCTCCCACCTGTTGTTCGCAAGGACCCTGTTCACATCATGGCAACGCCTCCCCCGAGAGCAGCTGGTGTCTACGATTCTCCTGCTTCTTGTGTCGACGAAGACCTGGCAAATGGCCGGTATCCACGACACAGGGCGAACAACAGCTCCTTGTCACTCCCAGCCCAGACTCACAGGAGGTGGCCGTCGCCCTTCCGCCATCACGTCAGCAACCGCTCTGTATCACCACCTTCGATTCGGGATCTCCCGCCACTAGTACCATCAAGCAGACCTGGCACCATGCACAGTCACTCCAGTTCTCGGTCGTCATCAGTGGCACCATCATTACGCTCAAGGTCGTCGTCATTGGCGCCTACCTCCCGAGGAACGCCCTACACTGCATCGTCAAACATCGATGATAGTATTGTGGTGATCGACCTGACCGAGAGCCCGGATGCATCATACCACGGTGCCTATGGCAAAGCTGTTTCGGCATCTCGACCTAGCCTGAAAGGCCACCAGACAAGCTTTCAGTGTGAGAGCCAACAGCCCGCGAAGAAAGTCAAGTCCGACTCGGGTGTCGGTGGTGTCATGGCACGACTCTTCTCTGCGAACAATTACCGCTTAGGGAGGACACCCGCCGTCCAACACGCAGCTTAGTGGGCTGTTATATGCGTTGATCGAGGGGTGGCGGGATGCAAACGGAAACGAGGAGTCCATTCAACTGCCAGTGACGACGACACCGAACCAGATACTGATGTGAAGAGCTGAGTCTGACGATATCACGCCATTTACTCCTCAGAGACACTCACATTTACGGCGGTCCGATTTTTCTGCATGTGCTATTTTGTTATTCCACATAGCGACGGCGTTTTCACGGGACCCAAAAATGATACAACAGATGACATAGGAGGGCGACTTCTTGCAGGGCAGTCAATTTTTCTTGCATGTAAAACAGATAACCCAGGTGAAGGAGGATTTGGGCTAGCAAGCTAATTTGCAAGCGATATTCGTTGGACTGGTGCCAATGGGACATTTCTTGGATATGGAAGGGGAGGGAGATGACGATGAAGCTGGATCCATGTGCCACGGCCATGCATGCACGAGAGACCCAAACCAGAGGATTGATACCTTAATGGGATGGAAGTGGATGATACTGTACCACAGTAAGCGAGATGATCGCCTGCGGGATGTTTCTCTCCCAGACTCGACCCAAGATGAAATGGAAAGATTCTTAAAAAGTTCAATCAGAAGACTTCGAATGAATTGGTGTGATCTCGCTCCCGTTGCCCTTGTTTGGTCCTTGTCATTTCGTATGCTGGCACAAGGGTCACGCTGGCATTTGGAAAGGGATTGATCAAGCGTGCTTGGAGCTTAGATGGAGGCAGCTTTCCTATGTACCTAGTACCCATATTAAGTACTCATACTCCGTACCCTGTACATCAATCTCCCAAGCGTGGTGCGCGTGCGCGAGTTTCATGATAAACGAGATTTCCATCCAGCTCACATGCCACGTGGTAAGTGTATACAGTGTACTCCGTACTCCGTACAGTAGGTACAAAAGCATCGCAGGCAGGTGTCCGTATACACACAGTACACAGTAGGAGTACAGTACGGAGTATGGGATACGATTGCTCCGTTCTCCGTACTCGTAATTCTACCGCGTACAAAGAACCATCAACCGCCAGGTTGACTTTTGCGGCGCGTCGTGTGGGTGCTGCGCGTGATCATCCAACCGAGGCAACGAGGCAACGGGGCAACCTCCAAACAGATCGGCACTCTGGGAAGCTGTAAACTTCGATCTGCAATCTATCCGTAAACTCTGATTGTTACTCGTACTCCTCGATCCCGGGATCTCCAGTTCTTAAAGCTTAACCCTGTTGGCGTGCCAGCGTGTTTCGGCAACGCAACCAGAATACTCTGACAGCCCGTCACCCCGTCCGCGTACGCCACGATATAGGAAGCGGGGTATTGTACAGTAGATGAGAGGTCGCGGGTTGGCGCGTTGCCGTGGAGTTAAGATGCTGTGCCATGCCGTAGGTTTCGTGCTCGAGGCAACGTGGAGTCGATTCACAGTTCGTTCTACGAGGTACCTGAATAGCCTGTTTGAGGTGAGATGTCGGATAGATGGGGCTGGCTTCGTGACGAGGTTCTTGCTGTGTGCGAACCGACTCGTACGCTTTCTTCGGAGGGGAGGTGAGGTCCTCGAGACTTGTTGGGCGGCTTCTGGGCCGGAGGGCTGGGCTGGGATTTAGTAGCTCATGCAAGTAGGCGAATTGAGGTAAGCCACTGTAGCTAGCTAGCTATGTTGCCCGATATCCTGAGTTAGGATCAGACTTCAAAGGGCATGTGTCTGACTGACTCGAGGCTGTGGCTGGTGCTGATGCTGAGCATGTGCCCGCGCCCGATAGTGTGCCCGATGATGTTCGTGATAATGTCGCTGATCCTCAGCACAACCCGTACCTGATGCCGTGCCTGACCTGAGACGATGTCGGATTGTCTGCAGGCTTGACCTGAGCTTAGTGAATTTGCGTATCGCGACACAGCCGCTTTGTCGTAATACGTTTGGCGTCATATGGGTGACAGTTTTCTTGCAGCGCAGGCTCGGCCCCGTGCCTCCAATCCTCTTGACCGGTTCTTTTGGCTGTCAGATCTCATTCGCATGCGCAACTTAGCAGATATAGAGTGGTGTCGCGGCGTGGGGTAGCATAGCGTGCTCCTCTCTCGTCGGTAGAAGCTTCACGACTGACTAGCTCACTCACTCCCATTTGACCTCCTTGTCGGTCCTGTTCTCGGCGTGCGCATCTCCCCGCTGCTCCATCTCGACGGCCACATACTCGTCATCCTCCTCCTTTTCACTCAAATCAATCCTCTTGCCAATGCCCCATCCAAGTCCACCAGTCAGCACACGCCCGATGGCCTGGCCCAGTACAACTCCCCAAACGACCGTGCAGGGCCACTTCTGCCACTCTCGGTCCCAGTCCAGGGCCATGGGGATGGCACCAACCCAGCCGCCGAGAAATGCGCCGACACTGCTGCCCCAGACGCCCGCGGCGTCGAAGGGGAGCCATGCGGCGGACACGTCGCGCCAGGCAGACGAGGACACGCCATGGGTGTAGAAGAGTGGAAGAAAGGCTAGGACCGAGACATGAAGGCCGAGCAGGAGGGTCAGTGGAATCGAGGATGTCGGGTAGAGCGGCGCGCCGAGGACCAAGGCGATCAGCGTGAGAGGCAGGGGCGGCAGCGTGAGCGTGAGGATCAGCGAGAATAGAGTAGGCTGCATACAATTATTTCCGTCAGTTCTATATGTAGGCATGGCCAGATGTTTCGACTATGCCTGGACTCACTGTGATCCGGCCCTTCCAGCTGCCCTCTCCTCCCGCTCCCGCCGTAGCACCACCCTTAGTTGCACTTTTCCCGCCAGTGAGGTTCTTGCGCCGCATACTTCCCGTTGCGGACGCGCTTCCCTTGGTGGTCTTCGGCCTTGCCGCCGTGAGACTGGCGCTCCCTTCTAGGATCGGGCCTCCACTCGTCCCGGACACCCATCCTCCCGCGTGTGGTAGGCAAATCGCACAGAAGAGACATTGCAGCAAGGCGACGACACCTAGGTCGCTGAGTAGGGTGTTGAACGGGTCTGCGATCAGAGCTGACGCGCGGAGATAGTAATACACAGGCACGAGGACGGTATGGATGTAGCTGTATCGCTTTGCCCAGGGGGAGGAAAGCAATGGGATCGGATTCGTCGTGGGGGTCAGGAGGCGGTGGGATTTCTGTGCTGTGGTGGTTGGTGGTGCGGATGGGGGAAGAAGATGCGTTAGTGAGGGAGACATTTCGCTGGAGGGACAGCTGGAAAACTGGTTAACCAAAGACTGATTCAGAGGGGATGGAGGGAATGTGAAGCAAGCAAGGAGCGTCAAGCCATGTTTATGGAGCGGCTGTAGTTGAGGGAGCGACGAGCGAGAGAAGGCGTGGGAGAAAGTTAAGATACCGGAGAGGCTTGCCATGATCTCAGCCTTGCCATGAACATCTCAGCCTCGCCATGGTTTCAGCCTGGCCAGCAGCTTCCCCATTCCACTTAACGAACCAGTGGTAGGAAGATACATTAGCCCTGTCAACTGGGATAAGCACGGTTCGAACCGCGAATGGCGCCCGCTCATTTATCCGTGATCCCTAGTTAATGCGTCGCAGGACTCAACGACAACTGGGGTGCATTCTCAGACATCGCCAATTACAGACGGACAAAGGGGATTTATTGAATCTCAATAAATACTGGCTCTGTTATATGCAGCAAATAGCCTCGTCTCTGCAGGCCGCGTATACTCATATAGACCCTGTTTGTTCACGCTCTCGGCCACATCATCACACCTGTTATGGGTATCATGCAAACAGCACCAAATCGTGCAGTCTTCCCTCCAATATATATGCAGAGAAGCCAAGCGCGAAGACCATCAAGATCTGACTCAATGCAGTGCCCAACCAAAGCCGCACGCCGCGAAATAGAAGCATGCTCCATATCTCAAAAGGCAAACAAGGTAACCAAGGTATAAACGATGACGGTCATGCTTTGACGGGCCCAGGAGAGTCTCGGGCCGTCTCAAATGTGTTCCTCGATTCCTCCTTAGGAGTCTCGTAGACATCTTCGTAGCCTCCCACTTCAATATCTGAGTCTTCAGTTCCGCTAAAACGTGAGATCTCTGCAGATCGAGGGTGATCTAATTGGAATGGTGGAGTCCGGTGTAGGGTCTTCTGTCGAGGGGTGATTTGGGTGTTTTGACTCGACTCGGGACTCGGCGTGGGATATGCTTCCCTAATCGTCGCATAAACAGGTGTCCGCAAGCTCTCCATCTCTCGCTGCAGTTCTTTGACCTGCTCCTCTAGCCTCAAACGAGCCACCTTCTCTTCTTTGACCAAGTCCAGTAGAGCCTCAAATTTGTGTACCGGGATGTGGATAGATGATGGCGATGAATCCCGAGACCGCGCTGGTGATCGAGACCGGACTGGTGATCGGGACCGCACTGGTGATCTGCGCCGGGTGGTTGCAGGTCTGACCGTAACAGTGGTGGCTTTACTTGCTCTCTGCGGACGGTACAGATCATCGCCTTCTGGAGAAGCGAGGGGCGACTGCCCAGGCGAAGACAAGAAAGTCAGTGGCGGGTCGCCAGCAGGGGAATACTGATAGGTAAGGTTGGTAGAGGACTCGGTTGTCACAGTCAGATTCGTCGCGTCAGGCTGGAAGACATTCTGGACTGAGCCTCGACTAAATGGCTTTGTATTTGCTTTCGGGTCCATCCTGGGATTTGGAATGTCGTGGCCTTGTAGTTTGGCCAGAGCGAACTCAAAGTCGAAGATTTTGATCTCGAGTGTCCCAAGTCTTTGCTCGAGCGAGGTATCGTCGGCCTCCGGGCTTCCAAGGCCAAAGTCGAAGGTCTGCATCAAACTTGTGTTGGAAGCGGTGCGCTGAGACGGGCCGGCTGAAGTTGACGGTAATTGGGCATCTGCAGAGTCCACCACGATTGATTGACCATTGTATACTGGTGGTGGGTTCTGAGTAGCACTGCGGCGCCAGAACGCGATTGTACCGGCCCGATCTTGAGTGGAAGATGATTCGACGGCGCCTTGCCGTGTCAGCTCATTGAGCGCATCGGCACTCCGGGAGCGCCGTTTGAACTGCCTCTCTGACACCGTATCCTGCTTTCCTCGATGTTCCGTCTGAACCAAATGGGCCGCGGGCCAGTCGTTGACAGCTGGTAGAAGCCCCGAGTCTTTGTCACTGAAAACCAGACTAGGCAATGTGTTACGGCGCCCGCGCCGAGACGATAGCGGCAGAATCCCATAGACGGCTCCGGATTGTTGATGGGTAGTAGAGTGCGAGGTCAGAGCAGCTCCCCAGATGGCAAAGTCACCATCCGGGGGCGGGGCGGATTCCAGCCGCGTGCGACCGTGGTATTCTGTGACAGGATTGAGATGTCCTGATTCAGAGTAATGGAAGTCGCCCGCATCAGTCGGCACTGACCTGTGTCTCTTGCTCGAGAACATGCGTTTGATGGCTGCGCGAAGGCCGCCCGGTTTCTTCTGGTTCAAGGAAGCCTTCGATGGGATTGAAGACATGCTACTCTGCAGTAAGGATCGCGGTTCAGAGGCACGCGCGCCAAGCCGCGGCTGGCCTTCACTGACATGTCGCACGTGGACATCTTGAGCCGGTGTATTTTTCCGCATCCAGATGGCGTCGCTTGGGTGTTGGATGTAGCTGGTGGGTGGCACAGTAGTAGGCCCATGAAAATCGAGTCCACCTTCGTCGAAAGGAATTGGTTCTGAGATCTTCAGGTCTCCTCTCCGTAGAGCAGCGCCTGTGTTGGCCAGAGACAGTGATCCAGAATGTCTTAATTTGTGGTTTGGAGACGACATAGTGGACAACCCAGCGCCAGGACGGAATCAACAGCGTTCACCAAGGGCAAAATATCAGCACACGACGACTGACGAATAACCCAGGCGTTTCCGCATCATGCTGATGCTTCCCAGGCATGCAGTACGCCGACTTGATAACGTGCCACCGAGGATGACAGTCTCACGCTGATGAGGGGACTACCAATCGAGCTCGGATGTTGCACAACAATATCTGTCAACCGCGTCAGTCGGTTCGTTCTGACCGTCAGTTATTGGAGAGCTGGGAGGGTACCATATATTCTGGAATATTAAGACTAAAGCCCACCACAACTAGATGAGGTAGCGACGACGGTGAAAGGACATACGGAAGGAGCAAGATGTCGGACGAATGAAGGGCCGAACGTGAGGCCGAATGCAAGGAGCGACAGGAAGGATGCAGGCGCGCAAAGCGTAATATCCAAGTCCAACAAAGGCAGAGTCGAGGTCGGGTGATGGGGCGAAGTATCAGAATCGAACAGTCCTCCACGCACACCGTTACTGTAAGTCAAGGGAGTGCCGAAGCATGCCGGAGAAGACACTCGCTTGGATATAGAGCAGATGACCGGAGTCGAGCCCCGAATGCGACTGATGATAAACAGCTAAGGTAGCTAGATGTACGGAGTCCAGGATGCTTGCAGGGTTGGAAGCAGATCACAGAAGTCGTGCTGGCTGCGGCTTCGCTTCGACCCGCATCGCACCAAGCCTTTGGTGTCAACTTTTTGAAGGGTATGAGACGATCAATCAGAAGGCCAGAAGCAAGATGGGCAGTAGTGCGCCGTAAGAGTGACGGGTGGGAGTCCTGACAGCTGGCAGTATCCCATTCAACTACCCCAGTACGGCTATGGTTGCACCGATCTCTGTGTCTTTTTGATAGCATCTGCTCTGGCGGTTTCAGCAGCAGAAACATGGAGCATGGATGCTGCGGGAGGGTTCATGGAGGGGCAAGCTACTGCCATGACCCGTCGGCGACTTGTGGACGGTGGATGAAGCAGGATCGAAGTCAGTGGGTGTGAAGCCAAAACAGGAGGATGGTGGATATTGAGGTAGCCAGGTGCAACCAATAGTGAAGGGCGCCCATCCAGATAGCCTCTAGTGGTGCTAGGCGGCTCGTAGGTGGTGCTAAGGGGTGCTAGGTGCCCCCGAGGAACCCTGTCGCTCGCCGCTTGCTTGGGCTTGGGCTATTCATAGCCCATGATTGGCAGTGCGATCTTCTCAACTGCTGCAGGCTGTACATGTGTTCGCTAGCGATTGTCCTCTCTGCCGCCTGCGCCGTCGGGGTTGCGTCCCTGATGCCAGATGGTGATTAAGGCCCGGAAGAGAAATACGACGCGGTTCTTTGAAGCTGCTGCAGGACAAGTGGGAAACAAAGCGCTACGACATGTGAGGGTAAGTAGACTTCACCTGCGCCTTTTGCCCCGGAGCCAACCAGATGCCCACCTCTCTTTGCGCTTGCTCTCCGCTCACTATCAAGATCCTGGATCCCACCTGACTCTGTAAGCGACATTACAGCTTCTCGATCATGACTGGTCCATGGCAATTCGTGCCAGTGGGAGCCGTGCCACATCCAGTCTCACCGCCACGGCCGAGGTATCGCTGCGCACACCCTCCCGACATTCTAGGCCATACGGTATCGCCGTCCTTTCACAAGAACCGAGAGAATCCGAAGGAAGTACTCCGTAGCGACGATGGCAATCAAATGTGCAAGTCACCAGTCACGACTGTGCCGGAGACAACCCCCGCTAGCTTGCGAACTACTGCATCCACGCCCCTCAACCTTCGGTCTTCTCAGTGGCCAGCCCGCTGTTACGTCGACTTTCAGACGCTCATTGGGTCCAAGTGGATGACCCCTGCGCCATGCAGCGATGCGAGTCATTCTTAGCGGGGGAATACCTGTGGGCTTTGGCTCGAATGGGCACGGGAAGCCCACGTCGCTGTTTCGAATTTGAGGAAGCGAACTTGCAGGGCAATAATCAGGGACAGAAACAAGTCTCTGACAACGCAAAAGCACATCGGCCAGCAGAAAGGATGATCGACCGACGACCGACATGGACACAGCCGCGCTACTCCGCAGCCACTAGGAGTTTGAGCAAGATGCGGTAAGGCTGGCTTGGACTTAGGTCATACGGGAGACTTCTTACGCGACGGCATAACACCCATATTTGTCGCCACGAGTGACTGGCGATCTGGATGGCCACGCACACACGCACGCTGGCAAGAGGTTCGCCCGCATCTGCCAGATATCTGTGAGAATTTGCTGCCGTGGCTTTAGGACCTTCGTTACGAGGTCTTAGGCTGGACTTTTGTGGCGGCGTCAGTCCTCGGAGAGCGCGATGCCACCTCTGATTGGCGCGCCGCTTGAACTTTCACCTTCGAGGAACGAACCCTTCCTTATCTTGGGGTTCATCGTCATCTTCGTCTAGCGTTCACTCATTCTTCCCTTCGCCGTGCTCTCGAACAAAATCCATCTTCGCAACCCACGCGGCGGGAATCGCGTGCCGTGAGATTCCGCAAAAGGTCCGTCGATCACCAACCTGCATTTGCTATCAAGGTACGGAGTACCATTCAGCCCCCATGGAACCTGCAGACTGCGTACTGAGGATCTGTTGGGACGGACGCCTGATTCATTCCTTTCGCAACAGTCCCCCCGTCAAGTTCTAACGAGTCGGTGCCGCCCATCTTTCGCTCATGCAGTCAAGATGTCTCCTGGTCGCCGTAAGGCGTCCAATGGCGCGCCGCTACGCGGTGGTACCTGAACAATTCGATCAGCAAATTAAATGCGTGGTCGTATGGCTACAGGAACATCCCAGGTGTCGACCAACCAATTGCCCGACAGCTGGTGCTTCTTTCGCCTTCAACGTCCCACGTCATCAAGCCCTGGTCCTGAAATTGATACTTGCGTTGTTTCAGGTTACAGGCGTTGCACTAATGTTTGCAGCGGCTCCTTCCACGCGCACAAGAGCCCGGGTAAGTAACCTCATCTTTGGCCGATGCTCAAATACAGGATGCTGTGCGACAACGTGAGCTATCCGAGCTCCAAGTCGTCAATGGTTGGATACTACGTGGGGTCAGAATTCAGACGTGTACAGAGATAGCCAGCGTTGGGGGGCTTTTGGCCACGAGTGGTCCAGTATCGGGGAGCACTTACTCTCAAGTCGGCATTATCCTCCAAGAATTTCATCCATCTCTTCAGAAAAGGACTGCCGCGGGAAACTGTCTCGGAGTCGCCGATTACACAGAGTTGTCGCTTCGGTCGTGTCATGGCAACTGCCACAACTGTCAGATCCTTCCAACTCAGGATGGAGATTGAGGCTTTGGCTGCTTGCGTATGCACAGGACTCGACCACATCGCTCCTGGATATAACGGCCCTGAACTTACCGTTTAATCTCCTCTTCTCACCGAGGAAGCCCACCTCCTTCTCAGCATTGCTTCGGACGAGGCTGACAACGACAGCTTCCTTTTCTCGCCCCTGAAAACCGTCGACGCTCCCAAGCTCGATATTGGGGTACGTCTCTCTGAGCAGTGAGCTTAAGAGGGCAAGCTGTGCATTATATGGTGTCACCACTGCGATGTCCTCATTTCTTACACCAGCTTCGACCAGATGTTTTATATGCATAGCTACCACAGCAGCCTCCATTTCGTTGCTTTTACTGTCTCCCAGCAGGGTCGACTTGCGAACTTGGCCTCCCTGATCATCTTCAGTCTTCTCGGGGAAATCACCGCCCTGTGTGTCGAAGAAGACGAGTGGCTCAACAGTGTCTTCGGTCTCCTTTGTCTCGTACGGTAAGTCTTTCAGGAGACGAGACTTGACAGCGTTGGCTGCAACAAGCTTTCCTTCATACAGCTCGTCGCTTGGGAATCGCATGATCTTTTCGTGCATGCGATACTGCGTATTGAGCAGTCTTTTTATACCAGGTCCATGAATGGCTAGAAGCCTGTCAAACATGGTGTCCTCCAACGACCAACTCTTCGCCGACTTCAACTCCTCGTCCTTGACGAACAATTTGGCCAAACTTTCCTCCAGGGTCTTCATCTTGGCTTTGTTGTTCTCCTTGCTGTCCTTGTTACCTGCACTCTTGACTGTCGGGGGCAATTGCAGATGATCGCCCGCTAGGACGAGCTTCCTCACATTGCTACCACCAAACACCAGAGGAACCCAGCATTGAGGCTCGAGGGCTTGACTAGCCTCATCAATGACCACGACATCAAATTCCTGATTTCGGATTTGCTGGCTGCCAGCACCATGCAATGTCGACAGTACAACTTTACTGCCTCTCACTAAGCCGTCGATGCACTTGTTCTCCCGCTCGCGGTACTCCCTTCTCAGCACCTTCAGATCTGCATAGATGCCGCGTCGTTCACGGCCGTTGCGGGTCTTTCGAATTGACGCCTGCTTCTCATCCATCTCTTTGCGCACATCGCTCACTATGCCTGCTGCCTCGCTTGTTCGTGTCAAGACTTCCAGCGAGTGACTCAAGACGCCGGGTAAGAGACGAGCTGGATGACCCAGGCGCACAATGGGCGTGCTTGGAGACGCCAAGGCGAGACGTTCGACGATGTTGTCCACACTAATATTGCTAGGACCGCAGACGAGCACGCGTTGACCTTGCTTGAGAAATTGCAGGATCAGTTCGATCAAAGTGTATGTTTTGCCTGTTCCTGGTGGACCGTGGATGAGTGCAAGTTCCGGTGAAGAGAGAGCGAAACGGATTGCGTCTTGTTGCGAGGGATTTAGAGTTTCGTCGAAGAATGATATCCCCTTGAACTGAGCAGGATCGGCTGTGCCGGGGGAGGAGAGACCGAGCAGGACTCGCTGGAGGCTAGTGTATGACGACTCCGGCCCAGTGAGGAGTTTTGTGAGAGTCTGGTTCATTCTTTTGTAGGTGACATCGTTCGCCAACTTGACCAACCACAGCTTCCCGTCTGGTATTTCTTCCACGTCTTCACCGCGATCACCATCCTTCCCAAGGGCGACCCAGACGGCCCTCTCCCCAACCCTGGTCACCACCCCCTCCACGCCCTTTCCCTTCAGGTCATTGACCTCTTTCTTCTTTGCCGTGCCCTTGGGCATTTCTCCCACACGGACAATATCCCCTGTCCGGATGCCATGCTCGGGTAACTCGCCTTTGGAGTCCTTTGACACGACGGCGGAATCGAGACCGAGCTCGACGACGGAGCGACCACCAAGCCCAGTGCGGAGGGAATGGATCGAAAGATTGACAATGGCCAGGCCTGCACGGGCAAGAGTCGTCGGCGGTGTTGACGAGAGGAGTAGACTTGTTTCCTGGATCTCGGATTCTTGTTCCAAGGAGAGAAGGTGTTTGAGGGTCGTGAAGAATGCTGAGGGCGGAAGCTGGGTTTTGGGAGCCATGGTGTTGAGAGGCTACCCTATGAACCGACTGATGGAACGTCCTTCAGACATGGACCACCAAACGTAGTACCTCAGCGGATCGCAAAATGATACTTATCGTCGAAGACGTTAGAATGGTGACGGGCATTCGTAGGTGACTTTCAGTGGGATCGTGCGGAGCCAATTATGGGCCGTTCAGTTAGCGAGATTCAAACTCGCCAGTCAAGCTTGGTTCGTTCTACCTGGTACTTTCGTTCCTGACCGAGTTGAGCCACCATATGCTATCTGTAGGTGGTTGTTGAAGACGAGTTCGCGGAACAGTATTTTGTCGTCTCGTTTGCCATCCACCCGCAGAATAAAATGTGGATGAAGATGTATGCTCCGCCGTGGCAGCACTTCTCTGAGTCACGTGCCCACCTACGGTGTGTCTCTTTTGTCTCTGGTAATTCGCTTCTACTCAATGATCAACTTCTGCTTCGGCGCCAGGATCTGGTCTTTCCCGGAGGCTTTGCTCTGATTCAAGTATGCTTTTCGCTGTTGCTACGCGGCGACATTGTTGATCCCTTGCTAGCCACGTCGCAAAACCGATAATGGAGCTCACCACGGTCGCTACCACCTCTGCCTTGCCTGTGAGCGTCTTGTCCATGCTCATTGCAGCTGCCACTGTCGTTGCTGTGATTATTCATCGTTTCCTTGCAATCGACTATGACCCTAGAGAACCTCCAATCATCAAGCCTGGAATACCTTCCATCGGCCACATCCTTGGGGTCATCAGACATGGAACCAAGTACTTTGACACGGTCAAGTGAGCGTCGCGTGTGCTGCCTTTGCTGGCCGCCTTCTGACTTCAAATCAGTCGCGAAACACAATATCCAATATATACGCTGCCCACGTTATCTAGCAGACAATATATAGTCACGTCTCCCCAGATTGCCGCGCAGCTCCAGCGCCAGCACAAGGACCTAGCATTCTACAACGTGATTCTCGAAGTCACACGGCGGCTGTTGCATCTGAACTCTGACACGATGCGAATAATCATGACCAACGTCAACCGCGAGGAAGGTGATTGGGGCCTCATGCCCAAGATGCATGATATGTTCAGTGACGTGCTCGGCCGGGGAGAGTCGCTCAAAGAGCTCACTAGATTGCAGATGGCCCTTTTCTCAGACATGCTCAACGAGGTTGCCATCCGAGGTGATGACTCTGTGGAAATCGGACTGTTCGAGTGGATCAAGTCGATATTCGCCTTTGCCAATGCAAAAGCACTTTACGGTCCTGAAAATCCGTTTGCCGTGGACCCCAGTCTCGTGGACGCGTTCTGGGAATTCGAGGCCGGCATGCTCGCCCTGATTATCGACATCTTGCCCAGCGTTACGGCCAGGAAGGCTCACAAGGCACGAGAGCGCATCGCCCGCAGCCTCACCGACTATGTGCGGCAAAAACGGTACCACAAGGCTTCACAGGTCATCCAGAACCGCGTAGGCCTCAACCTCTCCCACGGGTTCACAGTGGAGGAAGCCGGCCGGGCCGAGATCATCCTGCTCTTTGCAATCCTGGGGAACGCGGTTCCGTCAACATTCTGGATCGTTGCCAACATTGTCAGCCGACCAGACCTGATGGTCGGGATCAGGAAGGAGATCGGGGTGGCCGTCACTAACAACAAAGACGGCACCAAAACGGTCAATGTTTCGACCCTCGAAACATCGTGTCCCCTTTTCGTCTCGACATACCGTGAATCCCTACGCATCATCGGCAACCTCGCCTCTCTACGGTATGTGCTACGGGACACAGTCATAGGCGGACAATACCTACGGAAGGACTCCATCATCCAAATGGCCGGTATAGTCATCCACAACGACAAACGGACGTGGGGCGAGGACAGCGACCGATTCAATCCCCGCCGATTCATCAAGACACGAGCATCGGCTACTGTTGCCACAGAAGAAGAGCATCCGTCCGAGTTGGATCTCAAGGAGCCCACGGCGACACAACTACCTCCGGGAGTTCCGTCCTCGGCATTCCGTCTCTTCGGCGGTGGGAGCGTGGTATGTCCGGGTCGGCATTTCGCGCAGAGTGAGATCTTGGCGTTTGTAGCGTACCTGTTACTGGCTTTCGACATCACTGCTCCCGATGGGTCGCCTATCAAAGTTCCCCCACCAGACGACGAAAAGATTCCCCTAAGCGTCCTCAAGCCGCAGGGAGACGTGAAGATCAAGCTGCAAAGACGAAAGGGCTTCGAGAGCACGAAATGGGTGCTGAAAGCATAGCCAATATGAATTTACCTGCGAAAAGACATGTTCTACAATGCACGTTGCAAAGTCGCGCACATTGCAGAACTGATACTGCCGCCTCGATGCGAGACCCCAACAATCCTTGCCGTGCCATGCAATGCCAGGCATTCGTTCACGCTCCAAGACATGCGGAAAATACGCAGTACTCCGCTGTTCAATTACGCATTCTGAGTCGTGGTCTCGGGGTCTCTCTTCCGCGACCTGAAAGAACCGAGACAGTCACAAGGGAGAGAAACAGAGAGATCGAAACTTTGCGGCTCGCAACAAAGAGTCCGGTGTCGAAGAGTGAAAGACCTGGATGCGACAAGATCTCAGAACCTCAGTAAACCGACGTCCCGGACTCCAGTTATGGCTCAGGGGCCAACAATACCGGGAACATTCAGCTGTTTGGGAAAAGAAGCACAGAAGCACAGCAGATACACATACAGATTTACATACATATATAGATGAATGTATCTATCTGCCTTCAGTTCGCTTCCAACACACAAGCGATCCGCACGCACTGCCCCTGTCAAGACCTCGTGCTATTCAGCTAGTCGAAGGAGTGCCGGCGCTCCTTCTCCTACAGTTCCATAGCCATCCTTTCCTCCTCGCGACCACCTCGACGTCTACCTTTCCTTCAACCTCTGGCAAGCTGCTTCTCGCCATAGCACGGGGAAGACCTCCAGCTAGATAGCCTCCAGTACCCGTTCAATCGCGGGCATTTTCGTTACTGCATTTCGTCACGGGACTGCATTCCCATCTAGCACGCGGGCCCTCGCTTTATAAACTGCCTGCATCACCAACCGCTTTTCCCCAAGCCGAGAGATGCTCAACGTCCCCGCCACGATCTCCTTCTTCAGCATCGCAGGCTTTATCGTCGCGGGTGTAGCAATCATGGCGTGGAGGACGCGTCGGAAGAGCAAGATGCAGGCCATATTCAGGGCCAAATCCAGAGCCAAAGCCGAGCCCGAGGCCGACGACGACGATGAGAGCTACCATATCGACGTCGAGCACGATAGCAGGCAATACGAAGACAATGCCGGAGACTCGGGACCGATGCTCAATCGCCAAGTGAGGCGTTGGCGGTGGAAGAGGATCCTATACCGGGTGGGATGGATCCGGATGTCTTCCGACTTCGAACGGGACGATGACGGTCACGACCACGACCTGGAGATGCGAGATAAGGGCAGACGAGGCGCCGTGGTGGGAGGGGAGGCTGCTGGTTTCGGCAATGTTGCAGCGAGTGTTCAATGGAGCACGAGATCTGAGCCTGGGCCTGAGACCAAAACCGTCGCTGCTGGCGGCGGTGATGCTGTGAACGAGCTCTGTGTGCCCAGGCCAACGGACGTTCCTTCGTTCGAGAATCTCGGCGGCTACCGATACGGCGACTTGGTGTATGGTCCGGACAACATGTCGCCACTGCCAGTGCCGGGCTTGCCTCCAGTCCCTGTCCCCGTGTCGGGTCCAGGCTCAATCTCGCACTACAATCAATGTCACGAACACTACCACCAACACTCGTTCTCACAAGCCATCGCAGAAGTAGAAGGCATGTCAGAAGTGTCTGGTATATCAAAGCCAGCAGGCAAGCGCAACTGCAACGATCTTTTGCCACTCAGACACGCATACTCTCTGACCTCGTACAATGGGTTCCCCTCTTCAAGCCAGGACGACGTTATGGCCGCGTTGCCCATTCCGAAGGATCATCCTCTGTCTCAGCATCATCCAATTGACCGACAACATGCTGTTCTGTCAGTTCTAGGAGCGCGCATGCTATTCAATAGAGGCGAGGAAGTCAACCGGAAAGAACAGAAACTAGATGAAGAGGACCGCATTCGCCATACAGAAGGACTCGTAGTGCAGGAGGAAAGCAATGAGAGCAACCTTCAGGAGGGCAGCGGTCGGGAGAGCAACGTCCAGGAGAGCAACGTCCAGGAGAGCAACGTCCAGGAGAGCAACGTCCAGGAGAGCAACGTCCAGGAG